CGACGCTAGACCCAGACAGGTATTCAGTCCCTGGTGACCCGGCAGTTCTCCCATGGGTATGTTCCTTGTGTGCCAGGGGGATTGGTCGAGCACTTCTGGCATCGTTCCTCTTTCCCCCCTCGCTTGTAACTTTCCGTTCGGTAGTCGCCGCGGACACACAACAACGTGGACATAACGTGGACAACGTGCGTGAACTTACACTTGGACCTCTTCGACGTTATACAGCCCGTCGCTGTGAGAAGTGCGACTGGCTATTGTCAGAATGTGGCGAACTTTCAGAAACGCGGATGGGGCCGGGCAGGATCGTCTGCCTATCTTCACTGTATGAAGTTCTTCTTGCGGTTCACATGAATATGGAATTGAGCTATGCAACATTGGGGAATCATGATGGGGACCAACTACCGGACTGGATCTTCCTCGGCCTTCCGTCCAGCGAGGCTACGAAAGTCAATGGGACTATAGAACTTTCTCGATGCCAGACTAACTTCCTAGCAAAGTTGGCCTAACGGACACCTTCTCCGCAAAATAATACAAACCACGCATTTCTTCAGGCACGGGAACAGAGTTTAGGCTGACCGAATTATTGCCACCCCGGCTTATTACGATAGACGGTGGCCAGAGGGGAAAGTCTGCACTACTGCACCCCAATAAGTACAGAGTACGAAGTACCTACTGTATCCTTCCTAACTTGTGGATGCGAAAGCTTCGCCATACTCTTTGGGAATAGCCGCCTCTCCACCCGTTCCAATCGTTCCAAACATCAGGAGACCAGGCCCAGTGAACGAGGCCAACCATACATTCTCGAGGACTCGCGATAGCGGATCGCAGTTTTCGTACTCGGCATCGATCTTTAGGGCCCCAAAAATGCGGAGAAAAAGACTTGCAGGCCTGAGCTCGTGGCGATAGAGGGGAAAACAAAGAGTTCAAGTTGAAAGTTGAACCCGAGCCACCCCATTCCTTCGGGTGACATTATCCTGCATTAGGGCATGTCTCCGGGGTCGTTCATACATGGCCCTTCACTTGATAGGAAGTACTTTGTACAGCCAACGAAAACGTCTTATTAGTTTTCCCAATCTCGCGATGGAATAGCTTGCAGGCAGTGTCTTCAATTGCGTACGGCTTATCCAAACTTTCCAAAGAAATGTACCGTACGGAGGACAGTAGCATACGACGTACATCCCACAAGGTACCACAAGATACATGCTTATTAGCACCAATTAACAAGCATAATAATCTAACCCAAACCTGCGCCAACACGGGCCGGGCACCCGCTCTCACGAACCACCCACCGTGCAGCTGGGAACCGATTCCGTGGATTCGCCCTCAGGAACCGGGACGGTCTCCAGGTACCCATCCAACCCTTCCAATCAGACGGTACTCTCCCACAATTGGAACCAGAATCCTCTCGTACCTTGCAGCAGCGACCCCAGCGGCGCTCGTCTCACCCTCTGTCCCAGTGTCACTGTCCCTCCACTTCCTCCACAGGACCGCAGCTGAGACGGACCTCCGTCTTCTGTGCCTGCCGCGATCTCTGGGACCAAATGGACCCTCCCCTTCCTTGGCCAGAATGGGTGATTTCCATCCACCAGCCGAAACCCTATCTAGCCCAGGCCGCACTCTGGGTCGTGATGTCGCCATTTACTGTAGTGTTCGAGCATGAGACGCTCCGCAAGGACCACAGGCCCTTGTTTCATGTGAACCCGACGCCGAGCATACCCGAGTCCCTCGGTGAAGAGAGCCAAGAGTAAAAAAGACCATTACGACTTGATCTCTGTTCCTCCCCGAAGGCAGATCATTACTCGATCGCTGCCCTTCCCTTGCGATTTCATACTCCATTATTGTGCGAATCTCCCGCCCATAGTTCGAATTGCAGCCTATACGGTGCATATCGCTCCCAATTATTGTGTGCATGGGACATCAAATTCACCAATACTGTGATATTCTAACACCGTGTGGAAGAGATAAGTATCCACATGCCCAGAAAAGAAATCAAACGCCTGATTTGCCCCGTATCTCATCTTCCTGTCTATCCGGAGATACAAAGCACGGAGCACGCAACACAATAATAATGCTCTACTACTTATCTCAGTGCCGTGGATACCCTGGATTGGTCTTACGGTACTCCCACGATCGAGATCGACGGCCCGGCTCCATCTCTGATCAGACAGCGCTCTACAAGCACGGCACAGCCGAGGAAGTGGTCCTGTACTACTAAGAGCACTACTGCTGCAACTACTAGATTCGTCGGAATGCTAGATTTGCCCCCCCCCCCCCCCCCCCCCTGGTGTCTCCATGGCTGGCTGGTTGACAAACTAACGATTCCACAGCGATCGTAGTTGCCCTCCCGTGGTTGGTACGTACCAGTGTACGAAATGATAAGAGGAACTGTGGTTGCTTTTTGTTTTTCCAACTCTGTTACAAGCGATGATCGCACACCCACTGTTTCCGCGGATCGAATCCGATGATTTGTTTTGGAGATTTGGGTTCTAGAGCGATAAGCTGATTTTATATGAAAAGCATGCCATGCCAAAAATCTCCGAATGGAGCCGTGAGCCTTTCTTTTGATTAGGCCAAAGTCAGTGCAGGCTACAATAACTATTACTTATATTACTTTGTCAAGTTAATTGCCGTGTCTATTCGGCTCACCAGAGATTTTCAGGGCGCCTAAACTATACAGAAGACCCTGTAGGTTTACTAACGACCAGTTCCATGAGCACGTTGACACAACTGCGACCAAAAAAGACCGGACGCCCCGAAGATTCTTCTGGAAGGCGCTGCGTCTTCGGGGCGCATTTACTAAGGATTTTAGTTAATTGCTTCTTCCATTCTAACTTCAATGCACATTTCTTCAGGTTCGTGCTAATCCAGCCTGCTAGAGCAGCGACATTTCTACACGTGTAGCACCCAGTGGATACACAGATTGCCAGCGTGCGCCTATTGCGGCCGCGTACTGGTTACCATCTCCTTATCAAGCCTGGACTCGAGCGGGTCGAAAAAGAAACAACGGAGAACACCGAATCTGCAGGGTAAAAAACAAACTACATGACTACTGCATGTACAGTACTCTATTTAGAATTTCACTTTGCTAACGTGATCGATTTTCTGCAGGACAATCATTCTCGAGTCCAGCCAGCGCTAACAGCGCTACTCCCAATTAACCCCATATCGTGTGTGGGCTTAGAGTAGCTCGCCCTGGATCCTCCTCAGAGCGGACGACGAACACTACCAGCATGGGCAGCCGAGCAAATGCTGTTTCGGATGCGAGATGTTGCTCTCATGTTTCCACAGCGTGGATCTGGCCGGTCACAAGTCCTCTCTTCGCTGAACCTCCAGTGGAGCAAGGAGGTCTGCGAAGTTGAACAAGAGCCAACCAACAGCCCACGACCTCACACTACAGACCCAGATCTGGACCTCCAGACCCGCGAGCCTCTTACTGTATAAGGTGAATGGCACGATTGAGCGGGCCGCTCGGCAGGGTCGGTGGTCGTCTTGGGGGACCCGTACGGAAGTGCTAGCTAGGCTACTAGCAGTGCACCATGGAGGCATCCAAGCGATGTCGGCCGAGGCGAGCCGATGCGGTGGTTATTTCTCGGAAGATGAGACCTATTCTACGGAATCGGTGCCGAACTTCGTCTCTGGGTCCATCCATTGGAGTGTCATTCCCAGCCCGCGATTCAGAGTGGAATACACTCGCGGGTCCATTGTTATTATTTTGACACCGATACGTTTCAGCAATGGATTTCATCATACGATTTCGTCAGAGGATTCTGTTGCATGGTACGCTACTGAGCTCTGAGCTCCAGTGCGGGTTTGCTTCGACTAGAAGGGTCGAATATGGAGCTTGCACTTCCGCGCAGGTCGCAATGGCTGCAATTGTGTGGTTGCGTGGTTGCAGGTGGGTGTAGGATTGCTCCATCAACATGCGATCTGCGGCTGGGAGTCATTTGGCCACAGAATCACGTTGTGCGCAGTCCACGCTTGGTGCGGGTTGGCAGATATAGCGTAAGACTATACGTATAACGCCGTACTAACACGGTCCTAGACCTGGAAGAAAACTCTGATCTTGATACTGTCCAGCTGGGCCAGCTTGCAGGTCAAGCTCTGATTGACTAACTCGTCAGGACCGAAGCTCTCCAGGACGACAGCAACAAGAAAAAGATAAAAAGGCCTCAGTGGATGGTTTATTGTGAGATCACGCTCCCAGTAGGAGTCAGTCTCTTCCTATCATATATTCCATTATCCTCATCATCGACCCAAATAATATATGAGGAAGAAAAAGAGAAGAGAAGCTCGTCCCTGCAGAAAAAAAAAGAGGTCCACACTCGAACTGCTTACCTAATACGCGAGGTGTGTATAGACACCTCAGGCATTAAGGCACTAAGGCCATCAAGAAGCAACCGAGAAATGAAAAAAAGGAAGCCTCCGGAACAAGTATTCTTCCGGGCAAGCATCCACCGCAGCATAAATTCTTCGCTCGCAAGATCTCCTTCCTCTTTTCTTTTCTTTTCTTCTTCGTGCGGCGGCGCAGCTTCAAATTTAATACCTACCCGTGTTGCTTGGACGTCCACGGCCCTTGTCAAAGGGGCCTTCAGTGATGTTACCAGGTGTCGGTTGCGCCACAGACGAACGGAATTGCACACCGGTTCTTACTTTATGGGTCTTTCTGATTTTTCAAGGATGAGACCTTTTGGTTTGGGATCGGACATTTCTATTTTAATACGCCCTCGAATGTGGTGGGCTGTAGAGTTACCAGATATCCTCTAGCTTGGAGGTCAATGAGAAAGAAGATTTTTCGAGCTTTCGGTTCTCGTCCATTGTATTTGTAGCATTTTCTGTTTCTCGTAATGTGTGGTCTTAGGATCGATCACCATACTGTCCCTTCACCCACGGTTGGTATCACTCTTTTCTCTTCCAGTCATCTCTCTCAAGGTCTACCATGCCAAAATCACTTGAACAAACACGATAATGTAGTCTCCCTGTCCAGCCAGTGTCTAATTTTCTTACTCGCCAGGCTCGTCGCCAATCTTCTCCAGCTTCCCCATGGCCCTCTTCTCGCCCGCATCACCAATAACGCGAATGCGGTCCACGCGCAGCTTCTCGCTCTCCCCATCGCCATCCACGAAGAAAATCACCAGCGAAGTCACATTCTGGAATTTGACGAACCGCAGATCAACCGTCGCAGTCCCCGTCTTCGCGTCCCACTGCTCCGGCTTGATCTCAATCGTCTGTTCCGGGTTCGTGTCCTCCGCCTGCTCGAATCCAAGTACATGCGAAGTATTCGTGTAGAGCTTTAGGGTGCGCGGTCGCATGGGCAGCTCGTCGTCGTCGTCGCTCTCGCCAGCGGCAGGAGGGAGGGAGGTCACATGCAGGGAGTGCACTTTGAGCTTCGACTGGAAGGGAATGTAAAGCATCAACTGCTCGTCCGTGTCGCTCTCGACCCAGTCCGCACCGCTGCTGCTGCCCTCGGCCTTGCCCTTGCCCTTACCAGCCAGAGCGGAGGGCTTGGAGGTGTTGAACAGCACACCCGGTTCCCCGAACTGGTTGTCCCGGTTGAGCAGATCCAATCCCTTGGTGTCAACCTGGTCCGTCACATCGGTGTATCGCGCAGCCACCTCGGCGCCCAGCCAGGTTGCGCCGCTTCCTTCGCCAGATCCGCCATCGGACTTGGTTGCTTCTGATGCAAGTCTCCGGACCACTTCAGTCAGTTTCTGAGGGTCGGCCCCGGCGACGGTCTTGATGCTGCGGCCGTTCTCGAAGACGATGAAAGTCGGGTACCTGCAGCGCAGCGGGAAAGAGTCAGCAAATCTCATTCGTAGTGTATACAGTTCGCTCATTCTTCTCGTAGATAAAATTTAGAGAAGCTGTATCATCCCACGTACGCTCGGACACTGTATGTCTGCGCAAGCTCTGTCTGTTCGTCACCGTTGATCTTGGTGAATGTGATATGGTTTGGGCGGGACAGCTGCGACGCCAGGTTTTCGTAGACGGGGGCAATAGCTTTGCAGGGACCACACCAGTCGGCGTAGACTATGCTCCACGAAACGGATCTCAGTCAGCAATTTGCCCTTTTTTGGAGTTCCGCTCGGAAGGTGGGTGATTCCACGGCGGAGGGGGTGCTGGGAGTATCGCAAACTCAGCCACGGGAGCATCACCACTTACAGTCTGCGACAACAAAGTGCGAGGAGCTCAGCAGTGAGCTGAACTGATTGGTTGAGGATATGTTGATGACGGCCATGGTGGGAGGTTGGGGGGTGTAGAGAGTGAGAAAGAGATGGCGGGGGAGTCGGAGGAGGTTTGTTTTGCCCGGTTTGGTAAATATGTCATCCGCCCCTCGATCAACGCACTTGAGCCATCTCACCACTCGGGCAATGAACTATGCTCTTGGCACCTACACCGATCTGGTTGTGCTTCTATAGGTTTAATCCATGTTGTAAATCTCTTGGTTTCTTTTTTTACTTCTGAACCTTTGGATCGTGTATGTTTGGCTATCGATTATCTAGCCACCGGTAGGATATATATCGACCGTTTCGGGCGAGCTCCAGGCTACCGTTGAAGATCATCAAGCCACGCGTTGAATATACACACTTCAGAGACCGTAAACATCATTTACACAACGAGATTCTAGCCTACGGCCTGTAGATGGCCGATAAACAAGAAGGCACAGAGAAACAATCTCCTGTACGTTGTCGATTAAGAACTAAGGTCGAGGTATGTCAAGTGGGTCTAATGACCTCGAGCTATCAATTTCTGCGGAGCTTCACAATACTCTGTTTAGTTCAATTGCCTGAACGCAGATATATCAAGTATTGGAAGACTCCATTAACACTGATGCCCCAAGCATTTTCCTAGAATGCTATGTAAATCCGCCCAGGTTCTGCGAGCGAAGACTGATAGGCCATCTTCAAGAACCGAGAAAGCGAGGAGCTGACAGCATATATCTGACATCGAGGGATGTAGCCATAGATGGTCATGACAGAAACTGTACCCGTAGAGCCGCAGGCTCAACACTTAGGAAGGAGAAGCCAGAAAGCCTGCTGTCCTGGAGATCCTTTCATGGAATCTGACTTCCGCGCCCATCGTCAAGGAGGCGTGGTAAGCATAGGCCCGAGGGAACAAGTCCTATCCCAAAGGGAGCGACGGCTCTACCCAAGGGACGCAGACGGCAGTTTAGATGACCGCAAAAGAATGCAGCTCAAGTATCTCTCTCAGCCATCATCCTCAACAGCGAAAAGAACCTTGAGCCAAAGACTGCACCCACGACACCCAACAATAATCTCGCCATGGTCCGCCTCTCTCTCCAAATCATCCTCCGTCACCAGAAACCCTCTGTCGTCGCCACATCGACAGCCACGGTACCAGCAGGCCCTGCGCTCGCCATCTTCGTCGCACGCAAGATCCCCCAGATCCACGATCTCCAGACCAGTATGAAAGACGTCGCCGGTCTTTTCTCGTTCCGCGACCTTTAACCGGTCTAGTCTCAGGGTACGGTCATATTCTGCGCGCAGCGCCCGGTCGCAGAGCGTCTTGTACGCGGTGGTGATCTCGTCAATGGTATACGCGCGCTGGCCTGCAGCGTCATCGCCCGATCGGGAGAGGATCCCGTCGCGAGAAGCTGGCATGTTCATTCCTGCATCCTGCGCGAGGGCACCGGCCTTGTCGGGGTGGTGCTTGAGGAGGGCCTTGTGATACGCGAGTTTGATCTGCTGTTTCGACAGGGTGGCTGATGAGGTTGTGAAGGGGATACCGAGAATCTGGTAGTAGTCGGCGCGGGCGGGAGTCGTCCTCGTCATTCTGAAGGAGGTCTTTTGTGGGTTGTCGTGTCTCGTTGGTTCAATGTCACGACTAGTCAAGCGCAGTGCAGGGCTGGCTGGCGAGTCGGAGCCGTACCCTAGGGTTGGGCGCACGTCGCAAAACCGAAGAAAGTGTGCTAAAAGCGCGTAAAGAAGGTCGCTAGCCTTGCTGGGGGTAGGTTAGACGGGTCAAGGGTACGCCGATGTCCCTTGTGCAAGGTGCTTGAAGAAATCAAAATGGCGGGTCGAGTTCCATCGGGGATGGCGGGGAACAAAAAGATTGGATAAGAAAAGTTGCCCGCTGCCGGACGAGTTCCAATCTTAGGGTAGTCCTCTGTGAAAATGTTTACAGTTGGTACATGGAAATTAGACTGGATGTGAACATAATATAGACCACGATGTCGCAGTTTAATTTCCGGTCTTTTATCACTCGAAAGTGTGGTGGCTGCACCTCTTCTCTCTACTTCTCGTGTCTCACGTACTCTCAGATCAGCCGAGATATGGAATCAGGTCTTATACGTGAACTGACATGATGTTGTAGATAGATGATAGGAAGCGCAATCCTGGAAATTCCAGCCCTAGATTGCTTCTAACTTCCAACTTCAGCCTTCTATACAGATACAAAAAAAACGATGACAAGCGTATGTTCAATTGAAGAATAGACGGAAGACAGAGGGAATGGTGGTTGGACAAATGTGACTGATTGGGATCTATTTGCGTGATGAATTCTGTGACAGTGGCTTAGAACGCCGGAAAGATGACCCGAGGCCTCATGATATCAAATAGTTTCGCCTCGACAAGAAGCTGTTCAAACGGTCTTCATCTAGAGAGCGTCTCCGGGGATACCGGGGAACGGTAGGGACGGGACATGACGAAGCAGGGATCTAGTAAAAGAGGGTTTCCCCACAGACAGTGCATCGAGGCCAAGATAGCCGAGAGATCTTTCAACAAAATGTACATTAAATAACAATTGACAAGAACCTTGTCAAGAGTAGGAGTATATCAATTGTGGTAAGAACAGCCACGAAAGGGTGGAGACGTGAAGACGGTGTAAAGTGGCAATAGCCGAGTGGTTCTTGTCGGAATTCATGGATCGATGTACTTCATCCATCCTCCTTAGTTACCCTCGACGCCAGTGACGATTGGAGGCAATTCTAGGTGAAACTAGAGAGTGCCTCAGCAGCTTTTTCCTTTTTTATTCTCGCGCTCTGCCACAGTCTCAGGGTCTCGCTATGCCAGATGAATACAATGCTATAGATGCACCCATTAATACCAGCAGGCCTTTGGGTCGCAAGAGGAAACGAGTCTCGGTAGCCTGTCGACCATGTCGGTCACGCAAGTCCCGTGTATGTAGGAACCAACCAGTATCTCTAAAATTCGTTTGATCTGATATATGACGGCTTACCTTTGAATGGCATGCAGTGCAATGGCGCGAATCCGTGCTCGACGTGCGAGGAGATGGAGGTTTATTGCGAATATGATTTACCCTGCACTATCCGGGCAGCTTCCAAGGTCAGGGAAGCTCCCGTTGATGCTCGGTATGTAGGTTGATCCATTGCTCACCGTGAACACTTGATTTGATTGAATCTTACCTGCTAGAAATGACCGTACTACTGCTCTAGAAGATCGCCTACATGCCATCGAGCGCAGACTGGCGTATCTAGAAGATAATTCCTTGCCACCGAACAGTCAAACCTCTGAAGCACTCAAATATGGGTCAAGGGCACTGACGCAGCAACCAAAGGCTGCACGCAGAGGTTCCTCGACTATTCGGCAAGAGACGCCGCTCACAGTTTCTGCACTGAGTATGTCGAGAATTTCCGACCAATCCGATGGAGTCGATGGAATGGGCTCGGTTGCACTTAGAGAGGGTGCCGAAGAAGACGAATACTTTGGTATGAGCGTGTTTACTTGGGCGATTTGAAACTTTGCCCTTCTGAAAGACGTGCTGATCGGCTGCAGGCAACTCGTCCAATGTGGCCTTTTTACGATCAATCATCCAGGCCACTGTTCATTCCGCGGGACTCGGATCTAGGAGGGTATCAGAGCCGGAAATCACCAACTCCGATCATCACGGAAATGACGATTCGAGTTCATTCCTGATGTGGCCGTTTCGCACGAATCAGTCAGGCAACTCGTCACAGCGCACCGCGATTGATCCTTTCGCACTTCCTCCCAGGGATGCAGCAGACGATATGCTACATTTATACTTCAACACCGTCAATCTTATGATCCCTTGTATTCACGAGGACTTGTTTCGACAAGCCTTGTTCCTGATGAGAACCAATGGACCTGAAAACATTAGAAGATCGTGGCTCGGCGTTTTGAACATGATATTCGCTATCACCACGAACGTGATGACCCCGACTTCGCCTACACAGGACCGAGCACAACAGTCGAATACATTCTACGAGAGAGCTATGGAATTGATAAGCCCTGGGATTCTGGGCCGACCTTCAGTTGAGATGGGTATGTAGGAAACCCCACTTGATACATTCAGACTACTAATGAAGTTAGTGCAATTATTCCTTCTTATGGAGATTTACCTTGAAGGCACCCCTGCCTCTTCACTAGCATGGACGTTTCACAGTCTAGCTGTCAAGGGGTCCTATCAACTTGGACTTCACTTGTCAGGATCTTCACGGCTCTCGCAGGTCGAACGAGAATGCCGACGGAGACTATGGTATTGGTGCATAACGAATGATCGGTACTTTCTCCTCGAGTATTTGTGACCAATTCCTCGAAACTGACGGTATTATAGGCTATTGAGTGTCGGATATGGTCGTCCTCCCCTGATTCCCTTGTCCCACGTAAAGATAGAGCCCTGCGCTCGTCTCCCTTTCAGTAAGGTGGCTGATGAGGTTGTTGCTTCGTCCTCCACATACTTTGACTCGATGATGTATGCTCAAAGAGTGATCACTCTCACGGCGATTCTTTGACTGACGTATTCCAGCACTATAACTCACATAATGGGCGACGCAATTGACCGACTTTACGGGCAAAATTTGGGATCTATTCCACCGGCCTACACCAGCGAGACTCTTAGTCAGGTTTCAGACTTGTTATCACAACTCGACCAATGGCAAGAACAGCTCCCACGGCACCTGAAAGCGATAGATGCCTCTGAGAATATCCTGGAAAATGCGTCGAAGAGTTTAGAAATTACACGACTGAGAGTACTCCTCTCCTTTCGCTATCTTGGGGCAAGAATTCTCGTTCTGCGGGCAATTTTGACCCACTTCTTCTCTCCATGTGGTAGGAACAGCTGCAATGAGCATCTTTCCGAATGGCTCCTGGATTCTAGCTTTCCGCTCATCGCAGATCTCGTGCGGACATGTCTTCGGATCTTCCGAATAAGCACTGAGCTTCTCGCTGCATCAGAGAATAACCAGAATCTCCTTGGAGCATGGTGGTTTTCCTGTTATTACAGTATGACCCTCCTTTTCTCGAACCATACCTGTATGATTGGTGTACAAACTAACGAGATATAGCTTTCAACGCGTCACTTGTCATACTAGGTGTTCTATTCATCAAGCAGAACCCACTATACTCAATGAGACTTCGTGATTCCGACGATCTAAGACCTTCGCTCGATATTGCCATGTCAATTCTCCGAGGACTGGATAGCGGCAACAGGACGATCATGCGATGCCGAGATATTCTCGAGAGATTGATTGCTAACTTTGATGCTAAAGGTATGCTTACACACATTCTCACGATAACTAATCGAAATGAAGAACGTTGGCTAATAAAGTGAAACAGCGCATACCACTGATCTAACATCCCCTGCAAATTCAGGCTCGCCATCCAGTGAATGGGCATGGCAACTCATGGACTCAACTTTGTTCAATCCTGACGCTTCCTTGGGCTTTGCTCCGGCTATTCCCAATGATACCGCTTCTTTCTTTCTTCCAGTCAACTTTTAGTAAGGATTGATGACAGGATGAGAGAGTTACTGTCATGATTTAATCATGATCTTCAATGATAGTACACGAACTCATTATTACTCCAAGTAGCATTTTAAAACCATTTGAATTGAACTATATGTACACTGTGCAGTCATAAGGAGTACGACAAAAGGTCTTTCTACATCCGAGGCTTCGAGTTCACGCTCGATCTACCGGACGGCCAAATTCCAGATTTCCCAGGCGACAAAATCCCTCTAGGATCCAGGAATTCCTTGAGCTTGGTAGTGAATTGTTTCAGAGCACCGCCATTGAAGTTGAAATGAGAAGCCACCTCATCCATGTAATCAAGATGAGTACGGTAAGCAGTGTAGCCCATCTCAGCTGCATCATGAATAACATGGCGCATGAGCTGATCAACACTCTCCGCCTCCTCGTCAGTGTAAATGATCAACTCGATGCCAATCACATGTCTGGGGAACACGTGGAAGTCTGCGAAGAAATCGAACTTGGCATCGACCGTCCGCTGCTTGGCCTTGAGATACCACTCATACAGCTCTCGACCAGACGGTGGGAAAAGAGGGGAGTAGTCGATGTGACTGCCAGGCTTTTGGCGACTGTTGAGAATGGCCAGTGGCGCCAGGGTTGGAATACCACTATGGGGAATTTCTTCCTCCTTGATGGTAGCAGTGGTGATGGATTCCCCAGGTGTACCAGGGAATTCTCGCCACTTCATAGTAGCACCGGGGATGGCGTTGAATGCACGGCGGGTGGTTTGGAGGAGTCCTGGAAGCAGCTCAACTTGCGAGTACAAGGAGAAGTATGCCCGCCAGAAGCCCCACTTTTGTTCGACACGAATTTCTTCGAGTACATCATAGGGAACATAGCTGTGTGGTTTCATGTATCCCTGCACCTTCCCCTGTACACTGGCCACACGTGATGTTAGTGCGATACGGAAGATGTTGGCAATGGAGGGAGAGTTGAGTATGACTGAGCGACGCATCAGGTCTGATAAGATGCTCACAAGAGCCACGAGGTCGGATTCTTGGGGCACATCCACTTCAACGGTGGCATAGGCTTCTGGAGCGGGAATCATCTGGATGCCGATTTTGGTGACGATTCCTAAAAGAGGCACGAGAATTATATCAGAGTCGATTCGAGAACCAAGTGATGAATGATAAATGCTTTTGAGGTAGGAAAACTGCACCCAAATTGGACTGGAAGAAAAGTCCGTCCACGCTAGGGCCGAAGCCTCTACGCATATATATTTAGCAAATACTCAACTCAAGTCTCCAGTGGAAGTATCTTACCCTTTGTAAAGTGCGAATAGTTGGCTACCCTCCATCGCACCCATGCCTGTCCGCAGTAACTCCCCATTTGGTAAAACGACTTCCATCCCGCACTGCGCCTGAGCATGGTCTCCCAAGGGCGTATAGCCAAACCCACGCTCCGTGGTATTTCCAAGGACGGACCCCCAACCAATGGCTGGCACGGAAGGCCAGAGCTTGAGGCCCCGTCTTTGGATTTCTTCATATAGATCGAAGAAGGATACACCTGGTTCCACGATTGCGTAGCCGTATTCTTCGTTGATTTCGACAATGGTGTTCATTCGATGCAGATCCAGTACAACCGTTCCTTTGACGACCGGTGCAGAGCCTCCGTATCTGGAATGACAAGTCAGTCAGTGAAAGGACCGATATAAGCATTTAGCTCTTGCATTGTCTGTACATACCCAAGGTTCTTCCCCCGAGAGACCGTCCACAACGGGATGACATATTGATTCGCCAGCCGAACAATCTCACGAACTTCGTCGACAGATTTGGGACGTACGGCTCCACTGGGTTCATGGCTCATGGGGGATGCAAAAGGGTCGCCATAAGCTGTCGAGCCCGAAGGGCCTTCCAACCCACCCGAAGAGGAGTGACGAGAGACATTGGGTTCACCAATAATTAGGGCAACGCTATCAAAAAACTCCTGCAATCTTTGCGAATCCATATTGAGGCTCATTGGTGGTAACTCGACAAAAGCCAACTCCGAGCAATCGTTCGCGAGGAATGTTTTAATTCAGATACTTTGTGAATGGTACCAGGAACGTCCCTTTTAAGCTGAACGTCAATCTTTCTAGGAAGCCTCGGCGTCATTAATATTAGTCTATTCTATCCCCATACACTTCTCTATTTTGCGGGGAGATCGGGTAACCGGGTGTACGGGTAAGCGGGGAGTCGGGGGTAAGTGGAATTGGTACACACCCTGAATGATCAGTCGCTCCGCAATAGACAGGGTCACGCGTAAGTTAGATCTCTTTATTATCCTTTAAATCTGGCCTTGAACTTTAAAACAGGTTATCTATCTCCAACATATCATCATCACTACCTGAAATCTGCTTGACCATCCCGACCCCTTGGAGACCACGAAAATCACCATGGAGGCCAAAGTAGAGAGTGCTTTCCCGGATCGACCTCAATTTCAAGGGTTTATGAAACCATGTCGAATGGAAGGGGAGATCCAGGCACTGGAAATTCATGGCAATATCCCCAAGGACATCGATGGGACATTCTATCGAGTGATGCCCGATCCGCAGCTTCCTCCATTTGTTCAAGATGATCCGGTAGGTCCATTTCAAACATATCAATTCCCAAGTCAAATTCGATACTGAGAAAAGGGTGGAAAGTGGTTCAATGGCGATGGTAACATCGCCGCCTTTACGATCAAAGATGGGAGTGTGTCATTCCGTCAACGATATGTGCGGACCGAAAAATTCACTCGTGAACGAGAAGCGAAACGGGCTCTTCTCGGTATGCTCCCTTTATTCACTTTAAACCAATGTTTTATACTCAACAAATGTCTAACATTTCGAAACTATCTAGGCAAATACCGCAACAAATTCACCGATGCCGTTGAATTCAAGATCCGCTCAACAGCCAACACCAACGTGGTATACTTCAACGGGCAGCTCCTAGCTCTCAAAGAAGATGCTCCCCATACGCACTCGATCTTGCCACCTTGGAAACCAAAGGTCTCTATGATTTCGAGGGGCAACTCCCGAGTCTGACATTTACCGCGCATCCCAAGTTCGATCCGAAGACTGGAGAGATGGTCTGCTTTGGCTACGAGGCGAAAGGAGATGGGACTCCAGATGTATGTTACTATAGCGTCAGTCCGGACGGCAAGTTCACCGAAGTGGTTTGGCTGGTTGCGCCGGTGGCTGCTATGATTCATGATTTTGCTGTGACGGAGAATTGGGTAAGTTCTGACCCCATGATGTTTGACTGAGGTCCCTGGGACATAAAGCCCGTTAGTGAGATGTAGTTGCTGACATCGACGGCTTGAAGGTGCTTTTCCCTATCATCCCTCAGGTCTGCGACGTTGAGAGAATGAAACAAGGCGGCGAGCATTGGCAATGGAGCCCAGAGACACCATTCTATCTTGGCGTGTTGCCCCGTCGAGGAGCGAAGCCAACGGACGTCAAAGTGAGTTAAGCTTCGAGTCTACCTAGCGAATAACCTTCACGTACTAAGCTAACCCAATAACTATAGTGGTTCGAATACAAAAACTCCTTCCCAGGACACACCGTCAACGCCTATGAGGACAAGAACGGAAACATCTCGCTGGACTTGGGTCTAAGCGACAAAAATGTCTTCTTCTGGTGGCCAGACGCCCAAGGAAACGCACCAGAACCAAGCTCCATCCTCTCCCAACTAGTTCGATTCACCTTCGACCCTACATCAAAGGAGCTGAACCTGCCCAGCCCACAGCTCCTCCAAAAGGATAATACCGAATTCTACCGCATCGATGACCGCTTCGCCACAAAACCCCACCGACACTGCTTCATGGACCTCATGGATCCCAGTCTGGGAACTGATTTCCAGGCCATCGGCCCGCGACTCGGTGGTGGCTATCCTTTGTACAATAGTCTTGCGCACTTGGACGTTATCACGGGGAAGACGGAAATTTACTTTCCTGGTAAGACGCATATGGTGCAGGAACCTGTGTTTATTCCTCGTAGGGGGTCGGAGATCGAGGGGGATGGGTATTTGTTGGCTTTGGTGAATAATTACGATACTATGTCTAGTGAGCTGCATATGTTGGATACAAAGGATTTTACGAGGGTACAGGCCATTGTGTTGTTGCCGATTCGGCTGAGACAGGGGTTGCATGGGAATTGGGTTGATGCGTTGGATCTGAAGGCGGCTGTTTGAACTGTCTGTCGTGGATTTTGTATGTGAAGACATTTAATCCAAGGGTATACAGGGCTGCACATGAGGGTGAAGTAAGCCGCAATAGTCTGTTATCCCAAGGAAGCGGTTAAGATCAATTCCTGGAGCATTAATGGCGTATCAGTCTGGGTCCTAGAAGCGTAGATTGTCATTTTCACCACGTAAAGGATTATAAGATAGTGAGCATTTACAGATAATCTAGCGGACTAGTCTTGTTCCATCGACTTTTTACGATCCAGAAAGAAAATCTAAAAAATCACATTTGGGCAATCTAAGATCTCTCTATCTACCGAGAACTCTATATCTAAGATCGAGCAACAATCCGGATATCAAACATATGAAAGAAATTGAACACAATGTATGTGGTCAAGTGAAACCCCCAAACTATCGGGGAAGCGTACACTCCAAATCACATCAAAGATCTCTTTACTCAGAGGTCTTGAAGACGAAGCGGTCCTCGGGCTTGCTGGTGAAGGGGACACCGTTCTCGAGGAGCTTAACGTAGACCTCGGCGAACTCCTTGAAGAAGACATCGCTGTCCTTGGCGTAGCGCTCAACGTGCGTGCGGAAGCCCTTGTCCTTGATGAGGGCAATGTCAGCGGGCAGCATCATCAGAGTGGAGGTGGTCTTGTCAGTGAACTGAGCGGGACCGTTCCACTTGCGCTGGTTCCACTTCTCGTCAACGAGCAGACGGAAGAACTCGTTGGTGAAGACAGTCGGGCTGAAGTTCCAGGGGCCGTCGTAGCCGGAGCGGTCGGTGTGAGCACGGCCCAGAGCGTGGGCACCGATCAGAGCGACCATCTCACGGTCATCGAAGCCCATGCGGCCGAAGACGTCGCGGATGTGGCGGTGGTCCTTGGAGGCATCGGGCAGACGGCCGTCAGGAGTGCAGGCGGCGACATCCTTGTCCCCACGGCCGGGTCTCCAGGGGATGATAGGACCACCCAGCTCCTGGATGGCGGCGGAACCGGCCAGGGTCCAGAGATCGGAGTAGGTGATCCAGGGGAACTTGGCCTTGACGGGCTCGAGGAAGTCGCGGGCGTGCTTCAGACCAGCGTTGGCACCGTGGTCAGACTCAGGAGCGAAACGCATGGTTGCTCCATTCGAACCGCCAGTGCCGGTCTCCTTGTCATAGGTACCGCTGGCGTGCCAGGCAAGACGAACGAGGACCTATCGAAACACCCGTGTTAGTTGCTAATTTGTGTTGTGTTTGTGCCAATTGGTAACATACGGGACCGTAGCTGCCATCGTCATAGTCGGTCTCGTTGGCCATACGGTAGGCAATCTCATCGTAGACCTTTTGGTAGTCCTCCTTGGTGGGAACGAAGGGGCCCTTGGTGGACTCGCCGTTCAGGTAGAAGTAGGCACCAGCACCACCGGCCACGGCAATGGCAAGAGCAAAGATACCGCCAGAGCCACCCTTCTTCTCACCAGCCTCCGAGGCATAGCCACGACGAGCAGAGGCACGGAAACCCTGCGCGGGGAGGGCAAAGCGAGCAGAGCGCGCAGCCGGACGGAACGAGGAGGTCGAGCGCAAGAAGGCGCGGGAGGCGGAGCGAGCAGCGGAAGCCATTGTGATAAGAGGAGGAGGTAAGAACGAGAGGAGGGGATGGTATTCACAGAATGTAAATGAAAGAAAGGAATGGGAGGGAAGGAAGAGTCCAAGAAAAGAAAGAAAAGGAAGAAGCCGGGGGAGGGGCGGAGATAAATGAGCTGCAAAGTGTTGCCCCCTTCCATTCCACTCCCAAACAGCCTCCTACCAATGAACAAGCCAGCGTTTCCGAGTGATTTCGTCCGTATCAAGAGAAACCGCTGGAATCGGGGCCAATCAATTGGTCCACATCTTCACGATAGCCTCGGCGTTTGGCTTTCCTCCGCATTTTCCATACGCTCCCCGCGGCGCAAACTATCCTCCATCCATGGCTCTTTCAGGTTCCCGCTCCGGTAGGTAATGGTCCGGGGCTGTTCTGACTGACCTCGCGAGTCCTTGTCTTGATCACACACACTACTCTCTCGGACTTTCCCTTCATCCTAGCAGAGATAGATGCCTGTGAATTTCATTCCGTACACACACGTCGGGTCCACATCCGTTGCAGTGGGACCACCATTACCAACGAAAAGACTCTGCTTGGCTGGCCACCGAACGAGGCTCCACTGCGACCTGCACGGCCTGCTCCGATAAAGTCGCTTACCTCATCGACCGGTCTGGCTCCAGGGGGCTTGCTAATAAACGCCATCCAGGTCGTCATCTGGAGGACAGGGTCTTCAATTGGAGGTGAGATTTGCCATTTGCTTAACAAGCGGCTTTGGAAGCTGGATTCATGGCTAGACTCGCAGCCTGATGGAGGCAAACCTGAGATAATAGAATCTAACACGTTTGAAAATTGTAAAATTCTGTATGATCGTGATATCTCGCTGGATTATAGGCTTATACCGGGCAAAATATATAGAATGTAACTATGTGTTAAGGTTGCAGGAGCTAGTGCTTATACTCTGTCTTGGCCAGTATTGAGATTGCACGACCACGATTGAATGGAATTGAACCGTTCCTATGAAAAAGCATCAAAAGACTCAAGATTGTCAATTCCCTTGCTATTTTTCTCTAGCAACTAGCATGTCCGTGTTCAACAAGGTCGAGGACTGTTTGATCAAACCAGGTAGGAAAGAACCATCTCAGATAGCTCGAAGGACGCTAGTGTGGTGCACATGGACTCAAGAGGACCGCGCACACCCGGCGAGCTTTGATTAGGCGAAACTTCATCTGATAAATATCTCCATGAATCCGGTCATACAAAGGGGGATTAAATTGGTTTTAATTTCGCTAGGAGCGCCATCTATGAATAAAGATCCGACCTTTTCAGGAGTTGACTTGCCCTCTGCAGGATACCTCCAAGTGCTATACCCGCCTAGGCAGTGAATGTCTTGTCTTCGAATGCTCAGAAACGTTTACAAGGAGAAGATGATGGATTCAACTGCAATTGCATTTATCAAATCTATCTTGGGAATGTTCGTCGTAAAAAAGTCCTGCTGCTCGATGGAGGACGAGCACCAGGGTGGAGTAGACGCAGCCCTGCTAGAAGCTGTTTGGTTTTGTTCTCCCACGAACGAACGATAAAAATCACCCATGAAGCGTCCAGTGCCATCAGGAGGCACCACGCGGGTTATGTGGGGTTCGAAGCAAGCCTGCGCTGTTATGCTGCTTTGCTGTGATACTGCAAGATGATCACCCAAGCTCAGAGGGCCACGATCCTCACATTACAGGACCGCGACACTGCTCTGAGTGGTTGTGGTGGATGAGGTTGAGAAGAGAAGAGAAGAGAAGAGGAAAAGCGAAAAATGAGAAAATCGAGGAAATAGCGCCCGCACAACACGTGACCAGCATCCACCTGCTTGTGCTGGTGTCCTTGACCTCACGTGACCGGTCCCTATTTGGGGGAAAATTTCGGGTTTCCATTTCTTCTTTTTCTTCTTTTTCTCTTTACACTTTTTACCTCGAACGCATAATCAACCTCCAGTTCTCTCCGCCATAGGATGGCAGGTCATATTGGCGTACCAGATGAATCCCTCTGAGTGCTTGTGACTCCTCGACGGCATTGGGTAGTTCTTTTTGGAGCTTCCTGCGTGCGGTGGTGGATGCGAGTCATCGGATGCTCGAACATTTCATTTTAACCTATTTGGTTGAATTTGAAGCTCTGTAATTGTAGATATGATGGCAGTATCTGTCCTAGAGACTGCTTAGAGAAGACGCGGTAGATGATGTATATAGCATCCAAATGGGTGCTGTATTGTCAATTCCTATCTGGCTAGAGGCTTGAGCACAGCTTCTGAAGAGAGTGGAATAATCGGATGGTTCTTCTAGAAACACCCTAGAAAAGGAACCAAAGCTCCTAGCTAGGACCAGCCCCAGACAGCCGTTGGTGGAGCTGGAATTAGCATCCTCAGGGGTGCAAAGAGGCCACGCGTAGCACCAGAGGACTCAAGACTGGCCAAATGTCCAGTCCAGAATAAGTCCTAGCGATCTCCAGATCAAATCAGGCCAGATTCCGGAGGGTCCCATTCTCATCCAGTCAGTACCGGTTGCCCCTCGCAGATTCTCCGGTCCTCGTCGGTCTCGGTCTGGTCGGGACCCTGGCCCTGGTCCCTGGTTCTTCTCCGCCTACCTTTACTAGACTACTTCTCCTCTTTCTCTCCTCACCCCCCTATTACTCCATTATTATTTCCATTCGCTCCGCAATCATTGCATTGTGTCCATTCCTTTTACATCTTTCACCATGCCGAATGGCATTAGCAAGCGCCAGCAGTTGCGCAATGAGAAAACCCTCGCCGAGCTGATCCGCACGGTTCCCGGCAATGACCGTTGTGCCGATTGCGATGCCTTGACCCCAGGTTTGTCCCCCCTTCGACACTTGGCACTGCCTGTTCGTGGAATGTCTGATCTAATTTGCACGTCGGTCCATTATAGGATGGGCAAGCTGGAACGTATGTGTCTCTCCGTTATTTCCGTGTCCTCCTTACACCTAAATATCTCAAGACTGATCGTGTGTTCGAATAGATGGGTATCTTCCTGTGTATGCGGTGCGCCGCAATCCACCGCAAGCTGGGAACACATATTTCCAAGGTCAAGTCCTTGTCAATGGACACTTGGTCTTCGGAACAGGTCGATGTGAGTGGAATCCGGTTTTTGAAGTGAGCGTCTGGAGCTAACAGGTCTGGCGCGGTGATGAAGAATATGAAATCGCACGGCAATCTCCTCATGAACAAGATTTATAACCCCAAAAATATCAAACCGCCTGTCCCCACCGATGTCGACGAGGCCGATTCGTGCATGGAACGGTTTATCCGGCAGAAATATCAGTACCGATCATTGGAGGACGGGAAGCCGAAGCCCCCGAGTCGCGAGGATGCTAGTTACACCCGAAGTCATGACCGGAGGGAGGAAAGAAGGGAACGGCAGAGGAGCTATGATGACTCTCATCGTGATGATTACTCTCCCGAAGGCTCCCCGCCACCGCTGCCTCCCAAGTCGGGCAAGTTCTTTGGGTTTGGTCTTCGATCGGCTTCCTCGACCTCGAACCTGCGCCGATTCGGAACCAAGTCCAAGTCGTCGAACTCGCCCACTTCTGATCAGGGATCTTGGTCCCCGCCGCCTCGCCGGACGACCGGACTTGGTGCACCGGTTGCCGATGTGACGACTGCGTCGTTCGAAGCTAAAATGGCCGCTTTGCGGGATATGGGCTTCACCAATGACCGACGAAACGAGATGGTCCTTCGCGGACTGAATGAGAATCTGGAAAAGTCAATTGAGACGTTGGTACGATTGGGCGAAGGGAGCAACCCGGTGTCAAGGGCCAAAACTCCCGTCCCGACGAGCAACACCAGCACTGCTGCTCCTACCGCGCCAAAGCCGGCGGTATCACCCAATCCATTCGACATGCCCGTCGCCACGACCGGCAATCAGGTATCGCAGCAGCCGCAGTCTATGTCTTATAACCCATTCGACCGACCAGCTCAGCCACAGACCCAACAATCGGCACAGCCTTTGGAAATGTCGTTCCAAAACCTCCAGGTCTCCCAGCCGCTCTTCCCGCACTCGACCGGTGGATATCCCGCGCAAACCGGCTTGATGCCACAGGCAACGTATCAGCAGCCAATCACTCCGCCAGCCACATCTACCTTTTCTCAGAACGGCTATGTCTCGTCACCCCAGGCGATGGATAGCAACTACAACCCTTTCTTCCAACCCTCAGCTCAACCGCAGGGCGGCATGGGTGCCCAATCCTTCCCCAACCCCAGCGCGCCACAGAGCAATCCTTTCTTTAGCACGACGCCTCAAACGCAAAATCCTTACTTCCAACAACAAGCGCAGCAAAATGGTGCATCAATTCCGTCAACGAGCCTCCCTCGACAACCCCAGCATGCAAACACTATGCCGGCAATTTCTTCAACTTCACCCTTTGGCACCTCTCCTTTCGGTACATCTCCCTTCGGCCAGGCACCTTTTTTCCAAACACAGCCGCAACAGCAACAGAAACAGCAGCAGCAGCAGCTACAGCAACCTCAGCAACTCCAGCCACAGGCCCCGGCTACTCCCCAGGGATCTTATAATCCTTTCCAGCAGTCCATGGGACCACAGAGTGCAGGAGGTTATCACAACCAGCTACAGCCCCAGCTACAGCCTCAGCAACCACAGCAGCTGATGCCCCAGCATACAGCCCGCATGGACAAGGGCAGCATCCTCTCATTATACAACCTCAACCAGGCCCCCTCCACCATAACTTCCATCCCCGAACAATCCCAATACCAGTTCCAGCCCGGCGCAGGAACCAGCCCCGTTCCCCCTCTCACAAACTCTCTCAACTCCACGCCCATAACCCAACCAGGCTCCACCATCCAGACCCCGCAACCCACCGTGAACGGCCCCGCCATGGGATCCCGCAATCCCTTCGGCGCTGCAACTGTCGGCTCAGGCCTGGCAGCTCAAGCAGGTGTCTCGGCCTTCCCTCCTTCCTCAGGTCTGGGCATTGGAATGGGTCTCAACGGGACTGCAGCTCCCATCGCACCAAACGGCATGAAAACCTCGCCCTTTTCCGGTCCACCACCGGTCACCACGGCCTTTCCGAGAACTCACATGAGCCAGCCGAGCGTCGATATCAACGGTCTGCAGAGCGGGCGCCACAGCCCCGATGCATTCGCCAGTCTGAGCGCACGCTACGGTTAACACTTGTCTTTCTTGCTGTGCTGGCTTTACCTGATGAGAACGAGCAATGAGCAACGAGAATCTGGACTTGGAATGTGCTGTTCCTGGTGTCTTTCCTGCTCTTACTCAACTTTTGGGTGGTTGTAATTGTGTTCTTTTTTTTCAAAAGCCGATATGGATGCAAAGCTGGATGTTGATAATGGATTCATTTCCCCCCTAATGAACATGGATATAGATGGATCCGATGAGATGTGTGTATATGTGCATTTTGCAGTGGGGTTGCGGCATCTTGAGCTTTATCTGAGCTGACTCGCGGCTTGGAATTTGTCTCTATTGACCGTGTCTTTCTTTCGTTTTTTTCCCTTGTCGTTGATTTTTCTATATAAGATTGGTTTCTTTTGTCGTTTGTCTTCCGGAGGATTAGCGGATCAATCGTACATATTTGCTTCTTTTCGGTCTGAAGCCTAGATAACGTTGAAGTCAGTCGTCAGCGATTTCGATTGAATGAAATCGAGGTGTTTAGAGAAATACCAGGGCCGAGGAAGAAAATAAGCAGGCAATCGGATGCTTCTTGATGAAAATTGAGGTATTAGTACACAGCACTCTATACATTTTCTATTACCACCTCTCTCTATGCACAAAATAGGTACGAGATATTAAGTAGAAAAGATCCCAAGCATCAACACCACCCTCGCCAAACAGAAGCGGACAAGTCGAAGCAAAATATTCAAGTCCACATTTCACGGTCATCGTAGCTGCCACGATTCGACGAACCACCCATCCACTCAGGCAACGAGAAAGGAACCCAGTCCCAAATACTCGGCGAAGGAGCCCAGAACCTCTCCCACAGCGAGCGGGACCGTCTACTCCACGGCCAGACAGTCGCGGGCCGAGGGGCAAAGACGGATTGAAGCGATTCTCGCCAGGCACGAGGAGAGAGTGATTCCCGCCACGAACGGCGAGGCGAGAAGTATGACTGCACTGAGCGGCGCCACGAGGTCAACTGCGACAACCGAGATCGCGAGGACCAAGGGAAGGGGTAGGAGAAGGAGAATGAAGATCGAGATGGAATCAATGATTTCCAGCCCTGCTTTTGCTGGCGGAGCGCGTTTTTCTGGAATACCTCGACGATCCGCTCAAACTGTCTGTCTAGGGTTTCTTCCGCGTGTTGCTGTTTTTCGGCGCGCCAGGCGTCTTGTTCGGTGGGATCGAGACACCAGACGACGACGTCGCCGCGTCGTCGCCAGTCATCGTGCCATGCGGTGTTGTGGGTGCGCCAGCACTCGTCATAGGAGGATGCACGGAGGAGGGTGTGCATTGTGGGCTCTAGTTGCTCGAAGAATATTAGGTAGTCGGGCCACTCGTGTGTCCATGTATGCTTGCCGGTGTCGGTGGCAGATCGCAAGCCGGAGCCGTAGCTTGGTCGGAAGGGGAGGTAGCGGAGGCCGCCTTTCATGTTGTCGCGGAGGAACTGAGCTGGATCGTCGTAGAATTGATCCGCTTCATCACGGTAGACGGCCTTTTCGGCCGCCGTTTGATCGACTGGGGGTTCGCAGGAGAGTGCCCATGCGTCGATCGTCGGGTATACAAGATGCGAACGCCACGGGGTGCTGTGGCAGGGCATTAGGAATCCAGCTGTGATTCCTGACTGCGACTGCCAGTCTAAAGAAGACCCGGCAGATGAACCGTGAACTTCATGTTGGTGACGCAGGTAATCGAGGACATTCACCACTCCAGATGCGTGGTAAACAGTGGTGAATATACCAATCACGAGGTTTGCCACCACAAGGAAGAGGAGGGTCAGCCTTTGTGGGGTATAGACAGATGACCGCGAGGATAACGCTGGATAGAAGAATTGCACAAGCGGTGGCGCAGCGAGAATATGCAGCGATGGTAGCAGTGGGTAAATGAAGCGCACTTCTTTATGCGAAATCAGAGACAGCACAAACGGCATGAGTAGACATACCACCGCCAGCTGCACTCGAATCTCTGTCTGCAATCTATCGGCGACAGTCGAGGTTCGAGTCCTCAAGGTGCGGTAGAGGCCGACAAGGGCAGGTAATAGCAAGGTGGTAAGCAGGAGCGGATAACCCTGCGAAGCGTAGTAGTGCCAATCATTTCGACCGTAGAATACTGCCAGTGATTGCGCAATATTAAAGTATAGGAAGCGGAGTGGAGGAAACGTCCAGAATCCGTAGAATAGACGATCGGCGACGGCTGACACAGCGAGGACTGCTAGTCTATGGACCCTTGTATATTAGCTGATTGTATAAGGCCAGGAAAGACAATGACCAGACTGACCCGCAGAGGAGGACCTCCCGAATGAGCACCTTGCGCTGGCTCCAGCCGGTCCGAAGCCAAGCGACGGTCGCTAACGTCGCCCAGATCAAGATGTTGGTCGGGCGGAGAATACAGGCAAGAGCTGCTAAGCACAAGCACAGTCGAAGACTATGCGCGATGCGCGTCAGCGGCTGCATCAGTTGCGTTTGGGGAGTCCAGCATACCTCGATAAGGACAGTCTTTTTGAATTCTTCTCGCTGCCAGCATTGTTCCGATGCTGAATGCTGGTCGAGGTGCCTGCTGACCATTGCCATGGCCACAGGTCCAATGCGACAACCGTGATCGTGGTTTCAACGCAATTTGACAGCGTCCTTGTTGAGCAGAACCATTGCCAAGGGCTGAGAACCGTGGCGAACAACTGTACTTTATCAGCCCATGTGTTCCACGCGCGCAAATGTCTCGCCTAGCTATATTATGACTTCGCCGCCACGTACCGTTGTCCACGCGCCACGAGAATCCGTCCCGTAGACGCGAGTAGCTAGCTTCCAGGTATAAAAGTCACCGAGCGCGGCGATCACGGCCTGCGCGGTCTTCGGTCCGGCGATCAGGAGGTTGGCGCGCGTCGCCGCCGAGAGGTGGAGGGCTGTCGCAAGAAAATGGACAGCTTTGTAGATGGCGGCGAAAAATAGAGGGTGTAAGGAGGATCGGAGTTGGTGGTGCCATTCCTGTTGTGGACGATGAACGCGATTAGCCTACCATCCCAAGTTAGCCGTTCGCGACAGCGATGAACGTACCCAGGTCACCCAGGCACCCTGTCCCTTGCCAAATGCAATCTGCCATGCGGGTTCCAACGACTGAAAGAATTCATCGGGCTGGAAGAAGGTGCGGACGACGAGCGCATTGACAAGTCGGAATGCGACCAGGCCGAGGAAGATGTTGGTGGCCGGGGAGGTGGGCGGTTGCGACGCGACACGACGCGGGGAAGCGGCCATGGAGGACGACATGGGGGGAGGGTTGGTCAACAGGTCGAGGCGAATGAGAGCAGCAGTGAAACCAATCAGACAGCTAATTTGCGCTGCTATCACTGGCCTGAGCTTCGATCGCCCTGAGGTGGATGCCGCGGGGCGTGGAGTATGATGACATCAACCAGAAGCAGCAGCAGCAGCAGAGTCGACTCGAAGGAACGAGCTTCCCGAACGAGACGAGCAGCGACCAAGCGACCGGCGAATAGAACAAGGCCTGTCAGCTAACCCGTCAGCCGGGCCGGTGAATGCAGAGTCGCGATTGGAGACGTGGGAAGGAAAAACCAGCACCAACTCGTGTAATCCTGCGCATAGGGGACAGTGGATGTCAAGAGAAATGGAGGCTCGCGACGACCTGCACTTAGGAGAAAGCGCGGGCACTTAGCGGCATAGCGGCGGATCTATACGCCACGCCCGCTTCCACGGGTCTCTCTCTCCTACATAATCGTCGTTTTTCCTGTTGAACCGGACGGATTCTTTTTTCTTTTCTTCATTCTTCTCGCTCTCAAGAGACCTTTAGACTCTTTGGTTAATTCCCGCTGTGGCCCTAGTTCCCTTGTCCGGACACTTCTGCTCTCTACCCCAGCTTTATCTTCTCTCCAAGTTCCCCCGCAATCCATCATGGCCACCAACGGGACCAACAGGACCAACGGTTCTCTTTCCCACTACCACGCTGCCTCGACCGAGGAGGCCATTCAGGCCGAGCACAACTATGCCGCTCACAACTACCACCCTTTGCCCGTGGTGTTTGCGCGCGCCCAGGGTACCTCCGTCTGGGATCCCGAGGGACGTCACTATCTCGACTTCCTCTCCGCGTACTCGGCTGTGAACCAGGGTCACTGCCACCCCAAGCTGGTGGCTGCTCTGGTGGACCAGGCTTCGCGGTTGACTCTGAGCTCCCGCGCTTTCTACAATGACGTCTTCCCCCGCTTCGCCGAGTTCGTCACCCGCTACTTTGGCTTCGACATGGTCATGCCCATGAACACGGGTGCCGAGGCGGTCGAGACGGGTATCAAGATCGCTCGCAAGTGGGGATACAAGGTCAAGGGTATCCCTGAGAACAAGGCGGTGGTCTTGAGTGCTGAGAATAACTTCCACGGCCGTACTGTAAGTCAAGCTCCCGTATTGCGTTCCCTTGGCGGGCTCTACATCCCTGCCCCCAACTGAAGCTGGTGGCTGATCAGGGGCGGGCCCCTTGCATTAGTTCGCCGCCATCTCGCTGTCCTCTGACCCGGAGTCCCGCGAGAACTACGGGCCCTATCTCCCCGGTATCGGGTGCACTATCCCCGGCACCGAGAAGCCCATCACCTACAATGACAAGGCTGCTCTGCGCGCGGCCTTTGAAGCGGCCGGCCCTAACCTGGCCGCCTTCCTGGTCGAGCCCATTCAGGGTGAGGCCGGTATCGTCGTGCCCGACGAGGATTACCTGCAGGAGGCTCGCGCCCTGTGTGACAAGCACAATGTGCTCCTAATCTGTGACGAGATCCAGACGGGTATCGCCCGCACGGGTAAGCTGCTGTGTCACGAGTGGAGCGGAATCAAGCCCGACCTGGTCCTGCTGGGCAAGGCCATCTCCGGTGGCATGTACCCCGTCTCGTGTGTGCTGGGCCGTAAGGACGTCATGCTCACGATTGAGCCCGGCACCCATGGTTCCACCTACGGTGGTAACCCATTGGGCTGTGCCGTCGCGATCCGTGCTTTGGAGGTCGTGCAGGAGGAGCAGATGGTCGAGCGTGCTGAGAAGCTCGGCCACATCTTCCGGAAGGGCTTGGAGGATCTGAAGAGCCCTCTGATCGAGACGGTTCGCGGCAAGGGTCTGTTGAATGCTATTGTCATTGATGAGTCCAAGACCAACGGACACTCTGCCTGGGATCTGTGCATGTTGATGAAGTCGAAGGGTTTGCTGGTAAGTATTCTGAATTGTCTTCGTTTCAAGCTTCGCTGTGGAGACAAGCTAACTAAGAATCTCTGATAGGCCAAGCCTACTCACCAGAACATCATCCGCCTGGCCCCACCATTGGTTATCACCGAGGAGGAGATCCAGCAGGCTCTGAGCATCATTGACGAGGCCGTGAAGGAGCTTCCCACTCTGAAGGGCAAGGCCGAGGACCTGGTGATCCCTTCGGCGGAGAAGCACGTCAAGATTGGCATCGAGAACTAGATCCACTGGGGAATAACGTCTTGGACTAAATGTCCAACGGTCCGCTGAAAAGGGCTTCGACCCACGATCTCCCGGGGACAGCGTATGCTATGTTGTCCTCCCCCTAGGGCTAGAATTCGCTGCGCAAGGGTATCCCACAACCGAGACACCACGAAGTCCGGTCGACTGGATGATATATGCATTTCTGGAAGGCATTGGAGCCCACGACTTGACGATGGAACGGATCAACGCAGAGAATTGGCAGCTTGCTTACAGATTGAATTGTACATCGTAGCTGCCGCTTACGCCTATATAGACCATGAAAATGATTTTGCTACATTTGGCGATGATAATTTTACAACGAGAATATAGGAACCTGTGAAATCAACGCCGAAAATGACAGCCTCTGGAGCTAGAGACGGCCGCCTTTCCACCCATAACTTTAGACAGCGAGTCGCCGCTTGACCGCCCGCTGCCCACCACCCTCTATTCTGCACCTAGCTAGGACTATTACTAGTTGGACCCGCTAGGAATGTTGGTCATCCTCTTGTCCTATTAACTAGTTAACTAACTAGTAGCGACTAAAACGACGCTGAAAATAGCTCTCCTCTATATCTAAACCTAAGGGCCCCTCCTTTTCGCCTAGCCTAGTTAAGCGCGGCTGTGTGTTGCAGCGTACGGGCTATATGACACCACAACATATGACGCTTATCGCTCGTGTCCTGAACCCTGGGTCCCTCAGCCGACACTGCGTCAACAAGCATATCAAGCCGTTCCAAAATGACATGTATTGTGAGTACAACGTTTGCGGGGGAAAGCTGATGTCAAAATCAGGACTACTGAACCATGCGCAAAGGGTGCATGGAACTGTCTCCTGCTTACCTTTACCAGTTCTTGGCCTACCCCTCCCATAAATATTGGACGTTTCTTGCTTCTCTCTTTAACTATGTCTTTCAAGTGAGTAAGGCTTTTTCTATTTAAATAGGTCGCCTATATTGAAGTACACTTCAACGTTTTGCCCAAGTCCCTTGGTTCTCAGTATACTTGGATACTAGGTGTTACTGGAGTCGAATGGGGGTTTTTTTCCAACAAGGAACCACCATCGCCGAAGTCATCTCTCTGCCACTCTAAGAATGTCAAAGTTGTAATATAACTCGCTGATGATCTAGTGATAAGAAATCACAAACCGGTAATAGGCTTTCCTACCAGTCGCCAGAAATGAGCTAGATATGGGCATACAGTGTCTGCCTCGCCATGGCAGCGCAAACAAGGCTATAGCCCTAGTCTCACAAGATCACGGCTTGACGTCCAATCGTGCAATGAACTTGGGATATTGCAATCGTACGAAGTCCAACTATTTCCAGGGCCTGAGTCCATCACTCTTGGTTCTCAGGCATATAAAGGGCCTCATTCCCCCAGGTGGTTGCACGGAACTAACAGGGTATCGCGGGACTTATACCGTAATGATCTCCACCTAGCCAAGCTTAGCAGAGCTCGGGGAAATAAACAGATTACACAGCGTAGACACGTACTAGCCCTTTGCGAACCGAGAATGTTCCCGTTAATCTTCCTTCGCTCACCCTATGCACCTCGACGCCATTCGGCTTTTTAATCTGGCTACAACTGGAATGATTCGCTTAGCCAGGAACGGGATTCACAGATTACTCGACTTGATCTCTACTCACTATATTAGTACAGAATTTGAATTCTAGTCAACTTTTCGAACATGTTATAGTATTAGAGAGAAAGAACCTGGCACTACTGAAGCTTGGTCACATCGATATTCTGCACGACTTCCTCGTAAAAAATAATTGCGAGACGGCTATCATCGTCAGTAGACTTGCAAGAGAGGCATTTGACCACGGCATCACGATAGGCAGGACCCATGTGATGTGGCAGTCGCCGTCTCGCTATCTCGATGTAGAGATTTTGCATCGCATGCGGGTTCATCATGACACCTTCCTTGAGTTTCTTGGTCGCATTCTGGTGGATACTCATCGCAGTTTGCCAGAGTCCAATTTCCAGCAGGACCACTCCCAGACTGTAAATATCATGCATCTTCCGGAAACTGACAGTGGGCGCACCCTGCCGGTCTGGATGTCGATAGAGATTTCTTTCCAAGTTGTTGTCGAACGTGTATTGTGTCTCCGCCGTCTGAGGTCGTGCGAATTCAAAGTCTACGAGAAAGGGATCTGCGTAGAGCCGAGATGATTGGGCAGCTTTGTCTTGGAAAAAGATGATCGACTGGCTCCGGATCGACTTGTGGACCCACCCGTCGACATGAAATGCGGAAATTGCCCTGGTCACGTCTTGCGCTACGCGAAACCGTTGAGGCAACGTCAGTCGAGAAGCTGATCCCGCAGTGGAATCCATCAGTGCATGTAACGAGATAGGTTCCACGTCGGCGGCCTTAGAAGGGAAATTAAAAATGAAGGCGTAGCGGCTTTGTTGCGGTAGATCAATGATGCCACGGAAGCTCAAAGTACGCAGATTGTCCTTTCCCGCAGACGAGAGAAGGCTGGCGAGCTGTTGGACGCGATCCACTGTTACCGTGTCTGGACGTGCGTCCGCATTATCTTCTCCATATTTCTTAAATTCAACCAATACCCTGTCCGCCTCTTTCTCCAACGAAGATGAAGGCTTGGAGAGACTTGCCATAGTCAGACACTCCCGATCCAAAAGGGCGTCCAGCGTGGCATTCTGTAGAAAGAAGTTCGTCTGGTGAACAGCAGGCTCGATAGTCAGCTTGCGCAGACGTGCGTGCGGTGCCATACCCAGACGGTTGGAATGCTCGTTGGAGATAAGACTTTCTAAGACTGCCGAGCTATCGTAGCGAGGGTGAAGGGCCAACATCAAAGGAACAAGTTCTTTTATCTTTGACGTCCACTTTTTGAACTCCTGGAGAAACCGTTCAAATTTGCGCCTCTCAAACAGTGCCCATTTCCATGACTCCCAGTTCGCTGTCGATCGTGACCCCATGAACCATTCAAAGATGAATTTCTTCCGTCCACTTGGGCGGAAGTTCAACGCCCCGGTGTTGGGGATATCATCCGAGTGGATCTCGAGTGGAAATTCTATAAGTTTGGACGTTGCGGTAGAATTGTGGAGGTAAGGGGAATACATTTGGTAGTCGTGGTCCTGCGCCATGGCAAGCTTTGCATAATCTCCGCACTGTAGCCGCAGTCTCTCAAGAATCGAGTAAACCTCTTGTAGCCATTGCTAATGGCATGAATCATCCGTTAGTGATATTGCTTGCCTCTCTCTCCCGTCCTGCCTCTTTCTCGGTTCTCATCTGCTGATAAGGCGGTTGTCACTCACAGAATTCAAAGGGCCTTCTTTCATTATCCCATCGTTAGTGATAATCAGATGCCCAAAACTTTGCAAATACAAGAGCTCGAGATGGAACTCATGTTCACGCTCCTGTCGCTCAGTCTTGCTATTTCGCACTGAGGTGATAACGCGATGAATGAATTTCGAGATCAGATAGAGCTCTTTGAAGGTGGTCACCACCGCGAGCCCTAGCCCAACTCCTTCCATCACGACTGCCTGGAAACTTGTGTTTGAGGGTGAGAACTCCCCAGAATTATCCGACCAGGCCTTTGAGCGACCACGGGGCAGAAATACACGGAGCGTGGGAAAGATTGATTGGATTGTCGCCCGGAATCGTAGTTTGCAGCGCTTTGACCTTGTCAGCGCAGAGAGGGGTAGGATACTCGATGCCCTTGTGAAGTACATGAGGCTGATTGCCATGCTTACTCGCTAGCACAAATGCCATCGGCCGTATCCTAAACTTTTTTCCCTTCCTTGAGTAGAGCTAGCAATAGTCCATGAACTCCAGTTCACAGTGGATATGTGTCCGCAGATCAGTGCCAGATGAATCCTGATCCAGCATTGAAGGGGCCATCTTCGCCGGCCGGCATTCGCAGCCCCGGGCAGGCACAGGCCATTTCTAGCCTCAGTCGTCTATTCAGCCACTCCAGTGTCTTTGAGAGTCTGGGGCGAGGAAGTCGCCAAGGTGGAAGGTTCAGCGTGATTGAGGAATTTGCAGCCTTTTCGGACCCTATCATCGTCCTCAGTAACTTGATGGTGACACTGAAAGATAGTAATATCCCTGGTCCCCAGCTCATACGGCTGCAGACAGAATTCAATGTTGAGCTGGGATGTGGTGCTCAATCAGAAGTGTTTGGATTCGATGAATCCGTCCTTGAGGAGTATGGCCTCACGCCCCAGGATCTTCCCGACTCGATGAGGAAGAGTATCACCGAAGTTGCCATCAAGCGCTTCCGAGTCCATGGAGCAAAGCGACGGCAGCCGGGACCCGGCACATCGATAAGCTCGGAGGAGTTTGTGTTTCTCTGCAAAGCCGCGCATCAAGAGATCGACGTCCTTTGCAAAAGCGCCTTTCGCAAGCACCCGAATATTGTCCGCCTAATCTCATGGGGCCTGTGTCTGGATACAATGGAGGAGAATGATGAAGAAACACCTCGGATCCCCTTGCTCATCCTTGAGAAGTCTCGATGCTCGCTCACGCAGCTGTTGGCAAGTACGACAACATATAAGGCGGATCTCGGCTTCCAAGATATATGTGGACTCCTGCTTGATACGGGACACGGGTTGGAGGCCATCCACCAAGAAGGGATTGCGCATGGGGACTTGAAACCTGATAACATTCTGATTTTCGAGTCAGACGGTCGCTGGTGTGCCAAACTATGTGATTTTGGCTTATCCGCCACAGAAAACACTGGACACACGTCGTCAAGCGTTGAATATCGAGGAACGCCCGGATGGCGCCCACCGGAATATTATCGCCAGGGCTTAAGATCCCTCTGTTTTCAAGACCATCAGCGTTGTGATATTTTCGTTTTTGGCTTGGTAGTTTGGAGCACGTTCCAGTATGGTGGACGCCATCCGCTTCCACGCGAGGGTGAACCAAGCTGGAATGTTTCAATATTTGCCGCGCAGCAGCTGGCAAAGCAGGCGCTCATTCCGGCTAGTGAGAAGAGCCGAATCATTCTGACCGTGCAGGGAGCCCTCATAGATGATCCAGAAGCTCGTCAACGGCATCCCTGGAAATACCTGGATGATGAAACCTACAGGCATGTGGGAAGACGGGTCAAATTCTGGAGGGACTCAACCATAAGCACCCGTCCTTTCCGATATGCAATTCGCAGGACGTTCGGTAGGGCGGTAGAGTTGCACGATGAAGGGCTTGAGGGGCCCGATGAAATGTTTCTGGCAGCTCCAGAAGATGAAGCGCCATCGTGGAGCATCTGCTGTCTCCCTTGCGTGGGCCCACGACGCTCCGCCCGTCCCTCTTCTTCAAGGCTGCCACCTATAGCGTTTCCCGAGCGGAACTCTCTGTACCTCAAAGAGTTTGAGGAATTTTTTCGGCCACTGGATGTTGAAAGACGTCCGTACGCACTGATCACTATCCGTCACGGGTATCGACCCTGCATCAACATCAAGCATCTGCAGAAACTGTACGATGGTTTGCTGGAATCCATCAGTTCAGGAGATGAGCTTCGAGTGTATGCCTTAGCACGAGTGCGAAGCCGCATTCCAGCATGCTGCTGGAAGCGACTGAAGAGCGGCCGTCCGGCCCATGTCATCGAGCGGTACATCAAAGACACCCACGACTTTTCTACCCTAGCGTGGTTGTGTCATGGAGAAATCGGGGCCAGTGAACTTCGTCTGGAGGAGCACATGAAAGCGGTCTTTGGATGCATTTTGCAGCGACCCCGAAACTTCAGCTATTTCACCATTCGGCGTGAGCAGCAACTAGGTGTGCAGGGGCGTTCACAACACTTCATGCTGTTGCTTGAGCATGGCGCCCGGATTGAAGCCGTTATCAACCCCGAGGGTGAAAGTGTCTTTCTGCAGTTTCTTCGTTTATCGAATGAGTTTTCTCGCAACGGCTACGGAGATCTTTCCATCCCAGATATCTGTGTCAGCTTCAAGCGCATAGCGCGCAAGACATTCATTGCGCCTAACACACGATTCTATATGACGGGAGAGTTGCCGGAGCTGGAAGAGAATACAAAAGGATGTTCAAACACTGCACTCCACGACAGTGTTGTTGCTGAGAACTATATGGCAGTGGAAGCCTTGGTTCGCTCAGGATTCTTCGTCGATGCTCGAAACAAGGATAATAAGACCGCCTTATATCTTGCTCTCAATCGGCGCGAGGAGCAACAGCGATCTGCTGAAAAGCAAAAGCAAAAGCACAAGCACAAGGCCCCTTTGGTGGACTCTACGACCCTCTACCGTATCATTGCGCTACTCAGGCAAAATACCACGCAAGCCTTAGATATCGACAGCACATCCTGGACAAGGACAGAGATACCCCTGGGATGGGAACGAAAGACCATCAGTTCTGCCAGCAATGATCAGGATGACTCGACCAAGGAGGTTTTCTACGATATTTTATCAAGGTCGCTAACATTCAGTAAACCTACATTCTCCCTTTATGAGGATCGTCGCCTCGCACTCGGGGCCCGGCGATTTTCTGCCAGTGGACAAACTTATTACTTGGACCTCTTCCGATTTATCTGCCCGTCTTCGTCCAGCTATGATGCCGATATTCAAACGTCTCCCGAAATGGAGATCTATGATGATCGATGGTTCGCCAACGAGCTGCACACTCCCGCTGTTAGTCGGCACGGTCAGGAGGCCTGCGAGCAGCCTTTGACTTTAGAAGCCGTGAGAGCTCGTCGGCAAAAGATCTCTGGCCGTAGAGCTCTCTCGGCTATTTTCTCCAAGGTGTATGCCTGGCGTGTCAACGGGTTTTAGGTGAGGAGTGACTGATAGTCGGCATAACTAAGGGCATTTTGTGTTGATACAAACGCTTCCAATGTCTTTACTTATAATGTGTATATTCTGTATGGGAACGCTCTACTCTCTGTTGATCTGCTGATTTGATTGACGGTTGGTCCTCAGGCTGTTGGCAGTGTTATATTCGTTGGTTCTTTTTGATCACGTTCTTTTCTGCTGAGCTTAATAGCTCTATTATAAAGGTAATTGCTACATTTACAGCAGCTTTGGCTAACTATTAACGTAATCCACGGACGAGCGGGCCACTACACCCATAACTGGTCAAATTGAGACCTTCCAATTAAACCCATTAATTGATTCAAAAGTAGCTGTTCTTACATTGATTGATCCTGTGCCCAACCTCTCCGCAACCACTACACCTTGGCGGCGCCCGCCCAGTCGGCTGAACTAGTTGAATATACTGGTCTGCGTGACGTGGCAACGGGGGTTGATCGTGTTCAACCGGCTGATTTAGCTACTGAACTAGCTGCAAGCTCTCTGTAACCAATAGGTCCCCTTCATGTGGTATTTGCCGATTCGATCGTGTGAGTTTCTGGCGTTTCTTCTCGTTTGCAGCGCATTAGCGTTTTCTTGCACTAGTAGCGCCGCGTTATGCATCGAGAGATAGCAGCCTTTGATAATCTGATCTAGCGCGATTTTTGACAAACCTGGAGGGCTATTTGACCGTTGCTTTAGTAGTTCCTTAAGCGACGAAGATTGCTTTTGTAGTTGTACGACGATCTTTGGCGTTTTGGGCCGAATCAGCTTGATCTGCTGCTTAGTCGACTACTTGGTGGTGTAGGCGTTCGGAGTGAGATATTAAGCTTTCAAAGCACTCGTTCTGGGTCAACCGGAACAGGACCTGTAGTAGCGAAGTTATTTGGAATAGTCAGTGGTTGAAAGGCCTCTATACGCGCCCGAGGGTAATCTGCGAGGATATCGAGAATGTATATCGATATAATTGTATCTAACCCAGCTAAGATCGCTAATTAAGCGACCGTACACGCGTTTAAGTACAAGAAAATACCAAACGTTAAGCGGCTGTAAAAGATATAACTAGTAAATATGATAGGTATAATAGGGGTTATCCAAGAAGCACGGAGAGAGATGCTATACTTAGAAAGCATAGTAGTGTATTAGGGCGCTAACCCAGAAGCGGCAAACTAACCACATTAAGTAAATCATAGGTCCCAATATTACACCGTACACAGAACTATACATGTTCATACATGTCTCTGCATAGTGCATACAAGACGAGAACTCCTCCACTGTATTTCCCTTCATTGTCCGAACGAATATCCCATTCTGGGCCTTAGCTCCGCTCCGAGCAGAGCGGAGATAGCCTCCGCCGAGGGTCTCCACCATCCAGACCCGAGGTATATACAGTATCTACAGTATAAGCTGTAGTATAACAAGGTCAGTGATTCGCTGGGTATCAAAAAGGAGTCATCTGGACGCCACCGATAAGGGCCCCACCTCAAGTTAGTGGGGGAGGGGGAATTCGGGGAATAACATAAGGATCTTACTCCTGTCATTTATTACTGTTAGTAGTTTAGTACAGGGAGGAGGCCCAGGATGACCAATCCAGTGACCGGCGGAGTCGGAAGTTATGAATGCCGATGCCGATGCTCCGTTGGGACGGCAGGATCAGCTCGATTGGTTGGAGACCACCAGGATGCACCGCTAAGCGAACGCGAGATCGAGCGTATTCGCTGCGAGGAGACTGCTTGTGCTTGGGGATCCATGGATGATACTGGTGATCGGAGTTCCGGTTGTTATATTCTGGGTTTCCCGATGCTGAGCTACAGTAGAAACTGGAAGCTCGAAGCTCGAAGCTCGAAGCTTGACTGATAGTACATAGTAGCCGAGAACTCTGGTACTGTAATAATGGCGGCTGCTAGCCCGAATTCCCCGACCTCTCCGCCAGCAGAATTGCGGGAACGGGCAATTCTGTCACAATTTTTGTGCATGGGGATGGATCCGCCCAGTGGAGGAGGAGAAACGGAGCAACCGCATTTCTGTGAATGCAATGCAACGGAGGGTCCAGAAATTGTTTCCTCGTATCAACAAAAGATCAGATCCCAGTTTGACCTTTTTAATATTGTTTCATGACTCACCTTTTCCATCCAACACTACTGCAAGATTTATACATTCTCCGTCCTTCTTGATAGACTCAAGCATTTCAAATTTCCGTTTTCATCGGTACGGTCCCGCTCAATCGCCCCACATTCGCATGGTTGATGGCTTAAGCCCATTAATTCCATTGGATTCATAATTACAACCAAAAGTCCGGTTTTTTTTGCTTCCTCTCCTTTCGCTTCTCTTCTTCTGGCCAGCTCGGTTGTTCTTTTTTTGTTCTTCTTCCCATCTAACCGCTCTGCGCTTCAGTCGCCATGTCTGCGCCGCCCGATCCTCTGCCGCAGGCAGTTGTAGTGGGCGACGACAAGCTCCAGGCGGCCGATAGTTCTAGATCGGCGTCTGGGGATGAAGCCAAGGCCCCGGATGTCATTCTGCAGCCCCCCACGCCCAAGAAGAAATGGTACCAGCGACTGAATCCCTTGCGCTGGCAGGAGCCGCCGCCAGTGCCGGAGGAGCGGACGCCGTCGAGGGAGACGGGGGCTGGCTTCTTCAGTGTGGTCACGTTTCAGTGGATGTCGCCGTTGATGAGGGTATGTTTTGAATTTCTCTGTATATAGCCGAGGTTGATCGGCAAAAACAATCGTGAATACACATACTAACGAGATATACTCTGCAGGTCGGATATTTGCGACCACTCGAGTTGCAGGATATTTGGACGGTGAATCCCAGCCGCACGGTCGACGTATTATCAGACCGGCTGGACGCTGCATTGGAAAGTCGGATTGCGGGCGGATCGAACCGCCCTCTTGTCTGGGCTTTGTACGACACCTTTCGCTTCGAATTTCTTCTTGGTGCGGTCTGCCAGTTTTTTAGTGCCCTGCTGCTGGTGTTTGCGCCATACTTGACCCGGTATTTGATCGCATATGCGGGGGAGGCCTATGTGGCTCAGCACACCGGTCAGCCGGAGCCGTATATCGGGCGTGGCATGGGCTTTGTTGTCGGTATCGCCTGCATGCAGGCTTTCCAGAGCTTATGTACGAATCAGTTCCTCTATCGCGGCCAGATGGTCGGTGGGCAGATCCGTGCTGTGTTGATTTCTCAGGTCTTTAATAAGGCTATGAAGCTGTCTGGTCGTGCCAAGGCGGGTGGACAGGCCACAGCGGAGGAAGTAAAAGCGTTGGAGGCTACCAAGGAAGTATTGATGAAACAAGATGGCAAGGGGAAGAGCCAGGATCCCAAGGCTGCAGCTGCGGCGTCGTCTCCCGGTGGTGTTGCGGGTGATGGTCGCGGATGGAACAACGGCCGGATCATTGCACTGATGAGTATCGACGTGGATCGCATTAATTTGGCGATGGGTATGTTCCATATGATCTGGTCTGCTCCGATTACGATCATCGTGACCCTGGTTCTGCTTATCGTCAACATTGGCTACAGCTGTCTCTCTGGATATGCTCTGTTGGTTTTCGGTATGCCCTTCCTGACCTACGCCGTGCGATTCTTGATCAAGAGACGTCGAAACATCAACAAGATCACCGACCAGCGAGTGTCTCTCACCCAGGAGATTTTGCAGGCTGTGCGATTTGTCAAATACTTCGGGTGGGAGAGTAGCTTCCTCGCTCGCTTGAAGGATATTCGGAAACGGGAGATTCGTTCTATCCAGACCCTTCTGGCCGTTCGAAACGGTATCCTCTGTGTCTCGATGTCGATCCCAATCTTTGCCTCGATGCTCGCCTTTATCACCTATGCTTTGTCGAAACATGACTTGAACCCGGCCCCGATCTTCTCATCGCTCGCTCTGTTCAACTCGCTACGACTGCCGCTGAATATGATGCCGCTCGTCCTTGGCCAAGTCACGGATGCATGGACGGCGCTCAACCGCATCCAGGAGTTCCTTCTCGCGGAAGAGCAGAAGGAAGATATTGAGAAGGACGAGACCATGTCTAATGCTATCGAAATCGAACATGCATCCTTTACCTGGGAGCGTTTGCCCACCGACGAAAAGGAAGGGGACAAAAACCCGAAGAAACATGTGAAAGCCCCCGAATCTGCCGGTCCTACTTCCCCCGATGAAAAAGAAAATGTAGATGACGCGGTTCCACAAGAGCCATTCAAGCTTAATGATGTCACACTGGAGGTCGGACGAAACGAGCTGCTCGCAGTCATTGGAACCGTTGGCTGTGGCAAGAGTTCTCTGCTCTCGGCTTTGGCTGGTGATATGCGTTTGACTGATGGCACGGTTCGCATGAGCACGACCCGGTCGTTTTGCCCGCAGTATGCCTGGATCCAGAACGCCTCGGTGCGCAACAACATTTTGTTTGGCAAGGAGTACGATGAAGCTTGGTATGAACAAGTCATCGATGCTTGCGCTCTGGGTCCAGACATGGAGATCCTGCCCAACGGCGACTTGACTGAGATCGGAGAGCGTGGTATCACCGTGTCTGGTGGCCAGAAACAACGTTTGAACATTGCTCGTGCCATATATTTCAATGCAGAGCTTGTGCTCATGGATGATCCGTTATCAGCTGTGGACGCCCACGTTGGACGTCATATCATGGACAAGGCAATTTGTGGTCTTCTCAAGGACCGCTGCAGAATCCTGGCTACACATCAGCTTCATGTGCTTAGTCGCTGCGATCGGATTGTCGTGATGGAAGAAGGTCGGATCCACGCTGTTGATACGTTTGACAATCTGATGCGTGACAATGAGCTTTTCAAGCGACTCATGTCCACGTCTGGACAGGAAGACTCAAAAGTGGAGGAGGAGGCTGAAGCTGCGGAAGACCCTATCGACGAGTCTAACGAGAAGGCTGCACCCAAGAAGATCACCCCCGGTAAGCCAGCTGCTGCCGCTCTGATGCAGCAGGAAGAGAAAGCAACGGAATCTGTCGGATGGAGTGTGTGGAAGGCGTACATTCGAGCCTCGGGCAGCTACTTCAACGCTGTGATGATTTTCATCCTCCTCGGTCTTGCCAACGTCGCCAACATCTGGACAAGTCTGTGGTTATCTTACTGGACATCTGACAAGTATCCGAATTTCTCAACGGGTCAATATATTGGTGTCTATGCCGGACTCGGTGCTAGTGTTGTCCTGCTGATGTTTGTGTTCTCGACTTATATGACGACTTGTGGAACCAATGCTAGTCGCACGATGCTTCAGCGCGCCATGACCCGTGTACTCCGCGCACCCATGTCATTTTTCGACACGACCCCCCTGGGCCGCATCACCAACCGCTTCTCCAAGGATATTCAGGTCATGGACAATGAACTGTCGGATGCAATGCGTATTTATGCTTTGACAATGACTATGATTATCTCGGTCATGGTGTTGATTATTGTCTTTTTCTACTACGTGAGTGATACTCCTCGTCTACGATTCTATTTAACCTTGTGTACTGACCAATTCTAGTTTGTCATTGCGCTTGTTCCATTGTTCATCTTGTTCCTGCTTGCGTCCAACTACTACCGCGCCTCCGCACGTGAGATGAAGCGGCATGAATCGGTTCTGCGATCGATCGTCTACGCGAAATTCGGCGAGGCCATCACCGGTACAGCCTGCATTCGCGCCTATGGCGTCGAGAACCAATTCCGAAAAAGCATCCGTACCTCTATCGATACCATGAATGGCGCCTATTTCCTGACCTTCTCGAATCAGCGCTGGCTCAGCGTACGACTCGATGCTGTGGCTACAACACTCGTGTTCGTGACTGGTGTCTTGGTCGTTACATCTCGATTCAACGTCTCGCCCAGTATCTCTGGTTTGGTCCTGTCTTATATTCTATCCATTGCACAGATGCTGCAATTCACCGTTCGCCAACTTGCCGAGGTGGAGAATAACATGAACGCCACAGAGCGCGTTCATTATTATGGAACCGAGCTTGAGGAAGAAGCACCTCTGCACAGGGCCGAGGTGGACGCCAGCTGGCCTCAGAAGGGCCACGTTGTGTTTGAGAACACGCAGATGCGGTATCGTGATGGACTGCCCCTCGTTCTCAAGGGTCTGACCATGGACGTGCGAGGAGGCGAGCGCGTCGGTATCGTTGGACGAACGGGCGCGGGAAAATCCAGTATCATGTCTGCTCTCTTCCGTCTCACCGAGCTATCCGGCGGTTCCATCCACATCGATGGCATCGATATTTCCACCGTTGGTCTGCATGACCTGCGGTCTCGACTGGCAATTATCCCGCAAGACCCCGCTCTCTTTAAGGGCACCATCCGCTCGAACTTGGACCCCTTCAACGAGCACACCGATCTGAAATTATGGAGCGCCCTGCGCAAGGCATATCTCATCGGTGACGATACTACCGGCCCCGAACCCGAAGCCATCCAGAGTGTACCCGCCACCGGGACCACGACCCCGGTCACAGGCAGCGACTCCAAGGCCCGACCAACAAACCGTCTGACCCTAGAGTCCCCCGTCGACGAGGAAGGCCTGAACTTTTCCCTCGGCCAGCGCCAGCTCATGGCTCTCGCCCGTGCTCTGGTTCGCGACGCCCGTATCATCGTCTGCGACGAAGCCACCTCGTCCGTTGACTTTGAGACTGATCAGAAGATTCAGCACACGATGGCGCAGGGCTTTGAAGGCAAGACTCTGTTGTGTATTGCGCACCGGCTGCGCACGATTATCCAATATGACCGAATTTGTGTCATGGATCAGGGCAGTATCGCAGAGATGGACACTCCGCTTGCGCTTTGGGATCGAGAAGATGGTATCTTCCGGGCGATGTGTGAGCGGAGTGGTATTACCCGGGAGGATATTCTGGCGTCTGACTGAGAAGATGATGAAACCGTCTAAAAGTATATACATCAAGTAATCTGTTATAATTAAGCTAATCGAACATATAATTATTCCACGACACAAGGTATACTATTGAAGGATCCATCTCGCTCCAGCTCGAGTGCTCGAGTCTCGAAATCACGTAGAAATCAAACCTGAAGATTCCACAGTCGCAGAGCCCCATCAACGTCCGGAACTACAACAGTCCTGGAATCGGCGGAGCAGGCCATCTGCCCGCACGGACATGTAGTAATTACATATTCATTCCTCCGAGTGACTTGCTGCTTGAGATTAGACTCAAAATCATATACCTCCACCGTTCCATCACGTATGCGGAATAGCAACTTCCCCCATCTATGACCTGCTTGTGGCTTATATTTCTTTCTTATATGATAACAAATATTCAAATTTCATCCAATTCCATGCTCAAATCTACTCTTGATCCAATTGACAAACCAATTCCATTCCCAAATTCCTCATCATTCCTTCCACCCCGGCCTCCCTCCAACCCTCCACATCTCGTGCATCCAACTCAACCTTGACCTGCTCCTCCGACAGCGCACCTACCGGCAACCCCGTAAACTTCACAGCCAGACCAGGCGCCGTCCCAACGACCCGCATCCTCAATCCCGTCAATATACCTCGTAAATGCTCTGCGGCCTTCCCTCCCCCCCGCGACCCATACGATACAATCCCCGCCGGCTTCCCCTTCCACTCATGAAATAGATAGTCTAGCGCATTCTTCAGACTGGCCGGGATACTCCAGTTATACTGGGGCGTTACGAAGATGAAAGCATCGTACTCGCGGACGACGGCAGACCAGGCGCGCGTGTGGGGTTTTGTGTAATGTGGTGTTGGATTGTCGGCGGGGAGGCTCGCAGGGATGACGGTTTCGTCGTAGAGGGGGAGGGATTGTTTGGCGAGATCGAGGATTGTGAATGTGATATGGCGCGGGTCGGTGTCGATGGTTTCTGGGGCGGTCGGAGAGGGCTTTTGAGTTGGGAGAGTGGGGTCGTTGGTTAGGACGTCATAGACGTAATGGGTGATGGCTGGGTTGAGGCGTGGAGTGCGCGTGCTGCTGGTGATGATGGCGATGTGTTTGGGTGGCATAGTGAGGGAGTGTGAGGTCTGCAAGGAGAAGAGCAACTAAGAGATTGACCAACTGGAGGTTGACGATAGCTGTTCTAAAGCAGGTTGCAGCTTGGCAGGCTTTGAGGATTTTAAGTTGAGAACTGCGGATCCGCGAAGCTAAGCTCTTGTGGGTCCCGAGATTCGGAGCTTTCGGGCATTGACATCAGCTTGGTCCAGCCGTCAACAAGCGTATTGAATCTACTGATGGGTTTCTACTTATAAGCGACGTCCTTCTTCTCTCTCTTTGCCTTGCTATTATGAATACTAGATTCATGATCGATGGCCGGGCTCAAGGCTCCTGTAGGAAGATAATTGTCAACATTTGCCAATTCCATTTCCTCTGAATCTCGGCGAGATAAAGGCTCCTGACTAGAAGGTACCGGGATATTCTTTATAATAGAGAGGGTCTTGGAGCGCGTTGGAAAGTGCTGACCCCGGCTGCTGTTATATGTTTCTGAACTGACTTGTTTAGAGTCGGGAATGGCAAAGCGGGTATGAAGGAGGGGGTTGAACCTGATGCGGCGGATCGCTGGCATGCCGAAATAGGATACTGCTGTATAGCCTTCCATTAAAGATCAGTACGCAGCTGGCGCATGATCATCTGTGGCCATATGTCAGTAATACTTGGTTACCCTGACCCCCAAACGATTTGTACATACGAGTTGCATGCTGGCTAACTACCACACTTCATCCAGTAGTCCTCACCACAAGGGCGAAAATAGCAAACAAAGCCCGTAATGGAATATGGGCTTATAGAGCATGTGATGGTACAGTTAAGTGTTTTGAATTTTGTAATCCAGAATTCAAATACTCTTTTCACCACAGAATTAACCGAGCGGACCCCTTGTACGCTCAGGTCGCAGCCCGGGCCTATTCTAGTATAACGCCAAGATCATATGTGATCGGATCCCGTCTCTTAATGATTTAGGCTTACTTGTACTATTTGCTTCCATTCTTTCGTCCAAGTTGGAAACAACTGTCTGCCAAGTACAGTGTACCAGGATAGAAGTACTCGAATCACTGGTGATATGGGACCTGCAATGCCCTCTCTTCGCCGAGTCATAGGCGCAGCCAAAAGCGTCCATTTTTTGATAAGTGCTCGCAGGGTTTCGAATAGTAGCTCCCTGTTTACACTGATTTAATGGCGACAAAACTGAAACCGTTAGTTTTTCTGGAAGCCTTACGGCAGCAATCCACCTTTCCACGACTTTATACCATATCTTGAAGAACCAGGGTGTCTACGAAGCCCTCAATAACGAGATTGCTCAAGCAACATACTGTGGGGAGTTAAAATTTCCGCGTATATCGTATCCTAAAGCCAGCGAACTACCCTACCTGAGAGCCTGTATCCAAGACGGTGCACGGTTGCACCCCAGTATGGCGCGTACAATGCAGAGACAACTACCACCAAATTGCTGCAGTAGCTTATGGCAGTGGATCTCCGGCGGAGTCCGTGTGAGAATCAAACCGAATGTCGTGCAATTCGACAAAAAAAATGATCTTTGGAGAACATGCGGGGGAATACAACCCGGGTCGATGGTTGTAGCCGGGTGCCAATAAACCGAATAAATCCATTCTTCTGATAGGTTCATCCAAGCGAACCCAGATCATTTATTAACCGGCTTGGTAATAGTTCGGAGTGGGGTCAAGAATGTGTATGGGACAGAATGTAAGTGCAAATTGCTCTATGAGAGGGTCTAGTCTTTAAGTTGACCGTCCATCAGATATCATGGTGTGAGATGTATCAGGTCGTGCCGGAGCTCCTTCGTTCGTACAGTCTTGAGTGATACAGTCCGGAGAAGGATCTAGAAACCAGCGGGTTCAGGTTTTACAAGTCAGCGCCTATGCACGTTCGTGTCCATTGCATTCAAAAGAATTTAAATATCACTGTGATTTTGTGGGCGGAGTTTTTGGGGGTCATTGTCTTAGTTATTTTCACTTTCTTTCCTCTCGTTCTGTCTCAACACGTCCCATCTGAAGCAATGGTTCTGTATGCGTAGACCAGTATAGATCGCTCCTCGTGAAGTTAGGTGAGAGTTTTTAAAAATTTCAGCCTAGTCACTAGACAATCATCTTATTAAGCAAGTAGTAGTATTCCTTGACGCTCCTAACTCAGTCGCTGAAGCTTTAGTGACCTGATGCATACTTTATGCTTCGTTTGTCTGAAGAACGCTAATTGTCCCGCCGAGGCGCCGAAGCTAGCCTCGGAGAACTTGCGCCTTTAGGCACAAGGCATCTAGGAGCCAAGACGCTTAAATTTGTCGGAAAACCATGCATCGAATTGTTTTTGACACGTGGGGGCGCTCGATCATAAAATTGTCTTAGTCCATCTCGTTTAAAGGTCTAGGATGCCTTGTGAGACTTCGTCACTTGCGAAGCGATATCTTGACTGTTTTAGGGAGCGCCCATTGCCCAACCACGATACGCGCGAGCGTCCACGTTTTGCAGGGGATAGCTCGGCAAAATGCAAGGCACGATTAGCTTGCTAACAGTCTGCAGGCTAGCCACTTTAGCTCAGAATATTCATCATGGACAGCGCAGTATCCCTGCTTCGTTACCCCTCCTCTCCCGGGAATAAGGAAGTCCACCAACAGCGTCTGGGTATGAGATATGTTATAAGAGGGTGATCAAACCCTACATAAAATGAAGTTGTCCTAGCAGTCTGAAGGAAAAAAAGGGTTGACTGACACGATGAGATCTCTTTTCGTTCTTGGTGTATTCTTCACGGCGTCTGCTCAGGCGACGACCACCAGCGGCAAATTCACTGCGTTGAGTTTCAATGTTGCAGGTCTCCCCTCGATTTTGCAATCCAACGACGTGAATGGGTCGAAGACTGAGAATGCTGGAGAACTCGGCACCTACTTTTCTGAATACGGCTATGATATCATTCACATGCAGGAGGTACATATTCCCTTTCTTAGATTATCGGTGTCTGTAAATTAACTTTATCAACAGGATTTTAACTACCATGCATACATTTACGCAACCGATGACCATGCCTACCGCACTGCCACTTCTGGCGGTGCAGGTATTGGAAGTGGACTGAACACTATCTCGAATTACGATTGGGTTGACTTCGCTCGCGAGAAATGGGATACATGCTCCGATGCGTCAGGATCAGATTGCCTTACTCCAAAGGGGTTCACCTTCATGCGCTGGAACCCATCCACCGGAGTGTACATCGACTTCTACAATATTCACGCCGATGCTGGGTAAGTAATGACCGAGTTTCCCATCAGCATGAAAAATTCTAACTGCTTTAAAGTACCGAGGATGGCGACGAGACGGCGCGCAATAGCAATCTGCAGCAAGTAGCGGATTATATAGACACTTGGTCCATCGGAAATGCAGTGGTTGTGATGGGAGACACAAACAGTCGCTACACTCGGAGTGCTGATACTGGTATCCGTGTCTTCAAGTCTCAGAACAGCCTCACTGATGCTTGGGTTCAACTGGAGACAGGTGGGGTTTATCCAACCGCGGGTGCTGATGCCATTCTCTGTGACAACCCGTCAACGATTGAGACCTGTGAGACTGTCGATAAGGTCCTTTACCGGGGATCTGACATCGTGACCCTCTCGGCCAACAGCTTCTATTATGATGGCGAAAAGTTCCTGAACACCGACTCTGAATACCTGGGCGACGTTCTGTCCGACCACAACCCTGTTCTGGTCAACTTCACTTGGACGATGTCAAGCTCCCTTCGACAGAGCGAATTCTCCGGTGGTCCACACGGAACTTGGTTCAATGATCTTCCCAACATGCCATCATCTCCCACAGCTTCTGTTTTGACTTTCCGTGGCGCCAGTCGATTGGATGCTGTTGCACTGGAGCTGACCGATGGAACATCATTTAGCCATGGAGGAACCGGTGGAACTGCAGCGTCACTTACTCTCAGCTCTGGTGAGCACTGGATTACCACTGAAATTTGCACTGGTCAATACAATAGCCAGACTCGGAACTTCTACATCAAGGCTACTACTAGCGCTGGAAACACTTTGGAAGCCGGTACATCAACTGACAGCTGCACGACATATACTGCCGATGATGGCTACGCCGTTGTTGGATTCATGGGACAAGATGGTGATGAGGTGGACCAATTGGCTCTGATTTATGCTCCTTACTAGTGTTGGGGCGCACCCACGATTAGAATGAGTTTTACATCGTGGCAAGATGAGCATGGGCCGGAAATAGCTCCACCTCACAGAACCTCAAATCTTCATATCAACGTACTCACCCCGGTTAAATTCTTTGTAACATATAGAAATTGTCGGAAGATGGTCAGGGATTTCCAATTCTTAGTATAGAGCATCACTACAACTTGAGGTATGTGGCAAGCTCGGGTGACCTTCAGACAGAGACTAATTCTAGCTAAATCTTCCCGCTGAATATGAACTAAGCCTGTGAGTGACGCTTGGCATGCAAGTTTTCCATCGGTGCATCGACGCCGTAATTCATGGCCTTCCTCAGATCTCCCAAGAACAGACTAGCAATGCACGCCAGGACACCAAATGGGACAGCAATGATAAAGACAACCCTCAGCCCATCAGCATATGCCTGCTTCAGGGCGCTGACACCGGAGGCTATGATCTGCATGTTGACTCCAGAAATATCTTTCAATGCCGAACTGTCGTTGGAAGAGAGAGCTTGAATGAAAGCTCCAAGAGAAGACTTTGGAAGTCCCGCCTGTAAAGCTGCCTTGGAAACATACTCAGGAATGAACTTGTCGAGGCGTGCATTCAATGCAGCAGAGAATATAGCCGTGAAGACTGCTGCAGCTATGGCACGAGAGCAGGTCGTAGCTGCTGTTGCAGTTGCAATCAGATCGTGTGGCGTTGAGAGCTGAACGCCGGCAATTACTAAGATCAAAGGAGAACCAAATCCTAGTCCAGCTAGAGCGACGAATGCCATAGCGCTGAAGTTATTACTGGGCTGAATTGTGGAGAGACCGATGAAACCGCAAGTGAAGATAAAGAAGCCGACAAACATTGGGGAGCGGATGGTCTTGAATTTAGTACTGCAATAGCCGTAAATCACTGTGCTGATGGCAGAAGCAATCCAGTAGGGAAGTTGTCGCGCCGCTCCCAAGAATGGGTCGGTTTCAAACAAAGTCTTTGTTCTATCGGGAGTGAAGATTAGTAGGTTCACCGGCGAATCTCGAGCCCAAATGAAGTACTTACAGAACAGGGTAGAAGATCACGAAGGCAAAAAGCAAAATTCCTTCAATGAAGATGAGCCCAATGCAAATAACAAAAGTATATCCTGCACTCTCTCCGGTTCTTCCACCGTGGAACAGATCATGATGTAGAATTCCAGTCTTGGTGAATTTCCACTCGTAGACCCCAAATGCGACCAAGGTGATTATTCCTACGATCAGAGTAGCCAAGACCGGCGCACTAGACCAGGTGTAGAGCCCACCCCCAAGATTGAGCCCTGTCAGGAAAATTGCCAATCCCGCAGTGAGCAGGAAAAAGCCCGGAAGGTCAACGCGACCAAGCTTCTGCCAGAACGAGAGGTGATCATATCGAGTGTGTCTTTTCGGAGGTCTGTAGCCAACAAAAAGTCCAATCGCGGTCATGCCCCAGAGGGCCATCTGAACCCACTTTACAGATTGTTAGGTCTATATATACTTTCAGGATGGAGGGTGGAGAGGGAAAACGTGCGTAAAAGTTCCTCCAACCAGTGTGTGGATTTGCTCTCGTCAGTCCACCGATGATCAAGGGACCCGAGAAAGAACCAAAGGATGCAGCAATATTGATAAAAGCTTGGACCACTGGAAGATAGTTAATGAGAGTGAGATACTTTATGTCTGGAGGGACGAATTGGGTGAACTAACTTGGTCTCCACTTTCTGGGCAAGATATCACTTGGTACGCAATAAGCCAGCGGAACAGTCGCAAAGCCAAATCCAATCAGCACCTGTGCTGCTATGAGTCGATAGATATTGGTTGATCCAGGGGCAATTGCACAGCCAATAAACGAGACAATGGCTGGACCAACAAGGAATGCCTTCCTGGCTTGGAATGTATCTGAAAGGGACGCAATGAGAGGAGCGAGGACAGCCTGGACAAGCATTAAGGAGTTGGGAACCCAAGTGCCTGCTGCAGTGTTGTTGAGGTCTTTTTCGATATAGGAAAGCTACAAAGATGCCAGTTAGTTCATTGATTTTTGATTCAGTGAGGAAGCCATAATACCACAGCCGGAGGGCTTAAAAGCCCAAAAACTTGAACGAGGTTCAGTAAAAACATGGAAGCCAAGGCAAAATAGGTCTGCGCATGAAGTTCTGGCTCCTCCTCTTCTTCGTATACTAGATTTTCCTCAATTTGCTCTTTTGTATTTTCCACATGTTGGAACTGTTCCACAGCATTGTCCTTGCTCTGACGTTCCGGACCGTCATATACGGCTGTGGATGACATAACGAAGAGAGCACGGTCAGGAATGAACGAGAACTGTGAGAGGCCCAATAGGTAACTATTGGAAACCAGGGTGGAATAGCGAAATTACTTATAATCCCTTTCCCTGTCTTATCGGCAATGCTGGAACCTTAATAGCCTAAGTCCCCGCGTTTTCCCCGGAGACTGCTCCGATCTTCCCCACAAGCGGAATGACAGGACCCGCAAGGGACTATTGATATTGAATTGGACAGATTTTAATGAGTAGGTGAATACAAGGATTTCCACTTTAAAGTGCCACTGAGATTTCGTCTGGCAACTACGGCATACGGAACTTGAGGCTCGTATGATCGAATTCGCATATCATGGGATGAACAGCGACAACATTAGGAGCGTATTATCTCCTTCACGATCCCCTCTTAAAGAGTCCTACCATCTATCAGGGTCGCAGTGTAAAATCTTCGGGTCCGTCTTGTCGGGGATACTGCGGGTGTACGACGGCCCGGGTGTAAAGGTCGGGAAAGGGCCGCCTTTGAACCTTCTTAAGAGGAGCTCAACTTCATTGATTCTCGATTTCTCCTTTGCTTCCCTCATAAAATTAGGATACTAGATAAGCTAAGCCTCATTAAGAATTAGTATGCCTCTTGGAAAAGTCGTGCAGTATCAAAACATTGTAGTTTAGTCACATTTTGCGAAGTCATGACATCAACAACCCAAATGCTTTCCCACACGACATAGGCCCCACCCACCGTGCATAAATGTCCATGGAACAAACCCAGGGACGTCATGCTCAATATTTTACTGTAAGTAGGATAGACACTCAAAATGTTTGCACTACGTGATTTATTCTGAAACTGTTAGGCTATGGCGATTCAGACTATCTGGCGCTCCTGAGCCGAAATTATCTCTCGAATAGAGGCGCTCAGCATCGGGTCAATGCTCATTGCTCGCTCCCTTACTGTTTCTTTAACTAATTTAGAAGGTGAATATCTTGTCCTCGACAGAATTCAAATGAGCAAGTCTGACTACTAGAATGTCGAAGAGGTCCTGCAACCTAGCAAGCAGAGTGACAAATCGACGTGTTGCGTAACGACGACTCGAAAGAAGAAATCAGGACACCTTGCCAGCTAGTAGCTTGTAGATATTCCTTCCCCGCTATCTCCGCCCATTTCAATCAATTACTGGGTTAAAGTTATCTGAAGCTTATGCTGTGTCATTTGTGGGATCTTCCAGAAAGGCGCGGCTTGGCATCAGTTGGCGCGAGTGTACTGTGGATTCTCTTCGCCCAGGAGACCGATTCATCCATGTCTTTGCCGGAATTGGATTAAGGGACATATACTGGCTCTCTAAATTCTAAGATGATGCAATTGCAACGGGCTTCTCTCGGTATACCTTGAAAGTTTTTCAGAACCATCTCATCGCTCGGGAGTTGAAGGAAAGTCCAAGACATGTCACATAGGGCAAAAAGAGAGGAGGAGGTTTGAAAGGAGATTAGAGATAACTCTCAGACTAGACAATCCAGAATCTATCTAGTCGAACCTTCGTTCTGGTCTCTAGATCCAGACTTTTGAGTTGCCAATATGTGGCCTCCTCCATTTGAGATTGTCATAGCTGCGATGGGTTCCGGAGCCATTGGAATGGTAATGGTTTAGCGCGAGACTACCGACGTGATAAGCACTACACAACAAGATCATTCCGGGTCAAGTTTATCTACGATCATCCATCAGATGTGCGGTGCTTGTTTGTACACTCAATTTGCTTTATTGTTTTTGAAACAATGTCGCACTATCTAGGATTGCGGAAACCGCAAAACGGCACGATTAGAAGGGAGAGTCCGCTCGCTGGCCACAAACTAGCCACTCCCGCCCCCACGTGCGTTCGGCCACTCTCCACTGCCCGTGATATCGTCGGTGCGAAGTCCTGTGATACTTTTCATTCTCTTAGCATCCCCTAACTGATCTTCAGAACTAGAGGTAAGGCTCCTTGTGACTGGTCTAGTTGATACAGTCTGATCCGATCAGCAGGGAATTTGGCTGGCGGTTAGCTGCATTTCGGTCCTGATTCGCAGCAGGCTACACTAGATCGGGTGGATCACCCCTGAATCGTGTCGCATTATCATGGAAGAAGTGTCGCTGTCCTCACCGCCAGCTGTGATTGCCCTAAGGGAATCATTTGGTGATCGAAAACCGCCAGATATTACTCGCAAAATTACTGCCTGTGTGGCATGCCGGAAACAGAAGGTTGTATCTTTGGTACTTTGGTCATTTTGCATACGGCTCATGAATAATAAAGGTAAAATGTCACATGCGAGATGGACAAGTACCATGTTCAAGGTGCAAGAAGCGAGGTCTACCCTGCGCTGTTAATCGCAGCTTGCAAACACTTTTGGAAGACGATGTTACGTGAGTATCACATCAGTCGCAGGGCTAGATGTATTGTTGACCGAATCCAGATGGAAAGGCGCAGTTGTACAAAAGATCAAAAGACTTGAAGATACAATTGCAAAGATTGCATCCAAAATTGATTTGTCCGACCTTGATCTTCAACCACGGCCGGAGGACCCAGAACCTATGAGCCCCTCTGTGGCTGTGATGGCCAATTCGGAGCGACCAGCCAGTCCAGGACTGCAGTTAAGAGACGAGCGAAAGCTAACACAGACTTGGGAAGTTGTTATGGACCCCCGCGGTGGTCCAGCATCAATACCAGCGTCATGCGTCTCAGAGAACATTAGAACGGCTTTACCAAATAGCCTCCCCACTTCTCGAAGGTCGGACTTGATTTCGACTGGGATCATTACTCTGCGACAAGCATTGGCATTATTTGATACATACCATTTACGATTGGATCACTTCTTATATCGCATATTGGGCGACCATATCAGTTTGGATTCGGCACGAATCGCTTCACCACTATTGACGGCAGCGGTCTGTACAGTGGGAGCCCTCCATTCGCCATCTTTGGGCCACTTGTTTGAAATCTGCTATGCAGAGTACAAAGACCTTGTGACTTCACAGGTATTCTCCAAAAATCTGAATGCAGACGACATTCGGGGACTATGCATTGGTGCATTCTGGCTGCATGAACTTTCATGGGCACTTATAGGAAACGGTATGTCTGTCGAACTCTCATTGGGTCATGAAAATATTAATTGAGCTAGCGGTCCGGGTCGCCTCCGATATCAATCTTCACAGTGGGATCTACAAGGCCCTGAAAGGTGACCGGGAAGGCTACCTTCAGGCTCGACTGTACTACCTTGTCTACGTGTGCGACCATCACTTTTCCATCGCGTACGGTCGGCCCCCCATGTCTCGTGAGGGCTTCATTATTGAATCCGCCAGTCGGCTGCTGGAGACCGAGCACGCAACTGAGGATGACGCCAGACTGATCAGTCAAGTGAAGGAGTGGTCTGTCTTGGGGAAAGTTTTTGACACATTTGGCGTGGATGTGGATACAGCCATTGCTCCCGAAACGATCCCCCAGCTACGCCGATATTCAATTGCTCTGGATACATGGTTTGCCGACTGGCATGAAAGTTTTAGCGAAAACAGAAGGGTCGGAAACTATCCTCAGAAAGGCGTTGGCTTCCACTTCCATTTTGCGAAACTATACCTTTGCTCTCATGCGTTCCGTGGCGTTCCCGCTGGCGAGAATGCCACGCAATGCTTTTCACCTGAGTTAGAAGAAATCGCCAACGCCGGTGTTCTATCAGCCATGTCAATTCTCCGAGTCATCGTCTCGGACGCAGAATTTCGATCCTTCATGAATGGTCTCCCCTTGTACTTCGACACGATGCTCGCGTTCGCAGTGGTTTTCCTCCTCAAAGTGGCCACCAAATATGCGACCGTCATCAGGATTGACACTTCCAAGATTCTATCCCTTGTTTCACAGACGGTGGTCGCTCTACGGGGAATCACACAATCTATGCATCGACAGCATCTGCTCGTCGTGATAGCCGAGGGTCTTGAAAGGCTGCTTGTAAGATGTCAAGTTCCCGTGCCAGCGGCACAAGAAGCAGCTTACCATGCATCGCCGGCAATGGAGCCTCATGCACACTTCGAAATGGGTTGGATGGAAAATATGGCGAGTTTTGATTTTCAGACTAATTTCCCTGACATGGATGACTGGTGGATTCATTATAATACCCCAATGGGTCCAGGTCGTGCCATGGGGCCGGTTTAGACCGAGTATCTGGGGCGCGTGAAGGTCGAGTTCCAAGGTGAAAGTGGAAACACGCATGGGATTTCCCCAACCAGCTATAACAAGGATATGTCATATTTCATGCATTATGAGATTCTTTTGTACATACAGGACTCATGCGCTATGTGTCATCTCTTGATCATGATGCAGACAAGGTAGCAGCAAGTATACCCAGTACAGCTATAAGGATCCAAAGGACCCAGCTGTGGGGGAATATGATATTCAACCAGTGGGCTGCCGGGCTGCTCTTGACTATCACGGAAGGCTTAACTGTGGTGCTCTTCATCTCCTGGACGTCTTCCTTCAAAGAGCCATCTGTTGAATCAAAGTTCTTCCCAGAATCATCAGTAGATGACACAAACTCTGGAGACAGAGTTGAGATTTCGGTGTCTTCTGAGAATACTGTCGATGTCGACTCAACACCAGTCTCCTTCTGGGCCAGGTCTGAGGACAAAGCTCCTTCTTCTGGCATATCTATGGATTCTTGGGATGATGGCATGTCAGAGAGTTTCCCAAGTTCCAAAAGCAAATTGGCAATATCCTCATGGTTATAGACCCGTGCCAAGGCAAATGGTGTATGTCCCAGCGCATTCTTCCTCCAAACCTCCGCACCAGCAGTCACTAGCTTTCGAACAGCGCCTTTATTCCCAGACATGACGGCTATATCGAGAATGGTGTTCAGCTCGCGACGATCTTGGGGTAAAGCAGCACCACGGTCAACCAGAACAGCACTGATGCTCTCGTCATATACTGTAGCGGTTGACAAGGCGGATTCGCCCCATATATCTTTTAAGTTAACCTCAGCACCTGCATCTATGAGGATATTTGCAACTTCTGTGCTGTTGTAAAGAGCTGCCAGATGTAGAGGGGTCCGACCGTAGTTATTGGACAAGTTCAAAGGGGCGCCAAACTCGATCAGCAAGCGAGCTATCTCGACGTTGTTGCGAGTAGCACTGTAATGGAGAGCCGAGTCACCGACATCCGGATCCTGTGCACTAATCTCGGATGCAGTGGCAATTGGAAGTCGTGTGCGGAGCTCTTCAATTGACTCGGCGCTAGACAATGCCCATATGGACAATGGCTCGTTGACTGAAAACTCCGTGTCTGTACGCATGGGCGATTGAATGATGGTGCCAGTTGCGGTCCGTTGAGGAGCCTTACTAGGAAGCTCAGCATCGGTTGCCCGCTTTTTCTCTGCCAGTCTTGCTACTCGGAGTATCTCTAGAATAGCAGTTTGATTGGTCTCGCGGGCGACATAGATGGGTGTCCGGCCATAGCTGTCTTTAATGGTCGGGTCCGCACCGTGGGTAAGCAGAATCCTGACTGTCGCTGCAGATCCAGAGCGGGCCGCGTCGTGAAGTGTTGTCTTTCCGTTTACGTCCTGCATGTTGACATTCAAGGTGGAATCAAATTTTAAGAGGATATCGATAATTTCACTCCGGGCATTGATAGCAGCAGAATGTAGCATCCCTCGCTGGAACACATCCTTGTGGTGAACGTTTGCACCCCGATCGAGGAGCAGTTCAACAACGGGTATCCAATTGTAATCAATTGCTCGATTGAGGGCAGTTCCAAGCGAACCCTCTTGCTGGACCTCGGTATCCGCACGATGATCGAGGAGGCTCTCGACAATGTGACGATGACCGTCCTCTGCAGCCATAAGCAGAGCGGTAGAGCCAGCTTTGTCTTGCGCGTTGATGTCGATAGCAGGATGTGTCAGAAGTGCATCGACCACTTCCCGCTCGTTACCAAGAGCCGCATGCATCAAGGCAGTTGTTCTGCGAGACCTGGAGCCTTTGTTGATGTCAAGACCAGGCTTGTGCAAGAAGGCCCTTACCACGTCAATGTGTCCTTGGTAGGCAGCAGTCATCAGAGGTGTAACTTCTGTGACGATGAGGTTCACATCAATATTCTCCTGATCTAGGAGAAGTTTCACTGTGGTCTGATGGCCGTTTTGAGCTGCGCTATATAATGGAGTGCTTCCGAGATTGTCCACAGAGTTCACATTTACACCAGCAGCGATCAAAGTTGAAGCTACATCGTGAAGGCCACGAACAGCAGCCAAAGCCAGAGGTGTAACGCCATTCAAATCTCGGACATCGGGATCGATTCCATTTGCGAGGAGCTCGACCACCAACTTATTCAAGCCAAAGTGGGTAGCAAGGTGTAGGGGAGTGCTGCCATCCTTGCCGGCCCAGCTAGCCGAATCCTCATCATCGAAATACCACAATGCCTGTGATATAGCTGCGAAACGTTGAGGGTCAAGAATAAGGGCTCGTGCAACATCATACAGATCATCACGCGGGTTCTTAAGAAGATGCTTGCCCCAATGCTCCGCGGCATATTGCAAAAATGGGTACGCCTTGACTCTTGCATCGAAATCGGTGGCTTCAGAAGGGCCTGAGCAGGCTCCCTGCTTGAACTCGTCAAACATGAGGTACGTCAAGCAGTTGGAGGTCAGCTTTATAGCACCATCAGGAAACCACCGATCCTGATTTTCGACTTCGGAAAAATAATTCTTGGCTGAGTAGTGAACTAGCCTGACACAGTCTGATTCATCGAATTTCACCAAGCCGGCACACATCGATGCCAGGATTTGAACTCGAATGATATTGTCAGGGTCAATGTCCCGGCCTCTTTCAGTGATAGCGATTGCATGCTCAATCTCACGACACTCCAAAGGGCGTTCAGCAAAGACGACCCAGCGGAGAAAGTCCATCGCTACTTCCTTCTGGCTTTCAGGCAAGTCCTTGATTCGGAGCATAGCATCATTGTATGTACCATTCAACTCTTTTGGAAGGACATTCAGAGCTTCAACGACTTCTCCTGGCCGCAGCTTGGACGCAAGTGTATCCATATTGAATTTTGCCAGGAGAAACATCCCGTCATTCTGTTCAACGACTGTCTCTACAATGTCTGCCATTAGGCCGGTTTTGGTATCCACACAACGCTGAAGGAAGTCTGATGAACCAACTCGCCACTTTACATAGGCTAGTAAGTCTTGTTCCATGGCAGTGATGTCCATTCTGGTGCTGTTGAATTGCTTGACAAGAATGTGGCCTTTGTGACCACATCGTTCTCCCTTGTCATGGCACTCTTCGCAGAGATCAAACCCGTCAGAAACTTGTTCATCGCAGTCGGAGCAGTGGAATTGATAGCGCTGATTGTCCTTCTCGCAGCCATCGCAAAAAATCTTCCTTTGGATATCGGCGAAATGTCGCGTGATGTTACTAATAGGTCGAGATGTAACCATCAGATTGACCTTTGCGTCCAGCGACGCGAGGGTTTCCAGAAGCAACAGCCTGCTTTTCTCCTCTCGCAGTTCATCGAGCCCATCGACAACAATAAATGTTTTGGGAAAATGCCGAAGCTCAGAGTTGAGAGCCGACACATACTCATCGGCACCAGGGCTCGTGCCGGCCTTGCAATGTTTGGAGAACATCTCAGACGTCCCTTCCCAAACAACACCATAGCGCTGTGCGATCTGCTTGACCAAGCTTGCGAGTAGACCGTTGATCGATTGGGACTGCGAGTCGTCCCATTTGCAGTACAACATCAAGATTGCCGCGTTTTTGACCCCACCTCTCTCACTGAGGCGAAGTTTGTCCAGTTCATTCACCACAATGGATGACAGTAGGGTTTTGCCAGCGCCTGGAATTCCCGGACAGAAAAGAATGGCGTTGTCGCTCTCCTTCCATGCGCGAAAGTCTTCGCATCCAAGAAACCATTTACAGGTTCCTTCATGCTGCTCTTTGAAAAGGAGGCTTTGCTTTGCGACGAAATTCAGTGGAGACAGCCAGTCAATCATCTCCTTCAGTCGCGTTTCGTCCATAGTGGCTTTCATTGCCTGCCCATCCCGGTGGATCTCTTGCGTGAGCGCATAGTTAGATTGTTCCAAGGCAAAATGCAGTGTCTGCTGCATCCGAGAAATCTTCGCCACAAGTTGGATCACATCTGCCTTTGCAAGCGGCCATGCCAGCGTTTGCCGAATGCTCCCACGCGGCGAACGAGACTTGAGTTTGGACTCAACATCCTTGACTAGACCTTCAAGCTCCTTTAGAATCCCGTCCGAATCGAAAAGTGACAATAATTGCGGCGGCAAGTTTTCCTTGTCAATGACATTTCCATCCGGGGCAAGTAGAGCTTGAAGGGCTGTAATCGTGATCCACAAATTCGACAATTCCTGAAGAAGCGATAGCCGCTCTTTCCCTCCTGAAGCGACCGTCCCCAGGTACCCGATGATCTGGAACGCGGCCGTCGCAACTCCAGCAATGCTGGCTGCCAAGCTCAACGGATCCATTTAGCACTATATGCCTTGTTAGGGCTGCAGGGCCATCAGAACCGTGGACCGTGGACCCGAGGAGATCGAAAGTGCCACCAAAATTATCACCAGGGTTCAACCCCATGGGCGCGACACGGTCGATGGCAACCACCGACCCATCGAGCATGAAGATTGGGGGCGGGAAACAAATTGCTTTTCCACCGACCAGTCAGAATCACCAAAATGGAGGTTTGTTTTTCGACTTGCGCAGCCCCTTTCGCTAGACTTGGTGTGGCGTGCCTTCCAGTAAACCAATAGGAGAGTGCCTCAGCGCCATTTTGTGGGGCTAGTCCTGATATCCAAGCTTGTCTAAGATATACGTCTTGCGGTCCACGATCATGATATGACTATAGACGTTAGTCTACTTGATCTGGAGCGAAGCTGAGAGCCTCAGATGTGATCGAAATATTTCAAAGAATTTCATTCCTCCCACAACGGTTGATTGTTTTCATCTCATTCAACTTTCGATCCTTTTGACCCCCTGCTTGCTAAAAATAACACCATTCCAGATTCATGCTCCTGGCCGGTCAATTCGGTAAACAGTAGAAGCAACGTTCAGATAAGCTTCGTATTCCACTTCCTCACCTCCATCTTGCATGTCATAATGATAATGCCCTCCTTTGCGACTGCCCTCCACTTCAAAACAGTGCGTATGCTCCATTCTCAACCCCAAGCCTTCTGGATCAGAGCTGTGCATCACCGTTAGACAAATGACAGGCGCCTCAAAATCATGATATGTAAGCCAACTCTTCTCCAATGCTTCTCGATCGCGGAATGGCAGGTCTTTTTCCTTCGGAAAATCCGGCATGATGTGAAATTTGGCCTTTCCGGCCTTCAAAAGGAACACTCCGCCGAGACTAATAGGTCTCGAGTCCCCATAGTGGTCTGCTAAGCCAAGCCGAATGGAATTGGTAAAGTTCTGGTCTCCTGTCCGCGCGCGAGCAGTAATCTTCAATACTGGTCCAGTATCGCCAGTAGATCCAAAGAGATTGACCATAAGTCCACAATTAAGACTCTTGATGGGTTCGCAGCATGATGAACCATCCTGATTGACTTGGATAATGCGCGAACCATTTCTCACTTGATCAATCTCTGGGTCATCAGTCCCTACGTGAGGTCCTGGTGGAGTGTAAAGATTGACTGCAAGCTCGGCGTTGTAGCCTGTGTCGTGGAAGGGAGCTGCACCCGCGCCAATTAAGAACCCGCCTTCGCCCTCCGTCATCTGCATGTCCTTCGCTAGTGAGCGAAGGTTAAACTTGGCGTCAAAATTGGGACGTGGAAAGAGATTAGCCTGGCCACCAACATCGGCGATACAGGGATTTCCTGATAGACCTGGGCTAGCCAGGTGGAATGGTGGTTGGCGGAGGTCAGGGCATTCCACGACGCTCACGGAGGAGCTGGCAAAATTGGCCTGGAGCGACCTTTGAATGATAGCTGCCAATTCTCCCAACGGAGGGGGATCTCTGGGATGCGTTGTCACGGTCATATCTGGGATCAAGGGTTGTTCGTGATGACGATGAACTATTTGCGGGGAAGAGGAAACTTATTGGGACGGCGGGTCGGCATCACGTCACGCCGTTTCGCCGCCGACGCAACCCTCGAAAAACAAACTACCAGAAACGGCACCATTACAGTTTATCATCCACGTTTGGGAAAAACTTCTAATTCAAACCCTATACCTAGTTAAATCAAAACATTCTTGTAGAACAAATTAGATCTCCGATCTCCTGCCTTGCCCGAAGCAAAGCCTAAGAAAAGGCGAACTTCACCGGCAACCGTTTTATAGATTGCCAACCCTTCTGGTTCACGGAAGGAAAGGGTGGATCCAGCCTTTGTCAATGTCGGACCCTGCACAACAGCACCGGTATTCATATTGACACTGGTAACCTCAGAGTTGACCACACTGCCAGAGGCATCGTACGAGGTGCCCGTCAACAAATAAATATATTGCCCATAGGCAGCATAGCCCTGGAAAGTAGCGGATTTGGTATTTACGGATGGATGTTTGAAGTTTGCCAGCGGGTTGGTAAAATCTCCATTGGTCGCCTTGACCAGATCGAAGACCGCAATATGTTTCCCGTCGCTGAGGTTGTATCGCACAATCAGGCGGTTGTTGACAGGGTCGATAGAGCAAGTGTGTTCGGTGGCAGCGGAGAAAGGCTGGAGTTTCTTCAATGACGAGGAGGAAGCAGAGAGCGTACTCCCATTGGTGAACTTGAATCGCGCAAGCTTCTTTCCGTAGCCATTCGAGTTGGCCTCGACCTCGGTCCAAAGATATGTGGATGACCCTTCGGCCTGGGCGCCAAAGGAGACGCCGTGGCCAAAGCCAGTCAGATACATGTGTCCAACATAATTGCCATCAAAGTCTAGTTGGGTGATGCACAAGTCTCCTGATGTTTCCGAGGAGCCATCACGACGCTGGGCGACAAATAGTCGCCGATTGGTATTGTCGAATGCGAACCCCTGCTGGACCGTTGAATCTTGTAACGCTTTGTTGCGAAATAGATCGTAAGATGGGGTGGTCAAATCAAAGCGCTCTGATGAAGGCAGATCGGCAGAGACAGATTGGAAATTGGAGCAAAGAGCAAGAATTGCGACGCCAATATTGGCGGTTTTGAGGAAGTTCTTCCAACTAAACGGCGAAAGCATATTGACAAGACCTCCTTTGAATTCCGACAAAAGAGGATGTTGATATAGACTCACTGGAAGAAGCTCCGTGATGAGAACACAGTATTTATATCCCCCAGTCTGCTTTTGGTGCCAGTTTCTATACGAGTGATATCCGAGAAATTTGTTGATCTTTGCCTGAAGTACCCTCGACTGCTCGTATCGAGACTAACAATAGCGGTGCCAAGGGAGACCCGGCGGCTTGGCATCATCCCGCGATAATCTTGGTTATTGTTCCGTCTCATCACTCTTCCCTAAGCTAGATTTGGGTTAGAAAGGACTGATGCACATACGACTTTGCTAGTTCGATTGCCTCAGGCAACCTCTATAGCTCTGCCCGTTGGAAGTTGGGGCAAATCTAATGGCTAGACCTAATCGTTTAGCACCAATCCTAGGCTTAGTAGTGCCTGCCAATCACATCAGGCAGCCAACATAAGGCGGGGAGGAGGGGGCGTCATCATTGCTAGATGAGGCTCTGCTACCACGATACATAAGTAGAGACATTGAACGCAAATCTGTCTCTTTAAACTCCTCCCCGCTTTTCAGTCACACCAACAGCCCCATCCACAAAAAATGACAACCACCACAAAACATGCGACCGTCAAGGTCATCAATACCCCAGAAATCCTGGAAATGATTCTCTCCCACACAGACATGCGCACACTCCTCCTATCCGCCCAACTCGTCTGTCGCGACTGGTTCAACCTAATCACCAAGTCCCGATCCCTCCAAAAAGCCCTCTTCTTCATCCCGATCAAAGATTTCGAATGGGGCGTCGACGAAAGGATACCCAATCCGCTATTAACTGAAACATTCCCTTCTATCTTTCCTTCCGAGGATAGACCAAATCATCACCGGTTTACATTTTCGACACTGAATTGGATAGAAGATCCCTCACGCTTGGCTCGCTTTGTACGGCCCGACGCGAGTTGGCGCAGGATGCTTGTCCAACAACCTCCTATTTCTGAGCTGGGCCTTTTCCATGTCTCCTCTGCCATGGGCGGCGATAGTGCTGGGATATCTCATATACGCGTTGGTTCACCTACGCTACCACCTATTATCAACCACTTCACTAACCAACAAATCATATCTCTAGGCAAATGACAAGGAACAAGTAGACAGCCCTGAGGGAGGTCTCCGAATGGGAAAGCTCTTCGACGTGTTACTCTTCTCCCGCTCGGTCCAATTCTGGGATTGGTCGACGGTGCGAGTATATTGGGCAACTGAAGAACCGATTTCCTTCAATGGTAGCTATGCAAATATCAACGAGGAGTTTCATCGAGTGCTGGCCGAGTTTGGCCTGGTTCTTTATACTAGGGATGTGGTGCAGTGTAGTGTAGGGCCCAGATCACCTACTGCTGCGGAGAGTGCTAGGAGGAAGGTTATTGAGGCGTGTCGAGAGCATGGTTTGGATGTTGATTCAAGGAGTAGGGAGATCGATTTGTCGAAGGGTGAGGTAAATGGGATGAAAGCAGAGCGGAGGCCGAGGGTCCCGTTTACGATGACGGCGCCACATGAGTTGTGATGGAAGGTATTTGAGAGTTTTGAACATCCCGGTGAATCTAATTCAATGTCTGGAAGCTTTACTATCTGAACCATGGCCAGTGTTGTGTTTTCGAATGATCCTGATATTGTAAAGAAGCAAAGGGTAAACTAGCTAAACGCTACAGGTTATCAAAGATTTTCCAATGGAAAAAAGCCAAAGCATGAGGTACATCTTTCCACAGGCATCATTTCGCGAGAAACATGATTGTGTATGTCCATTTTCATCGTTCATCCCCTCCTTTCATGTGCATTGTCTCATTAATCCTTTCAAATCACGTCATAAATCATAACAAAGAGATCATATCCTCCCAGAGAAGCTATCATCAACACCAATCCTGTACCATTTCCCCACAGCCCTAGACCACATAGCTAGGTCTCCGGCTCGAGCTGCGGTGGCGGTGGTGCGAAGAAGAGTGGCCACGACGGCTGCTGTGGCTGCGGCGACGGACAGTGGTCTCCTTCACAATGACCTCACGGTTCTGGCTGTGAATGAACAATGCCAGGAATGCAGTCCAAATAAAGAAGATCACTTCCATGATACCCAGCGCAAAGCTAGTCTTCAGCATCGCACAGGTCTTGTTGACATGCAGCGCCAGTGGGTTGTTCACTTGTGTGCCATACTCGCCGAAGGGACCCAGCGAGACCCAGACTGAACCGCCATCCCAGTGCGAGCAATCGGCGTTGGCGATGAAGCGCAGCTGGTAGACGCCTGCGATGAAAGCGCCGAAGAAGCACATGTCAATGAAGGAGACGAAAAAGGATGAGCGCTTGGCCGCGGAGAAGCGGATCAGGGTATCGATGGCCCAGAAGACGGCGAGTACACTGGTGATGAAGAGGACCAGGATGTAAGGCGGCGTGAGCATATTGGCTTTGAGGTAGCCATCGACGAAATAGGCCTGCATAGAGATGGACGGTTAGTATGGAAGATGGTTTGTGCATTTGCTATATGCGAGAGCTGAAGTGATGCGCTTACCATGATACCAATGATCGGAATGAGGAAGGTAATCTCTACCATCCGGTTAAAGATGAAGAAGATGCTGCCAATAATCATCTTGTCGGGAGCCTGATAGGCGCGGAGTTCAAGGGAAACTCGATTTCAGGAATGCGACAAAGTCAAAGTGTTGCAAAAGGAGCCACGCGTAAGATGGGGGGACGGTGGGAGGCAGGTATGTATGTACGTCAGAAGTACAAAGTCAACGAAGTCAAAGTAGGTATCGGTTGATCTTATCTCGAGGCTATACTCGCATCGCACGGAGAACAAAGACAAATGCAAGGTCAGAGCAGTTATTGCGATCGCAACCTGTGCAGCGGCACTGCAAGAAATGAGAAGAGATGAGTTAGAAAAGAAGGAGAGAGGGGGCGAAGAGGTGCATAGAAAAAAGATCTCAGTGCCGTCATCTTGCACTGACAGGGGCGGGGGGACGAGGAGGCTGGGCGAGTCACGGCGCTGGACTGAGGTGGCTGGGGCAACCTCGAATTGAGACGGGGGTCCAGGTCGAGGGCTGATTGACTTTGTCGCTTGGATTGCACGCAGCTGCGAGACGTGTGCCATCAGAATAGGGTTAGTGCAGGCCCTGCTGTCAGGTTTAATCAATGTTCTGCATCTGATTGACTGTTGATCCGCTTAATCCTGCCGGAGGTTGTTTTGGTTGGAAGGGCAACCCGGCCCGCCCTCCGGTCACAGCCAATGGGCGATCGTCCAAGCTATGAGATGCATGAACATCGAAGAAAAATATAACAGATGTAAAGATAAAGTTACCAATTTATGTGCAGAAGTGGGATCGAGGGTTGAGGTTAAATGTTTAATAGATATTCACTTTAGATCATCGCCAAAGGCCGAAGTCGTCGGGAAGAAACCAGTTCCAGCCTCGAGCGCCCCATTCAAATTTGTTCGTACATGAAAGAATAAGGGAGAGAAAAAAAAATAGATGCCAGCACTCGTAAGGGCTCATGCAAATCGCGATCAGGAAGCAAGTCACTTATGCGCGCTTAGGATGTAATGCAATACTATGTTAGAAACATGTCATCATGGGTTAAAATTTAGACTAAACATCGCGGAGCGGCGTATCAGTCAATTGTCGCCCTCGGGGAAGATGAGTGCCAGGAACCTCTGGGGCTTGGTACATAGCACCTTCCGAAGTCGCATTGGTCTGCGACTGATACGCAGTATTGGTGTCGAAAGGAGGTGAGTATCCCCGAGCCGCGCCGGGATTTTGGGTCACCGCGTAGCCATGCTGCATCTCATACCCGTTGCCGACGTCATCCTCACTAGACGACCAGTTACCATCGGGGTCCTGGTCATGGCGACGCCGGGGATACACCTGAGAGGCAAATGGGTTATTCGGGACCGCATATCCCGAAGCACCAGGAGCGGGTCGACCTGACGGCGATACGGAGCGCGCAGGCCCAAGTGTTGGATTGAGACGGTCTTGTTCCGGGTTGCGAAGAGCAGAGGTGCTATTGTTGTGGAACGCGGTCAATTTCGCATCCACCGGGTGGGGTGGTTCAGTTCCCCAAGTACGGATGGGATAGGCACGACCCTTGCGCCAGGCCTCGCTGAGCGGAGGGAAGTATTGGCGGTAAGAAACAACGGCGCAGGCAACTCCTAGGAGAGACCCGGTGATGACGTCGAAAGGGTGATGGCGGGCATCCATGATCCGAGACACTGCAACAAGGGTTGCCGCAAGGATGGGCACCATGACCAGAAGGCTTTTCCAGGCCTCTCCACGATTGTCCATGATATGGAGCTTTCCACCCAGCCACAGGGAAGTATAGAATAATCCAGCAAAGGAGGCTGTCATCAGCGAATTGGTTAGTATCTCAATGTTTCTGCAGATCGCAGTTGCGGTATTCCGAGGGCAGAATGATAGTGAGACTCACAACTACTGTGACCTATAGGAAGATGGTTGATTAGCACGCCACACTTCCTGACTTTTGTACTTTTCGAGGGACCTACCTGACGGCCATGAGCGGAACCCATCCTTGATAATTGCTGGATCTCCAGTGCAGATTGTCGAGTTTGACAAGCCGAACACCGGCAGGTCATGGCTCCCAATTACCGGCTGGCACCGATCGATCAAGTCTGGCCGGGGTTTGCCGCAGGCATTCTTGAGGACCTGGGTGATCACAAAGGCCAATCCTTGCGACAGCAGCAGGCCCAAGATCCCACAATTCATCTCCCACAGACGGTCCTTCCATCGCCACGGGCCCCGCAGCTTGCGCTTCCCCGAGACTGGGTCCTGGGGCTTGTGGTGGGAGAACAGCCCATCGATGAAGAGAGTGTAGATGATGATCAGGACGAGCGGGAAAGCACCGGAGATGCAGAGGGCGTAGTAGATGGGGATGCGCTCGTGTACGGCGTAGGGATACTGGAGGGAGATATTTTGGAGGGAGAAGTGCTGGTGGAAGGGTTCGATGGAGTCTAAGATCCAGAAGCCGATTACGCAGGCGCTGGTTTGATCGACGAGCGGCGGTCAGTCCATGTGTTATGGTTTGGAGATGAGATACGGAGCACGAGGATGGGTAGGTTAGAAATGAATACACACATGATGATCACGTAGTCGGCGATGTAGCTAGACGCAACGAGGGTTAGTTTGAGAGCGGAGGAAGAGAAGGGCCGCAGCAGCACGCACGAAATGACGACTCGCGGTCGCAGCCGCCGCTTGGAGAACGGCAGCTTGTCCGGAATCTCCATGATTTCCCCAGGTATAGTTGACTCCAATGGGGGAGGAAGCTGGACTTAAAAGAGAAAAGAGAAGTCAGACTGTAGAAGTAGCCGAATAAGATTAGGCAACCTCAAATTCCAGCAAAGAAGATCGAATATTATTACCTATTCTTGGGCTGGTCGCGTGCCATTGGCGCTGGGCGCACCTCTGGCCGTTGCTTGGCGGTTCTTAGTGCCCCTGGACCGTGATTTAACTTTGTGCTGTGGACGGACGAACCAGCGTGGCTGGGCATGTCATTGGCGTTTTTTCTGTACAAGTTTTGGTGCAAGTTCCAGTTGTGGGCAGTGGAGCACTCCAAGGACGGGACAGCTCACAGATAAACAGGTCTGGGCCTTTTTCTTCAGAATATACCCGCTCCGTTTCAGAATACATCACTCTGGCCAATCTATGTATGTACAGGACGTGTGGTGCTCCGTTATGCTAGAGAACAGAACTATACTAGAGATTAGGGTCTCCAGTCTCCCCTTGTCTCCATCCTTGAAGGTATTATGACGCCTCTACAAGCCTCTCAGCGCCCCGAGACCGCTTTTTTCTGCTTATTCTTCAGTGCCACCGTAGTACTCCAGAGCCCAGCCATATCATAGTTATATTATATAAGATCTTACTAATATTCTAGTAATAGTTATCAAACCTTCCTGAATCATGAACCGATGATCATGTCGCCAAAAAAAGAACAAGAGAAACAAAAAGGTTCGGTCTGGCGCTAAACCTTTCTTCTGCCGCTCAGCATCCAAGCGCTGATCCGCCATTTCGCCGAGAATAGAGAATACTGGTGCGACACTCTCGAGGCGCAGCTTAGCTGCCGTAGGCTGGACTACAACTGTACTCGAGTAGATATCTCAGCTTGAGAACGTGTATGATCTGACATATCTTATTTGCCCTTTCTACACATCGATCCACAGTTGACTAGGCAGCATAATTAATCCGCTTTGATTTGCTGGACTGTGGCAGACTGCGGGCCATCACCCTACTGGCTATACTCGGAGTAATGATTATTCTTATCCATCTCACTGCCGATCAACAGTAAGATCGGACTACAGGGAAACCAATTGCAATATTTAAGAACTAGTCGAGGATTATTGACTGTGTTCAAATTATCAGCCGAGCTCGCCCGCTCGAACATCAATTAACTCCGTTTTAAGACCGCACCAAACGAAGGGAAATAAGACATGACCACACACGCACACGTTCAAGTTCCAACGTGAAGCGCACCGACAAGACAAACCCATTCCTCGAACTATTCATGTCTCCGTAGATAGGTCGGAGGACGAGTTTTCGAGTTTAACACACGGTGATGAATAGACCCAGCCTAAAACCAATGTCAGCTAATCCTGTTCGGAGAAACAGTTTTCTTTCAATATCAGAGAGATGGACATACGGAGATGGATTCCAGTCTTCGAAGAACTCAAAGTCGGTACTTCCAGCATTCTTCATCTCAAAAGCCACAGCCTGTCCGGCCGGGCACGAGAAGGTGGACACTAGGTAGGAGTGACCAGGGGAGAGTGTAAGAGTTCCCAAGCCCTGCGAGACCGAAGGAACGTTGTTTTCGGTGGTCGAGGTAGTGACGGTCTGCGAAAGCTTGCCAAAGGCAACCCTTCCGTCGCCGCTGAAGCTGAATGAAGTAGTTTGCAGCTCTTCCTTCCTGGGGAACAGGAATATCAAACTGCACGTCTTGCCCGAGTACGACTGGGGGATATCGAAGTTGAAGGTGGTAGCAAGGGTCGAATTGACTGTGCCGTTGAATCCAGTGCCGTGGGGGGTATCCGGCTTAGCCGAGTCGATTCGGACCATTAGATGCGGGAACTGGAATTCCCCGGAGAGATTGGTGGGACAGCCGGTCGCGGACGAGGTGGAAGTAGCTGTCGTCGAAGTGGCATTGGCAGGGACACTGGTCAACGGATGGATACTAGTGGACGGACTGGCCGCAGTAGATGTCACTGGCGCAGGCGATATACGGGTAGTGTTGGCGAAAGGTGGCCCAGCCGTGGAGACAGGACATGATGGACACACGGAGCTGCTTGGTGGACACACGCTCGAAGTATGAGCACCGCTCGAAGCCGCCGACTGGCTACACGTGGGGCAAACGCTGGAGCCACCGGAGGCCAAAGAACTGCTGGCAGACTGGCTGCACGAAGGGCAGGGGCTCGAAGGCTGAGTGGTACTAGCCGCGCTGGCAGAAGTGCCTGCAGAAGCACCGGAGGACTGGCCAGGCACTGGAGTGACGGGCACAGTCGAGGTATGCGCACTCGCAGCCGAGGACGGCGCAGCACTACCAGTGGGAGCCGGGGCAACTGGTACCACTGCAGGCGCAGTACCTGCAGGCGCAGTACCTGTAGGAGCAGTACCTGTAGGAGCAGTACCTGTAGGAGCAGTACCTGCAGGAGCACCAGATGTTTGCGAGCTAGCACCAGGGGCTGCAGAACCGGGAGCACCAGGGGCTTCAGTAGTAGAACACACGCAGTTGGTTACGGTAACCGTTGATACGATGGTGACAGGCGAGGCAGAGGCTCCAGCTCCTCCAGTGCCCCCAGGGCCAGCTCCTCCAGGGCTAACACCCCCAGGGACAGTCACATTAGCACCTGGAGCCGCAGGAATGCCAATAACAGGGGCACTGCCAGTGCTGGCGCAAGAGTCGGCACGTAAGATGACGTTCTTGCATTTAGTAACCGAAGTGCTGTTGGTGGTATAGATATTCAGACCACCATTCTGACCAGTCTCACAGGCAATGAAGGCAGAGCCGCCATGGAACTGCAATTGGCCAGAGGACGAGATGGAGAAGCCCGGAGTTCCAGCTTTACCTTCATCACACTGGAACTGAGTAGTCTCCGCTGGCATTAGGATTGTTTTAGCTTTTGATATCATTCGAGACTCGTCGGAGGACACTCACAGGTAATGATACAGGCCTTGCCGGTGTTATCGACAATGACACCGGTAGAGTTGATACAGAAAAGAGATTGATTGAGGCTGTTATCGCCAACGCGACTCTGACCATCGGTCAGCTGACCAAGAGGGCCGGCGACTTCTCCAGCGACATTGAGATGGAAGCAGCAGGGCTGTTCACCCCGTGGGAGGAAGGCAAGTGAGTTGACACTGGCAGCAAAGGCTGCTAGAAAAAAGAAACTTTTCATAATTCTAAAGGGACACCAGGAGAAAGCCTTTAGGAAAGTAAATTGGAGGCCTCTTTAGAGACCGTCTTGACTCGTATATCTCCGTACGTCGATTGTTCGTACCGACAGTATTTTGTGACTGGCGAACGCATCGTAGGTTCAGGGAATTGGATCTTCTTATAATTGGCTTGATTAAGGATCACATCATTAGCGAGCAACGAGAATACTTGGTAATTCGAGCACAACATTCGTACACTCGTAAAGAGTCCGGGTTATATCTCCGGAGGTTTGAAAACGGGATAGCAAGTAAATACTAGTGTGCTGCTGGCCAGTTAGGGTCGAGCTATGCCATTGTCCTTGGGAATGGGCCACAATGAGAAGGCATGTGGGACTTCAACCCAGTCGGACAGTTCCTCCGCAGCAATCAGAGCTTATTTAGGATGTGGAGAAGGGTCCAGTATCAGATAATGTATATAGCGATCAATGCCTATGGCTGCTGTTAGATCTGGCGGATCACTGGGGCTCACCGTAAACAAGTACCCGACTGTCCATGATACTCGCTTATCCTCTTCTTCCGCAATCTGCTGGAGGGGTTTTATAACCAAAAAAATAACTCAACATGAATTAACTTCAAGAGCGTGCAACTTCTCGATGGCCTCTGAGGTCCCTGATGCGATGGTGCTCCTCGCCAATGCTCGGGCCGATCGGATGGCTGGAGTCGTCTTCCGTGGTTACTATACACCGCAGCTGATTCTCATTGATCCCCATACAATTTATTGAGATGGTAAACAGCTCAAAAGGATGGTTCAAATTTATCTGGCTTTCCAATGAGGAGAGACTTGCGTAAAGATGAGGAGAATCAGCTCAGAGCTCAATCATCATCAGAGTATCGACCTGGTATGCGTAAGAACTCAAAAGTCTGCCATCAACTTAAATCTAGTTCCCCGAAATCAAGAACGCGGCGACGGTGATGACGAAGGACCAAACAAGTGTGTCATAGGGGACCTGAACCTTCCTGACTACAACCCAAGGGCATTAAAATTGTGTGAAGCCGAACATCATTCATTCCGTCCAAGCCCTCAGATGGAGGGAGCCGTTGTGGCATTACCGACAGGAATATCAACCGCTTTCCCAAGTATTAAAACATGGAAAATGTGTTGTCGCAAAATTAATTGGAGCTGTCAATACTTCCAGACGTACTGTGTTTTCCAAACCTCTTTAGCCAAGCAGAGAGGTAGGTAGACAAATCTATTTCGTGGACCTCTGGTCATCAGGATACATCCGGCGAGGGTTGAACGGAGCGTCTACTGGGCGGCAGGATCCTCATGAGAAGACTCGGTCTACGACGCATACCCGTTCAGGATTATCTACTCATGTCAGACTGACGATCCATTCCATGCTTCTATAGTACACCCCATAGAATCCGGCAAACCCGTGTGCCGAAGAGATCCCTTAGTAGAAAAACAATCAAATCACATTTGATTAAATCTCCGGACACAAACGGAATTCGGTTCATCCGCGTCATTCTTGGGGTCCAGGTACCACCCCATATTTCCATCCGTGGGGACAATCCATGGGTGCAGAGTATGCGTAACTATCCGACTCTTTTCGGTTCCGCCGGAGGAGACAGCTCGACGGCATGTTATTCAACTCTGCCATCATTAATAGCCTCTTCTATCTTTGACCAAGTTCCAGTAAGAGCCGTCGAGCTAAGCCGGGAATCGGCATCGTCGGTGAGCATTGAGTTGACACGGGAATGACGATTGCAGCATACAGCGGCGGCCTCAATCTGGCTCCAGCATTCTTCTCCCAGTCAAAACGCATTTGTTGACTATGCATCAACAATCATTTCAAAACACCGGGTCCAGACAGATATATGTCTCTTGAAACAAAAAATTATGATCGTAAATGGGGCAAAGTCCCATTAGCCGTGTGGAAGCATGTTGACTCAAGCCTGGGGCTTCATCACATCCGGTCCTCATTTCGTTAGGATAGAAACGGAGCATCCAGCTCAGATAGAAGTGTGTTCCAATCAATAAGAGAGGACGGATCCGCGCTGGCATCAAATATCTGTCCTAGATCATCAAGCATAGGGGACGCAGGGTCGGTGAGTGTTGCTTCTGTGTCAGTTGTTTGCGATGTCACTGGTATTGTAACAGGATCCAGTGATACAGAGGCGGTTTTTCTATCAATCTGCTTCGATCTAGACGATCTTCCTTCGGAAGGGAGCGGAGCCTTGTTGCGTTGGAGGATGGAGTTGAAGATGTCGAGAAGTTTTCCCGCGAATAAGGACTGGCTTTTGCCTTCTTCCAGTATTCGTAGCGCATCTTGAATCTCGGATCGTCGCTCTTGATCCTCATCTGGTTGAAGACTCTTATGGTGGCAAAAGTCCATCAACAGTGCGATGATGGCCATACATACGCAAAGCAGGCTTCCCGCAAATTTGAGTCTTGTCAGAACAAAGGGGATGTCTTCGGATGATATTTGGACTTCAGTGCGGATAACCATCCGCGCAGCTTCGAGACAGGCTTCTTTTGAATAAGAGTATGAGCCCTGATGCGCGCGAGAGAGGTAAGGTAAATGCAGCCTGCAACGCTGCGTGTGTAGCAAGGAGCTAATGACGTATCGATGTAAGATTATGCTGGGTGATCTGCGGAAGTCGGCCTCTGGCATTTCACTCATGTCATAATCCAAGTGAAGGAATGGCGGCAATGCCTGACTGAATTCGCATATTATTCTGTCGATGTCCTTGACCTGTTCGTAATTCGGGTTGCCGGAGTCAGTTTCGAATAGGGGAAACCGATCAGTGATTTCTCGACAAATCTCTCCGAGACGAATCCGCTGGAGAAAATAAGACATGATCGTGGGTTGATCAACTGGCTTGTCAACATTAATCATCCCATCAAAAAGATCTTCGTCGTTTGCATTGGAAGGTTTCTTGGTTGCCATGTGACGGGGGTGGATCATATATATGCCTTTCTGCGAGCCACCCAACTGGGACATCTGCCTACAAGTTACGATTGGATTTTTCATCAGTTATAGCTAGCTAGCTTAGTTGGAGAACCTACCAGTCGGTTGCGACAAGATACCACCACACCCTCCTTCCTATTTCTGCTCTCACGGTGTTGGGGTGAGCAATACTGAGCTCGGCATTATATTTGTGATCGATCAAGTGTAGTGACAGCTGCCATGCAACTGAGATTGCTGTCGAGAAGAGATATCTAGCCTGAGAGGTAAGACCAACGATGTTGGCCACCAGGAAGGCGACAATGATAAGGGCTTGAACGTCCTCGAGAGATTCTGAACAGGTAAAACGGGAATATTCCAGAATCTCGAAAGAAGCTGCCATCCACCTTTTGGATAGGTCATTGGCCTTGACGACCGAGGGAAACACCGCTCGGTGCATGTCTCGCTCAGTCCAGAAGAAGGCGGTGCTGGCTAGAATTGCTAGGAGCAGAGATACTTGGCCCAGCTTGACAGGGCTTTTCGTGGCCAGGTTCTCGTAAAGTTCATCGACAAGTGACCAAACTGAGGGACCATGCACAACATGATGGAGGAACGTGATGTCTGTGAGGTACTTGTGGACTATTTGCTTTGACTCCTCGTGAAGTGGGAGCCAAACAATTTTGGTGGATTTTGTCCCCAGTCCATCTTCCGTGGGTGTGCAAGGTAATGTCTCTTTTATAGAACATGTCTTGAACTCTTTGTACATCGAGTCAGCACGAGTTAGCACAGGACATAGAAACTGACCCGGGTGGGCTCATACTTACGATACTCAGCATTACATAGCCCTACTGCTGAACCTGGGTGTGTAATCTGCGATTCCAGCCATTCTACGTCGACGGTAGAGGATTTCCCCATGAATGGTGTCGAAATATCGCGTTTGCGACGAGAAGGAGGGGGCCCTGGTCGCGAGCCACTTTGATCAGATGGCGACCGTGTAGGCTCCCGTTGGGTCATGACAATTTCCTCCAACCTATGCAGGCGGGCCAGCACGTCTTGTTGGAAGTTCCTAGGAGGTTGATCAGAACTCTCATCTGCGCTGCTCGTCGATAAAACAGATGAGGACTCTAGTTGGCAGGAGAGGCCGCGACTCGAGCAATTGGCGCAGGGCAACTGCCGGCTGCATCTCAGCTTCCGTGATCGGCAAAACAGGCATGATACTGGCCGCGATCGCGATGACCCGGTGCGATTCTTTTCAACGCGCCGCATGATAGATTCATTGATATCCGCGGACTTTGCAGCAGTCTTCGAAAGTACCACCTCCCCGAGGCTGCGCGGTCAGAATGGAGGGAGGGTCCTTGAATCGAACCAATGAAAGGGCGGTTACTCCGTGGAAATTCCGCGGCATCCGCCCGGAGTATTTGCATGTCAGATATAAAGGCAAGGCATTTTGCAGGAAGTAAATCGCAATCTCTACCAAGAAGATTACCTTCAGCTGATACAACTTGAATTCTACCAACTGCCAGTTTGACACAAAATGGACCCCATCATCGCTCAAATTCGTGCTTTGGCCAGGACGTCCGACGAGGTCGGCCGTCTGGAACTTCAACAAGCTCTACGCAAGGTTCAAATGGAGATACAAACTTCCAAGGATTTTCTTTATAATATTGCAAACTCGGTTGGTGACTATAGTGTCTATATCTTGTTGGCAGCTTACTGATTTGCTTAGCAACTCCTTATGGGAACCATTTGCCTAGGCGCTGACATGAAATTGTTTCGCACCATCGCTAGCCATGACGGATCAGTGAACGTTTCCCAGCTGGCCAAGACTACTCAAGCATCTCCTCTGATGCTAGGTAAGAGTTGCTGCTATATTTTTGATGTGAAGGACCAAAGAAAATAATATTGGCTCGCTTTTGAAGAGAGACTACTCCGGTATCTGGGCTCGAACGGCGTGATCAAAGAGGTAGGTTGCAATGAATACCAGGCAAACACTACTACTCACGTCCTTGCCAACGAAAAAGGAGAAGCTATGGTGTATCACGGGTAAATAATCTCTCATTTTCACGCATCGATCAACCTCTTTTGAAAGGGATGCTGATACTGAGCTATAGATTCGATTTCCACGGACCGATCGTCAGAGCAGTGCCTGAATTCTTCAAGGAAAACAAGTATCAAGACATTGATAGCGCTACAAACACCCCCTTCCAGAAAGCTCACAATACCACGCTCAGTGCCTTCGACTGGTTGGTCCAGCAGCCAAAACATTTCGAGGCTTTGCAGAAGGTTATGACTTCAATTGAGGGCTCTGAGTGGACTGTGGGATTCGACCTCTTGGATTCGGAAGCAGCCAAGATTCCCTCAACATCTCCTCAGCCTTACGAAAAGCCCTTCTTTGTGGATGTTGGAGGTGGTCACGGACATCAGTGCATTCAGCTTGGCAAGAAATATCCAGCCCTTTTAGGCCGACTTGTCCTTCAGGATCTTCCAGCAGTCATCAACAAGCTTCCTCCGATTGAGGGTGTAAAGGCTGAATCTCACGACTTCTTCCAGAAACAGCCCGTAACTGGTCAGTCGCTCTTTTTTCCTTTCACCTGCGATTTGCAGGACAAGCAAAACTAATGTTGACATCCGTTTAGGTGCGAAGTTTTACTATCTTCGACGTATCATGCATGACTGGCCCGATAAGGAGTGTACCAAGATCCTCCAAAGCATTGTTGATGCTATGGATGCGAACTCTCGCATTCTCATCGATGAAGTGGTCTTGCCAGATACCGGTGCCCGTTGGCAGGCGACGATGGCTGATATTTCCATGATGATTGCGCTAGGAGGAAAGGAGCGGACAGTTCAGCAGTGGCATGCACTCGCTGACTCCGCAGGCTTGCAGGTTGAGCACATCCATGCCTATACTGCTTCTACCTACACCTCTATTGTCGTCCTGGGCCCGAAATGAGGGGAGGTGACCAAGTGGTTGAAGCAATAGCTAAATTTACAGTAGAATGTAACATAGATCTCCACTTCTTATTTCTCATTGGCAAATATTCAATATCAACTATCAATACTACAGCCATGTCGTGCACCACCACATCATCCATATTCTATCATCCGCCCAAGTCAATTCAGGGACAATGCTAGGCTAGAGCATTATGGTGTACCAAAGACAAAACACGTCGGAGGATTTCTTCAGGTGCGAGGCCACTGTAACTTTCTAGAAGACGTTGGGCATCTGCATTGATGCTTTGGACATCTTTTTGGTACCACTCGGCTCTCTTCGCTTCCGACGACATAGCTGGAAATGGGATGTGATTAGAGATGACTAGGTAGACGGAGGATAACCAGGCAAATAAGTTACTTCCAATGAAATAGGCGACTGTTCATGTTGGGGCTCTGCCAGCCTCGTCGATCTCACGCTAAGCAACACTAACATCGCCTGATCACCCAGCAGCCGCCAACCTACAATCCGTCAGAAATATTCTGGAAGGCCAATCTACTATATAGCTCATGAGAGATTTATATTGAACTTCCGACGAAGGGTTAGATGCACATAAAACAAATGCAGTGGCTCGAAAAAATATTGTACATGGTCTCCTCAGATAGCAATCAAAATCACAGCTTGCCTCCAGTAATCTGCTCGCCCAGCTTCTTGACTCGGTCTTGAGTGACATCCCAGCGAGCAGTCTCGCTCTTCCGAGTCTCGTTGACGATGGACTGAACGGTAGGTGGTATGCCCAGGTTCCAGATATTCTCACCGTGTTGGTGGTCGTTGCGCCAGGCCTCGTTCTCGCCCTCGGGGAAGACGCGGTCGATCTCAGCCGCAAGTTGCTCTTCAGTAGTGATGAAAGTACGGGCGTTCATATACAGAGTCTGCAGGTGATCACGGCGCAGGGCATCTTTCTCGGCTTGCTTGGCCTCCATCCGTGCGCGCGAAATAACCAAACGCTCTTCCCGGTTCGGGTCCGCCAGGATCGTGTGTGGCTGAGGCTGCATGGTGGAGACAACGGATGGTCGGGTCAAGCGCTCGTCTTCAGGCTCGGGTTGTTGAAGGATGCGCTCACGTCGTCTCTGGTTCTCGAGACTTCGGTTGAACATGGTCTCCTCTGCTACTTGCTTGCGCTTGTACAATGTCTGCAGACCCTCCCGCAGATTCTTGCGCCGCAAGACCGCCATCTTCAGTTTGAAGGCCTGCTTCTCGGGGTCACTGCTTTTGGGGTTGACAGTACGCTCGGTCGAAGGAAGAGGTGTGACGGCATCGAGGTATGCTTTGCGAGGCTTGTCCGTGCGACGAGCTGGGAAGAGCTCGCGAGGGACCGGAAGAGTACCCTTAACGAGAGGTTTGGCGGGATTGCTGGCCTGAACGATTCGAGGAACATCGATAAAGTGAGGGGACTCGGGTCCAACTCGAAGATTTGGCGAAGTTGCGAAGCCACGGACCTGCACGCTGGCAGTCCGGCCGCTGCGGAGGACAGACATTCTGCACCGATTGCACCCCGACTCCTCCCTAAGGAAAGAGAATTGGCAGAATAAAGAATATGACAGTTCTTTTGATTCAATAGGTCAATTCCTAGTCAGTCAAAAGGACCGAGGCGCCTGGCTTCTGAAAAGGAGGATTCCTGGGCAGAGCAGGAGACCAGCGCTGGAAGAAACAGAAGCGATTTTGTCGTGGCCCGTGCACGCTCATTTCTTGGCGCCAAAAAAAAATTACTTCTCCGCCTTTTTTTTTTCCTTTTCCTTTTCTTCCTCGCTCTCTGCCAATACTTTTTGTTTTGGTCTTACCTTCGAAATTTTTTTCGCAAGGTCGAATTTCTTTCATACTCTTGAAGACCACAAGAGATCCCGACCATGGGTACAGGCAAGAAGGAGGCCTCGCGTAAAGTGAGGCAGGGGAAGGTTGATGATGGCATGGGAAATGTGCGGATGAAAGGTGAAAACTTCTACCGGTAGGTTTTCAGTGTCAATCAGCTGGAATGAGAAGCAGCCCGGGCTCATATTTTTTCTATCTAGCGATGCGAAGAAGATCAAGACGTTGAACATGTTCAAGGATGGCAAGGCTCGACGCAACGCCGCGGGTGAAATCACCGTCGCCGCCTCCTACCAATCTCGAGATGCCCCCGTTGCTCGTATTGAGCCCAACCGGAAGTGGTTTGGTAACACCCGAGTTATATCTCAGGAGGCCTTGACTTCCTTCCGTGAGGCTGTCGCTGAGCGTGCATCCGATCCATACCAGGTGCTTCTGAAGACCAACAAGCTCCCCATGAGTTTGATTCACGACAACAAGGGCGTGAATGGACTCAAGCAGCATCAGGCTAAGATGGAGATTGAGAACAACCCATTTGGCGATACCTTTGGCCCCAAGGCTCAGCGTAAGCGTGTCAAACTGGGCGTCGCTTCCCTGGAAGATCTTGCCGGCGAGACCGCCAAGGTGCAAGACTCATACCTGGAGAAGACGGACCAGGGTACACACGATGATGGTACTCCAATCGTCGCTAGTGATGTCGGTGCTGTGGAAGATACCATTTTCACCACCGCTCGTGAGTCCGTCTTCTCCAAGGGTCAAAGTAAGCGTATCTGGAACGAGCTGTACAAGGTCATCGACTCGTCTGATGTTGTGATCCATGTGCTGGATGCTCGTGATCCGGTTGGTACTCGATGTCGGAGTGTTGAGAAATACATTCGCGAGGAAGCTCCTCACAAGCATCTGATCTTTGTCTTGAACAAGACCGACCTGGTTCCCACTGGTGTTGCTGTAAGTGTCACACTTTTTGCCCCTTCTATTTCAGTCGTTTCCTTCCCCACGTCTGTCCTTTTTGTTTTCCTCTTCTGTTTCGCTTGTTTTCCTTCTCCTCTCCGGCCATGGTGCCGTTCCATCGCTAAGTCAAGGCTTCTTCCTGCGACTCATGTCGTGTTTTCTTTCAATGGAGGTCTGTCTGTTACAGCTTTGGTAGATCGACAATGTCCCGCACCAAACCTCTTTCTGAGGCAAGGTTGACTGGCCTTCGTCTTGAAGGCCTGTCGTAAGGGACATACGTGTTTTGTTTAAGAGTTGAGTTCTACTACTGCCTTTTTTCTGGTGGCTTGATAGTTGAACTCTTAGTAACATCCCACACATTCCTGATTTATTTTTCAAATACCATTTTTGGTGACTGTTTGCTAACATGGCATCTTCCACCAGGCTGCTTGGGTTCGTCATCTGTCAAAGGACTACCCGACTCTTGCGTTCCACGCATCTATCAACAACTCCTTTGGGAAGGGCTCTTTGATCCAGCTTTTGCGCCAATTCTCGTCCCTGCACTCTGACCGCAAGCAAATCTCCGTTGGCTTGATTGGATATCCCAACACGGGCAAGTCCTCCATTATCAACACTCTTCGCAAGAAGAAGGTTTGCACGGTCGCTCCGATCCCGGGTGAGACCAAGGTGTGGCAGTATGTCACTCTGATGAAGCGAATCTACCTCATTGACTGCCCTGGTGTTGTCCCTCCCAACCAGAATGACACTGAGGAGGATATTCTCCTGCGCGGTGTCTGCCGTGTGGAGAACGTCGAGAACCCCGAGCAATACATTGCGGCTGTCCTGCGCCGTGTGCAGCCCCGCCACCTGGAACGCACTTACGGCATCAAGGAGCCCCAGGATGCCATCGACTTCCTCAGCCGACTTGCTCGCAAGGGTGGTCGTCTGCTAAGAGGAGGCGAGCCCGATCTAGACGGTGTCGCAAAGATGGTGATCAATGATTTCCTTCGCGGAAAGATCCCCTGGTACACCCCTCCCCCCAAGGGAAATAGCGCCGACAACGGGAAGATTGAGGGCCGTGAGGGCCGTCTCGGCGAGATGGGTCGCAAGCGCAAGCTGGACGAGGCTGGTTCCGAGCCCGCTGATGAAGCCGAGTCTTCCGAGTCTAAGGCTGACGGTGAATTCGAAGGCTTTGACGAGGAAGATGACGACGATGATTCTATCGCGAACCTCGAGATTAGCGATGTTGAGAGTGGCGAGGAGGACTGAAGGGACGATGGGCGCCTGTTCATTATTCATCCTGCCAATGACTGCACGCCAGCCTAAAGCTCTAATGCTCCGCGCTGCCTCTGAAATAAAAGAGGACTCAGTCGCCGATTCGCGCCTCTGGCGGCCTCCCAAGCTGAGCCGTGTCGCTCACGCCCTGGTTACCCACCCATGCTTTGGGAACGAGAAAGGTCGATCTTTCTTCAGTAGTGCCTACCAGAGGGCATGATCAAGCTGTATCGTCAGCGGAGTGCAGAATCGCCAACATGCGTAAAGATGCGTGTTCGTCAGGTCTCACCCTGGCTAGCTCCACCCGTTAGGAGGCCACTCACACTACTCGAGATACCCGCCGATTTTGAAAGGAATAGGATCCAAGTTTCATTTCTCTCAGCATGTTCCTTCTACATATACATTTGTAGACTGTACTTCGTATATATTCCACCAGTATGCACAAATATCCAACAAGCGGTCGTGCTGTTCGTGCCGCAGGCTCGTCCACGGCTCGGCTCTTGGCAGCTCACCGCTCTCGGCGTGGGGGTTTCACCGTCATCTCTCGGCTCCAAGCTGCACGCTGCATGCGACCATCGCATGACGAGTGAGCGACTACATTTCCTTTGCTGCCTCCCGCAATGAGGAGACAGTCATGCCGGACGACATGTCTATGATTCCCTACAATGGGGGCAACCTAGACGTTGTACTGTAGGTTTCAGTGCTTCCAACCACCTTCCGAGCTAACGACGCACAGCCGGCACAATGACTCGGTGGTTGTGTTTGACCATGATTCTCAGCAGCTCGCCCTTCGAAACATGGCAGATGACCATGAGGGAAATATGGAACTTGCAAATTGTCCCCTTTGTCACCGACCAATGCACGAAGGCAACCGAGGCAGGCATCGTGGGAGTACAGACCCAGAAGCGGAATTCATCAACCCCAACTACTTTCGCATGCTCAACAATAGCTTACCAAGCTCTGCACGCTCATCGAGACCCTCTTCGCCGCGCCGCCGTCTAGTTCAGCCTGCCCTCCCCGACGGTCCCACCAGCAATCCTTCTTCTCGGTCAGCTCCAACCCAAAGCCAAGGAATATCCTCGTCGGCGTTTAGTCCGGACTATTTCAAACGATTTTTCGTGGAAGAAAAGGTTCTTGGAAAAGGAGGGAAAGGTGTGGTTCTGCTAGTGAAACACGTACTGGATGGCGTTTCGCTCGGCCATTTTGCCTGCAAACGCGTCCCAGTCGGTGACGACCACGAATGGCTGGAGAAGGTGCTAGGCGAAGTACAGCTCTTGCAAAACCTCTCACATCAAAACCTCGTCTCCTATCGTCATGTCTGGCTCGAGAATGCCAGAATCAGCACCTTTGGTCCTAATGTACCATGCGCCTTTATCATACAGCAGTATTGCAATGCAGGCGATCTACATAACTACATCTGCGGTGCTGTTCAGACAACGACAACCGCTCAACAGCTCAAGGATCGCCTCCGAAGGAAGTCAAAAGGAGAGCCAGAGATTAAACCCGAGATGGGAGGACCTCGCATGCTGCAGTTGGATGAAATTTACTCCTTCTTCAGGGACATTACGGCCGGCTTGCGCCATCTGCACATGAACGGCTATATCCACCGTGACTTGAAGCCAAACAATTGCCTTCTTCATGAGACAAGCGACGGTATCCGAGTGCTAGTCAGTGATTTTGGCGAAGTCCAATCACAGGATGCAATGCGCAGGTCAACTGGCGCGACAGGGACAGTCTCTTACTGCGCTCCTGAAGTTCTTCGACAAGAATACCCTGGTGGGCCATTCGGAAATTTTACCTTCAAATCCGACATTTTCTCCCTTGGAATGATTTTGTACTTCTTGTGTTTCGGCGAACTTCCCTACCGCAGTGCTGATATCATCAACGAAGACAATGAAGACTTGGATCAGCTTCGAGACGAGATCACACATTGGACTGGATTTGACAATGCTCGCAGGAGGAGACCCGATCTTCCTGCCAAACTCTACTCTTTCCTAGATCAACTACTCTCTGTGGACCCTGATCGACGTCCGACTGCGGATGACGTTTTGAATGGCATTCAAGCCGCAAACAATGCCAGTGAGAATTTCAGATTTAAACGCAACAATTCAGCTAGTCCCGACTTACCTGGGGGAGCTCGAATTCGCACGGTTGAAAGTCCAGTATCGCAGCCAGGCATGGACAGGGCCCTTTCACCCATTAAACAGAAGATTGCACGAAGCCCCGTTTCATTGAGGCGCGACTCAATGTTTGACACGCCCCCTGGTTCCAGCAGCACCCCAGCATCAGAGACGATCTTGGAAAACAGGTCGTCACTAAGCCCTGACAAAGACCTAGTCATGCGGCAAAGATATTCCACCTCCCCTCCAAATGCATCCACGAGACAATTACACTCACACGAAGAATCTATCAACTCCCCAACCCAGCCTATCAGTCTCACACGACAACTACTTCCACCACCACCCACCTCATCCACATTTCTGAACCACCTTGATGCTTCCAGTCTCTCCCCTGGCCTACAAGTCTCCCTTTTCTTGGTCAAAGTTGTCACAGTCTTGCACCCCTGTTCACCAGTAGCAGTCAGGCCCTGGTTCCTTTATCCCCTGCTTCTGCTAGCAGCAATCACCTTGCGGGCCCATGATTTACGTGTGCAAGCTTTCTCAACATTGCTACATCTCATCCTCGTGGGACTTGGTATGAAATTGGGGGTGCTTTGTACATGGCATGGGGACTTTGCTATGGGAGTTTGATTTCTTCTCCGTTCTGTGTTAATATGAGATATGATTATGTCACGAAAGCCGTTTAATGAATATCCAATACATTGAGATTATTTTCCGAGCTTACTTTTAGTGGATATGAACTTATAGTTCTCCAAGTGAACCACACATATTCTATTCTATATAGTCTTAGTCTCTAATCTGAGAAGGGTCTACGAATGTCGGGGGAGAAAAAATAACGGCATCTCCATTATCTTAGATCCCCCTTGGGCCAATCATACCAGAACGAAGTGCCAGTAAGTACTTTCCTTGCGGACGAGCACAATACAGACAATCGATCAGGTCAGAAAAGCTTGAGAGGAACCCAAAGGTGGTGCAGCCAGAGAAGTCCTCGAAGAAATCGATCTTGGAATTTTGTGATGGAAATGCCATTTCGCTTCTAATGAAGAGACACTTCCATTCTTGCCACGGTAGAAACCATGACAACACGAATTCCTGTGTTGACTTCGCAGAAAGCGGAAGTCAAGAAAAAGAAAATAGATAGCAATCGTTACCTACGAAAGACCGGATGAATATTCATGAACATAATATCGTCTGGAATATTGGTATTTGTAGCCAAATTGACACCTTCAAAAATATCCGAAAGCATTCCTGGAACTAAGGTCGAAGCCGCGCAGCTTTGAATCTGCTCACGCGTTGCACCGGCTCCTCAACAGGTACAAACTCTGGCTCTTCCTCATTGACGAAGCCACCTTGCTGTTGGATCTTGCTATTACGTATTCTGTAAAACTCAGAAGCGATCTCACGGCGATGAATCTCTTCGTTCAACTCGTCTGGTTCCGGAGCTGTGATAGACCCAGGAGCAATATCTCGCTCAACCAATTTCTCGGCCAACGTTTTGCCCTCTGGAGGCGTGGGAGCTGAGGGTCCAGCGGGAAGGTCTATGATCGGCGTGGAGAATGGCTTTGGCTCTCTGGGAGTGGCAGGGAACAGACCAGGGGGTGTGGCTGAGGGAACGGTGGTGGCTGAGGGGCGAGAAGCCTGATGCTCAGAAGGTTGAGAGGGCATTTGGGAAGATGCAGGTTTGGCGGATGGTTCGGCTGCTGTAGCCGCAGAATCGACTGCTCGAGCGGTCTTGAACCGAGAGGACTTCTTAGATCCATTGGATGAGGCTGAACGAGACTCCTGTGGCGGCTCTGTGCGCTCAACGATGGCATCTGAGAGGACCTGGACGCTTGCTTGCGGCTTTGGCGCAGGAGCCTTCGTCTCAGCTACAGCGGGCGCAGATGTCGGGGCGATGTCTAATTCCTCTGCAAAAGCGACCTTCTTCTTCGGCTTCTTGCCCTTATCAGAGCTACCGGCCTCTCCATCCTCTTGCACCAGTTCTGTGGCAGAGTTTTCAATCTCCTGGCGAATTTCCTCGGGGAAGGTTTGAGTGTCCTTGCCCAGATTGGTCATGCCCCTGGCGCTAAGTTTGGCTTCCAACTCCCGCATTTGGCGATGGTACTCCTCGGACAACACGAGGTGTGACCGACCAAACTCATCTTCATCCTCCTCTTCTGTGGCCATGTCGTTGTCCTCGTCCGAGATGGAGAACTCGCTGGCATCGTCATCCAGTTCTAGTTCTGCAACGATTGTGCCAATTTCGTGGATGCCGTATTCCAGCATTTCGCGTCGGAGAGTTGCCTCATCGGCAGGTTCGTCGATATTAGTCACCGGAGACTGGTTGCGATCCTCTGGGGTGACAAGTGACACTGGTTGCGACAGGTCTAGCTCCTCCTCCTCTTGTGAAACATCGCGTCCGTTCGTGGTGGATGCGCGGCCATTTGATACCACTTCGGCCTGATCCTCGGCCGTATCTACATTATCCTTCTGATCAACAGCGCTGGACTCGACAACTTTCTCAGTTGGCTGAGAGGTCTCCGGAATCTCGTCAACGCCAGCCTTCTTCAGAGCTTCCAGAATCGCCGGCGCATGGTCTCCGGGGGCATTGACCGAGCTGGAAATCACGTTCCCCTCCTCGTCCAGTTCTTCCATGATTTCCTTCATTGGGAACCCTTGATCACTGGTGATATCGGCAGGGAGCTGGTCGTCCGAATCCAACGTGTACAGCTCGTTCTCTACCCCTCGAAGTCTCTTCTCTATTGTCGCGCCATTCTGCTTCACATAATCGATTCGTCTGCCTAGAAGGTCGACGATTTGGGTGCGCGATCGTGTGACGCCCGCCTCTGTTCGAAGGATCGTCTGTATTTCCTTTTCGTTCACTAGCGACCCTTCGTACTGGCGCGCAACGGCGATGAAATCATCGGTGGTGGCATCGTCGTGCAACTCTTTGATCTCCTCTCGAAAGCCATCGTATTCCGCCTCCCAGGTTCGCCAGTGGTAGAGGGATTTCTGGAGCTCGGAGATATTGTCTTCGAGGGCGAGTCGCCGCTGCTCGAGGTCGTGGAAATTGTGATTCGGGATACCCATGGTATTCTCAGTGATAGTCCGTCTCGTCAGATATCATATAACTGCTTCCATCTCAGTCAAGTAAGTGAGAAAAGTGAGGTGACCGGGGGGCAAAAAAAGAACGCCGAAGACCGAATACTTGGCCCGTGCACGTGGTGGAGCCCGCCTTTATCTCCAGCTTTAGCTGTTATCCGCCGCCTTTCACCTTCTGGCAGCCTACAACTCACCACCATGGCGTCCAAGAATGGGATCGACCGCCGGGATGAGGACGGTGAGCTCTTTCATGCCTCATATGCTGGTGAATATGCTAATACTCCCTTTGACAGAGGTCTGCCCCGTCTGCAAGTCCTCGCGGTATCTCAACCCGAATATGCGATTTCTCATCAACCCAGAATGCTACCACAAGATGTGCGAGTCCTGCGTCGACCGAATATTCTCCTCTGGACCCGCTAGCTGCCCCGTCGCTGGTTGTCGTAAGACCCTCCGCAAGAACCGCTTTCGCCAGCAGACCTTTGAGGATATTGGAGTTGAGCGAGAAGTGGATATTCGACGGCGCGTGATGCACATGTAAGTCACTTCCCGTTATGGATTTATGGTGAAAGACTCTAACACTTTCCTTTCCTAGACTCAATCGACGTGAAGAAGAATTTGATTCAAAGCGTGCATACGACGATTTCCTCGAGCAACGCGAAGAAATAATCGCCAACCTAGTCTGCCGAATCGACGTGGCGAAAACAGAAGCCCAACTACAAGCCTACGCACAAGAGAACATGCAATCTATAAAAGCAAATCAAGCACTCGAGGAACAAGAAGCCACCTCGTTCCAGAAGAAGATTCTCCTGGAACAAGAAGAAACCCGAATGCGCCAACAAATTGCCCGGGAGGAATACGAGAGCGAGCGGCGCGAGCAACAGGCTACACGAGAAGACTTCCTCACTCGTCTTGCATCCGGATCTGCTGCAGACGCAGCTGCTATCGCTCGCGAGGGACACAAGGTGCACCTCAAAAAGTCGTCTGCCCGGCGCAGCGAAGAGGATCGTATCCGACAGAAGCAGGCTGCTCTTCGGGGGACCGAGGTCAAGCGTACTGGGACACCTCTTACGACGGCCGATACCGCTGGTTCAACCCCGGGTGCGGGATTCATCAAGGGATTGCGCAAGATCAAGACTCCCGAGCCAGAGAAGCCGTACGATCCATTCATGGGTCTTGTGCCTGGCAAGCGCGATTACTACACCCAACTGGAGTCCTACCCTTACGCCTTCTTGGACAAACTCCGCTCAGACTTAACTGTCCAGGCTGGTGGGTATGACCTGCAGGAGTATTACTCGCGCACGCTTTTGGAAGCGTTTGCTGGTCTGGGCTGCTTTGTCCAGGAAGAGGTTGCAAAGCGTGATGCTATCTCTGCTCTTGGCATTTCGAAGCCTGCTTCTACCGAGGGAGCTGCAATGGCTGCCGTTGGTAAAAACGCTGCATAGTTCAGAGGAGTGGAAAATTTGGCATAGCGATGGCGTTTTGATTTGTCTTTGGATTTTTTTTTAGTTTATAAAGTACCCGATGCTTAGGATTTTCTACTCAATCAACGAAAATTGACTATCTCATTCCTAAGTCTGGCATAGCAGATCTTTCTATAAAGACTGGACACGAAATAGGGTGTCCCACCGGGAATCTGATACTAAGATGGTCTACAAGAACAGGAAAAGAACAAGGTCTCGCAGTGGGACATTCAAACTCCAATAGAAATACCATTCGCAAAAATATTACAGTCGCCAATACCCAATAGCTAAATCCACAAAACCCAAACACTAAAATTTACGTGCGACCAGTCAACTCCGCAGTGCTTTCAATGCCCTCCCAGGGCAGCTCCTCTTCGTCTTCATCCTCCAAATCGACCGGACCTGAGCGAGACTTGGCGCTGTTCGCGGTCACATCAATTCCAATAGATTCCAAGGTAATATCAAGGTCGCGCTTGGTGATCTCGCCCTTGCAAGTTTCCAGAACGTCGTAGAGAGCATAAATCTGATCCGACTTCAGATCAATGTCCTTGAGCACAGTCTCGATCTTCTGCATGACCGATTTGCGCTGGCGCTTGCCGAGTGATGCATCAAGCTTGTTATAGGCGCTCTGGTAGGAAGCAAGCTGCATCTTCAGGTGAGAAAGTTCGTCTTCCAGTGTCTTTAGGACAGTGGCGAGGGCAATGGCAGGGGGCTGAGAAGGGCGCATGGTCGGGTCTTCTGTCGTGGGCATGCGCTCTGAAACAGGAATGGGCTTGGGGATCTTAACAGCCTCGTGGTTGCAGGGGCCTTCGTGAGGGAGGACGTCCTTGCAAATCATGCAGTTGTTTCCGTCATGTTGAGCGATTTCGTCCAAAGCACGCTGGGCCGACTCCGGCAGGCGAGAGGGATTACTGCCCGCCAGCTCTGCGCGGCTCAGGGTGATGTCAGGAAGAATGAAGGCCGAGGTCATGTCTTCAATGTTCCGGCGCTTCTTGCGTTGAGACAGCGAGGCAACGGAGTGATCTGAATGGCGTCTCGGGCGTTCGACAATTGGCACGACAAGACTGATATCACCATCAGCTGTAGCTGCCGATCTGGAAGTGACATCGCCCGCAGCTGAGGCAGGACGGGAGATGGTGGGCCTAGGTTCACGGAGTGATGATTTGCGTGGAAGAGGGGCTTTGAGAATGCTCTGGCGGGTTGAGTTCACGGTCTCAGTGGCAGTTGTATCCTTTGTAGCACTGAATCGGCGCTGCTTGCGGGATAGTCTTTCCTCCTCCAATGTTTTCCGAAGACGGGCAATTTCATTTTCCTGTAACATGAGTAATTAGCATCTTGCATGAAGAACGAAAGATGGGAGTCCAGCAACGCACATCAATAACGCTTAGCAGTGTCAGATCTTCCACATCTGACGAACCCTTCGTCTGCTCGGTAGACTCAACTGCGCTGCTTATATCCTCCAGAATGACACGCTTGACGCGCTGTTTGGAGGTATTTGGCTGTTTCCTAGATCCCTTAGATTCAGAATGGCCAGATCTAGCGGACTTGGAGGTAGATGCCCGCTTTGAAGTAGGCATATCAATGGAAAACAGCGCCTCCTCCGCCCGCTCCTTCTCCAGGCGAGAAATCTCTTTATCCACCTGTGTTGAGATCTTGGCTCGCGAATCGTCCTGGCGCTTGGACTTCAGATTATTGCGGCTGCTCTTAGAGGTAAGGTTCCTTGTGCTGCGGCTCACGTCTGTGCTATAGACATTGCTATCGTCAGGATCAGAGGCAGACACGCTGGAATCTGTTTCCAGGGCCTCATCATCGCGAGATTTGCCCGAGACGCGGGACAGTTGAGACTTCAGGTTTGCATTCTCCTCGAGTAGTTGATCATTCTCGGCCTTGAGTTCTCTGGTCTCAAGATATGCCACGCCCAACTGAGAGATTGCAGATTCTCTCTCGTGATTGAGGCGTTTGACCGCGGCCTCTTGGACTTGGGATTTGCGGTCCGCAATATCCAATTGATTCTGTAGAGCGATATTGGCAGCTTCGAGCTCTGTACCAAAGCGTTAGCATAGGAAAAAGTCCCCCGAAACAATGTAAACTCACTCTGAATGTCCGAATTAAGACGTTTTGAGCCCTTCTTATAGTCGACATCTTCCCTGGCATACTTGTCCGAATTTCGGGGCCGCCCAGCCTTGAGCAACGCATTCTCCTCACGGTAATTCTCAATCCGTCTCTCGGCGTCGGACTTGAACATCTCCAGCTCCGCGACCTTGTCTTGGAGAAGACGCAGGGAGACGAACAACGCCTTCTCATCCTCGGGGATCGGAACTGCGTCAAGAGGCATATGCTCACGCGCAAAGGACATGTCGGTCGCATCGTGGGGTGGTGACACAAATCGAGTGGAGCGCATTTTGTGCTGGCGAGGGAAGACGGGCGTACCATCTTCGTACACCCGAAACAAGCTCGGAGATATTGGGGAGATCAGGGAGGAGGAAAGACTGACGCGTCATAGTGTCACCCATCGTGTTGGTATGATTGTTGCCTGTCTTGCGGGGAGTACCTCCGCTGCTGGCTTTGCGCATCTCCTTCGCGTATGCTTCCCGCGAAGCGCGCTCGACCGCATCGGCAATCTCTTGAGAGTTGTTCAAGTTGCCGAAACGCGTTGATCGCGTGTTGGTTGTAATTGGAGCAGGGCGTTCGTCTCCAATGAATGAACCGTCATAGCTGTCGCGTACTTTCGCGTGCATTTCCGAGAGGGTCCTCCGTTGGTCGCGTTGTGATTTCGCGGTTACTTGAGGACTCATGTTTTCCTTCTGGGCTTGCGTTGCGCGTCGCAATTGAGCATCCTTTCGGAGGTTCTCGCTCACGGCGCGTCGGGCTGTTGGACGCGCGACAGGTTGTTTCTGGGGCGTCGGGTAGTCGACGCGAACGGCTGGGGAGGAGGAACGAATGCTATTCTGGAATGACATGACAGAGTCGCGAGAGTCATCAAGGCGACGAGGACCTCTACCCGAGGGACCACGGCCCATCTCCATGGACAGGTCGCTGACATCGGACATGGTGTCACGGTCTAGATTTCGTTGCTGTTCTCCTTCGTTGTCTTCTTCTTCCGATGTGGGCAACTGAGAGAATTCAGGGAAAGCGCGCTCTAGTGTTGACGTGTTGATCACAAAGTCTGGCTCCTCCTCTTCCTCGTGGGCGTGTCTCATGTTGGGAAGCTGCGGACTGCCGAACTCGCGGGTGGATGCCAACGCTTCGTGTTCAGGGTCGAAGTCGGAGACGGTAAAATCCAATTCTGAGAGAGGCATGCTCAAGAGCCTAGCTTAGGAGCAGTCTGAAGTTTGCTACCTGTTCTTGAGGGGCGGGGAGGTGCACATGAAGCAAAGCGATAGCTGGCAGCGGAGGTTGACAAGCGGCTTTGTTTTGAAGGCTGGGAATGTTTTGGCTGCGCGTCTTGGCCAATCACCCCTGTCCGTCCCGCTCCACATACAACTTTGGGAATACATAGATCACTACCTCTTAACACTATCAGTCAAAATGCAATGTTCAGTTGTTTATTTATTTGAGGATCTTCCATTCTCCATATCAGCCATGTTTTTGCGGTAATGGAGGCTGCCGATTCATCTTATTGAGATTCGAATTGGTGTACCAATCTAACTAATCGATCGCGCCGGAGAAATATATATAGGACGAGGTTGACACAAAGGTTTCGTCAAACCTAAGGATTCCATCCACATCCAATGCATGGGCTCTCCACCCATATTCAAGCAGGTCTAGGTGCCCGAGTTTGATGGATAAGACAACCTAAATGGGCATTGAGCTTATACTTAAAACAGCCTAAGAACTACCTTTGCCTGCGTACAAAATTACCTACTCCCCTGTTTCCAATTGATCACTCGTCTACCAGTGTGGATAGCTTTCAAGATGCCCCAATCACTTCCATGGCTTGAACCATATACCGAGGTACCTACTTGGACAACCGAAATCACCACTGGAATAATTACGGTTGTGATGGATACTGTCACCTAGACCAGGTAGATAGTTTGCAGTTGCGCTGTCTAGATTTTCCAGATCCAAACCTATCCCAAACCTCTTTTCCTCCATCGAATGCGAATCTTCCCCAGTTTCATTCTAGCGAGCCGAAATCCCACGACCGAGAAAAAAGAAAGCACAAATAAGCCAGAAGGCCCTAAACGACAAGATTTATGACTGACATATGATCAAAGAATAAGACGGGAAAAATTCCAAATGGAATGAAAAACAAATCACAGAGATGTACATTCGTGAAAGTCGTGCTCGTTATTAAAAGATGTCTCGCCTCGTTGGTTGAGTGCATTCAAATGACGTAACTCTTGAATACGCTCGCTGGTATTTCATCATGAGGAGGAGGAATATTCAGCTGTTAACCCCTGATTGTTTGCAGGTGCACTGTCGGATATTTTGGTCGATGTCGGCAAAGGCTCTGAGGCTTTTGTCGAGGTTGGTAGGGTCAGAGAGTTCGGTAGCAGTCTCCTCAAGAGTCTGAGATCCGGTAGGCGTGACCAAGGAAAGCTTAATTGGATTAGCGATGTTCAGATGAATGGACGCCAATCGCTTTATTCTCGGGAGCTGTTGCCAGTCCTGCTGGTCAATAGGATTCTCGTATGGAGGCACCTTGCGAGAATGGGAATGCTGGTACCCAGTGCTCTGCCTGAGTGGTGGAAAATCCACCAGCCCATGGTAGTAGTCCAGCTGCCTCAATACCTGACCCTACTGCGGTATCTGCCGGTTGCCACGCCCAGCCCAGATCAGACATGAACAGTGTCTGAAGCTCCTCGAGGCTTGCCTGGCCCAATCCAAGTTCAGGGTCATGGGAATCATCAGTCCCTGCACTTTGTTGTATTGGGCCACCCGATGGCGTGTCGGTATCAGTGGTAGAGTTAGGCTTAGCACTATTCGGGGCTGACGACGATACAGCCTTCTCGGGGGCGTGTCTCTCTGGGATAGACTTGCGTGCCATTCGAAAAATGGACAAGGGATTCAGTACATAGTCTGGTGCACTCTGCACTGGGGTTCCAGGAACGCTCTCACTGTAGCCAAGTTAGCACATCTAGTCAATTGAGGATGTACGGGAGACAAACATCTCGGCCTCCTCTCCGTTGGGCTGGTAAGGATCATCAGGTATGCTGTTTTGCGCGACAACATCTGATCCTATCCCCGAGCGATCAAGCATGGTTTCAGCTGCAGAGCACTGATTGAAAGGCACCGTCAGCTCCGACAGCCAAGTTCTGGATCCTCGATTATGAGAGTATGGGAATACTTACCAAAGAGTTGGAAATCATACTAAGAGATCCCATGAGTCTCAGGGAATGGATGTTACTTCGTAAGAGGGGGATTGTTTCAATGGTGATTCTTTTCGTTTCTTCAGCTCGAGGATCTAGAATCTGGGTCAAATGATAGACCATAATCCGACAGCTGTCGTATGTGATCGTCGGAAGCCAAGAATCTGCTAGCATGTGGGAGCCATGATGGGCAGTCTCCCCAATGATACTGGCTAGTGTCCTTGCCGCATCAAAGAGGACCTTTTGGAGATGTTTCAGAAACTCTTGCTGTTCAGGAGGAAATTCAAAGGCAGCCCGTAGCTTGTAAAGGGCTGGAGCTCCTAATCGGTATAAATCGCATATCGTTTGATAGTGTGCACAGTGCAGGACGCAGAGAGCCCCAAGTTGCGAAGAGTCCTTTCTGATGTATATTGCGTTGGGCGTAAACTGCAAACTTGGTGGTAAGGATTCGTACCATGCGCGACAATCTGCGTCCAGCGCTGCAAATTCAGATTGAGGGTCCCATGGGACCATGGCATCATCAAGGTGTTTAATGTATCTTTGTTCTGTTCATCAGCTAAAATCATCCTGTTATGTCGATAAACGGCCACTTTACCTCAGAACCTTTTTTCGAACTGCAACGTGGCGAACAAAGTATGCCATAATGCCCATATTCGGTAGGATAGCGCCTGAGTCCTCTCCTTCAGGAAAAAAGCTCAACCAGCTGCCAGGCTCCAGTGTTTCAGTGAGACACGGGATCTGCTGAGTGAAGCTTCGCTCATTGCAAGGTAGCTGGATTTTCATGTCTTTCTCATCAATTAGAGTCAACTGATCCACTCCACTTCCAACAAGAGCATCCATAACATAGCAACTCCACATCAGTCGCCGACGAGATTCTCTGGCCGTTACAGAAAGGCCAACATCAATATTATGGCAAAGAATATCGGTGTTGAACTCCAAGTTAATCTGCAAGGCTTGGGTCATGCGTGTGATAATACCACTCAGCATGAAGGCGTTTGCAAAATTCCCCATACGGATCGCATAGTCATTTAGCAAGACAGCTGCCTATTATGCACTCTCAGTAAGATCGTTGGACACAGCGGCAGGAGCGGTGGACGGACTCTTAAGTTCTCAATTGTGACATTATCCAAAGACTCAAGGATAAGTCTTTGGGCGATTTTGGCCCACTCATTTCCCGCCAGGAGGATAAATTTCGATGGAAGCGGCGTTACTGTCTCACTGTAGGAAAGTGCGTAAAACCTGTGATAATGATCAGTCATCTCTGGCTCATGGATGAGAAGTTCAAGACCAGGCTTACTGGGCGCCAAGGGCGCAGATTATATGGAGCAAGGCGCTGTGCTGATGTTGATTTGTCGAATCCTTATCCAGTCTCTGCAAGAATGTAGGTCGGTGGATGAAAGCAAAGCAGCGTAAGGGGTGAATATTGTTGAAGTATTCTTCGACAAGTAATCTGATTTTCCAAGTACCTGGTAGCTGACGCTCATTTATCCTGTTGAAGCGTAAGAAGAAGTGCTTTCCGTGCCGCTTTGAGTTACTTACCAAGCGAGCGATGGTATCGGCGGCTCGACTGTGTCCGATTCAAAGGAGGGACGATATGAAGGGCATGGAGATTGCGGCGTCGCTTGTTTCCCAAGAACCGGCGTTGGAGTTGACTGCGGGAGATTCCCAGGAGACTCGCCAGGAATTTCCTGCGGAGTGAGAAGGGTATCTTGACTGTTATTTGGCGTGCGTTCAACGCGTCCTATCCAGCTGGGTTGAGATGATTCGGAATAGACACAAGCGACGGCCTTGCTCTGACACCTTCGACATGCTGGGCGTTCTCCTGAACATTTTGTTTTCGAGGCACGACATGCTGTGCAGGATCGATATGTTCTTTTTCTTTTGGAACTTCCTCTAGGTTCCTGTGAAGAATTTCGGACTTGATTTCTTGGTGATGTTCCATAGCCCAAGCAAACCAAGCGCAGTCTGGCACAATTACCACACTCCCCTGGCCGCTCGTCGCACTTGACCTATTTTGATAGAGAACTGTTAATGGGTGAATATCATGTCATCCAGCAGGTGTTATCTCACTTTACGCGCCCGACAGGTGCGACAGCCTATGTAGGTTATTATCATGCCAGCAAAATCCAGATCCAAGCAAGGACTTACCGAAGCGTGATCTTGATGCCTTTGATGTCCCTGTACATGCAGTAGTCGCCATTTCAGTGATACTTATCTCAAAAGTCTCCTGAGATACTCTCGACGTCGTTAACTGACAGCAAATGGTGAGATTGGAGGGTTTCGGGCCATCGGCTACATAACGGTTGGTCGGCTAATGATCCCACGATGTGGTGACATGCGGGCCTTGAATGACGAAATGGAAAAAAGTGGGGATTGGCGGGGCTGCCGATGCTGTCTTGTTTACTGCGTCACGCGTGGACTTCAGAAATTAGAGAAATTGTGGCGCATTTATTTACTCCACAGTCAAACGAGTCCTCATGTATAAGAAAGGGGATCCTATGTATTAGCTCCACCGAGTATTTCGTCCATCTCGTCAAAGATTGAGGTGTCCGAGTACGACAGTCGCACTGTGGAAAGAAATATCTCGACTAGAGAAACTTACAATGCCTTGAAGGTTGCTAGTGAATAGGAGGCCTCCTTGATAATGAATCCAGCCGGATTAAAGGTCGCATTCTATCTACGGCCAACTTGGAATGACCGGAAAATTCACTGAAATGGTTTCTTGAAGCTCAGCATTGTAGAGTGCGGTGTGCTCCCTACATTCGCCCAATAGGAGAATTACTGCGTTCTCAAAATCGCAACGTCCCGGTGGGCTTCTGCAGCTTCAAGTATTGCCGGGAAGATCATTCACAATGATGCTTGCTCATGCGAGGAATTATTTCGAATGCCGCGTAAGACTCAATGGTGTTGAAACACCAATTAATTGCTTTCCACTAATAATTTGCAGCGCTGTATATTGAAGCATCCAGGCATGAGTGACCGAATAGAATATACAAAAGCCAGCGTCTGATGCGCCCCGAAATGGACGATAAACACCTATTTCTGCGTACCGCAATCTGCATTTTTGTGTATTCCGCATGGCTCGTCTGAGAAACATCTTACTTGCAAGCCTGTCATGCTTGCTGGGATTATCCACGGCATGGTATAACCCAATTCGCAACCCAGGAGGCAGTGATCCTTTTCTTGTCTATACAGGCGGATATTACTATCTCTTGACTACGACATGGACTGACGTTGAGATTGCGCGAGCAACAACAATTGCCGGATTGGAGACTGCGACCAAAAAGTCCGTCTACTCTACCTCAACGGCGTCACGATGCTGTAACGTTTGGTCTCCGGAGGTCCACTATCTCGGGGACACATGGTACATATACTACACTGCTGGTGAAACGACCGATCTAGATGGACAGCGGCTCCATGTTCTTACCGGTAATCCTCCATGAGTATCTTTAATCTGTGCAAATCGCTGATGATAAGCATTCAGGGGGTTCCACTCCTTGGGACGATTTCACCTATACCGGTCAACTTACCACTGAGTGGTCTATCGATGCGTCTGTACTGCGCTTCACGGACTATGGAAATTTCATGATGTTTTCGTGCTTTCACGGTGTGACATATCAATCCATTTGCATTCAACAGCTAGGCTCCGACTATGTCTCGTTGATGGGTGATATCTATGTCATTTCGCAGCCCACCGAGTCATGGGAAATGAATGGCACACCCGTGAACGAAGCACCTGCGGCCCTGTACTTTGGAGACACAACGTACATCTCGTACTCTGCCTCATATTGTTGGACGGCAGACTATTGCTTGGGGCTGTTGACTTGGGATGGCTCTACTGATCCAACTGACGCTAGTTCCTGGTCGAAAAATGATGGATGCGTTTTCTCCTCACCAAATGGTAACTATGGCACAGGTAGCAATGGCTTCTTCCAAAGTCCGGATGCAAGCCAAACATGGATTGTCTATCATGCCACAGAGTACAGCTCGGGTGCTTGCAATGACAGTAGGTATACCATGGTCCAGTTATTGGGAACCCATAGTGATGGAAGTCCCAACTTTGGTAGCCCAGTGGCGTGGACTCATGCCTATAGTGAGCCAAGCGGAGAATGAGCCTGAGGAACTCGTCCCAAGCATGTGCCGAAATATCTAATCCTGGTGCTTGAGTGCGAGTGATCGATATCTATGTTCGGATGCCGTGGCTCACTCAACTGGAGGTCAATGGCTGATCCTCTTTTCTAAATTTACTTGGAACTTTCATTCTAGGCCTTAAGAGTACTTACAGAGGCTTTTTGGAATACAAACTCAACAGGGTTTGGTCTCTCGGTATGCATTATTGCTTGATACACTGTGAAAGTTGCCAATTTATTCGTTTTGGCGTGTATGGTTCTATGAATTATAACACATTGTAGGTAGAGGTTTATCGAAGCGTTTCTGTAGCTCGAGGTTCGCCAGACATCCTGGCCTGATGACAAGTGTTTGGCCCACCACTGAGTTGTTGTTGCTGAGGTCTACCCATCAAATCGAGCTCCAGACAGCAGGATTATCTTTTTCCACCACATACCCTTGGGAGGTATTTGTTAATTCTAAATCGTTTGGTCTTTATAGTATTTCATAAGCCGGGTCATAAGTCTGATGCCCAGCAACCTGATTCGTAAACGTCATCCGCACAGCCGAAGCGCGTTGAGAAACAGAAACGCGCGACGCACTCACAATCCTACCGATAATCACGAGTCTTTCCACCTTGAGGCTACCCATACCTGAAGCTCCTTTAGTCTCCGCCTGAGCTGATAGAAGACGGTATTTCCAAAATTTCAATATGAGCCCTCATACTCATTTTATCTATCCTGTCAGTGAGGTGGGCTCGAAACTTGATGGATGATGTGTTACGGCACGTTCCATGATCTCTCTAGACACACCCGCAGATTGACAAACGGACGATCCCTCACTATCCTACCCGATCCAGACAAGCCATATGGTGCCTGAACATAGATGTCTAAAATTAGACCGATTTAAGCGGCGCCCGTCTCGAAAAGCACCTCGTTGCAATTTGGCCTTGGGGATTCAAAATGACTCCCCCAGTCTTGTTTAGTACAAAATCGATGGTGTTTGATGGTGAAGAGTGAAGACCGACTGTTATTAACATTCTAATCTCTCGTTAGCTTGATCAATCGATTACCCATTTTCCAAGATTCTATTTACAATGCTGTCTGCATTTGGAGCTCCCGCAACACAAACAGCCATCATACAGCATGAAGGTGGAAGCCTTAAGATTACCCCAGGTTTGCCCATACCTGAGCTCGAGCCGCATCATATACTGGTGCGTACCGCATCCGTGGCACTGAATCCCTGCGATTTCAAGATGCCCCTGCGATTCCCTACCCCTGGACTCTGGGATGGATGTGACTTCGCTGGAACTGTCGTCGGCCTGGGTAGCAAAGCAGCCGCGGAGGGTCGATTTAATGTTGGTGACAGAGTTTTCGGCGCTGTTCAAGGATCAAATCAATCCGACCCTACCTCGGGATCTTATTGTGAGTTTCTGAAAATTGATCAAGATTTTGCCTTCCATATCCCGAAGGGGGTGTCTTTCAGCACTGCACCCGCATTATCTGGTACTGGCATCGCCACACTCGGAGTTGCCTTATTCTGGTCACTCCAGATTCCTGGCAGTTTGGAAGCCCCATCCAAGATACCGATGGATGTTCTTGTATATGGGGGAAGCAGTACTATTGGACTTCTCGCCATTCAAATGGTCAAACTGTATGTCGCCTTAATCCCATGAGGCAAATTAATCTGGTCGAAGGCTGACATTCATTTAGCTGTGGCCATCGAGTCATAACAACGTGCTCCCCAAAGAATTTCGATTTGGTTAGGTCTTATGGTTCCGACCTGATTTTCGATTACAACTCCGATACTTGTGCGCAGGATATTAGAAGTGCCACAAAAAACACGCTTCGCTATGCTCTTGATCCATTTGCTGAGGCAAAGACAATTCGTTTATGCCAGGATGCCATCGGCCGAACTGGAGGGAGATACTGCGCGCTGGAGCAGTACCAGGAGCATCTTTGCACTCGAAAGACTGTCAAGAATGACCTTGTTATGGGAGGTGCTATCTCTGGAACTGGCGTACAGCTTCCAGAGCCGTACGGGATTCCACCACGACCGGAAATCGGCATTTGGGCTCGGCAGTGGTATAGGACAATTCAACACCTAGTTGAAGCCGGCAAAATTAGGCCTAGTCCAATCAAGCTCCTTCCTGGCTGTTTTGAGGGAATAGTCGAAGGGTTGGAGATGCTGAAAGAGGGCGCTGTCTCAGGTCAGAAGTTGGTTGTATTACTAGAGACCGCAGCTTGATCTGGCCTCAGGAAGGGTTTCACGAAGGAAGTTGTCTACGTGCGTCCGCCCAATCTCTGTGACTTTGGTTTGCTTCCAATTAGCAAATTCTGGTAGATAGAAAAGGCGACACGTTTTCATGCTCAGAAAAGTCTGAAAGGTGATCACGGGAAGGCTTGACTTGATTCCCAATTGATCGACTTTTCCTCCTCTGAGGCTGGAATTCTCTTATGAGTGTATCGAAGCAGGCAGATAAACTCCGGATATACCAGATAAAATTGTACTTGGTGGTACTGAAAAACCGGAATGAAGAAAAATATGAAAAGCGATCGACACAAATTTATTGGTATTGAAGTCTCTGCCGTACGCTTATGTCATTTCGATCCGGGAGTTTGGTAACTATTTATTAATTCGCCGAGGCTTTCACAAGTTGATCCAGACATTTCATCGTCTCCTTCAAAGGGATCCCAGAGACTATGCCTTCATGAGCCACTATCTGCTCTCGAATGACTGACAGTGAAGTATTGTTGAGAGTAGAGCTATGAGGACTTGACGGGCTATCCGACCCACAAAAAACTTCAGACTGCAACTCGAGGGCATGTTCCAGCTTTGTGAGAATGTTGAAGCTGAACTCAATCAGTACTTGAACTTGTACAATCAAAGTGTCGTCCATTCCATTTTGTGCATATTGTGAGCTTGGAAGCAACAAGAATCTTGAGCCTTCAGGAAGGGGGACGATGAGGAACATCTGATAAAGTTGCGTAAAGATAGCATGGTAGAGTCGAATAAGATGGCAGTATGTTGTCAATATGCTGAGAAAAACAGGCAATCTGGGCCTTGGAGGCAACATCTGGCTGGTATCTGGAGGCGATAATGTCGATGTCAAATAACCAGTATCATGCGTTGAGACCATTGTTATTCCGTCATCCATTATCGCCTCGACAACAGGTTTACTTGGTAGTTGAGTGATATTGTGAGAGTAAGTCTTCATAGACTCAGTAACAGGATAGATAGCGGTGTAAGCATCAAAATGAGGTCTTTCGGACTCAAGTATCTCCAAAAGCCTTGTTGAATGGTTCAGCATGCGAAAAATTGGAACGTCAAGTTTGCGGACCGTAGGATCTATCTTGCCACCCAAGAAATTCGTCGATGACGGAGCTGTCCATTCCCATTCAAGGAGCTCAAGATCCTCTATTAACTCTAGATTCAACTTAAGCAGCCTCTTTTGCGTACAATTGAGGCTTGTCGAATTCAAATTCCCCAGTGCAGTCATTCGAGGATCGTCATCCTCAGCAGATGTATTCCGTGTACTGCAAGACGAATTCCAGATCACCTCCTCTTCAGAACTATAGTGAGACTCGATCAAGCCACTAGAAGTGGAGGAAATCACGTTATCGGTGGTTGGTTCATTTGGGCAGCTGGACAATGGGCCGGTGGTAAATGTGTCGGAGGATGTAAGCTGGTCCTCTAGATGATTGTCAGGTTCGAATAAATTCAAGCCAATCGATTGCTAAGTTAAGTTGCCACTGATTAATATTCACATAAAAAAAAAAATCATAATTCCATGCTGAAATACTAACCGTTTGAAAATTGAAGTCCCAAGATGGATTTACATTTTGCCATGGCTCATGAGGAGCCAAGAAGGAGGTGCTGGGTTGCAATGGGAAAGCAAAATCATCTGTCGCCGAACTCATGGTTGCTCTTGCGAGATAGGGAAATGGATCGGATTCTCCCCAAGAATTCAAACTATGACTGTCCTGCCTTCGCAAGATCCCAGAGTGTACGCCCGGCTTCCGCACTCTGAAAAGATTGGGATTACGAAGAGCCGGCATAGAGACTCGTGTATGACGGTAGAAGCCTGCCTCATATTCACTTGTGAGAGAAGAAGTGGTGGCCTTTGATGAAGGAAAACCCGAGGCCGAATGACCGACACTCGTGGTACAGACCACCTGGGCCTTGAGACATCTCTCGCATGATCTGCCATTCACTTGATCTCGCTCACAACGTAGTTTGAATCCACGACATCGATCACAAGCGGACCTTCGAGACTGTCGATAATTCGGAACTGGATGCATTGCAACGGATTTTAAGTCAACAAAAATGATTCATTGACATAGAATCCTTGGTAAATAGTAAACAAGTATGTATCCTTAAGCGGGTGATATGCTTCTCGGGTTTTCAGATAAATAAGGCTGTCTCGCATTTCTTGCCACATAGATGGAATTTCGCCGATTGGAATATCATCTACTTGAGGATTAGACCAAGCGCGGGACTAAAGTCTAATGGGCCTATTTGAAAGTAATACACGAGCTGCGACATTATGAAAAAATCTTGACTGATTTGAAGATGCTCAGAATTTCCATTTTGAGCCATCAGAACCTGTGTGGTCAGGACTGACTAGGTCTTCACCAAGCACTCTTTTTCTACTGTGTGATAGTATTCAGGTCTTCAAGGCTCTCGGTAATACTTTGACAAAGTTTTCTCTGAGCATCATTATGAATGAGAATAGTACTTGGCCGATATCGCGAATCCTCGCCTTGATGGACCTGAAAATGAAGCTATTATTGTTACATAAGCTCTATATCACAGTTAGGGCGGTCATGTACACCTTCAGTTCAAGACAGATTATATTTAAGGCCATTAGAAAATAAGGCTGGAAGTAAATTCACATAGTTCTTAAGGCCCAATCGTCCCCAAGCATTATACAATTTATCTTGAAGATAACTACTAAAGGGCATTCGAGAGACCCTTTATTTCTAAGGTCATCCTTGATTGTTTACATCCAGATATGCAGAAATCTTTCATGTGCATTGTGGAGCCTCAGAGATACTGTTTCGCAAGAGACACGCCGTAGTACAGCTTCAGATACCCGGAGAATTTCGGTCGTGACTGGGCAGGAATGCAGCTGAGGAACCCCTATCGTGGCGTGTGGGGTTGCGCATTCTGCCCCATAATCCTCTCACCGACTCTTCAGAGCTTGGTCTTGAGCGAAGCTGGCGTCTTACAGCAGCTGCGAGTCTGGGCTTTGGGAGGATGGTTAGATGAAACGGATGGTGAGTGTAACCAAGGGTGAGATCCCATGGTTGACAAATATTCATCGTTCCATAAGGAAAATTGAGAAGAAAATCGTGTAGGAAGAGCTCATAGCTTTATTTAAAGCATTATATAATAGCCTATAGTCTTTTACAACTGTAGGTAGCCCACAAAACGAGGAAAGCTCCGCTAGAGCCAATAGTACCTATTATGTGACTCGGGGAACTTCTCGCACATAAATCATTCGCTTAGCATAAAGCTACGAAGTCAATCTTGCTGGTAGTTGATTGAAATTCACAATAGAGGCCCTGTAGTGACAAGAGACCAAAAATCTGTGACATTCTTGGGCTATCCTATGCCTCTTTCACCAACAGGTTTTGTTACACTGCTTATTTGGAATATTACCAGCCTGAAAAACACAGTGTTACCCAAACACCTAGAGCGCTCCCAGCACAAGCGCTCAGAACATGTGTAGACCATGTAAAAGCCATGAGCATCTCCCGCCAACATGGTCTTGGGTAATGGATAGACAAATCCTCCTGCAACCAGTCATGGTTATGACCTAGTGCATTTAATTACCGATAATCGTCCAAATAATTTCCACGCTTAGAGAACCCACAGCAGAATTCTTTGAAAGGAATTTAACTGTTGTCATTCTCCATTAGAAAACTTTCTCATAGCCAATATTACAAATCTAACCTATGGCCTTGCCAGTGGAATCTGCATTGATGCATAGCGAAGTAGACAAACTATCGACCTAGTATCAACTGGATTTACCTCTGTTATAATGACATACGAATCTGGAAAGTCTTAAGTCGCCCTTCTTTTCAAATTATTTGATTCTTCCTTCGTGGATGGAACCTTCAGTATGGGATAAGAAACCGGTTATTGGCGAATCCTTGCAGCTTCCTGGTTCAGACAATTAGCCGCTGCCTCCATATTAACAAACGTGATTGAAATCAACGTTATGAAGTGTAATATCAGAATAGCAATAAGCATTCATTCGCCCCTTTATCCCCCTCATCTAAGATACATAAGTGGAGTTCCAACCGAAGTCGAAGCCGAGGTCCGAATGCGGGGAAATGTGGCGCAGGTCTAATTCTTTGCTTCCATACATAAGCTGAGCATGGCATTAAGGGAATCATTCAGTAGTTCACATTATCGCCAATATGAACTTCGAACTTCCGAATGAGTTAACTACTCATCTGAAGTCAATAGATTCCTTTATCCAGTCTACCATCCTGCCATTACAGCATACTAACGATAACAATCGGTTCTTCGATCATCGCCGTGAACACGCTCGGACTGATTGGGATCAAAATGGCAACCCACGCCCAGAGTGGGAAAGTTTACTGAGTAGGTCTCCCGTAGTAGCCCTTTCCTAAACTTTCAGCTAGTTTACTGAGCGCTAACTGTAGCAAAGCCCAAGCTCGTATCCTGGCTGATGAGGCGGGCTTCTACCGATTTGCACTCCCAAACCAATATGGGGGCAAGGAGCATCCTAACACCAACCTGTGGATGTCAGCCATCCGCTTCCATTTATCATCACATCCAATCTATGGGGGTGGTTTAGGGCTAGCGAATGATTTACAAAACGAGCACAGCATTGTTGGAAACTTCCCCGATGTGCTTATGCTTCATCATTTTGGCAGCGACGAACAACGGCAAACACTCATCCCTGCTCGCCTGCGAGGGGAATTTCGAACAACATTTGGTCTGACCGAGCCCGATCACGGAAGTGACGCAACTTTCATGTCCACTGTCGCGATTCGCAAACGGGGGAGGGTTCGAAATTAGTGGAGCGAAAAAGTGGCAGACGGGCGCGCATCATTGTACTCACTTTTTGGTCTTTGCGAGGACCTCGGGATCTGCAGGGTCTGCGAAAGGAATTACAGCCTTCCTCGTGCCTCGCGATACCCCGGGAGTCAAAATCGCCAGTTACGAATGGACATTGAACATGCCAACGGACCACGCAACTGTCGAGTTTGATCGTGTCTTAGTACCAGAGTCGGCCGTGCTAGGCGCTGTCGACCAAGGCCTGGCTATTGCGCAGACTTTTGTTCATGAGAATCGTATACGCCAAGCGGCCAGTTCCTGTGGTGCAGCCAAGTTCTGTCTCGATCGAAGTATTGAGCGTTCACGATCGCGAAAGATTTGGGCCGAGGGTAAGATGTTGGCGGATAACCAGGCAATTCAATTCCCTGTCGTGGAATTGATGACCCAAGTGGAGATGTTGCGCCTACTCATCCTGAAAACAAGTTGTGATATGGATCGCATTGTGGCCGCATGTAAAGCAGGAGAAGTCTCTCAACCCCCGTGGGTTGCCATTGAGCGCCAACTCAGCGACAAGGTGGCTATGTGTAATTTTTGGGCCAATCGACTATGCTGCCAGGCTGCCGACCGAGCGATTCAGGTAATTTCATGAGTCTTTACTACAAATATTGAGCTGACCAAAGTAGATCCACGGCGGCGATGGCTATTCGCGTCACTACCCTTTCGAGCACATCTATCGCCATTTCCGACGCTATCGGATCACTGAAGGGGCGGAGGAAATTCAGATGCGAAAAATCGCCGCGTACATTTTCGGATTCGCTGGGCCACGAAAGAGGGAGATGGAAGCGAAAGAGCGGTCGAAGGCAAAAATTTGATTAACTTAGGTTAGAGTCAATCTATACATAGTCTGTGGACAAGAGCCCAGGGTCAGTACTCTCTTAAGATAGTAGTCAACTAAACCTTGTCGAGTAGCATGGAAATGGCACTTTCTCGTGGGAATAAGACGCGTGCGTATAGCCAAACTTTTCGCTCCGAGTGGCAATGGATGGTATACTCGTGCCTTCACCATAATTCATGGCTCTTCAAAGTAACCCGACGTGCGTCTATGATCCGCACACGTGACCTCTAGATTACCTTCTGGCGGTATCCCCCTTCCAACCTTTCCCCAGTCTACACTTCGCGTCGACCGCCAGAAACACCACCAAGCCTTTAAAATCATTCTAGTGCCGGAGAGACCGCAAGACGGTATCGTACCGGCCTCGCACAATGTCTGGTTTAACTCGGGATGCCGACTGGCGCCACCAATCGTTTTCACTTTCCTTTCCGGCACCGTTTACCTAAGAAAATTTCTCTCCGCGTGGTGGCAGTGGGTCCGTTTTGCCTCGTCGGAAACCCACCGAGGGCCTGCAAGCGAAAACGGAAATTTGCAACATGAAGGCAGAGAAAAATCTTGCCAGCTTTCTCCAGACAGTTATACAACACTGATCGGTTATCCGGGGATGTCAATATACGCTTGACGATTGCCCCCGTTATTTTGCGCCGTTTCCAACCTATCGGCCCGATATGGCATCTGAAGATGTTGCTCCCGCGCCCGAGGTCACCAGCAAGTCGGTGAAAGGCGAAGCTCTTGACTCGGATACCAAGCATGTCGCACAGGATATCAAGCCCTCTGATGCGGAGGGAAATCACTCCAAATCAGCCCCGGGAGAGCTGAAGCGCAAGCTGAAGAGTCGGCATTTGCAGATGATTGCAATTGGTTCGTTCACCTAGATGCCCATTAGGTCGGACAAGGTTGCATGTTGCTAACGAGTACTGCTCTCCTTTCTAGGTGGAACTATTGGAACCGGTACGAACTTGCAGTGGTGGTACGGTTTGATGGCGATGATTGCTGATTATCTTAGGTCTTTTTATTTCAAGTGGAACTGCAATCGCATACTCCGGTCCCGCGGGCGCGCTGATTGCCTACATTTTTGTTGGCTCGATTGTCTACTCCGTGATGACCTCACTCGGCGAAGTCGCTACCTATATCCCCATCCCCGGAGCCTTCACCTCGTACGCCGCTCGTCTGATTGACCCGAGTCTTGGTTTCTCTATGGGTTGGATCTACTGGTTCAATTGGGCTTCTACATTCGCCGTCGAGCTTACCGCCACGGGAACCATCATTCAGTACTGGGACCCAAGTCTGAATATCGCGATCTTTATCGGTGTCTTCTGGGTGTTTATTACCGCTCTGAACTTCCTCCCGGTGAACTTCTACGGCGAGCTGGAGTTCTGGTTCTCATCAATCAAAGTCGCCACTGTTATTGGGTTTATGATCTTTGCTATTTGCATTGACTGTGGCGTGGGCGATCAGGGCTATCTTGGGTTTCGTTATTGGCATAACCCTGGTGCCTTTGCAACCCACCTTATTGAGCAGCCTGTGTCAGTCGGCAAGTTTGTTGGATTTTGGGCCGTCTTGATCCAAGCTGGCTTCTCGTACCAAGGAACGGAGCTTGTGGGTGTGGCTGCTGGAGAGACCGAGAATCCCCAGAAGGCTGTGCCTTCGGCTATTCGCAAGACCTTCGTGCGAATTCTCCTTTTCTTCGTCCTCACGATCTTCTTCATTGGGCTGGTCGTGCCCTACACGAATGAAAGACTCACCACTAACACTACCAACGCCTCTTCCTCGCCTATGGTCATTGCCGCCGATCTGGCTGGTGTAAAGGTGCTTCCGAGCCTCATCAACGTTGTGTTACTGACTGTCGTCCTCTCGGCAGCGAATTCCAACGTGTATAGCGGTAGCCGAATTTTGACTGGACTTGCACATGAAGGCTTTGCCCCGAAATTCTTTGCTCGTACCACCCAAGGAGGTGTACCGTACATTAGCGTCATGTTCACTGCACTGTTCGGACTTCTGGGCTTCATGAATGTGTCCAATAATGCAGGACAAGTGTTTAACTGGCTAGTCAACCTGTCTAGCGTGGCTGGATTTGTGACTTGGTCTTCCATCAATGCATGCCACATCGCTTTTATGCGTGCACTGGCTGCTCGTGGCGTCTCTCGTGACACACTCCCTTACAAGGCCGTTTTCCAACCCTACCTAGCCTGGTACGGTCTTTTCTTCAATGTCCTCATCGCCCTCACCCAGGGTTTCACGGCCTTTATCCCCACCTTCAATGTTACGGACTTTTTCATCGCCTACATCTGTCCCATTGTGTTTGTGGTTCTTTACTTGGGACACAAGATCATCATGCGGCCGTCGTTTGTTCGTGCCGCCGAGGCTGATTTTGATACTGGTCGGTTGGACTACAAGAAGGAGACGGGCCCTCCTAAGCCTTGGTATTGGAAAGTGTGGGGTTGGATTACAAAGTGAGGATATTATGGTCCGGTATGATTTGACTAAAAATGACATGCGTCCCTACTACGCTGAATATACGTGAGAGCGTTTAGAGCAATGAAACTGAATTTAATTCTATTTTCAGGACGAGCTTGTCGTAAAGAAGACGCGTTGATCCGCGACGCATCTATCCAATCCAATAGATTAAATAAATCCAGAATCTGCATCATTTCATATCCAATCTAACTGCCGGGCTACCACCGATACTCCGCCAACCACTGCGGTTGCGCCTGTGCAGACCACCAGGACACCATAACCAGTACCATAGGTTCCCCACGCATGACCTCTCCAGTTGTCCGCTCTAAGCAGCGCTTCACTTAGTGGACCACTAGCGATGTTCCCAATTCCCCGGCCAAATTCCATAAATGGAAAGATGACAGCCACGTCTGCATTTGGATTCGCCTTTTGGATTTCATTCGCCATACCTGACCATGTCGAGGAAAACCCACCCGCGAGGAGCCCGTAGGCAGCGCAGAAAACATACAGAGCTGGCATGGTAACGGCAAACCCCCAGCCAAAGAAAACGGATACAACTGCGCCCACTGTTGAAATCAGTATAACGGTAGTGACGTGATAACGATCACAGAGGAAGCCTGCGAGTACAGAGGCGAACACTGATGTCAGATTCACGATCGCCACCGTCAACGAGCTTAGAAACACGTTGGCACCCAGACTGCGGGCATACATGGGCAGGTAAATTGTTGGTAGAAAATATCCTAGCGCTTCCACTGTATTCCCTAGTTGATAAATCAGATAAACTTTATTGTATAAAAAACGGAAATCGAGTCGGTCATGGCGAACATCTGTAGACACTGGAAGGCGTGGTCTATGATAGTAGAGAAATGGGGCTGAGAGGAGGAATAGTGCTGCTGCCGAGATCCTTAGGGTATCTTCGAACCCATACTGGCCAAGTAGCCATTCTATGATGGGTGGAAACATCACGCCTGATATTCCGGAGCCGGCCTGCTCATGTCAACACCGGGTCAAATCAATTGAAGCAGCCAAACTCAGATGTCGAGTATCAACTCACCCATACAATCCCAAATGCGAGGCCATTCTTCTTAACAAACCACTCAGGCATAAACAGGATTGAAGGTGTATAAGCGAGGCAACCGCCAACCCCAAAGGCGACCCCTTGGGTCAAAATCAGATGCGTTACATTCTGAGCAAAGGAGCCCAATACTAACGAAACGCACATTATAACGATCCCGATAGTCGATGCCCACCGAGCAAGACGGGGTACAAGGATCATAAATACAATCACTAAAGGGGCGAAGAGATATGCAATACCCTGTGAAAATGGTCAGTTGCTGCGAGACTTTTGTACAGGTCGAGCCGTACCATGGCGCAAGTGCCAACCACGGCGATATTTTTGGATCCATTGAACGGTTCATGTACGCTGTAGTAGTCCTGGAAGATCCCAAACGCACCGGCCCACCCTGAACACGTCAGTACTATGTCCCTAGTAGAAAATACCTCACGCAGGAGACTTACCCCAGACAAGTGCCTCAAGCACAGCCGAAGCTGTTAAAAATAGCCATGCTTGTATACCCCCGTCGATCGCAGGCAAATCCTTCTCGCAACTGGTTGATTTGGTGCCTCTTTCTTCACATGAAAGTGGAGACGAATGGGTTGTGAGACTATCGCTTGTCCTACTAGGCGCATAGTCTTCCAAATCAGCCAAATATGCCTCGCCGTGATATTTATCTCGTGAAAACATTGCGCGAATCAGATACCAGTGTCGAAGCCAACACGTTTGACACATAGGCTTGTGAGGGCATCAGAGGAGAGTTGTCCAAGATTGCCTCAGGAAAATCGGCCTTTGCCAGAAAAGAGTAGAGATGACCATCGTGGTCCTTGAAACAATGACGAAATATTTTCTCTAGGGTGTGGTAACTATCAGCTCTACGATACGCTCATACAGTAGAAAAGGGCGTTTGGAATTCGGGACGTCACTCCCGCTCTGAGGTATGTGGCACCAATCCCTACTGGTCAGCTCTCCTGCCAAAGGAGACTTCCAACCACCAGAGAGGTTTGATTTAATGCGCTACATTTGCTGAGATATATACGATAGGTAACATGCTACTAATGTTCGTCCTGTTCTCTAAATACGCACGAGTAATGGATCTCGTTCGTTGCGATTCGAATATTAGAAATGAAGTTCGAAATAAATGCTCTCAGTTAACACTGGCATGTCTGTCAGCTCGTGATTATTGAATCCCTTTGATTTATTATCCAATAGCACTCCAAGTCTTGTCGGTTGGTTAATTGGAATTAGCAATGGAATGCTGATTGAGTCCACTGATAGGGATGCGTCGATCACTTGGGGGATGCCAAGCGACAAATTTACATTTTCGTTTCTAATAATTATGAGGCTTTGTCGACACCTGGGAAAGGAAGAGCAGAAATCGTATGCTACCTCGATACCATGTAGAGATCCAGCTGGTTCGCTGGATTTGTGTGCCTCAGCCAACTCTACGACAACTCAGATCTACGATGCTCTCCAGATAAAGCGCATTCCTCGCGACACGCCACTCTGATACTATGTTCTATTGGTACTAATTTGAGTTCATGAAAAGTGCATTTTGCAGGTTTTCCCCGACCTTGCCAGCTGCTTGAACATAAAGGTTACGGTAGGGCTACATTCCGGAAAGCCAAGCTTCTCCAACACCTAGATAATGGATCAACCAAACAGCGCATCCCGTTATTTCAGTACCGTTCTGTCTACAGTTTTTAGTCCAAAATGATTAACCAAGTCATGTGAAAAAAGCCTATGACTCTCTCCGGTAATGCTGCCGTAGTATGATCCTGTGATGCTTCTTCCTCCAACTGTAACTATGGCTTGAAGATGAACCCCCTACGAAAAGACACTAATGATCTGAAGATACCAGTCTCCTTATTCATAATGCATGCAAATCAGGATACTTAAATATGACGCATGCAATTCGAGATGCAACTAATCAATCATGTCAAAGGCCTGGTACGTTGTACGTAAACACCCTCCATCTGTTTTTTTTTGCTTTTTGGTGATAAGCCGGAATGTGGGTAGTGAAAATTTTTCCCAGGGGGTCAAAGGGCCGCGAGGGATGAACCTCTGTGATATTTCTATTACAAGATATGCCAGATACTGGAGGTGAGCAAAGCTCTGATGTGTATGTAGCTGCCGCTATCATACTGTCACACCAATACACAATACCTAAACAAAAGAAACCGAGGCTCCCGGCAAAGGCTCTACACTGAGCCGATCGATCGGCTTGCCGACCTCATAACCCGAATTTCACAACAGGCTCGGAAATGCGGCGCCAGACACTCCACTTGTGGAGCAATGCCGACCAACAAAGCAATCATAAGACGGGACACCATATCATGGGCTAACTAAATCCATGATCAAAGGAGGCTCTAAAAAATCCTCAGTTAGCTAGATAACTTGTTGAGGCAGTCCTTAAAATTTGACTCTTACCATTTTCTGCTTTTCATCACGCGCAGTGGGTGTGCATAGGATCAAATTTCCACCATTCCGACGATGGCAAACCATGGCGATGAAGCGCCATACCCGCGGCGTATACCGTATTGGAGACTCATGACCGACCAGGGGTTCGTCACCCAAGAGATCATCGATTATCCCTACGCCGGCTCTGGAACAGAAGAAAATCCATTCATCGTTGAATGGATTCCCAACGACCCCAGGAATCCTATGCAGTTTGATACTCGCATCAAATGGCTTTACACTGTGATAGTCGCCTTTGCGACCTTGGCCGTTTCTCTAGCCTCCTCTGCATATGCAGGTGCTGTATCTGAGGTACTCAAAGATATGGATGTTAGCGAAGAAGTTGCAACTCTCGGTATTTCTCTGTTTGTCCTTGGGTTTGCCGTTGGGCCACTTCTCTGGGCCCCCTTCAGCGAGCTGGTCGGACGTCAAATCATCTTCTTAATTACATTTCTCGCTCTTTCTACATTCTGTGCTGGCGCAGCAGGCTCTCAGAACGTTTGGACTCTGATTATCCTCCGCTTTTTCGCTGGCTCTTTTGGCTCATCGCCCTTTACCAATGCTGGTGGAGTTATTGCAGACATATTTGCTGCAGACCAGCGTGGCTTAGCGACGAGTCTGTTTGCCGGCGCCCCTTTCCTTGGTCCCTCTTTGGGGCCGGTGGTAGGTGGGTTCCTTGGTGAGAAGGCTGGCTGGCGCTGGGTGCAGGGGTTCCTGGCTGTCTTCACGGGCCTTATATGGGTGATTGAAACTATGTGTATCCCAGAAACATATGCGCCCCTCTTGCTAAGGAAGCGTGCCCAGCGCCTGTCCTCTATAACCGGCTGCGTCTATCGCAGTAAAATGGAAATTGACCGTGGCAAAGTCTCCGCGCGCGAGGCATTTAGTGCTGCACTGAGCCGGCCCTGGATCCTTTTGTTTGCTGAGCCGATCGTTCTTTTGCTATCAATCTACATGGCTATTGTATATGGAACACTCTATATGCTTTTCGACGCCTTCCCAATCGTTTTTCAAGAAATTCGTGGCTGGAGCGAGGGTGTCGGAAGTTTACCATTTCTCTCCGTGATGATCGGGATGATGGTAGCCGTTGGACTGAACATGTACGACAATAAGCGCTATATCCGTATCCACAAAGAGCATCATGGATTTGCACCGCCGGAAGCTCGCCTACCACCTTCTATTCTGGGTGGCCTGGCTATTCCTATCGGCTTGTTCTGGTTTGCCTGGACTAATGCTCCCTCAGTTCCCTGGATTGTCTGTGTTCTTGCTACCGCTCCCTTCGGCTTCGGCATGGTGCTGGTTTTCTTGGGAATCATGAACTACCTCATCGATTCGTACACCATTTACGCTGCATCAGTTCTTGCTGCAAACTCTATTATTCGCTCATGCTTCGGTGCAGTCTTTCCGCTGTTCACCACATACATGTATCACAACCTCGGCATCCACTGGGCATCCTGTATTCCAGCTTTCCTTTCTCTGGCCTGCGTCCCGTTTCCTTTCATTTTCTACCGATATGGCCCTGCCATTAGACAAAAGTGCAAATACGCAGCGGAGGCGGATGCCTTCATGAGGTCATTAACTCGAAAGTCTCAAGATCAGGATCTCGAGGACGAAAAAGACTCTGGAATGGAGTGCGATGACTCCGGTCTTGAGAGCAAATACGAAATGACAGACTCTCATGATATCGCAGAAATCGCCTCTACAACTTCTCGGTCGACATTGGAGCGGACAGAGACATTGTATGAGGGGAATCCCTATGACATTGACCATGTGAACACGCAGAACTCTGCCATCACCCATCATTCAAGACATGTGAAAAGAAGTTGGCGGGACATCTTCAGCTTTGGCCGCTAGTAACTGAGCCTATTTTCGTTCTGTGTTCACTTCCAAGTTTGCAATGTAGATATCCTCCTGAGTCTGGACACAGAATTCGTGGAAGCCTTACTTTTGAAATAAAATAATCCATATCTGCTTTATAGAAATGCATTAGTTCAGAATGCTGGCCCACTGATTTGCTATGAACAGTGCCTGAACCCAAAACCAATCTCCAAATATAGCAAGCACTGTAAAGCTGGAGCTTACACCCACCCTGATTGGTTCGCTCGAATAATTTCAGGAAATCCTTTAGACTTTCGCGTGATCTAATTGGGTGGTTCGTCTAAATTGGGGGCCAAAATGGTTCAAAGTGGTGGTGCTAAGCCCCTCCAAGCTGCTAGGTAAGCATCATGAACTATGATGCCTGGAACATACGAGGCCGTGTCTTATCAGATTTCAAGACTATATAATTGTGTGAAATATCGCCTGGTATGAGAATTATTCAGAATAATCAATCATCTCTTCTTTTCCTATTCTGATTCACTTTAACGAAATTCGAGCAGTTACCATGGCACCCAGCACAACAACCTCCATGTCATCTACGACGACCTCTTCAACAGCTACTGCGACTTGCCTCAATATCAGCCCGGGCAAGAATGGATATCTCCCACCAGAGGCATGCGATGTCATTCTCTACTATGTCCCATCATTCGCCGCGGCGGTACTCTTTTGCGTGTTTTATGGAATGACAACCCTGTTGCACGGCATTCAGGCTGTGATGTTTAAGAAGGTCAGCACGACGTTTGGTTTTGTACCACAATGAGATGACTAACAAATTCAATAGGCTTACTCATGGGTAGTAATTATGGGCGGAGCTTGGGAGTTGCTCGCCTTCATTTTCCGAACGCTTCAAACGCGGCAGCAGAATAATGAAAATTGGGACACCTACTACGTGCTCTTCTTTCTTCTCGCGCCAATCTGTAAGTCATCATACACCGGAAACCCATGGGTACCTTGAGCCTTACTGACATCGATCTGATTAGGGATCAATGCCTTTTTGTATATGACACTGGGTCGCATGATCCATTTCTTCCTTCTAGAACAGAAGCTCGTCGGCATCTCTGCGCGTCGGTTCGGTGTCCTCTTCGTCTGCCTCGATGTCTTCGCCTTTATCGTCCAGGTCTCTGGTGCTATCCTGGCCAGCAATCAAGATAATGGAAACCTCGTGATGACAGGCTTGCACATTTACATGGGTGGGATAGGCCTACAGGAGGCTTTTATTCTGTGTTTCACAGGACTTGCCATTCATCTTCATCGGAAGTTGATCAAGATGGAGGCGTCCGAGGACGTCTACAATGGAAAGCTCTCACAAGGGCCATTCTCGTGGCGGTGGCTCTTTCATGTCCTTTACTTCGCTTTGGCGATGATTACTGTGAGTCGATGAAACGCGAAACGCGAAACCCGAGTCAGAGTCAGAATTGATCGACCTGTTACTGACCAACTGATTGTATAGATTCGAATCATCTTCCGAATCAGCCAGTATGCCCAAGGCACATCTCCCACAAATTCAATCCTTACCCATGAGTGGTATGAGTATGTGTTCGATGCCGTCCCGATGCTTCTCGCCCTCGTGGCTCTGAACGTCATTCATCCCGGTCGCATCCTGCAGGGGCCCGACTCGGGCTTCCAACAAGTGCGACGAGCCGAAAAGGAGGCGAAGAAGGAGAAGAAACAGCAAAAGAAAATGGCAAAGGAAGAAAAGAAATCTCAGAAAAAGACGGCTAAAGAAGAAAAGAGACGGCAGAAGAAGGAAGGTTCGCGCGACTTGGAAGTTATTGTTGAAGGATCTCCTCTTCGGGCTCATGCCAATGAGGAGGAGCGGTTGAGCAATAGCGAACAACAATGGCCGCGTTATCATGAAAGGGATGGAAGATATGAGGATACGAGATATCATGGTTATCAGATCTGATTTAGAGATTTTTACAGGTTAGTTTGGATCCCACTTGGATTTCAACATTGGGCGCTTGTGTCGACTTGTTCCAGTGGGTTATAGTATCAAATGTTGTTTGTTCTTATAGATCATGGCTTCAATCAATGAATTATCCTGATCACCATATCGCACAGTTCAATTAATCTAGAATTCTCAGCATTGTAATGACCACCCCAACTTGGTCAAAATGCCTCCCACCACCAACCAATGCCCGTCAATCCTCGGAGAAGAGCCGATGCAGCAGCGCTTCCAGTTACCGTATTAGGCCTCCTCTGGCTGAAAGTGGAGAATGGAGGCGTCTCCACCCCCACCAGCTTCCCCCCGCATTGCTCCCATTGGTCTTCCGGTTGTTCTGAGGATAATATTATCCTGCAGCGTTGGTCACACGGCGCCTTTCAGTATTCCAGCCCATGCCCAGAGACTGAGGCAGCAAAAGATCGCTTTGCCAGCGCATACAGTACACCTTCAGGTCGGAACTCTATCTACAATGTCATCTAAACACTTACTGTTAACGGCTCCGGTCCTCTCATTCTCTGTCTCGGTAATAGAAATGGCATTTTGTGAATATTCCAATTCATTCAACTAGTTCCATGGATTTCCCCACCCATTCTATATGAAGATATGCAATCGCCGACTCCCAAAACTATAGACAAGAATCATAACACATTTACAGCTCAACAAACTCATTGCGCAGCAACTCATCACCCTTCAGTTGGTCAAGGTAGCCTGCCACCTTGCTCGTCAACGTATCAATATCATACCCGAAGAACTTGTAAGCGGCCTTGCCGGGGAGACTGTGGCCAAAGCGCTTGATGCAGATACCAGCATCGGCATAACGCTCCCAGCCGTTGGGGGCATATGGCTCAATGACCACGGCAGGAATGCCGCGGTGACGACGGAGGGTGTCTCGCTTGTACTCGAGAGACTGCTGCTCGAAGAGACGCTGGCAGGGGAAGCTGACCACACGGGCGGTAATACCCCTCTCAGCCTTCAACTTGTCGGCAACCTCCAAGGCGAAGGACAGTTCGGCACCAACTCCGAGCAGAGTAACTGTCGCAGACTCGTCCTCCGACAGGACGTAGGCACCGTGAGCGACACCATCACGGCGGGTCTGGGAGAGCTGAGGCAGAGTCTGACGGGAAGTAGAGATGATCGAGGAGGTCTTCTTAGCACCAATGGCCGCAATCCAGGCGCCAGCAGTCTCCTCGCTGTCACCAGGACGGATGTACAACAGGTTCGGCATTGCGCGATACAACGCGGCCAGTTCAATCGGCTGGTGAGTCGGGCCGTCTTCTCCCATACCGATGGAATCGTGAGTAGCGGCATGGATGACTTGAAGATGCTGCAGAGCACCCATGCGCACTGCTGGAGCGGCATATAGATAGAACATGAAGAATGAGGATGTGATAGGAATGATGGTGTTGCGAGCGTATGCGGCCATGCCGTTCGAGATTGCACACATGGCATGTTCACGAACACCGTAATGAATGTAGCGGCCGGAGTAGTTTCCGTTTATGCCGCACGTGGTCATCAAGTCGGGCTGTCGAGGATGTTAGACCGAGGATAATTCTCAAGGAGCGCCGGGTTTGAAACTTACATGCTGGAAGTCGACCTTGCCAGGCCAGATCATGTTGACGGATGGGGATAGATCAGCAGTTCCGACCATAAAGTTCTTGCACTCCTTAGCGATAGGGTTGAAAACAAGGCCAGAAGAAGCACGCGTCGCGGTAGGCTTCTCTGGGAAGCTCTTGGGGATGTACTGTTCCCAGTTTGCGGGAAGTTCACCCTTAACACGGGCCTGGAATTCAGCACCAAGCTCAGGATATTGAGCAGTGTAATCAGCTACTAGCTGGTTCCATTCTTGCACCCACTGCTCACCACGAGCAGGCAGGTTCTGGAAAAATTGACGAACAGTCTCGCCAATTACAAAGTGCTCCTCGGGGTTGAAGCCATAGAGAGTCTTCATATCCGCCACACTCTTGGTGCCAAAAGCAGCACCGTGGGCAACAGCAGTGCCCGCCACATGGCTGTCCAGACCGATGACAGTGCGAACATTGATGAAAGTGGGCTTGTCCTGAGCGGCGCGACCCCGCTCCAGAGCACGCACAATACCCTCGATATCGAAACAGCCATCCTCGACATCGATCACGTCCCAGCCGGACGCGCGCATTTTCGCATTGACGTCCTCGGTGTTGGTCAGGTCCACAGATCCATCGCAGGTGATCTGGTTGTTATCATAAATGACAGTGAGGTTGTTTAAACGCAGGTGGCCAGCCAAGGAAATGGCCTCGAGACCGACACCCTCCTGCAGACAAGCATCGCCGATCATGCACCAGGTATGGTTGTCGACCACGTCGTAGCCGGGGCGGTTGTAAGTGGCCGCCAGGTTCTTGGTGGCCATGGCAAGACCGACTGCATTGGCAATACCTTGGCCTAGAGGTCCCGTTGTGACTTCGATTCCTTCGTGCTCGATCTCGGGGTGGCCAGGACACAGCGCATCCACCCGGTCGGAATGGTAAGACTTGAGCTGGTCGAAAGTCATGGCCTTGTAGCCGGTGAGGTGCAGGAAGCTGTATTGGAACAGGCAGGTGTGTCCTGTAAATTTTCGAGTTAATAATTTGATTTCACCACTTTTTGATTGCTCGACATACCGTTCGAAAGAACGAAGCGATCGCGGTTGAAGAAGTCTGGGGTGTGTGGAGCGTAGCGCATCACATACTTCCACAGAGACACACCAATTGCGGCCATGCCAATGGCACCACTGCCAGATAATCAATATTTGCTTCAATAAACACAACAAAAGGTAGATCCTTATCATACCCAGGGTGACCACCGCTAAATTGCTGGCACAAGTCCGCAATGAGCAGACGGAAGGTCTTGAGAACCAGATCATGGTCCTTGGACAGCTTCTGCACCAAAGGCAGAGCCGAAGGCTTAGACTTGTGGACGCCGTTCGTTGCGACGGTCATGATGACACAGTATAATCAACCAACAAAGGTGTCTTGTCTTTTCAAGCTCTTCTCTTCGGGGCGCTTCGACCTTGAAATAGGCCCCGGTCAGCGTCGACAAAAACAACCCGTTCAGGCAGTTGACGAATGGGGTAATGCTAACCGCCCCCCGCAGAACTGGCAAGTTGAACCACCACCACTAAGTCGCCCTCCATCAACAAGGCTACTTTGCCGACGGTGCTGATGTTACTTAAGAAATGTCCTTGTCCGGTGAAAATTCCCACGCCTCTCCACACTCTCCAAGGATCACGATACCCTTGTTACTCTGGAGAATTTCCGATCGAAAATGGCCCGGTCAGTACTTGTGGATCAGCTGCCCCAGGCGCCTATCGCAGTTGCGACGAAGTCCGATCGCAGAGTGATCAAGGTTTCACATCCTAACCCGTCATTACAAGTGACGGCTGATCATAAGCTCAAGTCTGTTGAGGCTCCTGTCTATGCGCCCGGGCATGGAGAGGTACTGGTGCACATCAAGGCGACCGGTATCTGCGGGTCGGATATACATTTCTGGAAGACTGGCCGCATTGGATCGCTGGTGTTTGAAGGCGACTGCATTATCGGCCATGAGGCCTCGGGAATTGTTTTGCAGTGTGGTGAGGGTGTGAGCCATCTTAAGCCTGGTAAGAAGAGGTCCTTTTGTCGCCATTCTAGGTTTAATGTATTCAATGCTAATATATACCCGAACTAGGTGACCGAGTGGCCGTTGAGCCAGGTGTTCCCTGTGAGCATTGTTTCCTCTGTGACGAGGGAAGATACAACCTTTGCGAAGACGTCCAATTTGCTGGAGTATACCCTTACCATGGCACGATCCAGCGATACAAAGTGCACCCGGCAAAATGGCTACACAAGCTTCCTGACAATGTCACATTCGCAGAGGGAGCTCTCCTTGAGCCTCTCTCAGTGGTTATGCACGGCATCAAGACGGCAGGGCTCAGTCTCGGCCGTGGCGTCGTAGTCTGCGGTGCTGGTCCCATCGGTTTGATCGCTCTGGCTGCTGCTCGTGCTTCGGGCGCTCATCCCATCGTGATCACTGATTTGGAGCCTTCGCGGTTGGCGTTTGCCAAGGAGTTGGTTCCCACGTGCATCACCTACCAGGTTGACCGGAACAAGGACGCCGAGGGAAATGCACAGGCTATTCGTGCCTTTTTTGGCCCAACTGAGTATGTGGCACCGGAGGTGGTCCTCGAGTGCACCGGTGTTGAGAGCAGTGTTTGCACTGCTGCGTATACGGCTCGACGGGGCGGTACCGTGATGGTCATTGGAGTCGGCAAAGCAATTATGAACAACCTGCCCTTCATGCATATTTCCCTCGCAGAGGTAAGTTGCCCTTGAGTATACAGCGGTCACCTCATAGAACTCGAACTAATCGTGCTAGATTGATCTGCGTTTCATCAACCGCTACCGCGACACTTGGCCTCCGGCTATCCAGTGTTTGAGTGGTGGCATCTTGGATTTGAAGAAGCTGGTCTCACATGTATTCCCACTGGAGAAAGCGGAGGATGCCTTGCACCTTTGCGCTGATCCTCGGAATGGCAGCATCAAGGTCCTGGTGGTGGATGAGCAGGAGGCTACGTTATAGATTATGAAAGTACCTAGTGCTTACTACGAAGGTACTCAATATGGTTGCAATCAATCAAATAACAATAGAAGTCTACGCGAATCATACACCACAGAGTTTGAGAACAGTGTATTAGGTATGTTGTTCATTATTCTATTTTGGTATTTGTCAACCGCCACCGCACCAGAGGGTATGAATCCTCAAACTGAGCCCAGAGATATGTGTCTAGAAAGGAGCCTTTGCATGACAGTAGATAGATGTGATAGGGACAGGTTCTTCGTTAGAGTGGTCGCCAGGGCTGAGGAGGGTGTTTCGACCGGTGCATAGGAGGCCACTAAATGAATGAGTATCGACTTGGAACTCGCAGGCGACTAAGTCAACTTACGTGAATACCCGACAGTGTTTTTTAATGGAAATTGTAAACACCTTACTGGAAGCCCGTTAGTCCAATATCTTTCCATGTTCTTTGTGACCGTGGTGACTTACTCCTCGTCGAGCTCGACACAGTCATCTAATTCCACATCCTTGCCGTAGCTGCCCTTCTCAGTCTCGATGCCAACCTAAACCTCGAGTCAGCACACATGAACCTTTCGAAATCAACGTACTCAGGGTCTGCATTGGGGAAACACCCACCATAGTCCTCTTTGCAGCTGCCTTGGCCGTAACGGAGAGGAGCATCAAGCTCAGGACTGTGAGTTGCTTGAGGCCGTACATGATGCACACTTCCAAATGTAAAGGGATGGTCTGGATTCCAATGTGACGCGGTCGAGACCAGCACGCTCGTAGTTTTGATCTTGGACGAAGAGTAGGTAGCCGACGCGGTTTCTTTGACTTGGGCAGCGGTCTGTTTTTGTAGCATCCCTTGCTTGTGCGCAGGGCGAGACCGCCAAGTGCATTACAGGGCAAGGGTCCCCCTTTGTAGGCGTGATTGGTTCCTGAGAGGAATTGGAATGTGAATCGGGATCTATACACGTTTGGCACAACTAATTGTGTTGCTCCATGTGTACAGTCGTGGTTGCACACTCGTCGGATCTAGGATGCAGTGAGCTTGGGGCCGAGTAGCAACTTACAACATCATTGATCGCTTGGGGTAAATCTCCTGTCAATTTTGATCAGAACTTAGCCTTTTCCTCGCCTTGGATAAGTCAATCCATTTCGAGCATAAAAAGGCAATAAACACGACGCGATTGAACAATATACAGGACGTGTCACCACGCACCCGGGGCTAGTGATTGTTCGTATTTCTATATAGAAGAATTGCAGTGAATTATTGATTTCATTTGATCCTCATACGATGTTCTATATTATCTAGTTTACGTAAATGTCGGTCAAAAGAGCTCGATTAAGGATGTTGGCGCAGGTACAAATGCCAGTCATACATAGACAGTGCAGTAGGACAGAAAGAGTACTGTAGTCCAATCGGAGTCTTCCCCACAATTTCTGTCGGGCTCTTCCCCAAACTGTACATTTCCCATTGCCCATTTCCCGTTCCTTCTTCGCTCCATTCCATTCTTCCCTGAACTTCTCTCCTGCGTGGCTCTGACCCTGACCTATCCCTGGCTTCTTCCTCAGTCTGCCAACACACAGACCATGCACCATGTACCCGCATCCCAAACGCCGGCGCCTCACGGGTGACATCCCATACCCGACCGAGCTCGATAACCGACCAGGGCTCTCCTCGCCGCCTGCCTTTGCGCCCGCGATCAATAGCGACTGGACTCACCCGCAGCGACATGCACCTGCATACACACCCTCGGACTCGACCGATGGCCCTGCGTTCCCTTCTCCACTGGGTGCCGCTAGCTGGGGCCATGACGGGTTCTCGCATGATCCGGGGTTCCTTGCGTCGCAGGAGGAGCTGCGGTGCATGCTGTTTACAATCGCGCAGTCTGCGGCACCGACGAGGGCGGCGAGTCCAGATGGGGATAGGCAGGACGATGGGGAGAGTGTAGAGCGGCCAGCGAGGGATCCCATGCCAATGCGATCGGCAGTTTCAAGTCGGAGGCGGGTGGAGTATCTGAAGAATTACGTGGGACAAGTAGCTCCATGGGTGAGTGGTTCTATCAGATGGTGTGCCATCGATGACTACGGCTGGGAGAGGAAGAGAAGCTGTGGGTTTCAAGCTGAATTGGAAAGGCCCTTTTAGCTCATACATTGTGATCTTCTAGCTCGACATGTTTGACTCTCAGTGCACGTTTCGCGTCCAACTTCCGGCTCTCGCTCGAACTTTTCCTGCACTACTCAATGCAATCCTCGCTATATCCGCTCGCCAGATGGAGAGAAAGGAGGGTACACAAGACTCATTTGACAGTATCGAGCTCTACCAGGAAGCCATTCGCTTGCTCAGTCCGCTGTTGCAAATGCGCGATCCTAAAGTAATTGCAGCCTGCGTTTTGCTTTGCTGTCTTGAAATGATGTCGGCACGAGCGCAGGACTGGCGGCGCCACCTAGAAGGATGCACGGCTCTCTTCGACGCTTTTGGAATCCACGGCTTCAGCAGTGGGCTGCTGCAAGCTGTCTTCTGGTGCTACGTCCGCATGGGTAAGACTCGAAAAACGTGTGGAAAGCGTACTGCTTGGATGCATTGCTAACTAGGCAAGTAGATTTATGCGGTGCACTTATTTCAGATGGGACCCAGAGCACCCTTCTTCGTCCCAGCAAGTGGCTTGCCCCTGACTGCCGCGAGGAAGATGCAGCCCAGCTGTTCCAGGCGAATCAATCCCCGGACATGCATGCAAATTACGCCGTCTACCTGTGCGCAAAGACCTGCGAACTGGTTGCTGATCGTACACAATTTCTCGAGCTAGGCGCACAGAATGACTGCACTGGTGATGTCTTTCAGAGGCGCTGGCTTCGGCTCTGGGACGATTTGCAGCAGTGGGTCGAGAATCGACCACCAGAGCTGCTGCCTGTCCAGACGACCCAGACCAAACCGTTTCCACACATTCTGTTTCTGCACTGGGCTGCCATATCTTCAAACCAGCTCTATCATACTGCATGTATCCTCCTGCTAAACATCATGCCAAAGAGTATCAAGTTACGGTCAGGCCCGATTGTATCAGCGCTATGGCATGCCCGGAGAATTTGTGGCATATCTCTTACAAACCCTCATCAGGGATGCTTGAACAATGCGATCCAACCTCTCTGGATTGCTGGTCGGCTTTTCAGTCATGTTTCCGAACATGCGATTATCATTGACATCATTCGAAAGATCGAGGCAGAGACAGGGTGGGGTGCCTGCTGGCGAATTCGTGATCTGGAACTCGCATGGGGATACCAATTGACTCGCCGTAGTCGGAAATCCGGTACACAGCACTCACCGGCAGCTGGATGAAAGGTTCGCGGTCTTTAACTTTCGTCCTTTCTTATAGATACGCAAGTCTCTATGCCTCCGGCCATCCCCATTCCACTTGGAGATCCCTGAGAAGTTCTCCAGCGTTCCATCCAGTGATCTTTCGGATGTGCTCAAAGCCTCGTAAGATCTCCTGCTGCTGCGACTCATGGGTCATGCGACGTGCGGCTGTCAGGAACGACGCCAGCAGACACGGATCCCAACACTCGCGTCGCTCATTATTTAGAGCGATGCTGCAGATCCTCTGGGCATGCCAGAGCGGAGACATCGTCGCAGACCGAATGTCTGCAATGTGTACTGTTCGTGGACGGCTATGTAGCAAGAGCAACATGGCCGTGTGATACAATTGGTTGGAAAAGACACCAGCCCCGTTGGCAAAAAGGACAACTGGAAAGCTCTGACTCGGGTCAGCAGCCTGGTCGTCCGTCTCAATCTCTAGCATTGGCTGGAACCCCTGGGGTCGTTCCCGGTACCACTGCTCTAGCTCTTCGATTATTTGCATCCACGCGTGAAGCGGGGGCAGGTGTGGAGAGGGATCTTCGTTATGCATGAATTCTATAGCGCGCGCACAAAGCCAGAGAGGCCGATGGGCATATGAAAAGACCAGCCCAAAGGGATCGGGTTCAATATCTCCGTCTGCAAAGTAAGGTGGCGATGGAGGGATTGGAGCTTGGAGACTAGTATCTGCGGCCAGAGCTGCTCCGAGATCTTTCCGTTGCTAGGTTATCAGTATCTGTCGCCCGAGAAACTGGAAAATGTAGGGTTTAACCGAAATAACATACCGAGTCTCAAGTACAGCCAGTATATCGCTGAGTTGAGATCTCTGCCAACTGTATTGGCACTGATTGGCTCGAGAAAGTCCTTGTGGCTCTCCCTTTGCAAAGACCATGCCGAGGGCATATCCGTAATACAGTGTTTGGCCTTGTTCAAGACGTGCAGAAATGCGATCGTTGTGATGTCCAATTGCCCGTCTGGAGGGAAATTACCGACGATACTCTTGTTTATTCGCGAGTGTGAAGAGAATGGACGTAATAGATCTTTAGATGCCTGAGAGAGCGCCAGAACGTGATCTCGGACCGGAGGTGAGACCATTGCCAACTGCAAGCCTTGGATTCCGAATATTTGCCCCAGGTCACACATATCGAGCTGCGCATGTTAGTCTTCAACCCTCTCCTTTGAAATCTGTGTAGACGTACCCATGGGGCTACCTCGTAGCGATAATGGCGAAACAATTCGAGCGTCTCCGTGGGTGACAATTCAGAACTGACAGCCACAGGCTGTGTAAGTGGACCTGGGGAGAAAGTCACCGAGTAATCGGGGAAGTTGACCGGCGTCATAACTTGGGCCAGCGACCGTTCCCTTGTTGGAGGGGAGATCGTAAACTCCGATAGACTCAGAGGAGGCCCGATTGGCTCGGTTGTGCTTGTTCCCAGTGCCAATAGCCCTGCGACCGCAGACTCATCCTTATCACTGAACAACGCCATTGCGGGTTGGGATGGTGGCTCAGTTGAGGGCTCATCGGCCGACCAGATTGGTAGCTCTGAGAGAGATTCCGATTCTGTCTGTCTACCCACATCAGAACCGGTAGGGTCCTGGCGTGGCCGCTGAGGTTCTTCGGGCGGCGGTGATATTTCATCCTCTCCTTCTTCAATCTCATCCTTAGCATTCTCAGGATCCTCATTGACAAACTACTACCCATCAGCGATATAGTTTTTCACTGTGATCAAGTTCAAACTGACTCGAATAACTTCATAGCTGGCCGGTAGACTGCCCACTTCCGACGGCTGCACAGTCTGTGCATTCTTCGTCAGAAAGGTCAACTGCGAGCCATACTGGCACTCAAAGTTCCGATCGATACAATTGCGACACCGCGGTTTGCCCTCATCGCCTATAAACCACGTTAGATCCTAACAATAAACTTCAGAGAATAGACATGCATTTTCGCCTTCGTATGCGACATCGCATACACCCTGTTCGGCATCGGGTGAGCCTTCGGGCGCTCTGTTTGCCTGCGTCCGTCATGGCCAGCCGCGAGACGTGGGGAAACTGGGGAAAGCGAGAAACGGGAAAGGGCGAGCGCCACGAAAGAGGAAGGCCTACGCACCGGTCACGTGAAGGGTCACATGTGGGCTGGCAGCCACCAATCGTACCGAGGGTCTTGACATCCGACTGAGTTGAGGCTATTGGCGGAGTACTTATGCTCTTCTTTGACTTGCTTGCGATCTCTACATATTTGGAAGATTCCAACATATCTTAAGCTTATTGAGGTACTAACTACCCCTATTAGCCGCCGCCATCGCGCCCTGAGCATGTCATTATATCACACGGGCACATCCATCCACAGCTATGGTTACACCTACTTTCTTGCCAGACGATATACTATGTAGTACACAAGTTCTGGACATACAATGAATATGACTCCAACCTTGATCACAGCCTGCATTTCCCACTATCTCCCACTTCTTCAATCCCATAAGAGTGAAACGACGGATGCAGGCCACGCTATTTCCTCGCTTGAATTCACTGACTCTCTGCACTTCCTATGGTCGTTCTCACGATGTCTGCTTTGGCATCAGCGCCGGGCGCTTGAGTATTCCGACGCTTAAAGATATGTCGAAGACGGCAAGCAGCGTGTCGATGTACTCATCTGGGCGGTCAAGTGGTGGGTTCATCTCCGCCCGGCGTTTCTTCAAATCAAGCAGTGTCGTCTTAATTCTCTCAAAGCAAACCTCATCGCTCTCAACTTCGTTGGCGAGGAGAGGAGCGACAAAGCAGAATCTTGCGGAGTTATCAAACGGGGAGGGAACATGCACATATTGGCAGTACCCTCCCAATGACAATCTGCGCATTGGGGAACGCCTGCGATGTCGTCCACGACGACACACGAGTCCCAGATCAAATTGGCACGGGATGCATGGAATTGTCGAATGTTGCCTGTGGCCTGCATCACCGCAGACTCGAGTCTCTGTTCAGAGTCTCCAATCATGCGGTCGACCTCTTCGCTCCAGCACCTTCCGGTAGCCTCCTTGGACGGCTCCTGTCTAGACGTCATGATGGGCATATTCTGAGAGAGACAGGACTGAGGTAGTAACACTGAGGGATCCCCCGTAGTTGAGGTCAAGGTTCGGTATCTCCGGATACCTGGCTATGTATTGCTCTATGTTTCTGGGGTTAGTCTGGTTGAATTGAGACAAGACCAGTCACGTACCCTGGATGATGACTTTGAAAGCTCCGGATCAGCTTTGGCAAAAAAATCGAAATCGAGGCGATGATGGGGTAAGTAGGAGATGTGAAGGAAGAAAAAGGAGGAAGAGAATTTAAAGGACGAGAGTAGCGAAGACAAAAGAGAAGAGTAGGGTGCAAACCCTTTAAAAGTTTGCCCAGGTCCGGATCTTGCTGGAGATTTCCAGGGCTAGTGTCTGCTGTTTGCTTCGAGAGTCTATTTAGCCTCGATTTCCACATTTAACTTCATTACTTCTTTGTTCTATCAAGACAGATTTGAACTCAAAGATTTCCGTTTCTCTTGCCTTCTTTTCTCTGCGTGTGACGCGTTAAGAGCTGCCTCAGTTTCAGAAATGTCTCTAAGAATTTAATAGACCCATACAGTCAAACCTGCCAAATAACATGATCTCAAAAATGCAAAGCTAAAGCTCATTCGAATTTTATTTTCTATCCCACCATCTGGTACTGTCACGAGACTCACATTTCCACGCCCTTCAAATCATCTGGGTAGATTTGATCTTTACATGGAGTACATACCCGAGTTACACGACGCTGCGTTTCTTCTTCCACTCATCTACGATCCCTGCATATGCAGATGGTTCATACACACCCGTGAGCTCCCTTAAGAACCCGCCCCCGAGACGGTGTGGGTTCAACCCGAGATCACGCATGAGGATATCATTGTACTAGAGACGTATCAGTTATCTTCTAAGAAATATGAACTGGTGCTGGGGGAATTGCGTTGAGGAATATCCTTACATGGATAGCATCGACTTCAAGGCCGGAGCCAGTTAGTGACCCGAGTACTACATCTTCAGATATGGCCCTCTCCATAGCGATTTGAGGGATACAATGAAGAGATATGGCTGTGGAGCTCTCTGATTTGGAGCCAGGGGAGGATTCATCAAACCCGCCGGTTAAGAATGCCGCGACCCAGAGTGCTTGAACCTCCGCGACTACTGCGATGGTGGATGTGAGCACAACGCCAATGGTGGCAAAGGAGCGATCTCCGTTTGCGACTAGCTCTGGGGCTACCATGCGACGGAAGAGACGGTATGGGAGAAGCTGAGATTCTCCAATCCATGATGACGTACCCCGTTCTGCTGGTGTACACCCGGTCACTGCGAGTGTCGTTCTCAGCAATTTCTCTGATTGGAGATCGAGAGACTTCCAGTGCTCGATATGATTTTTTGTTGTCTCGTTCAGTGGGATATTCACACCGTTGAATGGCTCGCTTGGGCCAAGCGTGCAATCTTTTTCAGAGCTTGTGCCGACCAGACCGGACAACCCCAAAGCGAGGCGATAGCTTGGTGGGTCAAAGTTGATCGGAACAATGGGCTTGTATCCGGTTGCATGAATAACAAGATCAACATTGTCAAGGCAGACATTGTCATCGAGCAATACTTTCACACTCTCGATAGACTGGTCTTTATCCTGGGGACTCCAAGACGATATTTGCTCGATCGAAGAGCGGTATACCTTCACATGCGGCGACCTGATTGTCTCCCATAGGTCGGGCTGATTAGTGATACCGATACTGGACGCACACGAGATGACGCTGTACAGAATGAGAAAAGTGTCACACAAACAAATAAGAGAATGGCCACAAACCTGTTACTCGGTCGAAGTAACTGAGTTTTGGTCTCAGACTGATACTGAGCATATTCCTCCAGGGCTTTATCTACCGAACACCAAAACCAGCGAATCCACCATCGGCCGAGGGGATTCCCATGGAGAAGCCGAACTAGCCATGATCCTTCCATACGCAAACCCCAGGATGGGCCTTCTGCAGAATGTTGTTGCGAGAGACGCTTAGGAGTTTCGTAGTAGCGTGGGTCCAGATAATGAAGCAGTCTGCTACTAGCCGCTTTATCACTTGAAACAGTCTCGCCATTTAGAAGCGAGGATGTTGGCGGTGTCATCCACGCGGGTCCTGCCCCGTCTTTTCGGATGATCCAATGCACGGTCACTGGGTCTTTGGGTGCTACTTGAAGGTGCAGCGCGGGATCCTTTCGATGGAGTGTCGCGAAGAAATGTACCAGGTCAAAGGAGGATTTAGCACCTCCGTATATGACTACTGATTTTAGTAGGTGGCCCTGTTCCTCGTTTAGAGAACTTGGTCGAGCGGATGTCACAGATGATGGAAGAGGCTGATATCCAAGGTTCACGCGAGCCCAGTCACCAACGTCTTTGGCGTGAATGACAGACGTGGAAGTCTTTGTGCTTAGGGGCGAGCCTATCTTTGGAAAATTGGGCACTGAAGTGAGCCCCGTTGCTAAGATTAATTTGTCGCAGACCATCCTGATCTCCCGCGTGGTAGTCGAACCAACATGGACATTGAGCTCCCATTCTTTGCTGTCGAGGCGGCGGATACTCTCGACCTAGTCACGGTAAGACACGAAACATGATTCATATCACTTGTACTTACCTTCCAGTTCAATCTAATATGCTTTTTCAAGTCCCACTTCTCGGCCCAGAAGTGCAGATAACGGTTGATCTTCCAGCCCGCAATAAACTGTTGCCCAACACCACTCATTTCCTCAGGGACAACATGTGACAGAGGCAGGTCGCTGAACTCGTACATCCCGTATGAATTCTGACTGAGCAGATTTGGGTAGAGACGCTCCTCCCCCATGTCCCTCCGATGTCTGAACCCGCGTCGATCACTAGGAGTGAACACCCCGGGATATGCTCCACTTTCTTTCTGGTACTGGAGAAACAAGTAGGTAGAGGATCGGTGGTTTCGGTCGCATTGTCGGTTTTGCTCGCGGCATCATAGGCTCCTGTGACTTGCAAATAGGTCTTTGCTGCAATGAGGCCGTAGAGCCCTGGAGGAAAGTTAGCTGTGTGCTTCCTGTCGACTTGAAGTTGTACTGACCAGCGCCGACGATCACCACTCGATCCATAGCGTAGGAAAGAGATTGAGAGAGATAGAGATTGTGACAGAGGGTATAAGGAGAACTGAATTTTGAGAATGAACGTCAAAAGTTGAGGAATTTACCAAGAAGCGATCTCCGAGTGAACAACGGACGGGGCTTGAGATTGTTCTTAGTATTGTTCTGGTGGAGCATGGCCCATCACCTTTTCAACATACAAACTTGGACAAAAGGAGAAATCGCCGAACGAGGATTTACTTCTCTGTTTCATGTGGCACATCTGGAGTGATTATTCGATACTGAGGCTAGATATAATTCCACGGTGCCATGAGCTTTCCGCCAATCTCTTGTCCCTGTTCACGTTCTTGGTTGCATCGCTGGAGGAGACCTTCAACAGCCTCCTGCGCCATGCGAATAATGTTCAACTCTTCCGACCGGCCTCCGCGTACCAACCTGCCCTCTCTAACCAGGATCACCCCATTCACCACCGTCATATCCACATCGCGACCGGTACAGCCATGAACAACCGTGGTGACGGGGCTAACCGCACTGCTCGAGGATCGGCTGCTCCACGGCACGGCCCCAAGCCCACCAGCTCCATACGGATCTACCACCACAAAGTCGGCCTTTTTTCCTTCTTCCAGACTCCCTATCTCATGCTCAAGGCCTAAGGCCTTCGCACCGTTGATGGTCGCCATCTCTAAAGCGACCTCAGCAGGGATGAGTCTCGCATCATGGTGAATGCCTTTGTGAAGGATCGCGGCCAGGCGCATCTCTTGGAACATGTCGTAATGGTTGGAGCAAGGTGCGCCGTCAGTGCCGAGAGATACATTCACGGGTGACGGTGCTGAAAGCATGGACGGAACTGGGGCCACGCCAGATGCCAGTTTGAGATTGGAACTCGGGTTGTGCGCGACCGAAGTCCGAGTACTGGCCAGTAACGGGATATCGACGTCCTCATCCAGATTGACCATGTGTGCTAACACCAGTCGGTGGGAAAGCTGATCAGAGCCTTGGCCTGACGCGGTCTTTTGTCCGCAAAGCTTTGCGTCTCGAATGAACTCCATCGCGCTGCACTGATACGTGTCTCGGTATATCTCTCGATCTCGAGGGGCTTCGGCACAATGCATTGTCGCTGATATCCCGTGTCTGGCACAAATCTCTCCCAGCTCCAGATAATGGGAGATGGCTGTTCCACGCGGTGTACCCGCCGCAGCCCATACCTGAAGTCGACCCTCGTGGCTATCATGGTGTGTCTGGTGTGCTTTGAGAAGTTCCGGGATGGACATTGCCAGCAGATCTCGGTCTCTCGGGTCGGTGATTGACAACTGTCGATTCGTTTCCGTGAATTTGACCAGTTTCCCCTATCAAAGAAGAGTCCCACAATCAGCGTACCATTCTCCTATGGACTCCATTGAAGGTTAACGACTCACCAAACACCCTCTAATTCCCATTTCGCCAGCCACCTCGCAGATCGCATCGAATCCAGCACGGTATGTCAACATTGGGTCAAGGAAACATGTTGTTCCAGTCTTCAGCATCTCGGCCATGGTTAGGCGTGCAGCTCGAACGCCATCGTCTCTCTGAAAGGAAGCTTCAAGCGGCCAGATCGCGTCACACAGCCAGTTATGCAGCGGCAGGTCCTCTGCCAGCCCTCGGAGAAGAGATTGAACTAGATGGGCATGCGTGTTGATCAAGCCCGGGATGATGATCTTCCCGTCGCAATCGATTCTCTCTGCACCTGCGGGCAGCTCTCCTGGATATGGACTCTTTCCGACCGCTGTAATCCGATCGCTATCGATTCTGATGTAGCCCTCGCGAATCACCTCGCGCCGTTCATTGACGGTGATTATGGTTGCGCCATCGAATAGTTTACAGCTGCCAACACCTGCTGCCGTAGACATGTTGGGTCTAACAATCGACACACCGTCTTAATTTTTCACAGTGAAAGTAGGTAAATTAATTCCGAGAACTGACTACGTTTTTGAAGTTTTTCCACATCGTGGATAACAGGCGCATCTTGGGATTTCTCCAGACCCCTCGGCCGAGGCCAAGCCATCTCGCTTGCATATCATTCCCCACGGGCCCCGATAACTTAGCGTGATCCTACGCGATACGGCCCGGGGTAAAAGATATGGTACAAGAGATATGACTATCATCATTGATTATCTCACAATGCCTGACGATATGGTATATATCGGACTCTATCGACGTCCAGTCGAAGGAAGATTCTCTGCACAATGCCCGCAAGTCTGCAGCAAAAGAAACCAGGTTTCCTTGACTCTTGCTGAAGATCATGGATGCGACACGGAGGTTACCGGAGAAAGTGCAGTCCGACCTGCCGGTCACTTCTTCTTTTGATACATTCGAGACGGGGGATAGAGACTCACGCATTGTCGAGATTGCGCCTGTCGCCGAGACCCGATGGCAATACCTTCGCCGTTACTTTACTACTCGGGATGGATGGATTGGCAACTATGTATGTCAGACGAGACATCGCTTGTTGATTCAAATCCCTCAAAACTAACTCTCATCAAACAAGGACTATGCATATCTTGTCACTCCGAACATCTGGCCACTAAACAAGAAGTACAAGGATTATCAAGCACCGTTCTATGGATTGAACGATGAAGTCCCAATCCTTTTGACCATCATTCTCGGCCTGCAGCATGCCTTGACTATGGTTGGATCAGTGGTGTCGCCTCCTCTTGCCATTGCAAGCGGTGCTTTCTACCTTAACGCAGAAAAGAGCCAGTACCTTGTTTCTGCGGCCTTTATCACGACGGGTATTGCGACTGCTCTTCAAGTGACGCGGGTGCATTTCGCAAAAACTCCGTTCTACATTGGAACTGGTCTCTTGTCAGTGGTGGCTCCCACTTTTGACGTTTTGGCCATTGCATTTAGTTACAGTGATATGCGCTATGCAAATGGCACATGTCCAACATCCCCGGATGGATCCAAGTTGCCATGCCCTGACGCATGGGGTGCAATGCTAGGAACTATACTTTGTACCGTTTGGATTCAAATATTGCTGTCTTTTGTTCCGCCAAAGACGCTCAACCGCATCTTCCCTAAGGTTGTCACTGGCACTCTTCTACTCCTTGTTGGTGTGTACTTGATCTCCAGTGGTATGGAAAACTGGGGTGGTAGTTCAAACTGTGATGGCGGCAGCGGGTATTATGCTCTTTGCCCGAATACCGCGGCTCCTAAGCCTTTGCCTTGGTACGGCCATGAATTAATACGAGGCTTATAGATGTACATACTGACAAATATACACAGGGGCGATCCAAAACTGATAGGCCTTGGCTTCAGTGTTTTCATCACAATCATTTTCGTCGAGATATTTGGATCGCCACTCATGCGCTCCGCTTCGGTCGTCCTTGGCTTGGCCATGGGTTGCGCGATCTCCGGTGCCACTGGCTACTGGTCGCGAGAGAATATCGATGCCGCACCCGTCGCAACTTTCCTCTGGGTTGAGACGTTTAAGTTGTCAGTGGACGGCGCCTTGGCTTTGCCTCTTTTAATCATGTTTATCTGCGAGGCAGTCAGCTGCATGCCCGATATTCTTGCCACGGCTGAGATTTCGGGAGTGGACATTGATGGAATCGAGTTCAATAGCCGGATCCAGGGTGGTATTCTATGCGACGGCGTGGGCAGCCTGGTCAGCGCCTTGGGTACCGGATTGCCCATGGTTAGCCAGGCAGGAAATAACGGTGTTATATCTCTGACTGGATGTGCGGTAAGTTCTTCACTGCCTCCAGAAAATTCATATCAAGATTATCAGCTAACTCAAGCCTTATCTAGAGCCGAAGAGCTGGCTGGTGTGCCGCAGCCTTTCTAATCCTCATGGGTATCTTCGGAAAATTCGGGGCAGTTTTCGGTTCCATGCCTCCATCTGTCCTGGGAGGCATGCAAGTCTTCTTGTATAGCACCATTGTCGTGGCTGGTGTGAAGGTCCTGAGTCTGGTTGAGTTCACTCGTCGCAATCGCTTCATCCTGACCGCCGCCTTGGGCATCGGATTCATGGACATTGTGTCTCCAAGCTGGTTTGCTAAGATTCTGGCTTACCAGGGGTCAAATGTAAGACTGCAGGGCTTTGAGCAAGGTATCAACCTTATGGTTGAAACACCTTTTATTATTTCAGCGGTTGTTGGCGTGGTTTTGAATTTCGTGCTTCCTCATAATGTTGGGAAGAAGGTGGAGATGCTAGATGGGAGAGATGGTCGCCCGGCGCTTCCTACATAACGAGTTTGTGCTCAAGAATCTGTGAATCGCGACCACTACTACCTGAGAAATAAAGTAATTTTAATATATTGGACAGCTCGCTTCAATATGGACACCTTTCAACCACTGCACTCTCATCGTCATCTGTTGATCACTCGATAAGTCGCGATATCATCCGTATTGGGTGACCAGTGCCATTTTCATGATCTATTGAACTTTTTCTCCCCTCAAAGGGCCCTGGTCAAATGGAGGACATGGCAGAGCAGAATCAAGGCGACTATCTTCATCTCCCCCAGCTCCTTGCATAGCTGGAATTCGAGGGGTCAGTCACATCGGCTAAAGAGGTTTTATTTTTGACAGGCTGGGGCTCAGATGCTGTTTGCTGTAGGGTATATGGAACGTGTTAAAAAAACGTATTGAAATGTTAGTAATCAATCTATAATGAATAATATTTTGTAAGCAGCATCTTTTGCCAAAAAAAAATATCTTCTGACCGCGCTCAACGTCAGTGTGACCACGTTGTACTGTAGCCCGTTTGCTGTACAACATTGGTCCCAGCCAGAGACGGACCGTGAAACGGACCGTGGGTTTGCAACCTTTTCATCACCAGCCGCCGGAAGACGGCCCGTCACAAATTATTATTGAAATGAAGATAGCCTGTTTCAACGATACTTAAGGCTGAAAGCAGGAATACTGTGATGGTATTCCTACTATAGTTATTCAATAAATTCACAATGGACAAGAACCAACGAATTGTCATTATCGGTGCCGGAGTCTTCGGACTCGGGGCAGCCCTGCAGTTCAAGGAGGAGGGCTATACTTCCGTCACGGTCCTCGATCGCTCCATGCCACCAGTCCCAGACGGTTCCAGCAATGACATCTCTCGGATTATTCGATTCGACTATGGTGATGCGATCTATGCAGAAATCGCCAAAGAGGCGTACGACTTGTGGAAGACTCCAGAATTCAACGATGCTTTCTACCAGACGCCCTGTCTCTGGGTATGCCAGGAAGGCACTGCCGATCAACCAGTGCAATCGCGAGCGCAAGAATATAGCGCAAAGACCAAGCAGGTTCTGACTGAGATGGGACAGCCATGGCATGCCGTGACGAGTGTCGAGGCCACCAAGGAAAGATTCCCCGAACTAACGGGACGCTTGGCCACGCCTGGTTTTGATGGATTCTACAACACCAATGCCGGATGGGCCGATGCTGGCAAGGCTATCGCTCGTCTTGCTGCGCGCTGCATTCATGCTGGAGTGTCATTCTTGACCGGTCCCAACGGGCATGTCACCGAATTTGAGAAGAGTGCTGATGGAAGCATCGAGCAAGTTCGCACGGCCGATGGCAACACCGTAAAAGGAGATAAATTCATCGTGGCCACGGGTGCGTGGACTTCCGGTTTGGTACCAGCCTGGAACTCGATGCTGGCAGCCGGTCAGATTGTGGGCTATCTTCGACTGACTCCCGAGGAGGCTGTCCAGCTTAAGAAAATGCCTATTTATTTCAACTTCTCAACTGGGTTCTTCTGCTTCCCACCTCATGAGGGTACCGCCTATTTGAAAGTCGCGGTTCATGGGTTTGGGTACACCCGGAAGAATGAGAAAGTCAATGTCTCATCGCCGCCAGCAAACTCCGTTGCTGCACGAGCCAACTTCGTCCCGTCGGAGGGATTGAAGAGGATGGAGGCTGGGCTCATGGACCTCTTTCCTCACCTTGCCCCCCGCGGCTTCGAGCGGACCGGCCTCTGCTGGTACAACGATACACCCACCGGCGATTTCATCCTCGATTACCATCCCGAACATAAGAACCTTTTCATTGCGACGGGCGGAAGCGGACAGTAAGTTGAGAATCGCAGAGTAGTGAGTCCAATCATGCTGACTCGGTATCTAGCGCATTCAAATTTCTCCCAGTGATCGGCAAGTACATTGTGGGTAGCTTCGAGCGAAACCTTCCGCAGAATCTCCTCAACAAGTGGAAGTTCCCCACGCAATTCCGTAATCGCTTCCAAGGCGAAGTCTTCGGTGGTGATGGCAGTCGTGGCGGTCCAGAGCGTCGGGAGTTGACTTCCAACGAACGAAACACTTTCGACTCGGCCTTGGCGGCATCGGCCAGACAGAGCAAGATCTGACGAGATGATTCGCAGTTTAACATGCGTACGACTTACGATTGAAGACTTTCAATAGAATAAAAGGCTATCGCTGGGGTTGGCCAAGATAATCATAACATTTCCTGTTTGGCATCATAGTTATAGACACTGTAGCATCTGCAGTCCAACCATTGCTACAGGACACGTATTCCCATCAAGCCAGCGCATATTAGAGATGCTCAGACATAAAGTCGCCGAATATCATCCAATCAGGTATGTCAGGCACCAATGAGCCAGGAGCATTACATCCAGCTCGATCAGGGAATTGCCAATCAGAGATCGATTCATCATTCACCATCGGACAGCCCAATCCGTCGATCACCGAATCCATATGAGTATGTTCACCTGGAGTGGTCGTATGGTCTGTATCCCCATTTTCATCGAATTTCATTTGTCGGGATGACCTTCCAATCGGCTGTTTCATGGTTTTTCGTTTCTTCCTTGTCGGTGCTGGCAAGGTAGCCTCAGTCGCTTCAAGGGGACTGGATGAAGAAGCGAAATCTAGAATATCCCACATCAAGGCCTCGTCTTCAGTCGACATTCTGGGCAGGTTCGCTGGTGTAGGCATGCTAGACAGTTCTCCTGAGAACCCTTCTTGATTGTAGAAAAGAGACCCATAGTTGCTATGGCGGGTAGCTAATTCATTTATCCGACGCACCTAGATACTAGAGTTAGGATGTCTCTCATTTTCCTCCCCGGAAGAACTTACTAGTACGCCCATGTTTTCCCAATGAGAGGAAAGTTCAGTGATGAAGTTCACAAGGACTCGGTACTCATTGTTGACTAGAAGTGCGATCTGTGGGTTCTTGTTTCCGGTATGTTCAAGTTGAATAGTAGCAGCAATCGCAGCTAGATATCCAAAGAACGGGTCACACAGGTGCAGATCAACCTCAGCCATTTCCTTGATGAATCTTGCAATCCAGCGCGAATGAAGCAAAGACGTCTCAAATGACTTTTGCAAGAATGTCGCAGACAGATTCTCACTTAAATGACGTAGCTTGATCATGGTCACAAAAGGATGGTGAAGAAGACACTGTATCGAATGAAAAAGGAATTGAACACATAGCCAGGTCGACAAGTACGGCCGGGACTGTGGATCCTGACGCGCTCGCCGTTTGAAATCAACATTCATATAGCGATGAACGTCTGCGAATTGAGTCTCGAATATCATCCACTCTGATTCCAGAATCGCCAGAGCTGAGCCAGTCCTCCAAGGAGGCAGGGTGCTTGTGGGAAGGGGCTCGAAGACCCATTCCGTTGCTTTACCCCAAAGTGAGTAGAGCCGGAGGAGACAAGCTATGATGCCTTGGTCGACCTTTTGACCCTGTTTCATTGACTTTTCATGCAGCGTCCCCAGCGCTGGAACATCGTCCGAGGCCGAAGGGAAAAAAAGTGTGAAGTGATTATCAGAGAGGCAGAGGGAATAGTTTCGCGAAGCATTGTAGGTGCGATCAAGCATGAAAAAGGCCCATGTTATTCGCCGCCTAGCCTCCGCTTCGGTCTTGGTGAAGGAGGATCGTGTCTTTCCCTGATTGAATCCAAATGATTGGATGGTTCGAAGACCAACAGCGACCGAAGCACAACCACGGTGTGCATTCCCATCGGCAAAATCTAGCTGGGCGACAAGAAAAGTTGCCTGCAGAAATGAAAGACCGGTCTTTCCCTGCTGGTATTGCGCTGATAGTATTTCCCACGCTTTTTCTGTGCAATATTTTCCCGTCGGTGTGTCGAGATTCGGCATGCCGGGTGAATTAACGGTGAGGCGACGAGTGAGGCCGACCAATGCGAAAGCAATTTCTGATGGTAAGGACCGGGAATTCTCTCGAAGCCATTGCTCGACAAAAACGCAATATGGCTGGTCATGGAACTTGTTGAGATAGACCTCGACTTCTGTTTGGATAAACGATGGTGAAAGTGGACAGCTGCAATACGTGAGTTGCGCGTGCCTAAGCTCCAGGTATTTCTGTCCATACCTTGCCGTTAAATCATCATCTACTGTTAATGTCTCGCCTAGATTGGGTGCTTCATCAGGCTGATGTTGGATATGGTCCAGAGTTGTAGGTATATCCCCATGTAATGCTTCGATTAGGGCATCGGCCGGGGGCAGACGTTCTCTGGTGGAAGTCGATATGTGTCAATTGTCCGGTCCATACTTCAAGGCAAGATGTCAAGTTCCGATTCATACCGAAGCAACAAGGAGATTTCGTCTAGTTTGTGTTCTATACGTTGAACTCGCCGTGACGAGGAGACTTCAGAATCTGCTTCCTAGATAGATGGCACCCAATATTTAGCTATGCGTGTCCGTTGTCAATTGTGTGAGCCAAATCATAGCATACTGCAGCTGATCCATCTAGGTTGGTGTTCTCGTCATTCACGTCTGTCCGATGGCCTCGGGCATTGCTCTGAGCTTCCTGTGATCCGTATGTGCACCGTTGTCCTAACCTGCTGCATAGTGAGCATGTGGGCTTCTCACCCGGGCACCGAGCCTTCTTGCGACTGTAAGGTTGATGTTAGCTTCTGGCTTCGTCCTCGCAACATTTACGCGCTCCATTCTCCGAACTGCACTTACCGACATGGACCACATGCTTGGCGCGTACGTTTGAGAGAAACCTTGTGGATTGTATAATTGTCATTCGAAGTGCTCATTTCATTGTTCACACATCCGATCAGCCTGCAAATGCTCTTTGAGTCGCGACCAACGAAATGACGCAAGTTGGAGTTGGTCGGCAGAAAAAAAGCAAGCAGCGAAATCGGACAGACTCCGACGAACCAGGCGGCTTCAAGCGGAATACTCCGCCTCCAGACCAAACTTCATGGGGTCCAGAAGGCCGATAGGCACCGAATTCCACGGTTATCGGGTCTCTTGGACTCCACCAAACAGAACTTACCGCGTGCGGGGTAACATCACAATTGTCGGGCGTGAACAGGGAGGGCACTTAGAGAGATAAGAATAGACTGTGATGATTTTTATGACCATAAAATGAACATGTATTGAGCACTTGGGACACGACATTATAGTTGGGTCAGCAAATCATTGACTTCGTTTGATAAGCCCAAGAAGAAAAGAGTCGTCAGCAGGAATGCTGCCACGAATCATCTCCATTGTCAAGCAAGCGGAAATTCCCAATCTAGGAATGTCTTCCCCCATGTCCCACGATCCTGGTCAAATAGGTCCATAAATAGGTACTTCGAGGCACCAACGTGTCGGCAGCCACCCTCCAATACCCCGCGGAGCTCGGTTCTATGGTCCGAGTAATGTAGTACTAGCCGGCCGAAGCGGAAGCTCACGTCATGGGCAACAAAGAGGCCGCGTGAAAATGTTATTCACCGTGAGAAGCGGCGAATACTGCAATGTCGTATCGTGATTAGGTATACTAGTTCTATCAGAAACCTTTGGCGTTGCACAGCGCATGGAATGATCGGACTGATTGAGCATTGTATTGTATACATGCTCATAGTATGGATTATCTATAAACTAACTCCGATAATCCGAGCTCCATTATTTAGATCATGCATGCTAAGTAGTAGATCAACCAGGCGCTGATTGGAGGAAGGAGTGCCGATACGCTCTAGCACCCTCGCCGATCGGTCGCGGATGTTAGTGTTAGTGACAGGGAACATAACGGGAAAGCTGGAGAATCGCCACGCTGACGAGGCAAAAGGCAGTGGTAGTACGGATGGAAGCTGCTACGGGCTCCCCAATGAAGAAAGGACTTTTGATCGAGGGGGCTCATGTGATCGGCCCGGGCACACCTGAATGCATTTAAGTTGTTGCGGGGGATGTCACGAGACGCCCGCCACTTCGAGTCAAATTGGAGACCCTTTTGCCTCGACTGCGTAAGGCTGTTTCAATAGTCTCTCCAAGGGAAAAATGAGTCAACTCGGTTGAGAGATGTTTGTAGGGCTATGGTGTATAGGCTTCGTTTTGAATTGGGCTACTCCGGCCCGTGCACATGTTGATAATTTTTACTTCCTTCTACAGTAGGCGCACAACGGGACCTCACTGGGTGGATGTATTGTACAAAGATTCTGATTTTATGAGCTTCCACCCAATGCTACGCCCGCAGTTCTCGAAACTTGAGAGACACTTGAACGACACGATTCCTCCAGTCCTTGAGTTAAGTTGCTTATCATGCACGTCTTACAAAGGTAGAAAATGTGCGGTATTACGACCCGACTAGACCGGTGTGGCGTTGAGGAGAGCCGGTCGCGAGGACCGTTCACCGTGGGACATGGGCGCGCATTCTAGCCCCCGTAGCACTGATTTCCTCACCCAATCCGCTAGCGCCCGTCCCAATTCAGCTTCCGTCCCGATCCTGTGATCGGAAACTGTCTTGATACCCCGTTCGACCCACGATCGCCGGGTACACCATCATGATATCAACAGTAGAGACAATAGATATACTGATAGAGGACTATATATGTAGCTTTTTGAAACCCTGGGTAGGTGTTCAATAAGACCGTCGAAGCATCCTCACACAATAAATCCTCCGGCGCGAACTATAGTCTTGAACCCTCGACATGCCAGCAATGTCAACAAGCGACCTGGGCCTCAATGAAGCCGCAAGTAACAGACCCTCCCAGACGGAGAATTCCCCATTGAGGGCACTCCCTGCGTCTTGGTATACATCTCCTGAGATGTTCGAGCTCGAGCGACGAGCTATTTTCTCTCGCAAGTGGCTCCTGACCAGTCATACTTTGCGCTTCTCCAAAACCGGTGATTGGCTACGATACGATATCGCTGGCTTCAGCTTCATTCTGGTGCGCGATAAGGAAGGTGCCGTTAATGCATTCCACAATGTCTGTCGCCATCGTGCGTTCCCCGTTGTCACAGAGGATGGAGGCACTTCACGAATCTTCTCTTGTAAATATCACGGCTGGTCATACGGATTGAATGGGAAGCTCGCCAAGGCACCGGGCTATCAGGATCTTGATGGCTTCGACAAGAGCAAGAACGGCCTCCTCCCGATCCATGTTCATACCGATACCAATGGGTTCATTTGGGTAAACTTGGATGGCGCCGAACAGCCCGAGATTTCCTGGGAAGAGGATTTCAAAGGGATCGACCTGCAATCGCGATTCGAGGATTTTAATTTCGAGGATTATACATTCGACCATACCTGGGAGATGAATGGCGACTACAACTGGAAGATCCTGGCCGACAACTATAACGAATGCTACCACTGCCAGACGGCTCACCCCGACGTTCCCTCAGTGGCTGATTTGAGCTCCTACTCCGTCGATACTCAGAAATGCAGTATCATTCACGACCCAAACACCACGCCGGAGCAGATCGCGCAAGGTTTAAAGATTGCCAGCACCTACTACTTCCCCAATGCCTCAATGACAGTATCGCCAAACTTCTTCTTCATGCAACGATTTGTACCAACTTCGGCTACCAGCTGCTCCATGCGATATGAAGTTTACCGCAAAAAGATTCTAGCGACGAGGATTTCAACAAGGTCAACTCCATGTTCAAGCGCATCATGTCCGAAGACAAGGCCCTCTGCGAGAATGCCCAGAAGAATCTCAACAGTGGGGTATTTGTCAGTGGCGAGCTGCATCCTCGCCTCGAGAAGGGACCTCTTTACTTCCAGAATGTGGTTAGGGACCTTGTGACCGAGTTCCACAAGCGGGAGGAGGAAGCAGGTCATGAGATCTGGCCTTCGCGGCAAACACTGCCATCCGAGGCTAAGACAAGCCAGGATGATATTGATTTCTGCTCTAAGCTGCAGAGTAAAAGCCAAGCCAATGGAGATTGCTCAACTCAAGTTGGTGGCTGTTGCGGCGGTGTGGCATGCCAGTCTGGCAACCCGGCGTTAGCCTATTGATTTGATTTACCTTTTCTTTTGTAGTTTCGGTGATGGTTTGCTCGCATTTCAGCCTGAACAACAGTTGAGTTTTTGCATGGATGATAGTAGTTTATGACGCCGATAATTATGAATCTCATTTATCTAGAATATCACATTTGGATCACCAACTTTTGGACTTTTTCGCAGGTCAGCGACACTTTCCGGAGAGAGTGTCGGACTAAACAGACGCTTATTCTCCGCATCTACCCCAATTTGAATAACCCGCCATGATATGCATATGGAACAGTCGAAATGCCATTCGCTCCCAAATAATAAACTTTCTTATCGGCTATCGACTATGGACCCCGCCTCCCTGGTTCTCGTGTCGGATCCTTCAGCCCGTGGAGATATCTCGAATAGTGTTGGCTTCTAGCCTTAGATAAGGAATCGCAGTCCCAACGAATGTGCTGGAATGGAATCAATAACCTTATCTTTATCAAACAACACAGTTCGAGTATTCACTCATTATCTGGGAACTAAGAAAGTATTCATTGGACCGATAAACGGTCCTTCAGCATCGATCTGCGACAGGGGTGCCTTCTGGAGGGGTTCTGTGACGCAGGATACTTTTGCCTTTTTTAGTAAGGTTTTTAAGTTACATCACCAAACTTTGTGTCTACCCACGGACCATTTCCGGCCATCACGATCCTGCCGACGTGGTTCTAGCGCCGAACAACTGACTAGGTTGAGTTGGAGTAATATGCCCCTCTAGCCTAGATCACTAGTCGCTGGAATACTGCGGGTCCCATCCACCTATGCATGCTTGGGTTCTCCCTTTGTTGCTGGTCGCTGATAGGCCCTGTTCCCCCGCTCACGGGCTTTGTGCTATCGTGTCCCCGTCATTCCTTAACCCCTCTCGCCTCCCATTCATTCCCCGACATCATATTCTACCATCGTATATGATAGCAATTTGGCCTCCATTTTCTAGACCAGATCAGTTTTTCACACTATCGCTTCCGGTCGATCTACTGAATTGTGTTCTTTTTTCGCCACGTACGGATTCCTCCCAGTTGTGCTTGTCATATAATGCCACGTGAAGGCACCCGGGGAAGACTGCGTTCGCATGAGGCCTGTCTGAATTGCCGGTGAATATTCTCTCCTGTTCATGATGTTGTCGCGCCCGTCTAATATTGTATAGGAGGAAGAAGACTCGGTGTCCTGCCGAGAAGCCAGCGTGTTCAAGCTGTGTTCGCCTGAACCAGCAATGTCTGTACACAGCCGTGCCAAGAGGCTCTCGCAGTGGCCCTTCTGTATGACTGAAATCCTAAGACCTACAGTAAATAAGGGTACTGACTATCTCACTAGGCTGACAGGCTCGCCTATCTGGAAGAGAAAGTCAATCTTATCTTGAACGGCGGCAGGTACACATCCCTTCTGTCATTAACACCTTGCTTCTTCGAAAACCCTGACACTTTCTCCAGATCGCTTCCTCAAGACCAAAATCATAGTGGAAATAATGAAGCCGCCGACGCTACGTACTCAGCAGCCTCCTGTCCATCCTCGGCCGACTTTGGGCCCTCCCTCAATGATCCATTTCTTCTCGGAATGGGATTCGAAGACTCGAAGATAAGCCCATCTTCGAGGATATCCCAGGCAGTGGACCTCTACTTTCAATACTGCCACAGACAGCCAATATGGTGCTTTGACCGCGAAGAAGTCAAGGACACGAGCTACATCTCGGAGGAGCTAGTCTGCAGCATTTTAACGCTCACTTCCCGTTTTTCGCAAGAGCGCGAGGAGCTGCAGCACTACGGTGATAGCGCGCGAACTCTTGTCATGCTCCGTATTGCCAATGGCACCGTAGAGCTTGAAACGATAGAGAGCCTCTGTTTACTGTCGTTCTCTTCTTTCCTCGGTATGTACAAACTCATTGTCAGAACAAATACAGTAAGCTAATCATCCCCCAGATGGAAATGGCCACCTAGGACGATTCCACCTCGGCTTAGCCCTCCAGCTTTGTCGTTCTGCGATGCTGGACCTTCACTCTACTTATGGCATTGAATGTCCATCTCCCGAACGAAAGAAAAGACTCTTCTGGAGTCTTCAATCGCTTGAACAGACATATGGCCAAATCAACGACATACTCGGCGTACCGGCGGAGGTTTTACGTTCCTATTACGTTTCTACAAGTGATGATCCGGAACTTCTCAAGAACCTTGATACGAGACCCCCACTATTACCGAACGATGATATCGGATGCACAAGCTCGTCAGATCTTGGGATTTGGAATCTGGCACTGCATTTTGGGTGGGTATGGAGTAGGGTGAGATCATACGTCTTTGATTGCGCTCAAAGTCGCTTGAAAGAGCCCTGGAGGCATGATTCGCTGTACGCGATGATACTATCTGACCTAACCGAACTCGAGAACAAACTTTCACCATGCCATCGCTATGATTCGGTCAAGTTTTACGAGCGGAGGGCTGAGGAGCTTAGGGTCAATCGTGAATACTGGACCCCTTGGCTTAAGCTACAGTTTACCTATCATTCCATTTTGACGGTCCTCAACCATCCATTCCTCTACATTGTGGCATCTCAATACAACCATAACTTGACGATCCCAAACACTTTCTGGAGGAGGTCATCTGAGCTGGTCCTTTTGCATGCAACCTGGATTGTTCGACTGATCGACATGGTGTCTGAAAAGAAGATGCGACTCATCGACCCCTTCTTTGGCCACGCAGCTGCAATTGCTGCTACCGTGCATCTTTACTATTGCTGTGCCTCAGATCCACGATTGAAGTATAAATCAAAAACAGACTTTGCGAAATGCAGAAGGTTTTTGAAAAGCTTCATATCTTTCTCTCCCGCTTGTGAAAAACTGGTACGTCAGTCTGCAAGAGAATAGACGAGCAATCACAAGACTAACAAGCCCAGAATCATACGTTAGACAAGATGACCCGCATTGCGTCCGGCTCCGAGAAGGTGGACTTTGATTGGGAGCCATCGAAGATCCACCTCAGTATCCCTCTGATGTGGGATCTCCTCCAAATAAACTGCACACCGACGTCACACGAGACATCCACCACCGGCTTGCTGCACCCTTCACTTAGTCCAACCGTCTTTCCAGAGGAAGTGGAAAATCCGTCGTCTACTCTTGAAATCATCGTTGCAATGTCCCCAGATATCACTGTGAATACCGCTGATGGAGGATCCGCTGCTCATGTGCCACCTAATCTACCACCACGCGTCGCCACAGCCCCTGCATCACCTGCAAGCACAACGATGGGAGACAAACTCGTTGCGCCTGCCGATAGTCTCATGGCCAATACCCCTTGGCTCTGGACTGAGCCTCCACAGTTCATTGATATGGATAATCTTGGTTACCCTGAGTCAGAGTCCACCATGGGCAATGTCGACGGGTTTTCCACCTGGTGGGATTTTGGAAACTTATAAGAGTATTATATTCATTCATCTCTATTTCACACTTGACGAGCATTTCAGGTCCACAAATGATAACCAAACAGTCTTTGGGACCAAGATCCTAAGGCTGCTGCAAAAGCTTCGACCCGAAGCCCGCGCTGCCCTAACAAATACTGCCCCAGATGTCCCTCACGCGATCTCCTCAATCCACTTCCAATCTATGCCGCCGCAACCATTTTCAACTTTTCCTGCAAGGCAGCAAAATTCCGCTTCATCGCACTGTCGGTAAACTGAGCCCCAGTCACCATTGGGTACTTTTTCAACGGCCCTTGGATCAAAGCATCCTTGCAGGGTTGGTTGAAGTATGCAATGCTGTACCGGTCCCCAAAATAATCTCCAGGCTCACACGGCGCCTTCACCCGGTGGAAGGTCGACTTGAACCGATCATCCGACCACGACATGAGCAAGTCCCCGATGTTACAAACAATTTCCCCAGTCTTCGCCTCCACCTTGGTCCACTTGTCGCCAATGCCGAACTCGGTAACGGATTCCCGACCGGGACAAATCTCCAGCCCACTCTGCCCTTCTTTCTGAAACAGTAGAGTCAGAAAGTCCCAATCAGCATGTGCCCCTGCGCGATGATACTCTTTCCCATCGGCTTCCTCCGGCAACGCAAAGTAATGAAGTAACCGCATGGTGGTTTGAGAGTCCGACCGCGACACATCGTGACATTGGATGAAGAAGTCGTCAGGGAATCCAAGACCCCGAGCGAAACACCGCATTAGGCATTCGGAGATCTGTTGCACGCGATGCATAAATGCCAAGGCAGTGGTTTGGAATCCAGGGAGATGCTCATCAGCAACCCATAACCCCTTCATGTTGTCTCCGAATTGAAGTTGATAGGACTCTTTGTTGTCTGGTTTGCCGGTGGATGGTCGGATTTGTGAGTTCTTCTCCCAGCCGACATTGTTGGCATTCCACGGTACGGTCGCTTTGGCGTTGTCAGGTAGGTCGAAGAAATTCTTTGATGTCGAGAAAATAGCTTCGATGACTTCCTTGGAAATCCCATGATCGATCAATATGAAGAATCCCACATTCTCAGCCGCGTCAATCAAATCGGCCGTGATTTTGTCGATACGGTTCTCGAAGTGGGCGAGTGAGATTTGGGGGATAGGTCGCTCGACGTATTGAGTTGGAGCCATGTTTCGTTGTTGTCGTGGCGATCAAGAAGAGGTGAGTTCATGTGCTCGATAACTGTTTGACACCCCTGGAAGAGATTGCGACCGTGCAAAGCATATATATAGACTGCGGCTGCGATCCTTGTTCATGCTCCAATTCGGATCCCCGCATTACTTATCTCAGGCTCGGCCGAGGTGGTCGGCCGAGCTCCTCATCATCCTTGCAGATCACCGTCGATGTCACCCCAACAGCGGCCGACCACCTCGAAGTCAAGAGTTATTGATGCACGCGAGTCTACGGCTCCAAGCAATGTAAGAATATCTGCCAGGGTTCGCACAGGAGATTCTCCCTATTTACTTTGTAGAGCTGGACGGAGATCTTGCTAAGGCGGCCTTCGGCCAAAGCTATTAACAATCACTTTCCTGGGCAGCAAAACTTTACCCCCTTGCGTAATTGAGCGATTGGAAATAAATCTCAAAATGTCACTTTTTGTAAATTACTTGCTATAATTTTTTGTTTTTGTCGCCCTATTCGTCCATAAAGACACCTGTAATCGAGGATGAGAAGCAGTAGTCAATAGAATCGAGTAACTAGAGATAAGAACCTCGATAATCCGCCGCATAATCGCGTGAAATCGGCTGGTCGCCAAGCAAGCTCCGAGGCTACTGATAAGACAAGCATACCCAGCGGTAGCCTCAACTCTGCTGCTTCACACCATCATGGAGCAAAGCAGAATGAGCAGCGGTATTCACCGAAAACGTTTGGCCTGTGTCGAATGCACACGCCGTAAAGTGAAGTGCGACAAGATTCTCCCATGTCGTAACTGCACGAGAAAAGGGTCACGATGCACTCGGCCGCGCGAGCGGGACTCTCCGAACCCGAGCCTTTCTCAATCCGAGGGTCGAAGCGAGCAAGAGATCCTAGCACGGTCAAGTGCGGATGCTTCGAGGACCATTGAGATTCTTCAGAACAGAGTTGTGCGGCTCGAAGCTGCGCTTGTCGAGGCCAGGGAGTCGCTATTTCGGCCGCGTACCTCGCCTTTGGACAGTGACATACGCGACTCCTCTTTCTCCCCGGCGAAGTCAATAACAGTCGACAGAATGCCTGTTTCCACGGGTCGCTCCGTGCACATTGAACAAGATATAGACACAAATCCAAATCCAAAAGAGGTAGAAGACGCCGCAACAATACTTGAATTTCTGGCTTGGGGTCGGCGCAAGGATCCTACCTACCAGGATGAGATTGTCAGGCGCAACAACTTAGACCACTCCCCGGGAGATGTTCACACCGAAGATGATTGGGACGATATGCGCATGTCAGGACCTTCGGCTGCTTCTCTGTGTCAGGTTCTACTTCCCAAAAGACAAAAGGTCTACCAATTAGCAAAATACCACTGCGAGTGCCTGCTTTGGTACCATGGAGCATTTCATGCAGCTACCTTCCTCCAGGAGCTAGACGAATTCTATGAGAAGAGAGATGGAAAGGTGGATAGCCCCGGTATCGACCTGCAGTGGATTTCCTTCCTGTTCGCAGTCCTCACGGGATCAATGGCTTGTGCGCCAAGGTCGATTGCACAGGCCTGGGGTTTTCGTGACAAAGAGCGAGATACCTTGTCCAAGCGATGGTTGAAGGCTTCGATAACATGTTTACATCAGGCTGACTATATGGCCAATCATTCAATCTACTCACTGGAAGCCATCGCCAGTCTCACCATCTCAGCCCACATGCTTGGCCATTCCAATGGATTCTCTGTACTATTGGCATCGGCCGTGCGAATAGCCCAAGGGCTAGGACTTCACCAACTTGGAAATGACGACACTTCACAGTCATTCGACCCGGTGAAAAGGGAGATCGGTCGCCGCGTCTGGTGCCAGCTCTGCATTCAAGACTGGTTCTCCATTCCATATACCGAGAGTTACTTGATCCATCGAGCATGTTTCACCACAGAGAGGCCCTTAAACTGCGACGATGACATGAGCAATCTTTCAGAAGACCACCCCACCGTAACAAGCCACTCACGCCTAAAATACAAAATTGCGGCCCTAATGCCGGATCTTCAAGACGATATGACCTCCTGCAATACTCATTACACTCGATACGAAGAGGTGCTCAAATATGACCGCCGACTACGCACCTTAGCCACCCAGCATCTACCATACTTCTTGCAAAATGTTCCCTTGGACCCATCTTGGCCATGCTACGTTGAATGGGCTCGGAGAAGTCTGGCCATCAGCTCTGCTCACAAGGCCATCATGATTCATAGGAAGTTTTTGAGTCTGAGCTTCGCTAATCCTATGTTTGAGTTCACTCGGAAAACCTGTGTTGCTGCTTCGAGAACGATCATTAAAGAACAAAAGGAAGCTACACGTAATGGTGGGCCTATATTGTGGATTCATCAAGCATTTAGCGTCACTGCAAGTGTAAGATATCGAATTTTGCTTCTTTCATGAGCCTACACCCGGCTAATTCTTTGAAGATCATATTGTGCCTAGACATGTTCCATCAGCCTCGACCAGATCGTCAGGCTTCTGAAAACCGCCAGTTGATCGAAGATGGGATTGAGATTTTATCCCATTGTGAGACTGATATGATCGCACAACGAGGCGTGTCTCTTCTTCGGGCGATGCTTCAAGCTGATAAAAGGGGCCACCGAGAGAGCGGAGCCGTAAGTGAACTACAAGAGCCACGGCTTCTACATGATACTACCAAAGAAAACGGCTTAGACATTGCTGCCATCATCCAAACGTTCTACCGACAGGATCGGGCAAGTGTCACCGGTCACTGCCGAACGGTTCTTGGCGGATCATCTCTTGCAAGAGCTACAGGACATGGTCGTTGGCCCGATAGCACCAATGATGTCTCGGGAGTCATGCCCAGTGTTGATCTTATGATGCCTTTGGGAGTTGATTATGCGGAGGGCTTGGATGATATTCTGAGTTTGGCAACAAATTACCTCAACTAGAGAAAAATTACAGCGTCATAAATTCAGGACAATCTATCTTGTCAAGCTCGGATTCTTGACGGTATCCACCGTTTTCAATTTCAGGGCCGGGTGACGCCCAGGGGGGGTATATGGAAAGTGCTGATTAGATGACATGTGTTGTTGGCAAAAATGAGGGGCCCGCCCGTAAGACAAAGTGTTCAGTATATGATGTTCTCATAAACCTTGAAAGATAAACAGAAATCGAGTAAAACGCCGGGTTTTTCATGGTGACTCTTCGTATTCATTCCGCCTTCCGAACCTGCGTCACCGGGGCCTGATAGACAAGGCGTCCGTGGGCAAGGTACTGGACAATAGAAAAACTCACCACGAATCCAAAGACAAGAATCGACCAGTTCATATCCACCGGTGTTGGGTTCGCGGCAGTGGGGAAGAAAGTGAAAACAATAGCGAAACAGAGATACGCCACAGAGAAGACGTTGATAGGCAATCCCAGGGATCCCAGCGAAAAGCGCGAAGGTGGAATTCCACCGGGCTGGAATCGAGCTCGAATAAACGCACCAATCGACAGAATATACGTAGTGAACAACGCGGCAATCATGACCGAGGCGATGGCATTAAAAGCGGCTGTCGAGCCGATATTAATCAAGCTCAGTAGAAGGGTGATGATGGTCGAAACGAGCACGGAGGTGACTGGGATCTGAGTACGGCGGTTGACGTGGGCCAGTGCACGAGAGAAGGGGAGGGCGCTATCGCGAGCAAAGGCAAACGTTTGTCGGGAGGCGGTCGCAAGAATACCTATTGCACTGCAAACTTCCATAACTAGGATGATCGCCGCCACGCCGTTGGTGGCGGCGACGGAGCCCGTCGCATGGTGGACGGCCGGGATGAGCGAGAAGCCGCTGGCCGGGCTGAGAACATCGGATATCTCACCCATGTTGTATAGAAGAGTCACGAGCATGACGAATCCCAGGCCGCCATTTATCAAGGCAGTAGACACCATGCACCATGGGACGACAAGAGCTGCATTCTGAACCTCCTCAGCTATCGGGTGTCAGCATTTCGTGTACTTCATGTCGGTGACTCTTCACTTACCCATATGAGTCGCAGCATCGGGACCGGTCCATGAAAAGATGGGGGTCAACTGGCCAACTAGACATGCCAGGCCGATACTCGTCCAGCCGCCCTCGTTGCCGAACACGGTCCATACTTCGGATGATGGGGCTTGGCCCGGTGACATCACCCACATGGGCACCATAACAGCGACGAATCCAAAGATGTGGAGGCCCAAAATGATGCCCTCCAGCGGAGGCAGGAACTTGGCACCATAGGTATTGATCAATGTTCCAATGGCGGCGATCGCCATTGTCAACAAGGTTCCGTGCCAGCGCTCATAAGCATAGATATATCCCGTGGATCCGGAGTAGTTGAAGACGAGAAGGCCCTGGATCAAGGTCCCGCATAGGAAGCAGATGCTGGCGAAGGCTGCTTGCCATCCCAGAACAGACAGCCACCCTTAAAGATGTCAGAAATGATGTGCGGTAGGATTTTGAAACAGATATCCTACCAGTCAGGTAGCTCAAAAAGCGTTGCCAACGTGGAGCTGCGAATTCACTAACCCAGTGATATTGACCTCCGGATGTTGGGGAGCTAAGTATGAAATTGTTAGCTCCGGTGCAGCTCCCGATCGAACAATGACATAGCCAAAACATACATCGAGGATATCTCTGCCATAGAAATAACAGAAGCGAAGAATCCCACAAACGACGCGAGGTAGACATAAATCATGCCGGCTCGCCCACCGTCAATCAGGCCATAGGTACTCGTGCTACGGCGGAAACAAATGAGCTCAATACCATAGCTTGTGCGCTCGCGACCTGGACAATCATGTAAACTTACAGGAGAATCGACTCCCATGAGGCCATCAACGTCGTCGTGAACCCCAGAATCGAATAAAAACGGAAGTTTCGCTGTGGCAGGTCAGCCCAATGCGCCATCGCCATCCCCCACACTCGACCATGCGCAACTGACCTTGAATTGCTGAGCTTTCCCCAAACGCTCCATATCTCGGTCATCCTGGGAATTTCCATCCAGGCCGGCTTCATGAGCCAGAACCTCCTTGCTGCCCGCCATAATCTGCAGTGGGTTTTATAGACACGCAGAAGACGAGAAGCTCGAAATAAGCAGAGCAGGGAAAAATTTGGAGTTCATCTGGGCAGGGCAGAGGAGTGTTAAGGGGCGTTCTTGCAGAGACCATGCCGAGCGCCAATCACAGAGTCGAGGCCAAGATGCTCGACTAAAGTGGAGACGTTGAAGATGATCAGAATGCGCCCATCCGAAAAAAAGGGCTGCTCTCCCGCTAGTGCCAGCGCCACGACCCATCTCCAAGTTTCCACTGCTACCCATTGGCGTCACTGATTTTGACCTTCCCCATGAAGGCTGGTGTTGAGCTGTTTTGCTGCATTTTTGATTTTCTTTCCTCCACCAGATCCTCGTCCGAACAAGGTTTAACTAGACATCATACCACACAACACCCTCCATAAGCGACCGGGCGGCAGACGTTATCAAACTTCACGGCTTTTGGTCCTTTGGCCCGGTCGTGAGACGGTTCAAGGTAGCTCACAGACCAGGATATGCATATGCAACCCCCTCTTCATGCATCCTCGGAGAAACGCATGGTCTCAACATGGCATGATCGACAAGGAATGAGCCCTATTCAGGCGTCACAGTCGCAGTACAGCAAGTGGAGAAACCATTGATCTTGGAGCATCTTGGAGACAGCGGGACCTACCGCTAGTTACTGTCTCAGGCAGAAGAACATTTGAAACAGGGTCCCGGCGAGATAAGGGACAGTGCGGGAGTGAGGGACGGACCATTACCTTACCCATGGTTAATATTTCCAAGCACGAACCTCTCCCAATGGTCGGAGCGTCTATTGGTCTAAGTCTACCCAACTCATTTTTGCGATCGACCGTAGCTTTTATCGGCCCCCTACCAGGGGCATGTTTATACACTGAAAGCTCTTGTTTCGTGTGCCAAAGACAGCCGAGCAGGCTGTCCACCAATATATTTTCTGGCAGTTCTTACCTGTACAATACCGCTGCTCTGTAGATGCTCCCAACAGTAGACATATCACCAAGCACTTCTACGACCCCGAAGCGATTCTGGCTTTGAGAGCTCTCCTGAAAGATCGCGAGGTGAGATATATCCATACGTATTAGTCTCTCTCTGTGACGGAGATGTCTTCCTCCCTCGCCCTCGATGGATTGGTGCAGGATCAGCGATTGCAGATTGCCTGCAGATTTCCCTTCTTGTAGATTGCTTCTGGATTCTTCCCTCCAGATTGCTTCGTTGGATAACCCTTTTAGGTCCTCTCCTGGTTATTCTTCTTTCTGTTCCTCGGAGATTTCTCTAGATAGTGATTGATGAGATTTGTTCTTCTTCCTTTCTGGCTTCCTGTGCGTAGCAGCATAATTCTGCCTTCAGTCTAGTTAATTAAGCACAACAATCCTCTGGAGTTTTCTCTTCGGAAGATAGGCTTTTAGCTTGCCCTTCTATGCAAATAGCTACTGTATGCTCCATACAACCAGGTTCAAGTATTCCTGCATACGATCTACCCCACAGATACAGCCGATAAGCCGCCCCATATTGTCCACTGGGTCACCACTTTGAGGGATTATTGATTGCCTAGAAGTCGTATTATTTGATCACTAGGATCAATAATAAATGAATCAACGGACCGCTATGCCACCGAGGAGAACAGAGCCATCCTCCCTCGAATCATTCTTCTGAACCGGGGCATGGAATCGTCTAATAATCTCTGGTACCTGAGAATCAAATAATCGATGATAAAGCGAAAGATTACACGTGGAGAACCTAGAATGATGATAGAGAACTAACCGGAGTGGAAGAATTCTCGAAAGAAAAGACGCAAGGAATGAAAGGATGACTAGAAAACTGCTTGAACAAAGGATCTTGAGTAATGACCGATCACCAGGGACTCGTTGCCTTGAAGTAAACCCTTCAAGAACATATGAGTCGACGGTCTTGCCCTCACCCAAATACGGGGGCCCCAATCTTCATTGCCAAGATCTCTATCGTTTCATTATTTCAGAATGATTTCAGTATCCGATCCGTTTCCGCCTCCGAATCTTTTCCTCCGGGAGAAGGAGAATACTCACACAGATCGCCAACGCACCCACTGGGTACCGGCTGAGTTCATTTGACGCCCTGTGGGACAGATCAAATTTCGATATCTGGCTTGCCCATGCCGAACAGATCTTGAACCAGCAAGATTTGGGAAATTCATTGACAAAGGTATCTCACGGCCATTAAGAAAGGTAGTATAGGATAGGAGAGAACCAGTAGCTTGTCCAGGGAATGTCTAAGGAACTATGTGCCCAGGTCATCTCCAAAGTGCATCATGGATATCCACTTCGTAGATGGTCCAGTGAACAATTAAGAAGAATTGTTCAATTCATGATTTCTTATGACCTTGGGCTCTACGGCTACCCTTTTACCGCTTAGTAGGCCATGGCTTTCCCGACTGTTTCACCTAACGAATCTCTAACATCCTTTTAGGGTTATTATCAAGCTTCTTAGGAACATTCAAAAGGAGAAAACTACATTCATTTCTGTTCGACGTACAGTGCCTCTATACTCAGAATCTAATCAAATTACCACTGGAGATCGGATCAACCACATGAATGACGCCCTTTCGAGAATTTCGTGAATATAAGATTCTGCATTCTGTTAATTTCCATTTCTCTTCCTAGCCTTCCTCTCTGTGCCGACTTCATCCTCTCCATTGTCCCCCTAATAATGTACTGGTATCTAAGACACTGTTAATTCTAATCAAGGGAAATAGTAACTCTGTGCAAGTTCCGATCACGTGCATATTTTGGTCCCGTCTCGTGATTTTTTATCCCTCGCTTGCTCTATCCGCTTGGCAAAAATCGGTGCGACCGGCAAAAGTCTGAACCAAGGCAGAGTCGCTGCTCCTGTCTGAACCTCTAATCCTTTGGTAGCTTTCTTTACGCATATCTAATGATTACTGTCAAGAAACCTAGTATATTTTCCATGTACACCTGTACGTGCTGTAGCTTGAGCTCTAGATACCGTCGAAGTTAGACCATTTCTCGTGAATATATATCCCACGCTGGTCCGGATTGCGACAGCAGCCACGAGAAGAGAATTTATCATGATCTATTAGAAGCAACGGAGGATTTGATACCAGCACATAAGTTCTAGGTGTTTATTGCAAGCATTGGTGCCAGGCCGGCGTATAATGGTTGTGATTGTTAATCTGTAGGTGGTAAATATTGCCAAAGTGGTCTACAATGTTAGTGCCAACTACAGCATGTAAGTACCTAAGACAGGAAAGTCGCGATTGTCAGTGCGGTGACGGCATTGGCTCCAGTTACTACATACTCGGGTTTAACCTAATCAAGTTTTCTAGATCGAGCTTTGTGAGCGAGGGTAAGATAGCCTTTTACTAGCGAATGATATGGACTGTGCTCGGAGTGAAAGAGTACTAATAATTCAGTGTACTTTGTTGAAAGACTACGCAAGAGTCACCGGCCGAAGGTATTTCCTAAAGTGGCAGAGATTTCGTGGTCGTCGCTTCGTTCTCGTTCCGCTCATACCCTCTCCCTTTCTGGGCGAAGAGTCCACCACACTAAGAGAGAGGGGCGGACTCGTGGAGGACAGGCAAGGCTCCGCTATTCAGGGCCGCCTCCGGGGTCTAACGCTCCTTGTCAGCCGAATTCGTGTTCTACACCAAGGAAAAGGTCAAATGAACGTATGAAGCTGCATCTCAAATCTCGACTGCATCAGCCAACACAGATCTATCTACTAGTGGGAAAGGCCCCTTCTTATACCACTAAATCCACGGATAATCGGATACTCGGCAGATGGCTGATGCGCCCGTCAAATGAGCACATTGGCGTTATCCAGATCTGATTGGGTCCAGGGGTCGAACCACGTAGCCCACTGCAAACCTTTTGTGCGCCACATGTTGTTGTTGCGACGACGACGCGTGGGCTCGTGGCGCTGCGGCCATTGGGCTTGGTAAGGGGTCATTGAGAAATTGAAGCCCACACTTTCGCAACCGATCGACCTCACTGGCTAACCTTCAGTGGGTGTTCGCTCAAGCCAAAAACACTCACAGAATACTTACACAGAGTCACCAACTCGCCCGTCGGCTAATTGTCTTTCCCGTGGTTCCATACGCAATCCCGGAGGCGCGATAGGTCCACCCTCTCCTTGGCAGATAGGAGTTTTATATGGAAACCCTTTAAATGACCAAACTAGCACACGCGTACAAAGGGGCTCCTCTGCTTTGTCCAGGCTAAGAACATGTTTCCTTGCGGGGAAGCGCTCGTCATGGAGTCCTTCGTGGTGGTTAGCGGGGCATTGACGCCAAAGGCGGTCGTTGACACTAAAAAGCAACTCGGTCATATAACATAAGGAGACCAACGTCGTTATTCTCCGCTCCTCGTCAGATGCCCGTTTCTCCGATGATCACTGCCCTTCCTTTCCTCTAAGCTCACCACTACCCTGTTAGGACCGCGATGCTCCAATGTCCTTGCGGACCTCTTCCGCCTCCCTGCTGTGCTTCTGGCCTCGCCGCAGATATCGGCCACACATTTCCGGTCGCCGCGCCTTGATATCTGCTTTTATTGCCGTTGTTGGAGCCTTTTTACTATTTTACCTCTTTGCTGTACCTCAGCTCAAGAAATTTCGATTTCGTTCCGAGTTGAGCTGGTATGATCTTGGCCTATACGGGTTCGGACCGTCACAAAGCTACATATCCTTTGATGAGGAGTCTCCAATCGTTGAAATTTCCCCTGCTGGTGCACAATGCGATCCGCGATATACTTTTCTTGCGCCACGAGGCGACTCGGTGGCGCACCCGGGGCCTATGATATTGGATGCTAGCGGCGAGCTAGTATGGACGAAATACAGCTGGGGCACCGTTCAAGACTTCAGAGTTCAAACATACAAGGGTCAGGATTATCTTACGTTCTGGCAAGGCGATGAGGAAGATGGGCATGGCCGTGGCTCATGGTATATGGTAGGATTGAATGACGGACTTTTTCGTTTGTAAAATTGACTGGCCGCTAATGTTGGATTTGAATGACAGCTCGACTCAACATACACTACCAAGCACATTATTTCTGCGGCCGGTGCCATGAATGGTGATCTTCATGACTTTCATATCACCGTAAATGATACAGCCCTGGTCACGATTTACCACTCTATCCCGGCTGATTTGACGACTGTCGGGGGCCCGGAACTTGGATGGCTCTACGAGGGCGTCTTCCAGGAAATCGACATTGCGACGGGTGAGCTGCTTTTTGAATGGCGCTCAACCCAATTCTTTCCGCCAGACAGCAGCTACGAGCCACTAAATGACCGGGGTTATGAACGAACGCTGGGCTATGACTATTTCCACATGAACAGTGTCGACAAGGATGATCAAGGTCGCTACCTAGTCTCTGGACGGCATACTCATTCTGTCACTTGTATCGATGGATCCACTGGCGAAGTACTTTGGACTCTGGGTGGGAAGGACAACGAATTTTTCGATCCGTCAGATGGGGCGGCTACTGAATTCGAATGGCAGCATGATGCCCGCTGGCATGGCCCTAGCCAAATAACACTCTTCAACAATGCTGCCAATGGCGATTACGACTTGCAGAAGGTTAGCTACGGCGCCTTGATTGAACTAGACATCCCCACTCGGCAAGCGACGTTGCTGACAAGCTATGATCACCCCCAAGAGCTGATGGCGACCTCGCAGGGCAATCTACAGGTCCTCGATACAGGGAATGTACTCGTCGGTTGGGGCCATAGTGCTGCGTACACGGAGTTTTCTCCGGAGGGAGAAGTGTTATGCGACGTTCACTTTGGCGCATCGGTTTACTTCTCCTTTGGCCGAATAGTTTCGTACCGTGTTTACAAAGGCACTTGGGTCGGCACACCAGATGCCTTGCCTGACGCAGCCGTTGCTGGCGATAGTGTCTTTGTGAGCTGGAACGGTGCAACGGAAGTTGTGTCTTGGCGACTTGAAACCTGGGACGGCGTGGGACTTGAAAACATGGCGTTTACGACGGTTGACCAAGTTGGCCGTACTGGCTTTGAGACTGAGATTCCACTACCACCCGAAATCACCCACTTCTTCCGAGTCTGTGCCATCGATGCCGAAGGCAATATCCTCGGTAAAACGGAGATCTTGAGTCGCAACGACTCCTCACCTAGAGGAGAGATGCTCACGGGTCACTGGGGAGTGGTGGTTATTGCCGTTTTCGCGTCGGTCTGTCTTGTGTGTGGGCTGTATTGCGCGGTGAATCGTCATTTGCGAAGCATCCGGACCGAAGCCAATGGGCCGTATCGATTGGTCTCATATAAGGATGAAGGGGAGACTGAGGCAGAACATGATCATCTGCCGATTTAGCGTAGGACGCCGGCGTTCTTTATACCCAACCATTTGCATTTTGTTTAGACCTACATATACACTGGTATCATTTTCGCATTGCGAGTTTCATCATCGAACAATGCCATCCCGCTGAAAGTGTTTCTCGATAAAACCTGTCGATATTTTAAGTGATTCAACCAGGCACTAAAAGGCTTTTGAGTATTCGAACTTTAGACGTGCCAAACGGTATTTCTGCAAGGGTGATGCCAAGTAAAGAAGATTACCGTAGAAAAAAAAATCAAAAATGCCCCGAAGAGGCAAAAATATGTTTGATTCTGGAGAAGTAATCAAGGCGTGGAGAGAGCTGAGGCCCCTGTTTCAAGATGAAGACCCTACATACGACTTAGTGTATTGTAGAGAAGCACGGGCGGGAGATACAAGGGCACATCTGATAAGCCGAAATCGGCTTGGCTTTTTGATGTTAGTTTCTTTTTACAGCGGGACCCTCACCGCAGTTTGGTAATATTTTTACTTCAAGCTTCTTTTGCGCCAACTATAAGGCAGGGTTCAATGACAAAACGTCTGACATCTGACACGCCACAAGCTCTTCCTGCCGACGGATTGGGCACCCAGTCCCAAATCAAAGCGAGGGGGGAGGATGCGACGTAGCGAGACTTTCCGCCATTTTTGGCTTGGCAAGCCACTCTCCCGTTCAGTCATTCACTCCACTGTTTTCCCGACACAACAACGCCAGAGCATAGTCATCACTGCCTGGACCATGAATGACACTACGAACGCAGCGGCGAATTGATAAAAAGGGACTCTATCATTATGTCTGCCAGCACTCTGAGCTCAACTTGTCGTTGCGGACGAAAGGAATCCCCTCACTTTCTCTCGGTGAAAATTTTTGATCAGTGGAACACGAACGCCACCAAACGTGCACACCAATAAGGGCCCAGGCCGAGAGAAATAATCTAATCAGATCCGCTTGACCCACAGTCAACAAATTCATCCACGGAGTCCACGGGGGCCCATGATCAGTGACTGTCCGTTGAACGAATTGGGGCTATACACTGTAGCGTTCGGGAAGATAACTACCAGCCCTATCGCATTGAGAAGCATGCTCCTCCAATGAGTTTACTTCGCCAAGGTTGCTTTGACTGAGTTGCTATGTAAGTGGACACAAGGTCGGACATCCCCTCTCTCTCTTGTACCGTACATTCATACCACGTGTGCCCGGGTACTTTCTGACGCTGGAAAAAATCGTCCTGCGGTGGACGTGTCCACCCCACAGACTAGCATGAAGCCGCGAATAACGAAGAAAGTTATCAGATCCTTTCCTGACCATGGATCAGCCCCGAGGCGGCTCCGAGACTCGTCAAGGGCCCCCCACCAGTCGGGAGTGGGATGGTAAAACCCGGTCACTCTGTCAATTGCAGCGGAGATTTCCGGGTCCAAGAAGGCCGCTCCCTCATATGCTGTTTGGGACCCACGCTGCAAGCACCTACCAAGCAATACCAAGGCATGGGAGGAGGATAAGGCAGGCGCTCTTGCCGCGCCTTGCACGGCATATTTCAGACAGTTCTCCTTGGCATGGCTTGTTTCTATGCATACTGATGATAATCATGTGGACTTGGATCTCCGTAAAGCCAGCCCTGCAGCGTGGTTACTTCGGGCATCGACCCGTAGATTATCTACTGCTTCGGCAGAGCTAGGATCAGATAAGTGGGGGGATACCGGATATTGATCGGACAGAACCTGCCACCACGTCCTCGCTACCTACTTCTCAGGTTAACCGAGCTCCTAGAAAGGCCCACAACGATCGCATACGTGCTGCTGTTACCAACATGATGGTTTGACTATCTGAGCCCATGCTACTTGATTCGTACGATGCATTATCTCGGACAAGCCCCCGTCGCGTAGAAGTTTTCGAGTCTGCTGACGCTAACCCAGATCCCCGCCAACACGGGATCCATGATCCAATGCAGGCAATCAGCCCGGGCGAATCGTCGTCTAACTATGCTGCCAAGAGACCATTGGTCATTTGGGAGTTACCCAATCCACTCTTCTAGTCCACTCTGAGTTAATTACGATGGAGCTCCGTGCTGGCATGAGGCTGGAGTCCAGGCACTCTGTGTTTTTGAGGAAGGAAATACCCCCACCGGTACCGCCGGTGACCGGGAGTATCGTTCAAATTTCCTGTTTCGCCATGGTTACCGACTAATGATGATGCGTGGACGAGCTGCTCGCTGGTTGTCGGCTTGCGTGGCGTGCTGCTAGTGTCCCCGCTAACCCATTTTACGAGTTATCAATCAGTAAATCAGTACTCCGATGGGTACTGATTGATTAGCGATGGCAGGGTAGATCGATTTGATATAAGGTCAGAGATTTCCCTCGCGCTTTGACTGGTTTTGTTCATCTCCCTTGCTATCACTTTCCAAGGTCTCCAAAATGGGGTTCCGAAATGTCTTTCGTCGTCAGACGACTGAGGATACACTCACTCACGTTGATGTGACCCCCGCCGAAGACAGCAAGCGTGATATCCCTGCTGATGCTGTTGCTGCTGAGAACAATGGTGCTGTCGATGCAGACCAGCCGGTGCAGACTCCGGAAGAGGAGCTTCACCGTGGTGTTCACGATATGGAAGCCATGACAAGTACCTGGTCGAAGGGAGCCCTGATTGCAGTATTTCTGAAGTATGATCTTCCCTCTAGCACTTGCACTGATATGCATTGAGGTACACAGTTAACAAAATCTCTCATCATAGTATCTGGCTACTATACTTCACCAATGCGTTCCAAAGCTCTATCCTCTACAGTCTGATTCCTTACCTGACCAGTCAGTGGGAGTCTCACTCGCTGTTGAACACAATCTACATTGTCGCCGATGCAATCACAGCCGCCTGTTATGTTCCCCTGGGAAGAATGATGGATGTGTGGGGTCGTGCGGAGGGCTTCCTGTTCATGACCATTTGCGCTACAGTGGGCTTGATCATGATGGCAGCGTGCAATAACCTTGCTACTTTCTGTGCTGCATATGTAAGATTCTGTCATTCACCCAATGGTAGAGGAAGAGGGTAACTCGTCACGGACTAACATGGGAATTAGGTTTTCTATTCGCTCGGATTCGGTGGCATGACGTATTGTGTTGATGTTATCACTGCCGATGCGTCCATGCTGAAGAGTCGAGGTCTTGCTTATGCCTTCACATCTTCCCCATATATTATTACGGCATTCGCCGGCTCGAAGGCAGCTGATGATGCCCTGGGAGATAACGGAATCGGTCTGCGTTGGCCTTTCGGTATCTTCGCCATCATCTTCCCTCTAGTTGCCACCCCTCTTTACTGCGTTTTGAAGTACAATATTCAAAAGGCTGTGAAGGCGGGCCATGTGGTCAAGACAAGGAGTGGACGAACAATCTTCCAGAGTATATGGTTCTATATCGTTGAGTTCGATGGTAAGTCAAAGACCTTTCCACCGAATAGTCCTAAATGTTGATTTTGAATAGCCATGGGCGTTCTTCTCTTCTCTGTCGGCCTCGTCCTGTTCTTCCTTCCATTCGACATTGCTGGTAGCGCTCCAAGCAGCTGGGATACCCCGTACATCATTGCCATGCTTGTGGTCGGCTTCGTTTTGCTCTTCGTCTTCATCATTTGGGAGACATGGATCACTCCCAAGCCTCTCCTCCAGTATGGATTCCTGTACAACAGAACCGTTATCGGTGCCTGCCTGCTCGATGCGACGTATCAGCTTTCCTACTACTGTTGGGATAACTACTTTAGCTCGTTCCTACAGGTGGTCAACGATCTGAGCGTAGCCGAAGCAGGATATGTCGGCAACACCTTTGACGTTGTGTCTGGAGTCTTGCTATTGATTGTCGGTGTTGCTATCCGAAAGACCGGGCGTTTCAAGTGGCTTCTGTGGATTTCAGTGCCTCTTTACATCTTTGCCCAGGGTTTGATGATTTACTTCCGTCGCCCGAACCAGTCTGTTGGCTACCTTGTCATGTGCCAGGTCTTCATCTCTATTGGCGGTAGTGTTTTCATTATCGTTGAGCAGCTTGCCATTTTGTCCGCGGTTGACCATCAACACGTTGCTGCAGTTCTTGCTCTCCTCAACGTCGTTGGCACTGTCGGTGATGCGATGGGAGCGACCATCTCCAGTGCAATTTGGCAGAACACTTATCCGAACGCGCTGAAGATGTACCTCCCAGAATCAGCTATGGATAACTTTGAGATGATTTACGAAGACATTGATACTCAGTTGAGCTACGCTGTTGGGACTCCAACCAGACTCGCAATCCAGCATGCCTACGGTTATGCTCAGACAAGAATGCTTGCTGTTGGAACTGGTATCATGGTTCTGGCCTTTTTCTGGACTATGATGATCAAAAATATTGACCTAAAGAAGGTTCCCCAGGTCAAGGGTATGGTCTTCTAAGAGAGACCATTCAGAGGAAAAAGAATCGACAAATTCAAATTCTCCTTCGTTCATGATACTTGTATCATAAAGTAAAAATCACTCTGGGACTTGTTGTATAATTTATAATGTATTGTAACAAATGTTGTCTCATGGGTTTTTTTTTTCAATTCTGGAATCTCTCAAATAATGATGTTCACACGCTTCAAGCGCACAATCTACTCTACTGTAACCGGGGGTGACTGCAGGAATTGTATTTTGCTTGTCCTTGACACTTATCAGCTCTAACAGCATCGAATTTGATGTTGAGCTGCCGGTCTCCGACACAATATCTGATTTTTGTCCCACACAACCCGATTTGAATTGCACCCGTGACGTCAACTGAAGACCAGCGAGTCCGGGAATTGATAATCTGTCTTACTTACTCGATAAAACATGCAGAACTATTGCCCCGAGATAGCCTTTCTTGACAGTCGGGAAGTCTATGGAATTCCATACGAAGTCTGAAACCTGTCCATGTCAACTAGGATCAATTCGTGTATGAGATTTTACGACTTACCACACCTTGAACCAGATATGCAACGTCATTGGCCATTGCGAATATCAACGCTCTCTTCTCTCTATGGTCGGAACAAATTTCCTTGGTCCAAAGAGGCCCGACTCCAAGCTATCTGATGTTCAGCTAGGGGATGTTTTCCAATATTCCGAGAACTGGAACTGACTCCTTAGGCCACCATAAAAACCGAAGTAATCGTGACCAATTGATTGCCACACATCTTCAGGTCTTCTACCATGCCAGTATGATGAGCATTATTCACATTGTTGAGATCGATATTCTCGAGGAAATAACCAATCTGGACAAAAGAGATTGAGGGATCAGGAAACCTTGATCAGTCGGAACTTGCGAAGAACGAATGACCCACTGATGCGAAAGTAAGTACAAATGCATCCAGCTTGAACAGCAGCCAACATTGATCACTCGGAAGTTCCCATATATTCCAAAGGTAGCCCTTACAGCCCCGGATTGGTTTCACCGGATTCTCTTGAGAGCGACTGGCCTCTGCGTCTTCTACCATGATTGATATGCTCTAAGATCCAAAACAGGGATATAAATTCTTCCTCAATAGTTGCGCATGCAAAATTGACTCAGTCACTCTCTAGATTCACGTCGCTTATCACTAGATACCATTAGTGCTAATCAGAGTATAAGTTGGCTTTGAATGATAAGAGAAGGTACAGACTTCGGCTTCAATCTTCAACATCCCACACAACTAACTTCTTGGCTCGGCAAAATTGGTCAATCCAAAATATGGTGAGCCTTCTATTGAAGATTGATGTATATTCTGATTATGATAGTACAATTTTTAAAGTGGAGAAGTATTTCTCTTAAGAAGCAAGGTCACTAAAAATAATGGCGTCATTTATCAAGGTATCATATCTTAAGCCGGTGACTGAGGATCTTACGACTACAACATTCAGCGCAAGAATCTTCGTTTCAGCGCAAGAATCTTCGTCTTGTGAAATTTTGCTACTCCGTACAGATATACGGTCTGTCTGAAATATGGGGCGTTCAATTATAACATGGCCACGACTCGATACAGGGCGGGCGGGCAACAAATGCCCCTTTTTTTTTTTTGGCAAAACCCTATCCCCGGCTAACGTTATCCTCACTTTCTATTTTCAAATGGCAGTATCCAAGATGAAAGAGACTCTTGTGTTCTCTATCTTGACTTCATTGCAAAGAGCTTGTTTATAGCTCAAGCTAGTGAACTTATGGCTAATGGCGGTCAGCTGCAGAAGAGCCGCTCAAGAGGGACGATGGAATAGTTTAAGACTGGGAAATAGCAAAGAAGTCTTTAAAAATAGGAAAACAATTAGTATCTTGAACACATATTATGAGAAGAATAATACAATAGCCCAAAGTCAGCAGGAATGCGGTGCGACAAAATCCAAGTATCAGATTTATTGGGCATCAGCAATGATAACCTCAGCGGCTTTTTCACTAATCATGTAGATTGGCAGAGCAATGTAATAACCGGGGATCTTGGGGAAGATCGAGGCATCAACAACACGGAGACCATTGGTTCCACGAACCCGGAAGTCGGAGTCCAGAACAGCCTGGGCGTCGCCATCTTCTCCAATGGCAGCAGTACAGCACGCATGATGACCCCAGGCCTCACGCTTGATGAAGTCCTTCAGCTCAGACTCACTAGTCACGTTGGGTCCTGGCCAAACTTCTTCAAAGTCTCCATCAAGAGGAATGAGGTTCTCATAGATTGTGCGGGAAAACTGCATACCTTCATACACAGCCTGCAAGTCTTTCTCATCGGCCTCATTCGCAGTGACGCCCGTGTCAAAGGAATTGAAGTTTATAACGGGCATGTCCCGAGGGTTGGTGGACCGAAGCTTCACCGTGCCAGCGTTGTTGCGGCTGCGGGACTTCAGTGTGATCCACGTCCAATGTTGAGCATCCTTGAGGCCCTCGTAGGCGTAGTTTGGGTAATAACCCGGGAAGTTGGCAGGTGCTCCCGAGATCAAAAGATCGGGCTCATCCTCGGCAACAGACGACTTCCGAATGATCGCGATAGCGATACCATTAGTACCGTATGTGCCTTTGAACAGGGAGTCGCTCTCCCATTGTTCTAGGCACGGATCTGGGAGGGTATACATGAATGTGCACTTGGAGGTGAGAACAAAGTCCGTGGGTGACTTGCCAACGACGCCAGTCTCATACCGATCCTGAAGATTGGATCCCACTCCAGGCAGATCGACCAAGGTAGCAATTCCAAACTGGGACAGTTCCTCTTGAGGGCCGATTCCGCTAAGCTTCAGCAACTGCGGAGTGTTGAATGAGCCAGCAGAGAGAATAACTTCCCGCGCCACGTTCACGCTCCCCGGTGTGCCAGTAGAGGATGATGTCTGAGATGCCCGAGGATCTGCGCGATAAAGACTCTGACCTCGAAGGTACTCAACTCCCGTGGCTCTGGGCTTGGGGCCAGTGGTATCAAATACGACCTTGGTAACCAATGTGTTCAACTGTATATCGAGATGGTATTTACGAGATCCATCCGAGTTGATCGCATTCGCAGTCTTGACGACAAAATCGCGAGGGCCCGTTCGCTTGTAATCGGGGACATCCACAGCAAGGGGGACTTGGTAGGGTCCCTCATCATAGTCACGCGATGGAAGGGGATTGTTGAGATCACGCAACAGCACCCCGGCGAGGCCGGTAACAGTGGTGACCAATTTTCCCAGCAAACTTTGACCCGCAGCAGTCGCACCGGCCAGAATCAGGGACAAGAGCTTCTGGTCCTCAATGACAAGACGCAGGTCAGTGAGACTAGTTGTGAGCCATCCATCAAATCCGTGACCAACCAGGCTGCTGGGCAGATATCGGTTGCGTTCGAGCCTCTCAAAATATTGACGCATGTTTGTTGCAGACCAAGAGCTATTGCCGGTGAGGCTAGCCAAGTTTTCCCAATCATTTTCGTATGGGTAAATTGTGCTACAGATGAAGATGTCAGGGCATGATCTAATGAAACCACAAAACGTGAGAGAGTATTTGCAATATGACACTCACATCATGGCGTTGTGTGTCGAGCACCCGCCCAAGGTACCTGCCCGAGGGTACAGAATACCCAGGGGTTCAGAGCCGATGGGTGCGTTTTTACCAACATGAAGATCACCAGAAGGGGTTCGGTATGTCATTTTAGAGTCTTCTTCTTGCCGGGTCAGGTTTGAGTAGTGGTTAACGAAATAGTCCCACTTCATTGGCTCATATTCAGTTGACTGCAGTTGTAGAGCAGGGACCTGCTGGATAGTAGCATTGCCTTGATCATCTCCTGCATCCAAAAGCAAGACGCTATACCCTGCGATAGCCAGTCTAGCAGCCAATGGACCCCCTCCAGGCCCAGAGCCAACAACAACATAATCATACTCGCCGCCTGTGGAGCGCTTGTGGGCTTCGTGATGATGATATGATCTATGATTGCTGTATTTGAGGTCAGTGTATGCCCGGATTTGAATAAAAATCCACAAGACTACCTCTGGAGGACTTTTGGGGGCTACTCACGAAGCTACAACACTAGGAAGGGCAGCAAGCAACCCAATAGCCACTGCGATACGCATGGCGGGGAAGGATGGCCTGAAAAAGGTTGAAAGCGAAAAGCAAAGAAAAACGCCAAAGAATAATGAAAAGAAAATTTGTTGAATGTCTCGCAAGGGCTCTAAATTTCCTCTAGTATGGCGTTCTTATAAGGCCTTTTCCACACCCTGGATGAATGCAATGAAAAATTTCCTCATGGGTTTACTTTATCTGTTTTTCGGCAATATGGAAAGGTGATCGGCATAGGCTTGCTTCTTCCATGATAGCTTGTTTGGACCGACGCTGTCACCTAGCGTTTCCGTTTCTCGCTTTGTCCCCTAATCCCAGATTGGGAGGAGACTACAGGGTTTGTCATGGGGGTTGGACCGGATGACCGGGTCCGTGAAGATCTTTTCGGGCTGGCCATAACGGTCCATTGAAGATTTCAATTAGACAACCTTACCCCTGACAAAACCACTGTTTAGCCGATCAACAGTGTATTTACTTCCAATTTTACCTCTAAGCAGAAACTCGTACTCCGTACAGCATGACCATACTAGTATGTCCCTTTAGCTTCCCCAGTGTGTCGATCACACGGCACCTGGCGCCACCAATTTACCGGTAGGGCTTTAGTCCTCTTTGGGTATGTACATATTACTCCACTATCAACATATGGTCCCCATGCCCCTTGTCTAACTGTGGGCCTATTCCTGTCTCGGAATCGTCGTTCTCTGCTACACAACCGTATGTACCGCTTGCTTTGACCGTCTGTGGAGGACACGGAGCTCCATCGCTAAGACACATGTGTCAAACCGGGCGAAGCCGAGCCAGTCACCCTTTTAAGTAAAGATTTTGTAGAGAGTGTTATTTTGAATCGATTCTGGTACGTGAGCTTCAGAACTATCCGAGGAAAAGAGCACTGGTGTGATTCTTCCGATGCAATTTTACCTGTGATTACATTTCTTGAACAGTGAATGGTAGGAAAGAACAGTTTTTGACATGCACATAACTCTTCTTAGGTAATACAGATATGCATATGTCTGTTGGGCTCTTTCTTAGGGGTCTAGTTCACTATTTGCCCTGCTATTTGTTCACCCGCACTGGAGGATATCCAAGATAGGAGTCCATCCGGTGATCTCTCCAGGTAAAGTGGACTGAATTGTTCAGATAGTAAAATATCCTATGCATTCTCAAATAATTTAACCGGCTGAATGAGGTTGCCAATATTTTTATGCTGGCATGACCGGTCCAAGAAGATTTGTTAACACAAACAGGAGATAGTGTGTACGTAAATTGACGGAGAGACGGCGAGAGATCATGAGAAACAGCCTTCGAGTTCATGCAGGCCTAAATGAGCCGGCATCCTAGCCGTAGTCAGACCTTAGCTAGGTTCTGTGGTGTAGCTGAGCTTGGCTGGAGGTCTCTATATCGCCCAGCGGGTAGAACTGTCGACTTTCACCTTTGCCTTGGACAATGATAGACCCATCCAATCGAGAATTCCCTCGAGTATGCGAGTTCATTCCGTATGACTTGTTTTGCTCCGTGTCACCAAACATTCCAGGGGCAGCCTGGCGTAACAGAGACCTAATCGCAGGCAGGCAAGCACATATAACCCCGACGTCGCACTCAACAGTACTCCAGTACCCGACAGTTACGTAGTCCCCTTTGAAAGAAGAATGTAAGCACACGATCATAGGGCAAGATAAAGAAAACTCACAAGTCAAATTTTGCGTCGCGGCAAAATGGATAAGTGAGCTCAGGCGTAAAATACTGACCAGTGTCACGCTGGAAATCAGAATTAGCAAGTGACCCAGAGTCCGTTCATATGATAGAGGATAACACGCACAATATACCCAACCCAAACATACACATCACATACGACTTCTTCCTCATGGAAAGATTGAGCTGATAGAGCTGCCGTAAAGGAAGCACCATGACAATGATATCGAGAACCATGTTGAATGTCGCAGCCGCCCAACCCTGAGCATTGATGTTATTGCACTGATAATTACCCTCACCATCCCAATGAAGCCATGCCCCAGGTTGGGGTCGACATTGGAACACTGATATCAAGATAAAAACAACCAAGTAGCTCAAATTGAGCCCAATGACGAAGTATGTCACAATGCGAAAGCGGCGCTCTGGAAAGATACGAAGATAAAAGCAGAGAATTGAGATCTTGGTTAGAGGTAAGATGCTCAAATATAACAGCTCACTCCAAAAATAGAGCTGACGCAGGTGATTAGCTCAGAGTGTTCCACTCCAAGAGCTGAGTATTCTTTACTCACATAAAGTATGCGGGTGATATTATCCAAAGGAATCGTCCACATGTCCCTTCCCAAGCCGGCGTTGGCCACTAGAGTTGACAATTGGTCAGTCGAGGGCGTCTTGATTTGGTGAGAGAAAGATACTTACAGACAGCGGAGAGTGCACTAAGCGGAATAACGAGGCACTGCCAATGCATTAGCCATGAGCAATTCTCATAAAATCAAACAGCCAGTATTTAGAGTACCATTGTCAATGTCATTGTCCAGTCATCTATACCAATTGTTCCTGAGCATTTGAAACGAGCCACCATCCTGAGAATGTAGGCAATCAGAGCAACAATACAACCTCCCACTCCTGAATAAGAAACGACCTTTGTCCGGTCTCGGATTGGGGCTCCACAGGCCGATGTCGTCACGTTCTTCGTAGCTTGGATGTTTTAGTATTGAGGACTGAAAATGAGCGAGCGGGTGCGCGATCTTACTCAAAGACTGACGAATAGTGCAGCTGGCAAGTACACATTCTTCAAGTACAGCAGTATACTTGGCATCCATACAGAGACATTTCTGGTCCGTAGCTGCACAGGAAGTTTGCGACATGGACGACATCATACATTCCAGCTTCACATTGTCAGTTGGATCAACACCCACAAGCGTAAGGAAATCGGCCATACTACCTACCGCACAGGATGGCAACATTGCCGCTAGTTGCTCTTCGCCAGCGTTCGCAGTGGCGGCGAACAAAAACGCCACCAGGACTGCTATCTTGACCATCTGCATCGCAAAATTCTCTGATGGACAGTCATTCGCAAAGAAGACGATAACGGGGGAATTGCTGGCCAAAAATATGACGGGGTAGATGTTCGACTTCCTGGGAGGCTCAGGGGAGCCTTCTAGTCCAGAAGAAAGATTTTCCCATGTCTTGCTGATGAAGATCTTAGCGTATTGGCACTTCCAGCTTCAATCTTCCAGGAAGCATTCCCACTACCAGGGGATCGGAATCCGATTTTCATGTCCTAAAGTGTTAGGCCCACTCTGGAGACCACTAATGTGTATTAAGGGGATCTTCTTTGTAGATCTTTCAGCATCTTATCCCCTAACTATGAAAAATCCGCGGCATTCTAGACTATACGTAAAAGGAGACAGATGCAGCGGCACAGATAAACGTAAGCTGAGCGACCATCCCGCTACCCCTATATTCGAACCTCGAATTGCATGTTAACGGTGGCGGATTTATGAATTGCGATCTGCATCTTATCCCCTCGTCCGTCCGGGAAGGACAATTAGCGCATTTCAATTAGCGTATTATATTATCCAATAGGTTATCGGACTAAAATATTCGATGTGTTATTGGATATAGGGCTCCACTATCTACTAAGTCATCAACGCGTGTTTTTCTACACGCGTAACCCCCTACCAACCTGCCTACCAACCTGCCTACCAACCTGCCTACCAACCTGCCTACCAACCTGCCTACCAACCTGCCAATAAATCTGCCATGGCTCCAAAGAAATCTACTAAGGCTACACGGAAGCGCACGCTTGACGAGATTACTGCCGAATTACCTACTAAGGAAGAACTCTCTCGGCAGCTAAAGCCCTTGATCCCTTCCTCCGAACCTCCACGGCTGCACCTACCTACTAGCATTGACCTAGATAGCCCATACGCGATCTTTACACTCTTTATTAGCGAAGAGATTTTCGATCGTATCAGCCAATCTACCAATGCATACGCGCAGCGAAATCTAGCGAAGCTAGCTACCACTGCCACTACTACTACTACTCGCGCGTGGAAGGATACTACAACTGCAGAGATCAAGGTCTTCTTTGGTATCCTTATTTATATAGGTGTTCACCCTGAGCCACGCATTGATCTCTACTGGGCGCAAGATAGACGAGAAGGACCACTACATACTCCTCCGCTTTATATGACCCTTAAGCGCTTTGAACAGATTAAGCGCTATCTTCATATATCTCACCCTGACGAAGATGAGATGCGATCGGAGAAGGATAAGAAGCAGTAGTGGTATAAGCTAGACCCTCTAGCTTTCTTCTTCAAAGAGGCTGCTGAAAAGCACTACCAACCAGGTTCTAATATCTCTATCGATGAGACTATGGTTCGCTGCTTTGGCCGTACGAAGCATACTGTCAAGATGCCTAATAAGCTAATTCAACAAGGTTATAAGATCTTTGCCCTCGCAGAACATGGCTATATTTGGACATTTACATGGAGTAGCCGCCTATGGGGGATCGCGGAGATGTTTAAATATGAAGGCCTTAGCCCTACGGCAAGAATGGTGCTTAAGATGGTCAAGAAGCTTCCTGGCCTAGCTAGTTCGATGGCTAATCTTCCTGCTACCCCTATGAGCAATTCGCATACCAATCTTATAGCCAATTCGATGGCTAATCTTCCTGCTACCCCTATAAGCAATTCGCATACCAATCTCATGGCCAATTCGATGGCTAATCTTCCTGCTACCCCTATGAGCAATTCGCATACCAATCTTATAGCCAATTCGATGGCTAATCTTCCTGCTACCCCTATGAGTAATTCGCATACCAATCTCATGGCCAATTCGATGGCTAATCTTCCTGCTACCCCTATGAGCAATTCGCATACCAATCTTATGGCCAATTCGATGGCTAATCTTCCTGCTACCCCTATAAGCAATTCGCATACCAATCTTATGGCCAATTCGATGGCTAATCTTCCTGCTACCCCTATAAGCAATTCGCATACCAACCTCATGGCCAATTCGCCGGCTAATTCGCATACCCTAGCACCCTATATTGTCTACTTAGATAACTACTTTACCTCGGTAGCCCTTTTCAAAGAGCTTCGAGATATTCAATGTGGTGTATGTGGTACTACCCGCCCTCAAAATAGGATACCTTCTCAGCTCGTTAAGCTAAAGGATCACATTAAGACGATCCCATAGGGTACACTCTATGCAGCAGAGGCTGAAGGGGTTCTATGTCTTACTTGGCAGGACAATAATATAGTCCTTCTACTATCTACTATCCACTCGCCAGAGATATACACTCCTACTAAGCGGAAGCGGCCATCACCAACCTCTACGAATGCAGCTATCTCGCGTATACCTTTTGGTGATGAGATAACTAAGGAGCTCGAGATTCCTACTGCTATCAATGACTACAATCACTATATGGGTGGTGTGGATATTGCAAATCAGTATAGGGCTTCTTATGAAATTCATCGAAAGTGCGAGCGTGTCTGGTTCCCTCTGCTTTTCTTCTTTATTGATGCTGCAATTATTAATGCTTACTGCATTCAATATATCTTTAAGAAGCAACAGGGGGCTAGTGAGCTATCTAGTCAGCTAGATTTTCGGCGAAAGCTCTACCAGCAGCTCTTAGCCTTTGCACCTTCGCCAGTACCAAGGCCAGTACCTGGTATAAACCACCAGCGAATTCAATTCGATAGGCGAAAAGCTTGTGTGTGGTGTCAGTATAAGAGAGAAAAGGGCAAAAGAGGCCAACAGGCCAATCGGTCAAGATCTGGTTGTTTAGAATGCGGCAGTGTAAGCCTATGTGTAAAAGGGCAGTGTTGGGACGAATTTCATAGAATTAGCTAGTCGATTAGGCCTGATTAATTACCATACTGAACTGTGACCGCGATTAGCCAATTAGTACGCGTTATTCATATACGCTAGTATAGCCTAGTAAAATACGCTAATTGTCCTTCCCGGACGGACGAGGGGATACGAACGACGCTACGGAATAATTGTCATCGTCCAGACTGAATTCTAGACTATTTAGGATACTGCTGACGGGGATAACCAAATGTGGAGGGTGGATCAGGCGAGACGCAACTTCACTGGAGAACTTGGAACTGAGCAGCCGTTGATCTACAAAAATTCAAAATGTTGACATTTTGCCCCACCCTGTCTAAGGTTTCTCATAATTATGTACCTAACAAAAGTAGGGAAGTCATCTTTAGTAAGGAGGATAAAGCCGGAAAGACCAAATGATTAATGAATAATAATGCCGGGAGACAATGGTAATTGTCGTTAAAATTTACCCATTGAAATAATCCGCGCTAATTTAGCGCCAGACGCGGGCTCCTGCCATTCCAAGGCAATGATCGCCTTTTTCAGGCAATTTTTCTAGCCTTGGTCGGAGAAATCCCGTTGTTAGCTTCAACTTAGCTCAGAGTTGACCCTGATCGGCACTGTCATTCAACTGGGTAGACCAGACTTAGCTAAGAAACCAGGAATGATGCCGAACCTTTCTCTAACCAGGTACGATCTACCCCAACGCCTTATTATTGTCCAATCCGACAATAAATAATTATCCAGAAAACATGACGGATGATATCCCCGGCAAATATGAAACAACCTTCCAATTTTCCAACATCACCTTCTGGGTATTTGTTGGTCGAACGCGAGCCTGGAAGGCAGCTCCCGATGAGAGTAGCCTCAGGAATAAAGTGTAGTTCCTGAGAGAGCACTATTTTAAATTACCGACCTTCGGTGGGGCTGTAAAGTAGCGAAATGAGTCTGTACATAATACAGCACTTTGATACCGCTCAATGGCATTTTATTTGTGTCAAATCCAGTAATTAGCGTCATTCACACGTGTGATCGACTGTTATGTGCCGAGTGACCATTCAGGGGGAAGAAATTAAGCAGCACACACTCATTAGCACTTTCATGAGAGAAGCCTACTTATCCGAGGGACGCCCTATTTTCTAAGAAAATGTATTTCATTCTTAATCCTTGCTAAGCATACTGCTGTTTGTTGTGCTATACTAGGTAACGTGGCTGTGAGCCCATTGTTCATTCAATATGCGCACTTTCAAGCCAGCGCAATTGCTTTGGGTATTATCCTTTTCTCCTCTCATTTTAGCCTTCCCGGGAACAGAGAGCTCTCATAATGGTGCCCAAGCTCATCGAGCTTTGCACAAAAGATGTCCATATGCCAGCGTCGAGTCTGATGCCGCACCAAAGCATGAGAAGCGGTTCCTTGTCGATTCGATGATGTCACCTATTGATGGTATGCAGAAAAAAAATCCGATCAAATGGTGTGTTGTGCTAAAAAGGGATCTATAGTTTCTGGGGAGCATGAATTCCAACCGCCCAATTTCAAGGGTGGCGACCAGCGTGGCCCTTGCCCGGGTCTCAATGCGTTGGCAAACCACGGGTATATCCCTCGAAATGGAGTGGTCTCGGTAGGTTACTGAAGATATTCCCAACACGATACAATGAGGCTAATGTGGGAAAGTTCGGGAATGTGATCACAGCAATCAACGAAGGTAGCGTAATATCACATTACTACCCTAGCACTGACTTACATACTGACCTCGGATTGATAGTGTACGGCATGGGTATTGATTTGGCAACGGTCCTCGCGATCATGGGCACTCTCTGGACAGGGGACCCTTTGTCCCTTGATCCCAGCTTTTCCATCGGAGGTCGCGACCTTGGTGTAAACAACCTTCTGGGAAATCTAGGAGGACTCCTCGGTCAGTATTTCTGTTTGAATGTTGCATATGATCAACCTTATTTATTGTTTGTCCAGGTGAACCTCAAGGTCTTATCGGCTCCCACAACTTCATTGAAGCGGACTCATCCAACACGCGGGACGACTTATACGTCACGGGAAACAACTACGCACTGAACATGGAAAAGTTCATGTCCTGGTATAACATGTCCGGCGATGGCACGTTTGACATGGATCTCATGGCCAAGCGGGCAAAGCTGCGTTTTGAGGAGACAATCCAAACCAACCCGAATTTCTACTACGGACCTGTGACTGGCCTGATTGCACGCAATGCTGGCTACATTTTCCCTGCTCGGCTGTTTCGGAATCATTCCCGTGAGAATCCAGAGGGAATCTTGAGTAAGTAATGACAAGAATTCAAATGCTCTAAACACTGATTTCAATACAGCAAAGAGTCATATTCGAAGCTTTTACGGCATCTACGGCGAGGAGGGTGACCTTACATATCGGGAAGGATGGGAAAGAATTCCTGAGAACTGGTTCAAGACTCCCATAGATTACGGTCTCCTGCAGCTCAATCTGGACACTATCGATTGGATGGCAAAGTATCCCGAACTTGCAAGGTAAGGCTCCAGCTAATGCTTCAATATATTGGGCTGCTAACCGTGGTCATGAAAAAAGCATCGGAGGGAACATGGGTAAGGTCAACAGTTTTGCTGGGGTTGACCCTGCAAATTTGACGGGCGGCGTTTTCAACTTGACCGATCTGCTGGAAGGCAACAACTTGCTCTGCTTCGTTTTTGAAGTTTTGAAATTCGGCAGTCCCAATGCCCTCGCTAGTTTGTACACAACTCTGGCGGAGCCCTTGGGTTTCGTGAGTGATATCTTGTCAGTTCCTTTGTTGAACATCACTTGCCCAGCATTCCAGGACCTTCAACTCGGTGGCAAGCCATTCTGGGAGGCTCTCCAGAATGATTTCCCGGGCGCTATGCAAAGTGGCCGCGCGTTTTGAACGTTGAGTTTACCTGCTCTTCTATCAGCGGGTTGCACAGTGACCAGACCGCTGAGATCGAGCTCTGACTGATTTTCCGTTTTACGTTGTTAATAATTATCTTTGAGCGAGGAACGAATGTTTCTCCTGTAATGTATACGGCCATCGATTTTGAATCTCCTTGGACTCTTGAAGTAAGGCTTGAACTTAAAGGTCTCCGGTATACTCTGGTTAAACTATATACACTTTGCAGAGACTCAAAGCCCAAGGGCCAGAAGCTGACAATAGCCAAGATCGGAAAATGTCTGCATTTGTGACGTATGACCCCTAGCGTTGATCTACTTCACTTCAAACACATGAAGATCAGGAAAGATGCATCTCGGCGGCGGAACCCAATGCATCGAGGTGAACGTGTCGTATTATTCTGTTTGAGTATTAATTGTTTGTTGATTTCTGGGGGGGAGTCAATGAAGCTACCCCGCACTAGGGGGTGATTTCTATTGTCTAATCGGGCCCACTACAATGTCCAGCCTGGCTTTACCGTCCCGGCCCGGTTGATTGTGGAAACTTCCGCCATCGGAGTGCTTGTCAGCATGTTCTGGTGGTTTTCGGAGGATCCCAAGCTCCGGCAAGAGATCCATTCTTGATCAAAAACGTAATGTCCTTTCGATATCTCGCCGAGACCCATAAAAGCTCTGGCTCGAATTTCCTCTTGAGAGTCGTTTGTGGACCCGAGGGCCTCAACGTGGGGAATTGCCCGGGCCGGAAAATGGATGTGCGGAGGGAACTGTTGACCCCAGACGACTCACCCCGTGGAGAAGGAAAAGCTGGGGGTGAAAGAAGTTCAAAAACCATATAATCTTGAGACCGGACACGCGTCTACAGGGCTGTCCTCGGTCTTGACTGTCAATATTTTTCATTCCTCGCAGCTGCAATCTCGAGTCAAAGAGCCAGGCATGATGGCCGACGACCAAGTTTTCAACGCACAAAACCAGATCGGAACGGAAAACCAAGAGAAGCGTGATTCTATATCGAAAGACCGGGGAGAATACCGTCAAGATGGGCATAACCTTGATGCTGAAGAGAAACACACCTATGGAGAGGTGAACCAATTGCCAGACCTTCAACGCAAACTCAAGAGCCGCCATTTGCAAATGATTGCCATCGGTAAGCGCCCATGTTTTCAATGAACGCAAGTTAGAGGACCTATGGGTTCGAAGCTAATAAACATTCATAATTAGGTGGCACCATCGGAACCGGTTTATTTATCGGTAGCGGTACTGCTGTTGCTATTGCTGGTCCTGTTGGAGCACTACTTGCGTATATATTTGTGGGCTCCATCGTGTTTTCGGTCATGGCTGCACTAGGAGAGCTGGCAACATACCTTCCGATTCCAGGAGCCTTTACCGCATATGCGACACGACTGGTTGATCCTAGTCTAGGCTTCGCAATGGGCTGGATCTACTGGTTTTCATGGGCGTCAACGTTTGCTCTCGAATTGACCGCGACCGGTCTGATCATTCAGTACTGGGATGAAACAATCCCGATCGCTATATTCATTGCCATATTTTGGGTGCTGATCATTGCGCTGAACATGCTCCCAGTTAGCTTTTACGGCGAGACCGAATTCTGGCTATCAAGCGTCAAGGTCGCCACTGTCGTCGGGTTCATGATATTTGCGATTTGCATGAACGCAGGAGTTGGCAAGGAGGGTTATATTGGTTTTCGATACTGGGTTAATCCAGGCCCCTTCAATGCCTATTTGGTTGACAGTAATGTCTCTCTGGGTAAATTTCTTGGTTTCTGGGCGGTTCTTATCAAGGCCGGTTTTTCATATCAAGGCACTGAGCTCGTGGGTATTGCGGCGGGCGAGACTGAAAACCCTCGCAAGAACGTCCCATCAGCCATTCGCAAGACATTTTTCCGAATTATCTTCTTCTTTATTTTAACAGTCTTCTTCATCGGGATTGTTGTCCCGTCTACTGACGATGGCCTAACGGCTAGCGAAGGGACTGGAGCTAGTGCGAATAATGCTAACGCCTCACCCTTTGTTATCGCCGCTAAGAGGGCCGGCGTGAACGTGCTACCTAGCATCATTAATGCAGTCTTGTTGACTGTGGTTCTCTCCGCCGCTAATTCAAATGTCTATTCTGGAAGTCGGATCCTTGTGGGCCTTGCTCATGATGGGTTCGCGCCCTCGATTTTTGTGAGAACAACCAAGCACGGCGTCCCCTACTGGAGTGTGCTTTTTACAGCCCTCTTTGGTCTTCTTGGATTTTTGAATATCTCCAACACTGGAAGCACCGTCTTCAATTGGTTGATGCAGATCGCAGGCTTAGCAGGTTTCATTACCTGGACATCTCTAAACGTTTGCCATATCGCATTCATGAAAGCCTTTAAGGCGCAGGGCCTTTCCCGGGACATTTTGGCCTACAAAGGCCCTTGGCAGCCATATCTTTCGTGGTATGGCTTGGTTTTCAACGCGTTGATAATAATCACCCAGGGATTTACCGCTTTCATTCCCTCTTTCAGCGTGACCGACTTCTTCATCAATTATCTCAGTCTCATCCTGTTTGCTGCTCTCTATGCTGGACACAAGATTGCTTTTCGACAGCCATTGGTAAAGCCTAAAGAGGCTGACGTTTATACAGGTCGTTTAGAATTTGAAGGCTAGAAGACAGTTAGAATACAGTGTATATAGATGTCAAGAAAATGTGAATCCTTTCATGACGTGCACTAGGGATTGTTCCATTCTTCTCCCACATACCTTATGTGTTTTGCCTGTCGTTGGGGAGATGTAACGAGTCGACACCGAAAAGTCACTCGATTACTCGGTTATACCACCAACGGACAGCTCAACTAGCCCCTTTTTACACTCATTATTGTTTCCCTTCTCTTGGTCTAATCAATCGATCTTCTTGATCTGATTCCGCTGGCTCTCTCCTGCCTTGGGCGTATAATCTCATACCGTATTTCATAGATTTGACAATAGAACATAACTTGGGACACAAACAAGCATTATGTTCCAATACCGCGTATATTTTCAGCGACAATCGACCGTGTTTGCCTTCACCGCGCACGACAAGTGATGGTGTCATAGACACCAAGCACAAAGGAAGCAGGGGAGAACGAAGTCAGATTGGTCTATCTAGGAGAGCAAGAGGACGAAGAAGGAGAAGAAGAAGGGAAAGGCCTAAATAGGCCTGCAATCAGCAAACCTGCAGGGCAAAGGAAGACGAGCGCATGCACTGCCAAACGGGCAAGGTCGAGTCATCAACAAGAATTCAAGGTTCTATTCAAGTTCCGATTGTGAAAAAAATGGCATAGTATGATGTTGACAAATTCACGGTGAATGTTGATCCAGCCATATTATTCGCATTGACCACGAAGCCCTCGTCTTTCCTAGTAACTATGGTAGATATTATTGCACCCTGGGTATAGAGTCCTTGTGTGCCACAACTCTGAGTCACTTAGGTGGATGAGCTTGGAGTAAAAAATTCAGTTCCTGAAAAGCTAGTTGGAAATTCAGCGGCGATTTTGGGGTTCGCTGTCGGCCTTCACGTATCAACTTAATCTCGAACATTGGAGAACGACATTTCTAATATATAGAGGAAAATTAGAAAGTGGCACAACCGAAGCGATCAAGTCACGTTCATAATTCAGGTCAGCTTTTGATAATGCCGAACTCGATAACAATATTTATCAAATTGGGACCGTAACGCCGACCAAGCGCTGGCAAAAAGGTAATCGCTATTTGAGAAAAGTTCAGATTCCTATGTTGTCTAAGCCAGCCACTTGAGCCATGAAGATGGATACACACTATGTATACAGTAAACTTTTCATGAGCCTCATTCTCTCGTGGATGTTAGATTTTTCTTCAAAGTTCAAAATGATGGGGTCTAGAGCCGTCTAGAGTTTCCCTCCTTGGCGGGACGAAAGAAAGACGGCAAGTGGGCACAAACTTGTCACACGGAGCAGCTGGGAAAACTCATCAATTATCAAGGCAATTGATGTGCAGAAGCTGAAAACGCCATTCCCTCTGGGCCGGGAGCAATCTCCGCTAGTCCGCTTATCTTGTCGCAAAGCCTCGCTTGGCCAAAATTTCCAGTACATAAAATCCTCTAGTGCTGTGTAGCAGACAGTACTCGCAGATGACAAATCTTGACCCACCAGGCCGACCTCGCATGCCTCGAGCGCTTCAACCAATCTACTGCCTGTATTATTTATTAAGCAGGGCTTCGAGGTACATCCAACTCCTTAATCTAGTTAGGGCCGGCGCCAAGGGCCGCCACTGATTAAAACTCTTGGGGCGCGTTTGAGGCTCGCTAAATCAGAGTCCTGCACAAGCCGTTGAAGAGACGGATGCATTGTGACTGATAGAAGACTGGGGTATAACAAAAAGAAAATCGTCGCTGGACAAGTGTGAACAGTCTACGTCGAGTGCTCAGTAATTGATGGAGAGGAAGTGTTGTAGACAATCATACAACCCAACCCGTTCATTGAATTTTACAACATCAACGATGCAGTGGCGATTTCAGCTGGATAATTAGGCTGGCCTTGCTTGTCAGCGCTGCCGCCTAAGTTAGTTAAGCAGCCAATCTTAACGGGACCAGAAGCAAGCTAATCCGTTAGACTTCAACATATTTGGCCTAGCTCAATGAGTACAATCACGGGCGGGGCTCCTGCATACTGCATCCCCGAAGTATCAGCCCATAGTTAGTGGCAAGCGAGCATGACGAGCATAAGCAAGCTAATCACATGGTAGAAATCATGGAAATGGATGAACATATAAAGACCGCCGGAAGTAGGTCATGTCGTTTAGTCCAGTTCTAGAGACCGTGACATATCCCACCGTCACCATGCCTTTGCCTTGGATAGCGAGCCTGTCGCTAGGCTTGCTGGCTCTGTATGTCTTGAAACGAGCAATATTGGATAAGAAAGTGCCCGGCCTACTTCCACCAGGGCCTCGGCCTAAGCCAGTTTTGGGTAACCTTGCCGATTTGCCCCCAAAAGGCGAACGAGACTGGATGCATTGGGTTAAACACAAAGAGCTCTATGGTAAATATACCACTCATTACATATCAATTTTGACACTACAGGTATGAACTGTCAATTGAGTTCCAGTCATACTAATTCGTGTCTAGGGCCAATTAGTTCTCTTAGAGTATTGGGGCAGACAATCGTTATTATCAACGACATGAAAACTACGGTGGATCTGCTAAATAAACGGTCGGCTATTTACTCGTCGAGGCCAAAGATGGTCTTTGCATCTGAGATGTGAGTACTTAAGCACCTACGCGTAACTTGCTATAGGTACAGCAGCTGAACATTGACAATAGGGTGGGATGGGAAAATGGTCTGGCTTTCCAAGGTTACACTGAAAAATTCCGTGCCTATCGCAAGGCAGTACAGCCATCATTTGGATCCGAGTCAGCTGTTGCGCAGTTTAACGGACTTCAAGAGAAAGAAGTGCTCCGTTTCTTACTACGAGTACTGCGAGACCCAGTGAACTTTATCCAGCACATCCAAACGTGAGACTCATTTTAGCGGAAGATAGCGGAACAGTGAACTAAGCTGATAAATTTCATGTAGAGAAGCAGGGGCCGTTATTTTGAACATAGCCTATGGCTACACCATTGAGCCATTCAAGCGTGATCACTTAGTGCACATTACCAATCTGTGCCTGGATCAGTTCGCCAAAGCGGCGACCCCTGGAACTTGGATGGTAGATATTGTCCCAGCGTGTGAGTTTTATGACTACCCTGGTGAAGCAAAAGATTCCAAAGCTGATACGTCTAGTGAAACATATCCCTGCTTGGTTCCCAGGGGCAGGCTTCAAACACATAGCTCAAGCGTGGAGGGAGCAATTGATCGGGATAGCGGACAGACCTTATGCGTTCGTGAAAGCACAGATGGCTAGCGGCAAGTATAAACCATCATACTTGTCAAACATCTTCAACGCGCACGGGGTTCCTCAACCAGGTTCGGAGAAAGAGATCATTGCAAAATGGACCGCTGCGTCACTTTATACTGGCGGCGCTGACACGGTAAGTTCCGCAAAAATTCACCTGTCTGTCATTTGAACGCTAATGTCATTAGACCGTGTCATCGATCGAATGCTTCTTCCTGGCTATGGCCCTATATCCCGAGGTCCAGCGCAAGGCCCAGGATGAGATTGAGCGTGTTCTTGGACCCGGACGCCTACCGACAATGGCAGATCGTGTTCATCTTCCCTATATTAATGCTGTAGTCAAAGAGGTTCTTCGCTGGCACCCCGTGGCACCCATGGCCATACCTCATTTGTCAACAGAGGATGATACTTGGGGGGAGTACTTCATTCCTAAGGGCTCTTTGGTCATGCCTAATATTTGGTAAGTCGTCAAATTCACACCTTTCACACTGATAATCTAATATTCTGAACAAGGGCTATGATGCACGACCCAGAAAACTATCATGACCCCATGACTTTTAAGCCTGAGAGATTCCTTGAGACAGAAGGACACGAACCAGAGATGGATCCCCACTCTATTGTCTTTGGGTTCGGGCGTCGAATATGCCCTGGCCGATTCCTGGCAGATAACACAGTATATCTGAGCGTGGCGCAGACCCTGGCAGTCTTCAACATCAGCAACGCTACACAAGACGGGGTGCCTATCAAACAGAGTCCAGCATTTGAGCCAGGGGTGATCAGCCATCCGGCACCATTCCAATGTTCGATCGCAGTTCGTGGTCCGTCTGAGGAGGAACTTATACTCTCTGTTGAGCAAGAGCACCCATGGGAACCAAGTGATGCATACGACCTTGAAAAGCTCCGGTATTGAAGTAATATTTCTATTTGGCCATGAGATCTGAAGGTAATACTTGGCCACACGCACATTTGCCTGTTCCAGGGTAGATACTCATATATTTGTGCCTTTTCACAGTACCCACAAAACGATAAGAGACCCATCGGCGATCTACTTCATTTGAGCCTGGCGATTTCGCATGCAAATTGGCCTGAGTTGTGAGACAGATATAAAGTACTGCCTTTTTTCGATACACTGGATCGGATCAATAGCAGCTTCCCAAAGATGTCCGGCCTTCGTATCTACCGCGGAGGCTTTCAAGTGATCGCTTTGACGTCGGAGGATAGAATATTTCGATTTGATGAAGTTATTCCATGAAATGCGAGACAACGAAGTACTTAAAGGGTGATTTGTAATAATCCACGGAAACGTCGCTCGTATCCCGAAAATGCGGGGAGGAATCCGCACTGGGACCAATTTAGCCGAGGTACTGGGATGGGTCCCTTCGGCTCTCAAGGCGCCAGACATGGATCATTTCGAAGTGCTTACAAGATTACTCGTATTTCACGTCAATTTCTGCCAATGGCTGTCTCCATCGGATATCACGGCAGACCACAAACCCCTCGTGACCTGTAGCTAGCTTAGACACCAATAAAATACCTGGATGTTGGCTCACTCTCCATAATTGTGCGAACCAAGCGGAGCGGGGCTTCACACTATCCCCACGTTTTCTTTGACCTCATTTCCTACCATTTATGGAAAAGGAATTCAACGTCCTGTCGAGAAGAAGATTGACATAGAATGGCCCTGCCTATCCATGAAGGCGCGCAACTCAAAGAGCTTGGACCCAGACAGCCCCAAAATGAAGATATATCTGAATTACCTGACGGATCTGGCTTATCACGAAGTATAACCGGGCCCTTCCAAGTGTTGGGAGCATTCTTTGTGCTATTTAACGTCTGGTAAGTTATACAACTCTTACCATCGCTATGTCTTATCCACTAACACAAGCTTATTTAAAGGGGCTTGAGTTTTGCCTTTGGATCCTTCCAAAGCTTTTATGCTCTTACTTTCATTCCCTCATCCACAGCATCGGCCATATCTTGGGTGGGAACTATTCAGTCATGGCTCTTGATTGCCTGTGGTCTGGTCTCTGGTCCGCTATTTGATTTAGGCTACTTTCCAGCGATGGTAATCGCGGGAAGCTTCTTTTCCGTGTTTGGCTTTATGATGCTCAGTATTTCGCAAAAATACTACGCGATATTTTTGAGCCAAGGGTTATGCATGGGTCTAGGCTTCGGATTACTCTACATTCCCACCATCACCTTGATCAGCCAGAGATTCGCGACAAATCGCGCAGTTGCGCTAGGCGTGGCCACAAGCGGAGCTCCGGCAGGGGGTATCATCTATACTGTCATCTTCAATCAACTGATTTCGAGGGTGGGCTTTGGATGGACTGTCCGCATCATGGGGTTTGTTATGCTCTTTCTCTTCATCACGGCTGCTCTGCTGCTCTCATCAGAAGGAGGTCTGAAGAGCAGGGCAATGAGTGACAGACCCAGAGTTCTCTTTGATACTCGAGCCCTGAAGGATCTTCCATTCTGGAGTTATACGGTTGCAAATTTCTTGATATATCTTGGATACATCACGCCATACTATTATATACCGACCTACGCGCAAACCATGCTTCATACGTCGCGCTCTTTGGGCTCATACATCTTGATGGCGTCCCAAGCAGCCTCAATCGTGGGCCGTGTTGCTACAACTGTCTTCGCCCATTATTACGGTTCTATGATATCTTGGGTCCTGTGTGGGATGATTTCAGGTATTCTCTGCTTGAGTTGGATAAGTGCAGATACTCTTCCGCGATTCATCGTGTTTGTGGCATTTTACGGTAATACTCCCCTTGTCCATTTTTCAATTTCAAAATTAACCAAGCAAACAGGAGCTATCTCCGGTGCTTTGGTTCCTCTCCCACCGAGCGTCTTCCCGCATGTCTGTCCTGATTCCCACTCCCTGGGGACTTGGCTTGGGATGGCGCAGAGTATCAGCAGTTTCGCTTCCTTGATAGGACCACCAATTGCTGGGGCACTGGCCTCTGTAAACTCTTATGGAAGTACAGATCTTAATTTTATGGGGATTCAGCTGTTTAGTGGAATTACCATGATACTTGGCGCTTGTTCGCTGATTGTTTTATGGTATCTGCTGTACAGACTGAGAAACAAAAAGGGGTTCTTCTGAGGTCTGTGGAGGATGATGAGAAAATGAAGAGCGACGAGTGCTAATAGAAAGGAACGAGAATCTACTGTCTAGATTCGTTAATGATTACACGGAACACAAGATATTCGGAGTTCTGGAGCCTTTTATTGTGACTGAACTGATGGAGCAGAATTTTGGGCCAGGGTAATAGAGGGCTTGTTTTTGTACACACCTGACAAAACACGTAGCTAGATCCTTGATTAGCCACCAGAAGTTTTCCACTATCTCCCATTCTTCATGCTTTATCCCTACTCTCCTCCAGCTCTTTCACACTGCTTTGACAAATATAACCATCCCTTATCAAAATTGCACAAGGACACTCCATATCACACATCCGATAACAGAATGCTTTCTGCGAAAGTAATTCTTAGCATCAAGCGGTTTATGAATCGTAACCACCTACGATATCGCACGAAATGGATTAAAGGTTTTGCACGTTGAACTGCTTCCTTATACAACTACCATATTCCTGCTGGAATTGTCTGTTACCTCTTTGGTATCTCTCGGCGATGTGTACTGTGTGTCGAAAGTCTGTATTCACACGGGCGGCAATATCTAATTACACAACTATTATATACAAGACCGCTCTCTTATAACAGCTCACCCGCTAGCTTGACGGAATAGGTGCGTAGAAGCTAAACTTGCCAGTGGGATCATACTTCTGCTTCAAAGCCTTCAGACGACTCTGGCGCCAGCTCTCACTTCCGTACAGCTCCTGGAGTGATTCATCACCGTAGGCATAGTTGACATAGGCCCGGAAGTCGTTTTGGCCAGTACCATCCCGAAGAATATCACGAATCTGGTTGCCCAAGTTGGCGACTTGGGTGTCCAGATCGGAGCCAGCAGGCAAGTAATTTATGAGCGGAGCGGCAAGAATGTTCTCACTCCGGAATGCAAAAGCGCTAGAGTCGTAAGGGATTGCCTGCACGCCCTCCATGGAGTAGCCCTCGAACATGAAAATGGAGTTGTTGAATTCCGAGGTTCCGCGGACGGCATTTGCGAAAACCCCGTACGCTTTCTTTTGGGCATCTACATTGTATGACTGGAGGTAGATGGGGAAGCGGGGGTTTGCAAGGGCACCCTTTTGGCAAGGGGGCGATGAATCGGCGATTCCAGTCCAACCAGCCAGATCGGTATAGGTGCCTGACATGGGTTCGATCGAGATAGGACCGATAGCATGGAAAGGCTGGGTGTAAGCTGAGTCGACGGTAGTGACACCTTCTTGGATGATGTAGAAGATGATGACCGGCTTATCAATGTTAGATATAGGGAAGCAGACAAATCTTTGTGGTTTGTTTCACTTACGTTGTTGGGGTCAGCGCCTGGGTTGTTAAGCCAGTAGGACCAGTTGATCAAGCCTTCTGGCTGTGTGCCGTTCTTCAACAGATAGTCGTTGGCAGCCTGGTACACAGCCCCAACCTTATCACCGCTGAAAGTGAGAGTTTCAATGGCCCAGTCGCGATACTGAATGTCAAAGACCTTGGTAGTCAGGGAAGTAACGATACCAAAGTTGTGGCCAGCGCCCTTCATCGCCCACCAAAGGTCGGAGTTTGCATCAATTGTCGTCAAGGTTCCGTTGGCAAGGACGACGTTCATTGAGACAAACTGATCAGAGACCAGTCCATGGTGACCTTGGAGCCAGCCATGACCTCCACCGAGACCAGGTCCAAGAATGCCGACACACTCACATGTTCCAGTCACTGTCCTCCAAAATCAGCGCCAGTTGTTATGCTGATACGACCAAGGCGACTCAAACACCTACCGGCTTGCTTTCCTGCATTCCAAAGAGAGTCCACAACAGCCTTCGACATGGCTCCGCCACCAATGGTTGCTGTCTGTCCGTCTCCAGCAACGGTAACGGTGTCAAGCTGAGTCATGTAAATCTCGATTCCCTGGTCCATCTTGCCCAGCGTGGTAAGGGATCCATGAGCGCCGGTATATGCAAGGAATGGCAAGTCCCGCTTGTTCGCGAATTGCACCTGGAGCGCTGTCAGTGCGAAGATCTGTATTTAATATTCTCGGTCCCATGCTGGATGACAAGGGCCTTGTTCAAGGAAAAGAGCAAGAAGATGAATATGAAGGCGAGGTCGAGGAACTTAGAGCACCTACGGTCTCGGCAACGTCATTCTCGGTGCCAGGCACAACGACCACATTCACCTTGGGTTTATCCAAGAGCGACCACCGGGCTGAGGCATCCACAAACTCTGTCGAGTTGGGGTAGTAAATTTTGGCGTTACTTGAAAGCTTGGCCTGGAGGTCGGTCATATCATAATTGCCCCTGGAGTGAAGACCAGGGAGTCGACTCCGAGCGAGGGGCAGGTCCTGGCCGACCGAGCTGAAAGCCCAGGCGGCAATAGCCAATGCAGCTTCCATCTTGAAGTGATACATCGTGAAAGCCGTGAATTGCCGTGGCTGTTCAAAAGAGCTCAAGCACTTCTGTGGCTATACTGCGTCGCTGTTGGCTGAGCAGGAATCCCTTGAGCTACAAAGCCAGGCAAAGGTCAGAACCCTGTCAATTATTCCGTGGGAACGCGGGAATTTAATATTTATTTCAGGCGCTGTAAGGGACTCGTATTTGACTAAAAATCTAATTTAGTGCTTGTCGAAGCCCAGGTCTAGCAGAGTTGGATGTTGAAAGGCCGAACTACCCGGTCGCCGGGCTTGAACACCGTGCGGTCGCGCGACTCACAAGTTGTCAAAGTACAAATCGAGATGAAGAGGAGCTGTTGATAAAATTTATTTTCTACAAGTCAATTCTTAGAGATCTTCAGAATACTTTCCTTTTGACTCAAATCTCTGATTGAAAAGCAAACATTATTGTCGTGCCTGATCGATCGTATTATTGGAGGACCGGGAAATCCCCCTCTTCGCAACACGAAGGAAATACTAATTAATGTATGCAGGGTGGGTGGCATGGGATGGAAGCCTTGGAAACCTTCTTCACGATGATAAACGCTCCAAAACTAGGCTACCTTGGCACTCGGGACCACTTTAACCCTTGGGAACAATTTACTGAACTTCACCCCGAGATGAGCCACAAATTCAAATCATCCAGTTGAGTTTGGCCGCCCAGTCTTTTGGCTGAACCGACGCCTCTTGGATGGTCACTGGGATCGGTGGCGCCGCTGATCAGAGGGCCCGACCACACTCTTCAGGGTCCACTTGATGGCTACCGCGACTACCCATCATCGATGTCGGGATCCCGAAGTTTCCGAGCAAGTGAACGTGGAGGGGGCTCGTGTTCATTGACCTACTTGAAGTTTTGAACACGGTCAAGAACTAGCCTCAAGACTACATTATCACAAACAATCTGACCCGGCAAGAATAGTGGGTGTTTTCTGTCTGTGAAGACCAAATCACGTCTATCCAGGATAGATCTGCACGTCTGAAAATCGGAGTCCATGGAACACCCGTTCTTCATATCTCCTCGGCAGGGCTTTCCATCAGGTCGGGAACCAATAAGCATCACCACGTGCGAATAAACGCTCTCCTCTCGATCGAAAATGATCTCACGCATGCAACCTGACAAGTATCGGGCTCCAATTTTGACCATGGGAACCAATCCTTTTGCAAGGGAATGATTCGACTCAGATGGGCAGCGGGTACCCTTTCCACTCATCGTTTGCCGAGGGAAAAGCCAGTTGACGACTTCGATTGGGGGAAATATTACCGCCTTTGAATCGCTATTTTCTTCGGGGACTATTCGAGAAAGTCTGAACGTTCCAAAAACTTATAATTGGGTCTGTGCATGTGTTGCAAACCACAAGAATCGCGACCAGGTATCCCATTAATGGTTTCACGGTACGGGCGATAAGCTTTGAAGGTCTTGTGGTGGCTGCAAATTTGGTCTTCTCTCGTTATACAAGACCACGCTCTCTTCTCAACTCCGGTCCTCGTTTGGCAAACAGTTGACCGCTATGCCAGTCCACCGTTGAGAGGCACATACCCTTAGTACAGCGTGGAAGAGAGTGGCTTGCTGGTTTTGCCTTGTCATGCCAGATTTGATTTGATCTTTTGGCATGCTAATTCTTTGTTCTATGCAGGGATGTCTGGTATAATCACTTTAGATGCCAGGGATGCCGCCTCAGATGCGGCTCAAGCTGCATACAAAGCAATGGTGGAGTTATGGACTCTCTACTCGTTTGGGGTTGCTGTGACATTGCTCCGAACATATGCTCGAGTACGGGCCGTGGGATTTAGGAATCTGAAAGCCGACGACTATCTTGTCTGGGTCGCAATTGTTCGTACTTTCCACGGATTCTTTCCTATTTGAGCTCCATTCTGATCACAGTCCCGGTAGATTTTCTATACCGCACAGACATCACTGGCATACAGTGTTGGTAATGTCGCCCATGGTCTTGCAAATAACAGCATGACAGACGCCCATCGCGCGGCACTGTCTCCTAGTAATCCCGAATATCAGGCCAGGTATGAGATGGCCAATCGACGAGCCCATAATCCGACTGTTGAGTTGGTCACTAACAAGGCGATAAGAGCAATTGGCTCTAAAATTCAGGTCGCGGGATGGACGACCTATGTCCTTTTGATCGGGTCCCTCAAATTATCTATGCTCGCATTTTACCTCCGCCTTACAGTATGATTCCCTGGTATGCGTGACATAACAAACTTTACTTGCTAACTGGCGTTAATAGGATGGCCTAGGTCGCCCCTACCGCATTCCCGTTTACATTGGATTTGCACTTGTTGGTGGAAGCATGATCGCCAGCGTATTGACAATTTTCACCGCATGCCGGCCATTGAACCATTACTGGCAGATAAATCCGGCCCCTGAAAGTAAGACCCATATACTCCTTTCGGGGTCTATCCCATTATTAACATACAATCCTCACTTAGATGTCTGCCAACCTGCTATCTCCATGCCCATAATTTGGGTGACCTTCGCCGCAAATCTCGCCACCGACCCATACCTTATCTTCATTCCTATCCCAATGCTTTGGAAATCGAGTCTGAAGCTGTTAAATAAGATTGCCGTGACCATTGTCCTTAGCGCTGGTGTGTTTGTGCTCGTCTGCGCGACTATCAAGAGCGTTTTCCTCATTGTGGTACATCCCCACTACCGTTGCCCGCACGCACCACCCTCATACCAAAGAATCATTCTGATCATTGCATATCTCCAGTCTCCAGTAAGCGGAGCACAGACAGCCGAAGAGTGGGGAACTCGAGAAACCTTCGTCGCCGTGATCACCACCAACCTTCCCATGATCTTCCATCTCTTCAAATCCTGGCTAGGCGTTCTATTCGGAAGCATGTTCTTCCAATCGACCCAACGGACATACAAAACTCCCTCCGGTGGATTCCGTAGCATTGGTGGCGGCGACTATCAAAGCCGAGATCGCCGTGGGCCGCCAAGCTCGAATCCTATTACAGCCAACATGACCTTCAACGAAAGTGAGGAGCGGATTGTCGACAATGTTCACTTGGAGGGTCTGAAGGTATACGCTGGACCTGGCGGTGAAAACACGACCTCGAATGCCGGGATTGTAGTTTCCAGTCAGATCGAGGTTACTCATGAGGCGAGACGTAGTGCCAATAGCGTACCTGTGCCAGAGCAAAACGTTCGTGAACCTTGGTAAGAAGCAAAAATGGTCGAATAGGAATTCTTACGGAGTGATTTCATAATGATATGTTGGGAGGCTGCTTCATTTTCATGCTTGTTCTGTGATGCTCAGCCCCTGTTGGTAGACCTCATTGTCTCGTCACACTGATTATGAGACCTTTTTTTCTATGTAGTATATAGTTATCTCTCCCTGGACAAGCTAGGGCTAATTCATTGGATACTTGCTGTGGCTCAATAAAAGCCCTTTCGACTTTCTTCTAGATTTGTAATGATCCTCATGCCACGAGTTCTTATCACTCTCGTTGTGCCAAGTGTTCTCCAAATAGATATCCTGATTGACATTAGCTCTGTTTCTTACGTCAGCTGTCATTCTTCCATCATTTAATCACGAAGACAAGAGATGAGATAAAAAGGAAACAAGGGAGATGACATGTATTCGTCCTGGTATTCAACAGCTATGTACATCGCTCAATGTCCAAATGCCACGGTCTCCGTTTTTGTGTCATTTGCATGTTCCTTCTGCCATGTCTTCGAGTATCTAACACCAAAACCTTTACTAAAAACTTCCCTGACAGCTTCCAACGGCATGCCCTTGCACTCTGGGTAGAAGAAGACAACGAACAACCAACCAACAAAGCAAATTCCGGTGTAGAAACTAAAGGCGCCGGTGGGCGTCCAGCTCTTCATCATGGAAAGGAAGGTCGATGCAATAATAATATTCGTGCTCCAGCATGTCACTGTGTTCTGTTTAACAAGTCAGCATCAAAATCGCGAGATTGAGAGGTTCAGATGACATACCAGCATAGTCCCAAGCGCTCTGACTTCGAGGGGTATCAGCTCCGTGCCGATCCATGCGATGGTAGCGACGCCTGAAGAGAAGCAAGCAACATAACATATAATAGCGACCAGGACTAGAGGGCCTGGCCATCCAACCTGGTTGGTATCCAGCTCCAGAGTGTTCGTGTTCACCGGAATGTAGCGGAATGCTACAGCTGCGACCATCATACAGATGGCCATTCCCAGCACAGTGACGGTGAGAATGATTCTTCGTCCAAGGCGATCCACCAGTATAATGTTCACAATGGAGAAGACAAAATTCGTAGCCGAAACAGTAATACCAACTGCTGTAGGATTATTGAATCCCACAATCGAGAACAATGTTGCTGCATAATACATCAAAGTATTGAATCCACCCAGCTGGCTAATAGCCATGACCATACACGCAGTCAACACTGCACGACCGGTCGCCGGTGTAGTAAAAATCCGCTTGAACGTTATCCACAAGGACTCTTCAGTCATAGCCTGGGTGACCTCGTTGAGAGACAGCTCAATTGACATGATCTTCGCTTGGCGTTGCTCCTCAGTCGAGGTTGGGTAAATCCGAAGAAGAACAGCCTTCGCTGCCTCATAATTGCCATGAGAAACAAGCTGCCTAGGTGACTCTGGGCAGAACACAAGAAGCCCAGCTAGTATAAGTGCTGGAGCGGCTCCTATACCGACTGTGGCTCGCCATCCCTCGCCCTTCGCCTGCGCAAAGCCTGCACCTAAGGCGCTCGCAAGGAGTTGGCCAAAGGTGACGCTCATATTGTTGAAGGCAACCATACGACCGCGATATTTTGCGGGTGCCAACTCGCCAACTAGAATTGGTTAGTTCCGCACGGTTAGACAGAAGAAGGAGACATGGCATACTATACATAGGAACAATCATGGCTGCACCTCCAACTCCCAGCCCAACAACAAATCTTCCAGCAGCAAATTGCTCCACCGAGTAAGCGGCCGTCTGAAGAACGGTTCCGATGATGAACAACACGCAAGCACCCCAGATAGGCCACCGACGACCGAAGCGATCAGCTGTGAGACCTGCACCCACTGCACCAACCAGAGCACCCCCACTTGTCAATGAAGTCACCATTTCTTGTTCATTTGAGCTCAACCTATGGCCTAGGGACAAGCCGATAGTCACCAGAACCGCAGAGATATAGCCGGTATCGTACCCTATTTTTTTGTTAGAGTATAGCCTCATAGGCAGGACAGGAACTATACCGAATAAAAGACCTCCAATTGAAACCACGATCGAGATGAACCATGCCGCTTTGGAAGCAGCAGTACCTTCGATATTACTGAGCTCTGACTGATCGATACCAAGATCTAGGGCCTTGACATGCTCAATCTCCTCAACATCATCTTTAGTACAATATTCAGTCTTCATTTTTTCTGCTTTGTCTCGCGCGTCCACAAAATTCATCTCAATTGTGGAATAGTAGATCTGTAGAAATAATTGATAGTTAAGAAGTCAGAGGATGATGTGTCTGTCGAACGGAGACTTGATGCTGAGACAGGTTTGCAAGGGTTTTATAGACCTGTCCGCTCTACAATCGATCGTTGCTAGTCCAATCTGATCGGCCTTTTCCGTACTCATGGTCATTATCCCCGGGTCAACAGTTGGCGGGAAATAGGGCAATATCCAGGCAATGCGCAGTAAAGCGAAGATGTACAAGATTTGGTTGGACGATAGCAAGGCGGAGGCAGATCAACAGTTTCACCACACGCGGGGAATACTTCTCCTTCAAGACAAGATGGCTGGGCTCACTACGAGTGATGACGGCAACCCCCCACGATCTTCCCCGCATTTCCCCGTGTTGTTCAGATCTCCAGCTCCCTTGTGCATATCCGGAGAGAAGACCGGTATAGCTCAATGAATTCTGGTGGTTTTTCTTTCTTTGGAATCGCATAACGTCAGTCAATTGTTACTATTGAATTAGAGAACGATAAATTTGACTCTTCGGCTGCCCATTATTTGGAACTCGAGTATAATGCTGCAGGGTCTTCGTGGAGTCAGCCAATCGATTTTTCCAAGCAGCAGAGGATGCATGATCCTTCTGAGTGGTGGAGGCGCACTAAATAGGTCTTATTCTGCTCCACGAACATCGCTATCAGTAGAACGGTCTTCTGACTGTCCCCGCCTTTCCCTTAGTTCTCATTCTAGCTCATCAGAGGAGAGGCCGAATTGGCCGAAATGTAGTTTGGAAACAGAAATCCTATCTGGCACTGAAACAGTAGTAAGGCTCGTCTAGCATACTGGAATTATATTTCCTGCATGAAGAGAAGTGCCGTGGAAAGTCAATGGGCTGAATAGGTGGCGCGGAAAGAGGGGAAGAATGTGTCCCATTCCGTCACAACCAATCGCCTCGTCCGCCGGTTATCCACCCGGTCTTCAAAAATTTCAGGGCCAAAAAATGAAGCTGACCAGACTGGGGTTCGATCCCAGGACCTTGTCGGTGTTAACGACACGTGATAACCAACTACACCATCCGGCCATTGTTGTTGACTAGACGCCTGCCTTTTGCTTACATGAACATGTTATTAATCTTGGAAGTGAGGATTATCTGAGCTACAGCCATGGACCACCTCCAGTCAATGTAATGAGAAAACTAGTGGGGAGGTGTTTTAGAAAGACTATAAGTAAGGTGTATATTCACTTCTTAGGTCATTATTGCGCTGGAAATTTCAATTGAACTGATTTGTGTGACAGGTCGTATTTACCGGGGCATTCAATGGATCCGAGATATATTCCCCGGCGGAGGGGGACGAGACGGCAGAGAAACTCGTCAACCCGCAGCTCTGGAGTGAAGCTAAGCACTATTCTAGTTTTGCTCATTTTTGGACAGCCTGTTTGAATTGGCTAAAAATGTTTTAACTACCCTGCTAATATGAGATTCGAAAAAATTCAAGCTCATACTGCGGCGCCAAAATCACCCTAGTTGAACATATGCGACCAAGACTCTCGACGTCAGTCATCGTGTACCTAACAGTCTCTGAGCTTACTCTTTCTCTCGCCCTGTTGCTCATGATAGGTGGCAGTTGGCACACTCTGGCATTACGTCGTGGGGCTCGGGGACCACGATGCAAGCGTTATAGATGCTATGCCCCTGCTGACAGTAAAGGCACATCTGATCATGTGGAAAGGACTCCCCAACAGCCTGGGCATGCAGCTGGAGGGCTTCAATATTCGTTCTTCTGAGCCCAATCAAGTCTCTGAAGCGTTCTGCTGTATATTGCTCCGGGCGCTCCTTCATCTTAGGCTCCCACTTCAGCCCAGCCTTTTGAAGCTGGTTCAAGACCGAGCCGGTCGTTTGAACGTCCATCTTTCCACACGCCCAATGGACCAAATGGATGTTGCTTCATTTTACCCCCCTACTCGAACTAAAGCAGCGATAATAACAAATCAGCGAGATAGTGTCGCTTATAGATTACATCCCTTACCTGGCAGAATCAATGAACTACTACAGGTAGAGTAAAAAAAGGTTGTTCCCTAGCACACGTACGTCTTTGCACGGGTTACAGCTGAGCGGTACTAAACTAAACCTAGACGGTACTACAAATCGCTTTTGCTACTGCTCGTAGCACCGCTCAGCTACCATACGCTCAACAGATTAGTGCATCAATTATTTATTATATAAGATTCGAGGGAACTGGACTACTGTGTCTCATAATTGCTTCTTGTATACCCGTACTCGGTGTGTTTCTACAAACATTCTTTCCTCAGGTCCGGCTATATGTCCTTCTTTGACGATTAGAGTGAGGAACTTCTACTCGCTTATAGGATTATATCGTATTCAGTCTCCTTTTTAATTCCTTTCTTTTTGGAATAGTAGGAGACAAGTATACTCCCTTCTTACGCGCTTATATTGAAGAACGTAGGTACGTGGTAGATTTCACAAGTTTGAAAGTAGTCAAATAAAACAAAATTCGAGGCTAAAATTCAGATGGCATGAGCAATGATTCGTAGGACTTCTAAGCTTGTTCCTTGCTCTTCAGGAACTCGAATTTCGCTCCTGGCTCCACGTGGCTTAGTAATTCCCATGCCCCTTGATGCGATTCGACCACAGCCAGTCTGGCTAGGGGACGACACCGCTCACAGGATACATGTCAACAGCATCAATCAACAAGCTTGGAATTAATAATCAAAGCCCACTATGCCCACGAAATCACAACAGCTTACGCGTAGATTATTGAGAGTTTAATGTTGATGCCCACTTGAGGCTGTTTCGTCGGTCCTCAACCATGAAAGGCCTGAATTTCGACACCTCACGACACTAAGTCAGACTGGACGCTAATCGTTGACGGACTTTGGGGGCTTAACGCCAGGGCTGACAGGATCGACAATCCAATTAAAGATTTCAAGTGTCTTCAACAGTCCATACTCATAAGGCAAATATCCGAGGTTCCCTCGACGACTTTTGATTGGTCGAATCTCTCCCGATCCACTGGGTGACGAAAGTCGCCGAGGCTCCCGTTGACTTGGAGTAGTGGTGTTGCCGAGCGGAGGCAAAATCATCGGCCTAGATAGTCCTTTTCGGCGACACTGCCGAAACGAACCGGGCAGCATGTTATCAGCGACAACACCGATGCAGATAGACCGGCCTGCTGCAGTCGGAAACTTTCGGTAGCCTTGCTTATGCCAAACACTTGTGATAGGATGAACAGAAAATGTAGGATGTTAGATTATTGATCACTGGATGTTAGATTATTGATCACTGCACCGAACGTTTCTAGAACAACCTTACTTTCCTTTGCTTTGCTCTCAACTATCGGAGCATCCACCACGGACCCCCACTACTGGAACCAGAGAAAGATCAAGACCATGATGAGAAATCGTATAGAAAACTTTGAAGCTCGAGGCAGCTCCCTGAATTATTTAAAAGGGGGCATATTCTTCTCATGTCTCTAGATATATTCACCAAAGAAACCACCAGTTACTCTCCATCCTTTCATATCATATACAACATCGATCCCGCATATTCACAACACAATGAGCGTCACATTCGAAGTTTTCCGTGGTTCCAAGGAGGGAAAGATCGTTGCCGACAAGACCACCCGCACACTCCAGCCCAACGAAGTCTACATTGAGACCACCCACTCCGGTCTCTGCGGCACAGACGAGCACTACCTGCACTCCGGCCAAGCTCTTGGCCATGAGGGTGCTGGTATCGTACGACAGATTGGCCGTGATGTCACCAATGTTCAGGTTGGCGCCCGTGTCGGCTTTGGATACACCCACTACGTGTGTGGAACCTGCGAAAAGTGCTTGAGCGGTATGCGATGAATGGAAGCAACACGAAATGGAATCGCCACCACTGACTTGTTCATTCATAGGCTGGGACCAGTACTGCGAGAATAAGAAGCAATATGGCTCCCATGATCACGACCTTGGCTCTTTCAGCGAGGGTACCGTGTGGGATGCCCGCTGTGTCGTCCCAATTCCCGATGGATATGACTCCGCGGACGCCGCTCCGTTGATGTGCGCGGGCGCCACCGTCTGGACCATTCTGACCGAGTACGGTGTTCGCCCTACCAACCGCGTTGCTGTGATGGGTATTGGTGGCCTGGGTCATTTGGCCATCAAGCTGGCTGCCGCGATGGGATGCCACGTCGTCGTCCTGTCCAGCTCCGAGGCCAAACGTGAGGAGGCGATGAGCTTCGGTGCCTCCGAGTACCACGTTTTCCACGCCGGTCAAGAGATTAAGGACTTCAAGCCGGTGAGCCACCTCCTGCTCTGCGGTAGTGCCAGCGTCGACTATCAATCGTAAGTTTTGACCTTCCAATCATGTAACCGCGGAGAACTAACATTGGAGCCCTCAGTCTGATGCCACTGATGGATATTCATGGATCTATCTACCCATTGACTGTCGATTTTGCTCCCTCGCCTGTCCCTCTGGTCACGATGAACCTCAAGGGTATCCGTGTTCAGGGTTCTCTTGTTGCATCTCGCCGCAGCCTGCGCTCTTTGGTGCAATTCGCTGCCGAGAAGAAGATCACTCCTACCACGATGACCTTTCCGCTGGATCGGGAAGGAGTTGAGAAGGCAATGCAGACCCTTCGCGAGGGCAAGATGAGATACCGTGGTGTTCTTGTTCGTCAGTAGACAATGATCACTGTATATAGCGTTGTGATAGATTTTAAATGATACCTCATAGCATGGTGTCATTATTCTAATGAATTACAATACGATGAGATATCAAGTTCGTCGGAAACGATCTTCATGCCAATCATAAAGTAGCTTTCCTTTTACTTCGCAAATATCGGCGAATTCCCCGCCCCTTCCTTCTTTTGTTTTATTGATATTGTACTGTCAACCTAAATTGTTCACACTCTCTTGTCGACGCGCTCTTCCGTTTCTGACCTCCGATTTCTTTCTCATTATCAACATACTCCCATTTCATCCTCTTCACATCTTCAGTATCTAATGGCTGATTTGCCCCTTGGTAAGCATTTCACCTCAACTTCTTTCGTCTTGTTTCTGTAGATGAGCAGCTGATTTCGGCTGACCGTGAGTACTTAAACAGCCATGACACTCGTCTCGCCTGAACATGTGGCCTCGGCCCCGAAGTTGAATGCACCACCTCCAGGCATCGGCGATGATGAGCATGCAAAAGCGTGGCGCGAGACTGGCTATCAGTTTACCGATAGTAATCAATGTACCTTCTGTGAGAAGTACGGTCATGGTCCAGCTCGATGCGTGTATCTCAATCCCAACCTTCGCAACACACACTGGCAGCCTGATCCAACCCTCTGGGTCTACAAAGAGGGCAAAAATAACAGCAAATTGAAGAAAAAGAAGAAAAATGCTAACAAGAAAGCCAAGACTGAAACATCAACCCAGTTGATCGTGGCCCAGAAGCCCCGAGGCGATGGTAACCATGCTCAAACCGCACCAGTCTCAACCGGGGCGATTGCCGCAAAAATCCGGCTTCAGGCTCCGATCTTCAATCTTGTTCCTCTCGAAATTCACGCCCTCGCAACCCTGAACATTCCCCGCCATCACTGGGCTGTCATCCTCGGCTACTTTCAACATATCACCAACAGCAAGGAAAGCTTCGTTGACTACCACGAATACACTCCGGCGGAGATCCCCTACCGATTCCGGGACCTGACTGGTACACTCAGGACCGCTATCGGCGTGGGACGGGTTCGGGTCAGTGTCTTACTTGGAAAATGCTTTCACAATGATCTCATCATGAACGCGGTCTACTGCCCGGGCCTGGCATGCAACATCTTCTCCTTGGGGATGGCGAGACACATGATGAATTTGTGGTACGACATGGAGACATACAGCCTGAAGGATGTGTTGACCAACCGGCCGGTGGCGCAAGTCTTTGAGGAGAAATGCACGCTCTTTCTCCGCACTGCCCTGGCGTGAGATATGGAATGAGGATGGTTGGAGAATTTTCAGATATCAATCACCTCTCGCAAATTCTCCCCTGAGATGAATACGGGTCACCTACCCCTGTCATACGGTTGCTGGTGATACCATGAAGTTAGTTTAGCCAGATCTGTCCATAGCCTTGGAGTAGATACTGATGTTTGATGATCGCCGAATCTCCTTGTCTCATATTTGTGAGAACATTGTAACCGGCAAGAGGCTATACCAGATCATTGTCTTCCACAGCGCGTACTTTAAATGCATGAGACGTCTTCCCTGTCACAACCCCCACAGTATTCTTGATATCAGGACAATGGAACCGAGCAAGTGGTTGCCGCAACTCCGGCTCGCCAATTTGAAGCTGCTCCAGAATCTCCGTGATTGCGGAGTACAGAATGTCGATATTTCCATCTTCGATCTTCACAGCTATTCCAAGTGCACCTTCGGCTCCGAGCTCCCGCGTCCGTTCCGTCTGCTTCACACCGATTCCATAACAACCTGCCGCACCAAGCTTGCCAATCAACAACCCTTGAAAGGCTTTCATGAGTATCGTGCAGAACCGGTCCTCACCAGCGACAAGCTCGGGATATGTGGACATGGCATTGAACACCTGGCTCAGTGCCTGTGTCCTTGGAGTTGTATTGGGTCCGTGAGTCGGCACTTGGCTAGCTCCATCAGCAAAGACGGCATACATGCGTGCCAGGCAATGCAGGGGGAAAGCGGGCGCAGGGAGATTGCAGCCGTCAACGCCCCATAATGATCCACTCGCTTCAAGATGGCAAATTTCATCCACAGCTTCCCTCACTCGTACTTGCATGGGGTGAGCAGGGAGATGGTATGATCCCACGTCGGCGCCGAGGGCTTTCGTCCCAGCAAGCATCCCGGCGTGTTTCCCGGAACAATTACTGTAGACCGCCGTCGGCGTGAAATCCTCCTTGATCCAGGAACGATTAACAACATCCGAGACAGCAGGATGACCGCCGCATTGCAAATCCTCTTCGCTGCATTGAATTTTGGACAGGATGCCACGGGCCCGAGTAACATGGCGGTCCTCGCTATTGTGCGAAGCGCACATCAGTGCTAGGTCGGCATCGTCGAGATTGAACTTCTGCAAGGCACCTGTTTCAACGATCACCAGTGCTTGGGCAGGCTTGGCTGCTGACCGGACAAGGGTGATCCTTGAAGGATCACCAACGGCGTACAACAGGCGACCGCGAGCGTCGACGACAGCGGCGTGGACGCCGTGTCGGTTTTCCACCACACCTGCCCGATCGGTGATAACACAATCCGTGGAGAACAGGGTTTTCATGGCAGCTGAGTGGGCGCTATGTAATAGAAAAGGGATTCTTTATCCTGCAGTAAATATTTCAATTTTTGATGCTTCGCGGGGCACTTTGTCGTGTGCTGATTGCGATCGGCAACTTCCGACTGAACGGCCCGAGATTTCCCCAACGGACTTGTGTCGGAAGATAAATTCTTAAGCTTACACACTGCTTTGACAGGCAAACAGCAAGCACACGTATTAAGAATCAAACTTGGGAGCCGTATTTTGACCAGGTGTAAAGCTAGTATATGGATTTTCTCACACGAGCAGAGAAAACCCGTCGTATGCCGATGCTAGGCGACTGGGTGCGCTTAGACCCCAAACTCGGCAATTTGAAGCCAATCTCGGTCTGGAAGGGTAGTATCTACCTTAGCTTATCGTTACTAATGTATGGACTTACGCTAGATTTCATCCTTCTGACAAAGTCCCGCATACATGAAGTAGGTCTAGGGCACAAATAATTAATTAATACTCTGCTGACATCAAGATTAGTCATGTGAACCTGGGGTACCTTCACAAAAATAGTGAGGGGAGCTTTGATTGAGCCGGAAAATAGATACCTCATCATCTAGAGCCCTGGCAAGAAAGTTATAGCAGGTATGACATTCTCGAAACGCAATTCTGTATTGCCACATGCACCCGTTCAACGATTGAAGGGTGGAGATGGCCCTCGAGCCTGTACCTAGCAGTAACTGCCCCAAATACCTTGGCTACTGCTTAGCCGCAGACGAGTGGAAGGATAATGAATCTTGGAAAAAGACATACTAGGCTGTTAAATGAGTCCTGAGTTTCATAGTTACACCAAGACGAGCAACAGCTGCTAAGCAGAAATCAGATTCCATTTCAGGCGTACCAGGACTGATGATCCTTTTGTTCAGCCCGACTCAAAAGATATGGACTGAAGACATTTCATTGAATCAATGAACAACTGCACCAATAGTTTCTCCTAGAACCGTTTTTCTTTTCAAAACTTTCCAATTGAGGTATCTCTTGAAAGCCTTTCAGAGAAAATCATAGATCAAGGTTCTATATGAACAATGAAGGTAAGAAAAGTCTAGCTCTAAAAACTCCCGTGAAATCGCTCTCAAACATATCCCATATCCCATGTAAGTTCTAAAAACCATGAAAAATTCGCTAATTCTTCCCAAATGCACGCCAAGCCCAGAAAAGGAACGCTAAATGAAAGAACACGCTGACCCAGAAAATCGAAAGATATATGCAAATGAAAACAAAATAAAAGTGTAAAAGAAAGCCAAAGAAAATCATGAATAGATAGTTCCCACAAAGCCTAGAAGCTGAACAACCCAGTCCGCTTCTTACCAAACGGATAAACCACCAACGCAGCGATAAACAAGCCCACCGTAATACCAATCGCAACCTGAATCATGCCAAAGCCCAAACTCGCCACAGAAGTATCCGACAAGCTACTCGTGGAAGTACTATTCCCCGACGTCTCCAGATTGTACCGCACCTGGTCCGCATACTGAATACCCGCGATGAGCGAGCCACTCGATGCTAGACCAGACGGCACCAGGACAAAGATACCAGGCAAAATAGCAGTAGCGGCGTGGCCGTGCCAAAGCCGACTGTATAGATTACCCAGTACGCCGATGGTGAAAGCGCCGACGGTATTGGCGACTTCAGACTGGGAGCCGAGCTTGGTCGTGCTGAAGTAATTGGTGATGTAGCCTGAGACAGCGATGAAGACCATCACCGGCATTTGCTTCCATTTACCGTGGTTGACGATGGCGAGGAAGACGGCGTAGATAGCGACGAAGGGGAATTGGCGTGCGTACGCGGAGCCGTACACGTCTAGGTTGGAACAGGTGGTTGCGGAGGAGGCATTGCGGTCGATGAGGCCGTATATCGTCGTGCCGACTGTGATGCCGTAGCCGAGGAAGAGGGAGTAGATGATGGCGTAGACCATGCGGATAGAGCCGGCGATCATTTGATGCGATTGCAGTTCCAGACTGCTGCAGAGGACCATGAAGCCCGGGAGGATGAGGGCGATGGAGGATTGAGCAAGGGCGGAGAAGCAGAAGAGTTCTTCGCTTTGGCCGTTGCGGGTGATTTTGATGCTGCCGAGAGCGCGGGCGAGGAAAGATGTTAGGACGGCGGCGGTGACTTCGAAGACGTTGGAGTAGAGGACGGAGCGGGGAGCGAGGACGTGTTGCATTAGACCGACTAGACAACCTAGACAGAAGATGGCAGGCATGTCGATTGGCCGGGCGCTGAAGGCGAATGGGCCGACAGTTGCACTGGCTAGGCCGTACATGAGAACTAGGATCCATTTGTTGAAGCGTGGTTTGCGGGACATGATCTCGTCCAGCTCTTGAGTTGCTTCTTCGACGCCGATGAGATCGTGCACCACGTTTTTATACACGTTATGCGTGTCCGCCAATCGACCCAAATCAACACCTTGCACCATCCGCACTAGCTTCACCTCCGCCGTGCGGGTAGTCGGGTCATCAAAGGACATGATCATACAGCCAGGGAGATACAAGAATTGACCGGAGACCTCCAGGACCCGGGCCGTCATCTGCATATACTCCTCAAGCCGGTGCGTCGGCGCACCATAGCGCATCAACGCCCGACACAGCTGCATAATATACCGCTGCCGAGCCAGAATCTCCGCAATATGCACTGTAACGCGAATCTCATCCTCCAGACGAGTCCGGCGCTTACTCTTCTTATGCCTCTTACCCGGGTACAGCGAATCCGCCGCACCAGGCGGGAGACTCGCACGGCTAAGGTTCATCGAGGCATCGATCAGCGACGAGGTCGACCGGTGCGCAGACTTCTTGTACCATTTGATTTTTTCTTTGCGGGGGGTGGCATAGCCCGAGGTGGGCATGGACGGGGGCATAGACGGAGACAGCGAGCCGAGCTTCTTGGGTGTAGTCGCGCCCGAAGAAACCTGCGTATCACTATCCGAGTCATCGGTTATGACACTCTCCGGCCGTGACGAGCTCGCCGTCTGACTGGCGTGCAGCTTGAGTAGCTGTGAGAGAATCCCACTGCCACCGGCGAACCCACCACTTGACCGGCGACGAGCGGCAAAGTCCTTCAGCATGCCCTCGGGCGTGGTCTGTCCAGACCGCTGGTACGCACCGCGTCGGCGACGCTTCCGCAGGGCTAGATTATCTTGGACCTGTGTCATGCTGCGCACCAAGCGATGGGCCTCAGCGCTGGGCGGGGGCTCATGCGGTTCCTCGCCGGCCTCTAGCATGCGCAGTCGATCGGCATCGTGACGAGCCCGACGTGCCTGCAATTCCTCCATGGGAATCCCCAGATCATCCGGCAGGATGGATGCACTGAGCGCCTCGCCGTCGTCCGGCGAGCGACCGAGGCGCTCCGTCAATTTCACGGTCTTCTGGCGGAGGAGCTGGCCCGCAGCTCGGAAGCGGTCGCGTGCAGAGTCTGTGCGCTCGACATTCTGGTCATGATGCTCACGTTTCTCAGGATCGAGGGGGGGATAGTCATGGTGCGTGCGACCAGCTGTGCGGGCCGCGTGGCGAGAATGTATCGGGGCTGGCGGGGTGACGGTTCCGGAGAGCGGGACATCGGTCAAGTCTGCGGGCGGCGGCAACAATGGATGTTTCAAGGCGTCGGACTGGTCTGAAAAGACTCTGTGGGAACCATCATGGAGATGATGGTATCGTTCACTTATGGAGCGACTGATAGAACGAAAGCGCACGCGAGGCGATCGGATTCGCGGTTGTTCGGGTTCGGCATCAGCGAGTGGTTGGGAGATGGGCTCGGGCTCGGGTTCAGGCAAAAGATCGGCGAGTCCGGTCTCATACTGATGGGCTTCTGCGGTGGGTTCTCGCTCGAGGTCTTGGCGACTGGAGGGCGTTATAGCACTGATGGGTTCAACTGGAGGGAGAGGGAATTCGGCATATTCTTCGTTGGGGCTGGGGTGAGGAGCATGAATTGAGTCGGACATGCCAGCGAAGGCGGAGGGCTGAGGAGCCCGAAGAGGCGAAAAAAGATGAAATGCTTAAATGCTTGTTCAGTTGAAGTTGAGATGGAGAGACTAGATCGAGAGATTAAGCAGCGAATGGATCGGACGAGAGATGCAAGAAAAATAGCGAGAGTAAGAAGATGGACATAAGCAGGACAGTTGGATGAAGAGAGAAGAACGTGAATGTACACAGATAAAAAGTCCGTCAGCTAGCTACCCTGAGAGCAGTTAGGTCCAGATAATCTCAGACCGAATGACACATTCCAGACCGTTCGAGGGCCTCGGGGAGAAAGGGAGAAGGAGAAGGAGATCCACGGAACCCGCGAAAAAGGTTGATCGGATGCGCACTTGTTTGGCTCTCCGTTTGTAGCCACCATCAGGATCGACCGAAGATCCACAGAGGAGCAAGGACCCACGATAAGAACTCCCGTGCCGAGTACAGTCCAGTGTACTGCTGTACTGCTAGTCTTCTATTCCGGTAAACAGACTGAATAATGTAGACCGACTCTCTTCTGTTCAGATTTGATACTTCGCTGGTCCAAGCGGTGCTTGGGCCAACTGCATGACACTACGCATCATCGTGGCTGGCTCAACTGGCCAGTCACAAATGCCCCGAACATACTGACAGCTTACGCAGTACTGTAGTACTGTACTATGGCCTGTCCCTGCAGAGATTTTTTTGCTTTAGTTGCGGCTTTTGTCCAACCAACGCCCGGCTGCTTTTATCGCCGAATTACACGGAGTACTGTATACCGAGCAGTAGGCAATAATTAGCAACAATGAGCTATTCCTTGTCGTTACATCATTGTCCACTGCAACCCTTCCTACTGTATTATTATGCGAGGAATTATGAATGACGATTATTATTCGTAGATACTTGCCATGACGGACAGTTCCCATGTGTTCTAGAACCGAAGACGTACTCACAGTGGAACATCATGACAACGGGTGGGGTTCCAGGTGGCGATCCAGCTTAGCTTATCCCCCTACAGACTACAGTAGATTTGGGCCCTTGAAGCACTCCAGTCTGTACCCTCCTCAAGTGGCACCGCGGCCATCCGGTTCGTTCCCATTTTCCATTTTTTCATGCCTGATCTTTTTTAAAAGTCTTCCCGCCGGCTCGGTCAAGCCTAAACGGATCTAGCCACTCCGGCTAAACTCCCTATCCCGGCAGGAACCTAAGCTAGTCCCTGGTCACAGGCTCTAGACTACCGTGCAACGCACGGGCTTGAAAAAAATGGAGACCCTGGCAGCCCTTATCAACCATCGTTGGGCTGCATTCTTGGTTCAGAGCGGAGCGACCGAAGAGCCAGGTTGTGGGTATAGTACCCACAATCAACAATGGTGTACATCAGCAGTGAAGCAAAGCAGCCACCTAGAAATTGGCCCTTGCGACCGGGATAAGGGGGATTGAATATGACAGCGTGATGATCCACTAGAATGGGATCATCGTGGATCCTGCACTGTTGATAGTTACTCGGTCGGGCGAGGAAGGGGAGGCGAAATAGAAGAAAAGAAAGTGGGGATGCGGTTAAAACAGTCTGATAAACATAGAAACAACGGCAACACAGGCATAACGAGACAAAAACACCGCATAAAGGAAGATTGAAACGCAATTCTCCACCGCATAGGAGTCGAGGCAGAAATCTGCGAAAAATGAAATAGATAATATCAAACTACAGTATCATCCTTGGGCGACTGTAGAAACTAAAATAGTAACATGATAATTTTCCACGTGGAGAATGATCATCTTGAGTAATTCAAGCTGATCATTTCATCTGGCGTAATCGGAGAAGACATGCATGCCATATCTGTTGCATACCAATAGCTATTACTGATAACACACTGCCCTCCTCTACCCTGGATCCTCATCCAAACATCCAGACCTCAAAAAGCCCCTCCGTCGTGGAGCAGGAAGTGGGTCCGACAGACCAGCTGATTGTTAGAAATTCTCTTCCCGCCGCCAGAAGCCCACTAGAGCTACCAAACACCAACGAAACGCTGATAAAAAAAACCCAAAAGGTGGGAAACAAGGAACCTCGATATCCACCTCGCAGTAGCAGTCTTGCATATCAAATCACACTCGCACGGTCCCGTCAAGGTCGAGCTCCCCTTCGCCTACAGTAGACGCCAGTACTCCATCCAAAACTCGCTTTACCTTCCTTTCCTCTTCTTCCTCGCAGAATGAGAGCATCTCCAGTATGTATCACTCTACTCCTCCCTCTCCTTCCCATACAAAGTCCACCCATTCAAATACCCCACACCGGCATTCAGATACGTCGCATAGCCCAACCACCCCAAATACGGCGCCATCAACCAAAACGCCGTGCGATCCCCATCCCACCAATTCGCCATCAAAAGACTCACATTCCCAATAAGCAGAACCATATCAACCAACGCCGTAGCTGGTCGGCCCAATCCGAAGAACAGCGGCATCCAGATAAAGTTCAGTCCTAGCTGTGTGGTGTAGAGGGTTTGCGCGGCGCGATTGGCTTCGTGGACGGCGGGGAGGAGGGACTGAGATGCTAGTGATGTTGCGTGGTGGGAGGCATAGCCCATTAGCCCGTAGAGGAGGGTCCAGGCTGGGCCAAAGAGCCAGGCTGGTGGGCTGAAGGGTGGTTGGTGGAGTTTGTGGTAGGTTTCTTTGGTGTTTGTGCCTGCATGGCAGGTGTTAGTAAGGGAGTTCGTTGATAGGTAGGTTGTATCGCTCCCTGGTCCGGTATGGCAAGTATGGTAGGAGTTGCTATACGCTAACTCCTGGCATTCTGCTATAGAGGGTGGGACGATTGAGGTCGGTACGTACGGTTGGTAAGTAACGCAGACGCGGTGCCCACAGCGATGGGCGTCGCGACCGCAAGCAGCGGCGATGTGAAGATAGCCTGAGGCAAGGCAAAAGACCACGGCATAATGGTGATGTGATGAGGACTGGCAGAATAAAACCTGACCTGTGTGATTCTTTTCTTTCCGGAAAAGAAGTGGCCTTGAGGATCTTTAAAGCGCGGAGATACGTGATGATCACTGATGGTCCTGAACTCCTGACTGGCCGCCTCCGTCAGTCGATCGCGATCTGGAGATGGTCAGTTGCTCTGACGTCATGGGCGTGCCTGGGCGCGTAGAAGCCACCTTCGCTTAGAGCTCAGCGGCATTAAAGGGGGTTGTCAGGGACGAGCTAGAAGCTTCGATGCTGGCATCGTGGAGAAGATATTGGTGATGCCTGCGATCGGAGGGGTTGCTGGATGTTCGATCTTGATGTGACGCGAGGTCAGCACCTATGGTTAGACCTGCTCCAATGTCCGACCGTCTCGATAGACTACACCAAAACCACACTCCACCACGAGAAGCAGTGCCCTCGGCATATTCTTCGTACCCAAAATACTCATCTGAAGCTTCTTTAGCAAATCGATGATATCCATGCTACAGTTATTGAAGGCACCGATTCACAAAAATCATAGGCTCAATAGCTTTCTGAATCGTTGGCCCTGTGAATAAGCTTATTTGACCCGCCCACCAATCAGGCAGGCCCTCTATCTGTCTACTTCCATCTATCGTTTCTCACAATAAACTCTAACTGGAACCCGACACTGAAAGATGCTGTTCTCTTCATTCACTCTCCTCAAATTCACCATATGTGTTATTTGAATTTCTAGACGACCAAGGTATATATGAGCCTTTCTCCGACCATTCCCAGCCAAAGCCCCGAGACCATGGTGTAACTTGAAGGCTCTGCAATGTGCTGGGTCCTCACGGGGACTTATTCCAGGCGAGTATGCTTATTGTGGACCAGTCTGACATTCTGACTGTATGCGAAATCACCGACATAGGTTCGTTCTTACGAGTAGCGCGAAGTACGTGCATGTTAACCAAAGAATATTGGCCCCGGGGTAAATATAAAGTAATGGTGATGATAGCACCAAGTATGAACAACCGAGTCAGCTGAGAACCATCTCGACCAAAAGTATCAACGGCGACTTTTCAATCAAGTCTACCTAAAATGCCACTGCGGCTTCTTTGTCTTCACGGCTGGGGGACCAGTGAGAAAGTAAGTCTACCTTCGTTCAAAAAAATACCATATGCCTAACGCTTCATCTAGATACTACGATCGCAACTAAGTATGAAAAACCCAGATTCATCCATAATCTGTTCTTTTATAAATAACCGCTATATCTATACAGGCGGTCTAATCGGAGATTTACAGCGTGACAACACGGCCACGTTCCACTTTCTCGAAGGCGAAATCGACTCTGAGCCCGGCCCAGGTATCGCAGGTTTCTATGAAGCCCCGTACTACAGCTACTACCGCTTCCCCCGGACCTTTTCAGATGCTGACACCGACGAAACCGACATCCTCGCCGCATACGAACAACTCGACGAAGCAATAACCCTGCACGGACCCTTCGACGGGGTTCTAGGATTCTCGCACGGCGGAACCCTGGCCGCGGGGTATCTTATCCATCATGCGAAAATGTCGCCGGGAAAGGCACCACCGTTTCGGTGTGCAATTTTTGTCAACTCATTGCCTCCATTCCGGATGCATCCTGGTCAGAGACCTGTGATCGAACAGGGTTTGGAGGGGTGGATTCGGGTTCCGGTGGTGAATATTGCTGGGGCGATGGATCCGTTGTTTGATTTTTCGTTGGCGCTGCATCGGATTTGCGATCAGCAGTGTTCGAGTTTTGTGGTGCATGGAAAGGGGCATGATGTACCTACTGATGTGAAGAATGTTGCTATTATGGCGGCTGCGATCCGGAAGCTTGCGGTTAAGATGTTGGGAGGTTGGTGAATGGGATGGATGGAGAGGAGAGGCATTGATTGCTGAGATTCTTAGGTAGGGACGGGACTGTTGTGTGGGCATTCTGGTGTATAGAGCAGACTGACCGCCATTATGGCATCTGATTCCCTGTATGACTCTTCATGTTGCAAGGACGGTGAATTTTACCCTAACACTGCTGGGATAGCTATAGTCAAATAAGCCGAAGAATCAAAGGCTAGGTCCTTTGCAAACATTAACATACCCTAATCGTAATCCCCCCTGAGTGTGGTTCTCCTATCTTACATCCTCTACGCACGTCCAACCCTTCAACGAAGAAAACATGAAGGAGTTCCCCATAATTCTGGAGACCACCGGGTCCGAGCTATTCGAGGAATGTATCACACAGTCAGACGCCGACGGTGGGCCCTCAGAAGGCCCACATGACGACCTTTCCATTCTCATGGAAGATGCATCTATGCCGATAGCCGTGATTGGGATGGGCTTTCGTGGGCCCGCCGATGCAACAGACACAAATAGGTTATGGCAGATGATGGTTGAAAAAAGAGAAGCATGGTCGCCGGTCCCGAAAGAGCGATGGAATAGTAAAGCATTCTACCACCCAGATCATGCGCGGCATGGCACGGTGGGTACTGGAAAGAATTTTTGAGTCAGAGCTTCTTCCTCTCTAATTTGTCACTTAGATCAATGTGGAAGGGGGCCACTTCATGACCGAGGATTTATCACTGTTCGACGCACCATTTTTTAACATGACCGGTGATGAAGCAGCAGTAAGGAGTTATTTCACACTCGAATTTATATATGAGAGAATTGACCGTGATAGGCGATGGATCCTCAACAAAGGTTGTTGTTGGAGGTCACATACGAGTGTCTAGAGAATGGTAAGAAGCTAAATCTGTCAAGCAATAAAAAAGAGTGGCCGATCCTGATTTGCTGAAGCTGGAATTCCATTGAATCGAGTAATGGGAACTCAAACATCATGTTTCGTGGGTTCATTCTGCACAGATTATACGGACCTTGTCCTCCGAGACCCCGAGTGCGTGCCTATGTACCAGTGCACAAATGCCGGACAATCGCGCGCGATGATGGCAAATCGAGTTTCATACTTCTTTGACCTGAAAGGTCCCAGCGTCACAGTGGATACAGCTTGCTCTGGTAGCTTGGTGGCACTACATCTCGCGTGTCAAAGTCTTCGGACAGAAGATGCATCGATGGCCATCGCAGCAGGGGTGAACCTGATTCTCAGTCATGAGTTCATGTCCACGATGAGCATGATGAGGTATGACCACCCAAACTGTACAAACTGTCTTTTACTAATGAATGCAGATTTCTCTCCCCAGAAGGACGCTGCCATACATTTGATGAGAAAGCCAATGGATATGCTCGCGGTGAGGCCATTGCCTGCCTTGTATTGAAACCACTAGCCAGCGCACTTCGTGACGGAGACACGATCCGAGCGGTAATTCGCGGAACAGGTTCAAATCAAGATGGTCGCACGCCTGGGATCACACTGCCAAGTGGAACTGCCCAAGAAGCGCTGATTCGAGACGTCTATGCTCGGGCAGGTCTTTGCCCGAGTGAAACGGAGGTTGTTGAGGCACATGGGACAGGTACACAAGCTGGTGATCCAGTCGAGATTGGTGCTATAGCCAGATCATTTGAGCTTGGAAGTGACCCTGACCGGGTATTACGGATCGGATCGATCAAAACGAATGTTGGTCATCTTGAGGGCGCGAGTGGGGTGGCTAGTGTTATCAAGGCTATCTTGATGCTAGAGAATCGGATTATTCTACCGAGTCGTAATTTTGAGACTTCAAATCCTCGAATCTCATTTGAGGAGTGGAATTTGAAAGTGAGTCAGTATATTTTTCTCTGGCCCATAATCTTGTAAATATTGACACACCTAGGTTCCACAAGCCCCAGAACCATGGAAGACGCCTGGATCGCATCGGGTGTCAGTCAATAGCTTTGGGTATGGTGGTACCAATGCTCATGTCATTGTGGAGGATGCGTTAAGCTATCTATCAGAACGGGGTCTACAGCGATGGTTTCAAAGCCTGTCTCACACAACACAAAGTGACCAGCTCGTGGACGGACAAGCGGAGTTCTCGAAGGCCCCGTGGCAAAGAGTTTTCATGATCTCTGGATTTGACGAGTCATCTTGTAAATCCCAGATTGCGACATTACGTGAATATCTCGAATCGAAGATGGACTTTGTCCACGACGACTTCTTGGATGACCTTGCCTTCACGCTCAACGAGCACCGATCGAGTTTCATGTGGAAGGCCGCGGTGATGGGCGCGTCCCTATCAGATCTACATGCCTCTCTATCAGATAGCCTCAGCATTCGATGCTCAGCTCAGAGACCCGCTGTAGCATTCGTTTTCACCGGACAAGGAGCTCAGTGGGCGGGGATGGGCAAGGAGCTACTTCACAGATATCCGGTGTTCTGGCAGTCAATATCCAGGATCGATAATTATCTAGCAGAGATAGGAGCCCCGTTTTACGTATCAGGTGAGGTTAATACTTTACCCCAAATACCGCATCATTTTCAGATGACTGACATCCTGAGCGGTCATTTAGAGGAACTTTCCAGAAGTGCAGACGACTCTCAGTTAAATCACCCACTCCTGAGCCAAACCATATGCTCAGCCTTACAGATCGCTCTCGTCGACCTGCTTGCAACCTGGAATGTATATCCTAGCTCAGTGACTGGACACTCCAGTGGTGAGATTGCCGCTGCATATGCCTGCGGCGCACTCGGCATGGAAGATGCCATGGCGGTGGCATATTTTCGAGGCGTTGCGGCCAGCCAACTTCTCATTTCTCCAACTGTAAAAGGAGCGATGATTGCGGTTGGGAGTTCAGATGAGGCTATTCAGACATACCTGAGCAGGTTAACCGCTGGCAAGGCCGTTGTGGCTTGCATCAACAGCCCGTCCAGTGTGACCGTATCTGGGGATGTGGCTGCAATTGAAGAATTGACAGAAATGTTGAAAGCACCAGCTGTGTTTTCCCGCCGTCTAGCGGTTGACGTTGCCTACCACTCCCATCACATGGAAATAGTCACCAACGAATATCTCAGCCGTATCGAGCATATATCGCCTCACCATGACAACGCACTCACACCGCACCTCAGTAAAGTCTCCATGTTCTCGTCCGTCACCGGAACCGAAGTTCAGATCAACGAGATGGGTCCTCAATACTGGATATCAAACCTCCTGGGGCAAGTAAAATTTTCTGAGGCTCTCAGAACTCTATGTTTCGAGACAGGTAGTCAACAAAGTATGGCGGGTCTGATAGTCCGAAGACGAGGAAAGAGACAAGGCGCTGCACAGAAACCCAGTGTGGATTGCCTACTGGAGATTGGTCCCCATTCCGCGCTTGCTGGCCCAATTAAGCAGATTCTACAAGATGACACTAAGCTTCGAACAGTGGACATCACTTACCTGAGCATACTTTCCAGAAAAAATAATGCTGTTTCTTCAGCTCTTCACGCAGTATCTACACTCGCAACGATGAGTTACCCGTTGGACCTCCGAGCAATAAACTTTCCAAAGGGTGTTGGGCCGGGAAATAAACCGCAGCTTCTTGTGGACATGCCATCCTACAGATGGAATCACACCAAATCTTACTGGGCGGAGCCACGGATGAGCAAAAATTATCGAAAGCGCGAGTATCCTCGTACAGATCTTCTTGGTGCGCCAGACAGCATGGCCTGTCCACTCGAACGTCGATGGAGAAACTACCTCCGAGTCTCCGAAGTACCCTGGCTTCAGGATCACAGGATTCAGTCAGACATAATCTTCCCGGGTGCCGGATATATCGCTATAGCTGTTGAAGCTATCATCCAGATAATCAAGGATTCTGATCATATTGAAGAACTTACCTTACAAGATATTCAGATACGCTCAGCGATGATCGTACCAGAAGCAGCAGGAGTTGAAGTCATGACTTCTCTTCGAGACTCTGATAAGGCTCTGATAGATGAAGAAGACCAACGGTATGAGTTTCATATATATTCGGTATCCAGTGATAACCGCTGGGTGGAACACTGTACAGGGGTGATTGGCACTCAGACCGATTCAAGTCTTATTGATGGTGAAATGTTTGTGGATCTCAATGGGCACGTAACGGCCCCTGCATCCAGCGACGCCAGCCATATTACGGTGGTTGACATCCCCCAGTTCTATGAAGAACTGCATGTGGCGGGTTTAGAGTATGGACCTTGTTTTTCAAACCTGAAAATTGTCCACGCAACTCAACAAGGACTTTGTTTCGCCGAAGTCACGATTCCAGATACAGGAAGTGTGATGCCGATGAATTTTGAGCACCCATCCCTGATTCACCCGTGTACTTTGGACAGCATATTCCACACCGTATTCGCCGCACTACCTGACATGATGGGCCTAGAGAACGGCCCGCTTATTCCAGTGTCGCTCGAGAAGATGCAGATTTCCAGTCAAATCCAGAGATCGGCGGGGGAGGTTCTCAGTATATGCACACACGTGCAGCCTGAACCGAAGAAAAATATTGTGGCCTCGATAACTGCCACAGATAATGTTAATAGTGTGAGCAGCACAAAACCAAAGCTCTCAATTCATGGACTTCGTTGTGCCCGCCTAGAACTTTCTTCGAGTCACGCTGAAAAAAAGGACAGTTTTGCAGTGGCTTATGGAATTGAGTGGCAGGCAGACCCATCTTTCATTTCCAGAGAGAATGCATCAATTCCGTTCCAACAGCAAGGTGTAGATCAAATCCAGGTGCCTGATTTGCGAGAAGAATATGAGAAGATGGCAGAGTGTGTTATAAAAGACACGATTGTGACATTATCCGAAAAGAGTGACAAGAAATTCGAGTCTCTGAACAGCAGATACCGCGATGATTTTACGTCAATCCTTGGGATGCATAACCAAGACAATCAAATCAACTCATACAACGGACAAATTGCCAAGGGGGAGGGGTTTCGGGGCGTTTCGGGAGATATGGAGGCTTTGCTTCGCGCTGTTTCTCGCCATCTATGTCCATTTCCACCAAGAGACCTAGAGACCTTCAGAGACGCCCAGGGTGAAATATGGGGCACATTCCGAAATGGCATTGCCAGGAATCCAGCATACTGCGCAGCAGCAAACTATGTTGGCTTGATTGGCAACAAGAAGCCCGACATCTCTGTTCTGGAAATCGGCGACGGAGGAAATCGACCCTACAACTTGTTTTTGAGAAGACTGATGCCACGTTGTGATGATGGCCAAAGCAGAACACCTCTCTGCAGCAGGTATATATATGGGTATAGAGATGACTATGGACTTGACCAAGCAAAAGAGGATCTTGCAGATTGGAAGGAGGTGGTGAGCTTTGAGAAGGTGGTTGACCTTTCCGAGCAGGAATTGGGCAAACAGGCTTACGATGTCATCATTGCCCCAAATGCCTTCTATTCATTGTATTCTGCCAGTGATGGACTTCTCAAAATCAGATCACTCCTGAAGCCATTCGGCTATCTGATCATACTAAATACCCTCCAAACAGAAAGAAGCCTTTTGGATACCGTTTTAGTGACCGCTTTCTACCATTGGCCGCATAGAAGGGTTGACTCCTTTGTTCACAATGAAAGAATAAGCGCAGAAATCCTCCGTGGAGCTGGGTTCAAAACAGAGTACATTATGGAAGGTGCTTTGATGGTTTGTCGTCCACATTGTGAAACAGACTCATTCGATAAGAAAATTTTGATTATTCGTGAAGACGATAACGAGCTATCAATAAATCTGTCGAAAGCTCTGATGGAACAATTGCCGGGCGAGTCGACTGCGTCGAATCCGATGGAAGCGCGCCCACAAGGCTGCATCTGCATTGTTCTTAGTGATTTGAATAGAAGCCTTTTCGAAGCCCCGGACAATAATCTACTAGAGAAATTGAAGGAGATCTTTTTGCAAAGTGAGGGTGTGCTCTGGGTGACCAGAGGAGGGACGATGCACGCTACGAATCCCCAGTGTGGACTTGCAATTGGGTTCGCAAGAACAGCTCGCTCAGAATCAGGAGTTCAGCCAATAATCACACTTGATCTAGATCCAAATTTATCAATAATGGATGAATCAAGGGTCAACATCATTATTGATCTGATGAAACCCCATTTCTTCCAAGGAGGACGACCGGAGCACGATGTGGAATACGCAGAGCGGGAAGGGATCGTTCTGATTCCTCGGGTGATAATTCAAGACGACTTGAATTGCGACATAATGGAAAGAAACAAAAAAATTAAATCGTTCCAACAGCCGTTTCATCAGCCAGGTATATGTCTATTTCTCCAATTGAACGATGTGGGGGAAAACGAAGTCCACTTCACGGCCAGCAACGAAGTCGCGGAAATTCCCGAGGGTCATGTCGGCATCAAAGTTTTCGCTTTTGCCATAAGTGAATTCGACATAGAAGCTGATAAAAACATGGACGCTATCTTTAGCGCCGTAGGATACGGATGTAGTGGGCAGGTCTGTGAGATTGGGTCAAATGTCCGTGGATTTTCAGTGGGAGATCGTGTGGCTTGCATTGGAACGGGAACAGCGCGAAACTGCTACTACGATCAGGCCTCGGCATTCCAGAAGATTGAAGAGAATGTCTCATATGAGCTTGCTGCATCCTTACCATTGGCATATACAGCGGCATACTACATCGTTAACGAGTTAGCCAGAATCAAGCGTGGGGGCACGGTCCTCATACATAATGCAGCAAGCTGGTACGGAAAAGCGTTAGCTGAAATATGCATGCTGAATGGATCAGAGATCTTTGCGATTGTATCGAACGAAGATTCGAAGAATGAAATCCTAGAGACATTCGCAATTGCATCATGGCAGGTCATAGTTGACGGAAAGGACAACATAGCACGGCGCCTTCTCGAACTCACCAATGGCAAGCCGCCCAGCACTGTCATAACGTCTGCTGATTCAAACACCAAAATATTCAAGACTTTATGCAAACTCACCGCGCCGTTCGGCCATTTAATTCATCTTCGAACTCGTCCACTGGAAAGTCATCAAGCGGTGGGCCTCTTCAGTTGGGACTTGAAGAACATTTCGTTCTCAACGTTTGACATCTTCAATTTTCAATACCAAACTATTGTTCCGATATATGAAATCTGGTCTAAAGTCATATCTCTCTTCAAGCAGCGAAAATTGCGTGGATCTTCCTCCTATTCTGTTCACAAGGTTACGAATGTCACCAATGCGATGAGTGCAGTTTCTTCAGCGAAATACGCCGTAATAACGGCAAATGCCGATGAGATTATTTCAGTAAGACTTTCCCTAAATACCGTTATCTGAATGATGACTGATTATCACAAGGCTACGACAGTGACTAGCTCGAAAGTTATTTTCGACGAAGAGGCATCGTACATCTTGGTGGGCGGCCTCGGAGGGATTGGACGTGAGATTGCTTCTTGGATGGTGGAGCATGGCGCCAAGTACTTGGTTCTTGTCAATCGCAGTGGCTTAGCCACGGACGCAGCTCAATCTACCATACGGCTGCTTCGTGAGCATGGTGCTGAAGTGGTTGTGCGTGGTTGCGACATATCCGATGAGCAGACTTTTAGTGAAATGTACATGGAAATTTCGCAAACCATGCCGCCCGTCAAGGGCGTCATTCAGGGTGCGATGATTCTGAAGGTGAGCTATTCATTAGCCAAATCATTCAGCAATATGTTTGTTCACATAAACAGGACGTTCATATTGAAAAAATGGCAGCGGAAGACTATAACACAGTCTTGCGTCCTAAATATGCTGGGACTTGGAACCTGCACAAATACTTGCCTGCCGATCTAGACTTCTTCGTGATGCTGTCATCTATCAGTGGCGTGATCGGAAACGCGACCCAATCTGCCTACGCGGCTGGCTCCGCATTCATGGACTCCTTTGCAGCATACCGGAACACACTAGGCTTGCCTGCAGTGTCGTTGGACCTTGGCACCATTACAAGTGTAGGTTATTTGGCAGATAATAAAGACCTAGCAGAGAAGATGGCGAAACAAGGATTCCAGAGCACGGACATGAAAACGCTTTTGTCGCTTGTTGGGACTGCAATCGCACAGCCACCCACGGGCACCCATTCGCAGATTGTGACCGGTCTTGGGGACTGGAAATCTGGAAAGTCCCTAGCCAATTTTGACGCGCCTCTCTTCTCTCACTTTAGAAGAAGGTTTCAAATCAATGAACCATATGAAGAGGGGATTGACTACATCGATACGGTACGCGAGAGTCTGAGGGCCGCAGAGACTCGGGATGAGGCTGTGCTGGCTGTCTTCGAGGCTTTGTCTGGCAAGATTGCTGCGCAACTCAGTATTCCAACAGATATAATCAGCCCAGGGAGCCCACTCTCAGAGTTTGGCATTGATTCAACCGACGCTGTCGAGTTGAGAAACTGGATATCCGAAAATATGGAGAGCACAGTACCTGTCCTTGAAATCCTCGCGAGCGGTTCAATGATCCAGCTAGCTGGGCACATTGTCAGCCGGTCACAGTTGCTGAATCGAAATGACGAGACATCATAGAGGAAATAATGCTTGGATATTATCTGAAACAAATTGGCGACCATTTGTACGAGAGGCAATTTATAGGCAAGAAATATAGCCTTGGCTTAACTAATGATGTCGGCTACACACGATACTTCGAACTAGACGAACAAGACTGTATAGAGGTTACTAAGATTAATATTCAGGAAAACGATGCACAAGAAGATATTAAAAGAGGTACTGAAAGAGGTATTGAAAGAGGTGTTGGAAAAGGTGTTGGAAGAAGATGTTGGAAGAGTTAAGCTGTCGCTTCCATTCTGTGAATTCCTAGTCATTTTCTAACGTACATAAAGATGCATCTACCAAGCAAACACTGTGCTTATCTCACGATGCAGTTCCAATAAGCAATGATTTCCAATTGTAAGACCCATTGACGAGAAACGAGTCAAAGCATAAGTTAAAGAAACGCATAGAGATGTAGGTCAGTAAGACAAACCTAATTCTCAGTCCAACACTCACTAGGCCGCTTCATCGTATTCCACTACCTTAGTATCTCAGATATGGAAAATATATAGCGAGGCTTCATCTGGGGATGGGAGGGAAGCCAAAAGCTAGTTGGGATTCGTGTTAGAACGACATCGATTACAAACCTCATGCAATCGCCCCTCAGGGTCGATGAACGAAACCCGATCGTCCTCGTGGCCTCCTTGGATGCAATATTGGATCGGATTTTCAAAGCAGTACATGCAGATGCCAGAATCCTCCAATCTGGTTGGCCTCGGAATCTCACAGGCTAAACAAATAAAGTATGGCGCTGTATAAGATCCATAGATCTCGGAAGAGTCTTCCTGTCCTCCCTTACAGCAATGGGACTCATTTTCGAGCCCATCGACTTCATCATTTGACGATGAAGACCCGGATAATGCCTCTCCAGAGATTTCACTCGAGACGTTATCAAGACCAGGAGGACTTTTGTCAAGCGTTCCCTGAAAGGAAGCCAAGTGATGAAGAATCTCGGGGTGAAATGATTTACCACCGTAGATCCCATCAGTCAAGGTACCATCAGTCGAACTTTCCTCGCTGGAGCTTTCATCGTTAGAGTTTTTATCACTAGAGCCGGCATCGATGGAGCCTTCAACACTGGCGCTCTCATCACCGGTGCTTTCAGCACTAGAACGGCCATATTGGGAAACTTCGGTGCCGGAAACTTGCGTACTCGGCTGGTACATCACCTGAATGGCAGGCTGGGGATAAAAGTCACTTGAAGTAATCCATTGTTGGCTTCTAACCAGGGGTATTGGTGAGCCATAACCCCACATCACAGGGTACATGGCTGGTTGGTTGGGAGTAGGTGCCAGAATCTGGAATCCTCCACGGGGTCTTTTGAGACCGTAGGTGCCAGGAGCTATACACCATATCAGTATTCAGAATTGTTAAGAAAGTTTGCCTCCACCTACCAGGGGCCATATGTGGAGCATGGCCAGGACCTGGATAGAACTGGTATGGTACCTGGCTTGGCGTTGGAACCTGCATACTCTCTGGACTCGTGGCGAAGTGCACAGTTTCGATATCCTTCCGTAACTGAGGGTCACCCGAGCCTTCAGTCTTCAATTTCTTGTTTGCTGCCCAGCGCTTGTGGCCCTGTCGAACCAAATTATTATTATTGCGCGATAGAAGAGATTTAATCGATATGTCTCACCTCATGGCCGTGAATTCGACAAGCCAAGCACCATTTTGTTGGCCGTTTCGCACTGGTTCTTGATACAAACTCCTCAACAGGTTTATCCTCGCGGCATCTGACGCAGGTCTGCATAAATGGATCCGAACCCGAGTCAGAGATCGAGTTCGGCTCCATGATGTACGCAAGAGAGTCGGAAAACCAGCTGGGAAGGACGGAATCGTAGGATTGTGAAAGAGGGGACCTTCTGGAGTCACACAAGTATAATCTTGGGACACTCACAGAATTGTCGCTTTGGAAGTCAGAGAGAGGAGATGGATAGATCGAATGGGATAGCCGAAGAAGCTCGGATGGTGGCTTCTCGACACAGAGGAGGGTCCTGGGAGTCACTTTTTCGAAGGAGGTTGATGCCCGGACTCATGAATACCAGTTAGCTCTGGAGATAGGAGAGATGGTGGTACAATCGCCAGAGTCAGGGGATCATAGAGTATCAGATTCCACGCGTGATAGCCGTGGAAATAGGCAAGCGGATATGGACAGCAAAATGCGCATATAATATCCTCAGGATTGGCAGTCAGAGTGATCGATCCTTCGAGAGAAGGTCTTCGGCATAGAGATGTGATGGGACAGCAGAAATGGAATCGCAGAAGAGCTGAAAAGTATCTTCAGCCCCAGAATTTCTGCGTTCTTGACACGACGGACGGTGCTCGGTTTGAGAAAGCAACCCTGTAGTGTGTGACTCTGCAAGGTATGCAAGAAGCACGAAGTCGATCAGACATCAGCAAAGGTTTGAGGTCACAAGATGAAGACCCGGAAGTGGAAGAGGGAAGGATTCCAGGAGAGAGTCAAGGGGCGCAACCACAAGAATCATAGTGCGCGGGGGCGCAGGTCAAGAAATAATATCGATGGGCCGGATTTTGAATCTCGCTATTTGGGTCGATTCCCAAATTCGTGCGATCAATGAGATGAATGAGAAAGAAGGATACGATAGCACCAGATGAACAGAATTAGCATGGTCATAGAGGATTTTGGTGTGCTGTTGTCCGATGGAGGATGTAGTTAGCAAGAGATTGTTTGGCAGGAAGGTGACAGAAAACGGCTGTTGACAGGGAGTATAGGACCATGAAAAAAGTGTTTTGGGCCTATTATGACAAGCTGTAGAATCAATTCACGATCACGAGAGATATCAAACACGAAGGGATGATTAGTCGTGCTAATTGCGGAGCGTAACAAAGCTTATTACTTCTTGAGTAAAGGGGTGTAGGGGTGTCCTGTAGGCGAATCAAGACTAGGCATAAATGAACATAGTATATACTATATAGCCGATAGCGTATATAATGTAGTATATAATGCAGCGCTACGCTCCGTAATTCTTGGTGTCCGTCTCCCCGGTGGGCGCCATTGGAAACCTTGTAGCTTTTGATACGTCCTATTGCTTTGTGGAAGATGGCCGATAGGACCAAGCATGGAGCAATGAAGGGTTCCCTTTCAGTGCTGTGGATGGTGCAGTCTCGAATATAGGAAGTTGATAATTGGAAATAGAGACAAATAGTAGTAGCTTTTAAAATATGCCTGACCAGCTGGTGTAGTCCGCAAGCCGCCTTAACTCCAAAAACATAAATCGTAAAACGTGAAATCATCACATCTCGCGAGCATGCTGGAAGCATATAAGACGAGCAATATCACTCCTTCTGCTCGCCTTTTCCAGCTCGGAAACAGCCAGCTCGAGATCACTCATATCCCATGTCTCATCTTCTGATAGCAATGGCTCGTCTGCGCCGGGAAGCAGTGGCATTGAATATAAAGTTGACGTATTCTGCAGCGCATCCAGCCGATGAAGAAGGTCCTGTTGCGCCAGTTTTTGCATTGAAGACGAAGCTAACACATGCCTCAGATCGGGCTCTGATGCTATCGCTTCTTTTTGCATCTTTTGTAAGGACAGTTCACATAGTCGATATGCAAGCTGATCCGAGTCAGGGGGCGGATTGTGGATTGCGACTTTCGGATTGTCCGCCTTGATCAGCATTGGACGAAGCTTTTGCGGTCGCTTACGAGGTAAATTCGGCGATATGTTTCTTGTGATAATTCTGGTGCACTGCATGATGAGGAGCACGCTTCCTGGTGTTTTGAGAAATGTTCTTAGTGACTTGGTGGTTGGGCAAAGGTTGACGATGCAGTCTTAATTATATTTGCTATCCCATGATTCTACTAAATAACCAACTTGACTCAGTACCCAAAAATCCAATCGAAGATCACCAGACATTGTAAATTATCATGCAATTCCTCAGTGTTTGTTGCTTGCTTGAGTGGTAAGACCCGGCTAATTTTCGTTGCGCGGCTCGCCACTTTAATCATGCCACCCGAACCCCGTAATGGCATCACTGTTGTCATGACATCAACAATTCTTGCCTTGAAGGCAGCAATAAGTGAGTCACTCAATTTATTATGAAGCTCGACCAATATTTCAAACTATGCATATTTTTGTTGGGAGTCAATGGTGAGTGCCTTCACTCTTATTTTGTCACGGTAGATGGTTTGAAGCCGGCATGCTGTTGATGCATCTCCAATCTACCTACTTTCTATCCTTCTCCTCTGAGTTGATCAGGCACACGCCTCGGCACAATAATCAGACAGACCAAAAGAGCAAATATAACAGAGCTCATGCCTGGGTTGGTGTAAAGGATGTATATAATTCTAGGAAGGCGAGGGCTAACAGGAGTCTTGAAATATCGAAGTGTCCTGGTTCTACGTCAACCTGTATCTTTGAAGTTGATTCCAGGTTGCACTATCGCATTGGCTTCTATATATATGATAATTATTTCTCTGGGCCTGGTCTCGTTCTGAAGAAGGCAAGTAATATCTGAGACATCCAGCCGGAGGCTCGGACTCGGGGTTAAGCCCGAAAGATTGGAGCGAGATCACCAAGGCTCCAGAGTCCAGACCTATCCGGTCCGACAGCAGTCTTGCAGGCAAAACAAAGGGAGATATAATAAACCCTGTAGATTATTGGACCCTCGGAAAGAATGTTCCCCCGAAGCACGACACCAAAAGGTCTAGCGCATGGCGCCCAGGCGGGAAAGGCGCCGATACTGCAGGAAGAAGCGAATCATTTGCATTCATTTGAGCTATGATTAGTTTCATATTTCCATCCTTGAAGGAGGGAATCCACTTTAGCAAGTGGATGCAGAAAGCCCCAAGAGTATCAGGTTCCTCCTTTTCCGATCACTATTCCGCTGACTCAGCGGCAAGCCAAATCCCGATCCCCCGATTGACTCGCATTCTCGGGTCTCGACCACTCAACTTGGCTGCTCGGACGCTTGGCAGCGCGAACGCCGCTGATGCAAACGGAACTTCTTATCAATCATTATTTTAGGGGTGGATGTGGAAGAACGGAAGAGCAATAGCTGGCTCACCTCAGCTTTCACAATGCAAGTGAAGCAAGCTCCAGGATATACCTTGTCGAGATCCTCAACAGGCCCCCACGAACTGCAGTACTGGGCAGGTTCCATCTGGGAGGTGATGAGTCAGCGGAACTTGACATCCTGAAGCTCTATTCCGATTATTCTCTTTAGATCTTCGGAGACCTCCACTTGATATTTGGTTCGTGGACAGAGATTTCGACCCCCATGGACGTGGGTCCACCTAATGCGCAAATGCTCGGCCTGATCACGGAGGTTCGGAGTAACATGTGTCATATTCAATGTTTTCCGTCATAAGCACAAATTGCGCGGCCATGAAGCAGTGACTCGGCCCTGTTTATCAGGGCTGTTCATTGGGCACGGAGGCTCGGCGAGGCCTATAGCCGTCTTTCTCAACGTCCGGACCCACTGCCTGCGATTGAGGCCGATATCCATCCGGGTATGGGCATTATAAAGATTTCGGGGCTGCCGCCTACGCGCAGCTCCTCTACCATCACGCGTCTCTCTTTGCCTTGTCTCTCCTTCCATCATGGAGGGATACAACCAACAATCATCGTCCCATCAGGGGTCGATAGATATCAAGGATGAAACAGAGAGTGCTGCCACTGTCCTTGGGGATGAAACTCCCCAAAAGAGCAGCCCTTCGCATAGTCAGCACAACGACTGGAGCTTGCTGAGGCAGGTTCAAGAGCAACATGAGCGAGGCCTGGCCTCCGGATTCAAACGTCAGGAACTTGGTGTCACCTGGCAAAATCTGAGTGTCGATGTCATCAGCGCCGACGCTGCTGTCAACGAAAATGTCTTGTCACAGTTCAACATCCCCCAGCATATTAAAGAATCGCGCAACACACCCCCATTGCGCACCATTCTGAACAAGAGTCATGGTTGTGTCAAGCCTGGTGAGATGCTTTTGGTTCTCGGACGCCCTGGCTCCGGTTGCAGCACGCTGTTGAAGATGCTCTCCAACCGCCGTGGAGGGTTCAAGTCCGTCGAAGGTGACGTCCGTTTTGGATCGATGACCCCTAAGGAGGCTAGCAATTATCGGGGTCAAATCGTTATGAATACCGAGGAGGAGCTTTTCTTCCCAACTTTGACCGTTGGACAAACAATGGATTTCGCGACTCGCCTCAAGGTTCCCTTCAACCTTCCAAACGGTATCGACTCTGCCGAAGCCTACCACGCCGAAGCAAAGAAGTTTTTGATGGAATCAATGGGGATCTCTCACACCGAAGATACCAAGGTCGGCAACGAGTACGTTCGTGGTGTCTCTGGCGGTGAACGCAAACGTGTTTCGATCATCGAATGCCTCGCCACCCGTGGATCCGTCTTTTGCTGGGATAACAGTACCCGTGGTCTAGATGCAAGCACTGCTCTGGAGTGGACGAAGGCAATCCGTGCCATGACCGATACCCTAGGTCTGTCCACCATCGTCACTCTGTACCAGGCTGGCAATGGTATCTATGACCTCTTCGACAAGGTGCTGGTTCTTGACGAGGGTGAGCAGGTCTACTACGGTCCTCGGTCCCAGGCTCGGCCATTCATGGAGGAAGTGGGCTTCGTTTGTCGCGAGGGTTCTAATGTTGCCGACTTCCTGACTGGTGTCACTGTACCTACTGAACGCCGCATCCGCGATGGATACGAAACCCGTTTCCCGCGAAACAAGGACGCTCTTCGTCAGGAATATGAGAAGTCCCCCATTCACACCGATATGCTCTCCGAGTACGACTATCCCGACTCTGATTCAGCACGCCAGCGCACACAGGACTTCAAGGATGGCGTCGCGTTTGAGACATCCAAGCAGCTGCCCAAGAGCAGTCCTCTAACCGTGAGCTTTACCGAACAAGTCAAGGCCTGCATTACCCGGCAATACCAGATCATCTGGGGTGACAAAGCGACCTTCATCATCAAACAAGTTGCCACCTTAATGCAAGCCCTCATTGCTGGTTCCCTCTTCTACAGTGCCCCAGACAACTCAGGTGGACTTTTCGTCAAATCCGGTGCTCTTTTCTTCTCCCTCCTGTATAACAGTTTGCTTGCCATGTCCGAAGTGACGGACTCATTCGAGGGTCGTCCTGTTTTGGTCAAGCATAAGGGCTTCGCCATGTTCCATCCTGCCGCTTTCTGCATTGCTCAAATTACTGCCGACATTCCTGTATTGCTATTCCAGGTCAGCATGTTCTCGCTGGTCGTGTACTTCATGGTTGGCTTGACAACATCAGCTGGAGCTTTCTTTACCTACTGGATCTTGGTGTTCGCTACTACTATGGTGAGTTGAGTTCTCCGTGGTTGCTTATAACATCTGCTAACACTTTACAGTGTATGACCGCCCTGTTCCGTGCTATTGGTGCTCTTTTCACAACATTCGATGGTGCTTCCAAAGTCTCCGGTTTCCTCATCTCTGCTCTGATCATGTATACCGGTTACATGATTCAAAAGCCCCAGATGCACCCTTGGTTTGGATGGATCTTCTGGATTGACCCCCTCGCCTACGGCTTTGAGGCTCTCCTATCGAACGAATTCCACAACAAGATTATCCCTTGCGTTGGCACCAACCTCATCCCTCAAGGCCCCGGCTACAACGACAGCGCACATCAGTCTTGTGCCGGTGTTGGTGGTGCCATCCAGGGTAACACTTATGTCACTGGTGACCAGTACCTCAGCTCGCTCTCCTACAGCCATGCTCACCTCTGGCGCAATTTCGGTATCAATTTGGCGTGGTGGGTGCTGTTCGTGGTTGTCACCATCATCGCCACTTCTAAGTGGAAGTCCCCCAGCGAAAGTGGAAGCTGCTTGGTGATTCCGCGCGAGCGACTGGAACAGCACAACCAGAATGCACCAGTCGACGAGGAGTCACAGGTTCCAGAGAAGTCCAAGAAGCCATCTGCCGGCGATGCCCGTGATGAGAACAATATTGATAACCAGCTGGTTCGCAATACCTCTGTGTTCACCTGGAAGAATCTAAGCTACACTGTGAAGACACCCACCGGCGATCGTCTGCTGTTGGATAATGTCTACGGCTGGGTGAAGCCGGGTATGCTGGGTGCTCTGATGGGTTCATCTGGTGCGGGCAAGACCACTTTGCTGGACGTTCTGGCTCAGCGAAAGACTGAGGGTACCATCAAGGGTTCGATCATGGTTGATGGTCGTCCTCTTCCTGTTTCCTTCCAACGTTCCGCCGGTTACTGCGAGCAGCTCGACGTCCTGGAACCTTTCGCCACTGTCCGCGAGTCTCTCGAGTTCTCCGCTCTGCTTCGTCAAAGCCGAGATGTGTCACGTGAGGAGAAGTTGAAGTACGTCGACACTATTATTGATCTGCTTGAGCTGCATGACCTTGCCGATACTCTCATCGGTCGTGTCGGTGCGGGATTGAGCGTAGAGCAGCGGAAACGTGTCACCATTGGTGTCGAGCTGGTTTCCAAGCCCAGTATCCTGATCTTCCTCGACGAGCCTACCTCTGGCCTTGATGGACAGTCCGCCTACAACACCGTTCGTTTCTTGAGAAAGCTTGCTGATGTCGGTCAAGCTGTGCTCGTTACCATTCACCAGCCCTCCGCCCAGCTGTTCGCCGAATTCGACACACTGCTTCTGCTCGCCAAGGGGGGCAAGACTGTGTACTTTGGTGATATCGGTGACAACGGCACCACTGTCAAGAACTATTTCGGCCGTTATGGCGCCCCCTGCCCGGCCAACACTAACCCAGCTGAGCACATGATTGACGTTGTCTCTGGTCACCTTAGCCAGGGTCGCGACTGGAACCAAGTCTGGCTGGAGTCGCCAGAGCACGAGAAAGCTACCAAAGAGCTTGAACAGATTATTGATACTGCCGCCGCCAGTCCTCCCGGTACTCACGACGATGGACAGGAGTTCGCAACTTCGATCTGGGAACAGACCAAGTTGGTGACCACCCGCATGAGCAAGGCCCTGTTCCGTAACACGGACTATGTCAACAACAAATTTGCTCTGCACATCGGTTCTGCCCTGTTCAACGGCTTTTCCTTCTGGATGATTGGCGATAGCGTCGGCGACCTGCAAATGCGTCTTTTCACCATTTTCAACTTCATCTTTGTCGCCCCCGGTGTGATCAACCAGCTGCAGCCGCTCTTCCTGGAGCGTCGTGCGATCTATGAGCAACGCGAGAAGAAATCCAAAATGTACTCGTGGTGGGCCTTTGTTACTGCTCTGGTTGCCTCTGAGATCCCCTACCTCTGCATCTGCGGTGTCCTCTACTTCGTCTGTTGGTATTGGACAATCGGTGCCGACACAGCTTCCAGCAAGTCTGGCGCAACCTTCTTCATGATGCTGCTCTACGAGTTCGTGTACACTGGTATCGGGCAATTTGTCGCCGCGTACGCGCCCAATGCCACCTTTGCCGCGTTGGTCAACCCCCTCATCATCGGAACCCTGGTCTCCTTCTGTGGTGTCCTCGTGCCGTACGCGCAAATCCAGGAATTCTGGCGCTACTGGATCTACTGGCTGAACCCTTTCAACTACCTGATGGGTGGTCTATTGGTTTTCAATGTATGGGACACCGATATCAACTGCAAAGAGAGCGAGTTTGCCATCTTTGACCCGCCCAACGGCACTACTTGCATCAACTACCTGAGAGACTATATGGAAACCATTGGCGCACGGATGAACCTGGTGAATCCCGATGCGACCGAAGCTTGCCGCGTGTGTGAGTACACTCACGGCAGCGACTACCTGTACAACCTCAACCTGAAGGAGTACTACTATGGGTGGCGGGATATTGGCATTGTGGCTATCTTTGCGATTAGCTCGTATGCCTTGGTCTATCTGCTGATGAAGCTGCGGACCAAGGCGTCGAAGAAGGCCGAGTAGATTGGATGGGATGGTCGTGTTGGAGAGATTGAAGATTCTAGAACATACATTTCATAGACTTTAGACTGGTTTACATTGGGAGATTAGCAATTGCATTTTCACTACAAGTTATTTTCTGATTTCAGTATCTTTTCAGTCTGACGAGGCACTGAGTGAGTTCGTCAGCTCGTCAGCTGGTTTGACTGTTTTACGGGAGAACCCTTGTCATTGTCGTGTCGGGGACCCGCTCTGGAATAGCTCCAGAAGCCCAGGACGAGCATAAGTGGGGGTCAATGCGAATTAATTCAATCTCCGATAAAGACCTGACGAGCTGTTCCGACCAATTGAGACTGAACAACTCAGTTATACTCAGTCATACTAAATTGACCTACTGTTGTGAATGCACCTCGTGTTGCCGGGGGGTTCTCCGATGCCCGCATCAACCGGGTCCAGTCTCCGTTTTTGTCGCCCAGAAGCGTGAATCGATCAGTCTCGACTAGTCCAGTCCAATCACTCAATATTTGCGGGATCAATTTCCTCATTCATCGTGTCTCATCCCCACTATCTTGTGAGACGTTCAGTTCCATGTGCGCCCGCCATTCTATGCAGGGCTATCGCCATGAGTCACCGGAGGTCGGCATGGCATCCCGATGATCGGTTCAATCAAGATAAGAGACATTGATGACCCAAGGACCTGTCAGAAAATACCCAACTCGTTGACCAGTTACTGGAGTGAGTATACTACGTTCACTGCTGTCCTAGATGAAACATCCCAATCGTCAACAGTAATGGCCACATCCAAAACCACCACGATCATCACCACCCAGCCCTACCATCCATCACTCCCTTCAACACCCACCAGCCCATCCTTAATCGCTGGCCCAAGCAATACACACCACAACTACACATCCGACATCCACGATGAAGAATCTCCACCCCAAACAGCCTTCTCCATCATCGAACCCCCAGCCCAACTCTCCGCCATAACAACCCACACCACCCACATCCGGTCCCACGACACCGAAGAAACCTTCCCAGACGGCGGAACCCGCTCCTGGCTCGTCGTTCTAGGCTCCTTCTTCCTCCTCATGGCCAGCTACGGCATGATGAATTCCACCGGCGTCCTCCAAAACTACTTCGCCACCCACCAATTATCCACATACTCCACCAGCGCCGTCGGCTGGATCCCCGGCCTATTCACATTCTTCGGCTTAGTCCTTAGTGTCCAGATCGGACCCATGTTCGACCGGTACGGTCCAACGGGCATCCTCATCGCCGGGTCAGTCTGCTATATTGCGGGGCTTTTCATTCTCGCTGAGTGCAAGCTGTACTGGCATTTTATGCTCACGCTGGGCGTGGTGATGGGATCCGGCGCTGCATTGCTGAGTACCGCTGCGATGGCGGCGGTGCCGCAGTGGTTTGATAGACGGGTTGGGCTGGCGATGGGGTGGGCGATGTCTGGTGCCGGGTTGGGGGTGTGATGTTTCCGCTTGTGTTGAGGGCGGCGTTTACGAAGTTTGGGTATCGCTGGGCGATTCGGATGTTGGCGTTTATGGTGGCTGTGATGTGTGGGGTTGGGATTGGGTTGGTGAGGTCGAGGTTGCCGAGGGGGCAGAGTAAGTCGAGTATCAATCTGAGGGCGTTCCGGGATACGAGGTTTACTTGGTTGACGTTGGGGACTTTTGGTGAGTGGTGTGAGAAGGGAGTGCAGATGATGATGATGAAGATGATGCTGATGCATGGATAGGATTGGAGTTGGAAGTTTTCGCGGGACTGGGGTTGTATCCCACGTATGTGGTGATGCAAGGGTTCAGCGTATCAACCAGTGTGATTCTTCTCTCCATTTTGAACGTGTAAGTCAAGCATCCAGGGATATAACCCGGGCTAGACTAATATCTGTTCTAGTTTCTCCACGATTGGCCGCCTCATAACCGGGGTCATCGCTGATAAATACGGACGCATCAACACGCAGACGGGACTCATCTGCCTCGGCGCCCTCGCCATCTTCACCATCTGGCTGCCTTTCGGCCATACCCTGCCAGGGCTGTACATCTTCAGCTGCGTGTTTGGACTCGCATCGGGATCATTCTTAAGTCTTGCGCCGGCATGCATTGGGCAGATCTCGAAAGCAAGCGAAGTCGGGGGCCGATTTGGAATTTGTTATTCCATCGTGAGCTTGGCGTGAGTTTTTACCCTCATCTTGAGATTGACGACAAAGGAGATATACTGATTAACTCTAGCACTCTCATTTGCATCCCTATTGGCGGTGAAATGCTCGAGAAAGTGGGTAGTCGCGCAATGGTAGCCTACCTGGGGAGCGTATTAATAGTCGCCCTGGGTATGTTTGTAATGGCTCGTTGGGCGAGTCTGAGCTATCGATGGCGATGGCAGGCCAAAATATAGATTATTGGAAAGCAAAAAACTGGGATAAAAGCATTCATGAGGCATGAACACTGGGTAAAGGTGTAATATGATATTTTGATTCGATTTGAGAATATGATGGTATCAAGCATAGCATAGTAGCTGGAGCCATTGGTAGTGCATTAGAATAAGCAAATAGAGAGGCATAAACCACTCGAGAAGCAGAGAGTCTGCTCAAGCTCATAGAAAAATTAAACATGAAGAATAAATAGAGGATCGAGCTTCCAATCCATTAGTTCTGCTCGCCGCCCTGAGTTTTCGCGTATTCCTCCCTAAACCACAACCTCATTAGCATACTCCTCACAAAATAAAGCAACAGCCCTCGAATGACAACATACAAATGCTTATCCAACTCGGCCATATGTCTCTGCGACTCCTTCATCTTCTGACGCAACCGCTCAATCCTAAACATCACACAATGTTAATCACCCTCACAACCACCCCAAGATAGTAGACATACTTTTCCATCTCCAGCTGCCGAATATACATCGCCTCCTTCGCGGCCTCGCGCCGTTGGAACTGGTCCTTTCTGTGGTTGCATCGTCAGTAAATGCATGACGTCATAGAATTCCGGCCGGTCGCCGCGACTACTTACTCCGCAAGGAAGCCCCTCGCCTTGGGGGAGCCGGTGTCTCCTGCGCCCATGGTGGATGAAGTTGTGGTGAGAGGACGGAGGAGGAGGGGAGTCGTTGCTGAGGCACGGATGATCGGGCGAGAGAGGGATTGCATGATGTGCTGGAGCTGGATGTGGTGGTGTGGGTTGTAGCTTAGGTGGAGGTGGAGGTGGCAAGTGGAGGTTAGTCAGAACAATGCGGGGAAAAGATGAGGACGGAAGAACTGCCGATCGTGATGGGCGAGAAATGCTTAGTGATAGTTGATGGGATAGTACTTTGTCTGTCGGTTAGACCTGGCAGGAGCAGGTTATTTGAGAGTCGGAAAAGACAGCCCTTTATAGCCTGGTCGGAGCCTGTGGAAGTATATTTGAGTACGAAAGTACCTCAGACCCACGCAAGGCCCATTTGCAGGACTGGACGGGTCATGGACGTGGGATTGGTCCGATCACTTACTCTGGGGCCACCTGTCAGAGTAACCTTAAGAAGTTCCAGTCTACTATAGGCTTAGAAGTCTACTCATGTAGCGTCACTATCCTTGTGAAGGACGATCCTGTACATTAAACATCGGCGTACTACTCGAAAGAGTAGGTAGTCAGGTAGTCTAGGCTGACTGCGGCATGTAGAGGGCCACTTTAGACGAGTACGAACCGGAGTAAATGCCTACCGATCAAACTAGAGCATTCAGTTGTGAGAAAGATTTTGATCATGAATCAAACCTTCATTGATAACAATATAAAACATAATCCAGCACCATCCCATCCCTACAGCACATAGCGGAAACCCTTCTGCAAGCGCCTCGCAGCCGCAAGATCAATCCCCTCCATGTCAGCCGTAACCTGCAACCTCCGCAACTCCTTCTCCGTCAACTGCACATCCTCATTCTCCAACCTCTCCTGCCTCTTATTCAACATCCGCAAGTTGAAGTACATAATCACCGCCATCAACAGACCCAACACCTGCAGACCGATATTCACACCCATCGCAGTCCAGTACTTGGGCGACTCCGTGGCCACGTACGTATACGGGGTCCAGATACTGGCCGAGTTACCGATGGAGTTGATAAAGGCGTACGCAGCGGCACGCTTGGCGGGTGGGCGGGGGATGGCGTTGGCGATCCACGAGTACAAGGTGCCGTTTTGCGCGAAAACGAACATCATTAGGAAGAGGGAAATGTAGCGGGGCGCGAAGCCGGAGGTTGTGGAGAAGAGGATGAATCCGAGAATGGAGATGGGGATTGGGTAGACTAGGAACCAGAAGCGGACGCCCAATTTGTCGGAGGTGTATGAGTGCGCAAGGCTGTAAACCACCATGAAGATGTAGGGCGGGGCAACGAGCAGGAGCGAAATAGTGTCGCTGTAGTGCAGGGTCTTGGTCAGGGTGGGGAAGAAGTTCTGGAAGCCCGCAGCGCCGGTGATACACATGTATGCAACGGCCAGGACATAGGTCTTGATGTCGGTCATGGCAAGTTTGAGACCCTTCATTTGAGACATACCACCCCCCTCATCGATATCAGCCTCGGCGGCTTCGATAGCCAGGCGGCGTTCGGCGACGCGGCGCATCTCGGGGGAGAGCACCTTCCACGTCTCTGGGAAATCAGGGAGGACGAAGCAGATGACGATGCCGACGAAGATGGTGATAGAACCCTCAATGATGTACAGCCACTGCCAGGCTGACATGCCGCGGTGACCCCCGAGACCCTTCAAAATACCGGCGGCGATGAGATTGCCAAAGGCACCGCTCAGCAAGGAGCCAGAGTAGAAGATACTCATTCGGAAGGCCAATTCCTTCCTCGTGTACCACTTGGACAAATAAAAGAGGACGCCGGCGAAGAATGGAGCCTCTACAAATGGAAAGGTTAGTACAGGTGACAGGAGAGAGAGATACTGGCATTTTTGTTTGACGGCAAACTTACCAACCAGTCCGAGAATGAAACGACAAGCCACAATGGAGCCATACCCCTTGACCTGGCTTGTCAAAGCAGAGACCAATCCCCAAGCAGTGATGAAAGAGCCCAGATACAGCGACGGGCGGCCCATGTAGTTGAGCATCAAGTTACTCGGCACTTGCATCAGGATGTATCCCACAAACAGAATCGATAGACCAGTCTGGTACTGCGTGGGCGTGAGACCTAGGTCCTCCGTAAGACCCTGGAGCTTCGCAGCAGCATAATTGTTTCTATTGGCGGATTAGTTTCCCAACACAGATCTCCCAGACACTGCAAGGTCTCTTACCGGTCAATATAATTCAACAGGTAAACCAGCACGACCAGCGGCATGATAAGGGAATCGATCCGACGCAACAGTTTCTTCTCCAGGACTTTCTCTTCGTCCGTCAACTTTGCCAGATGCACCAGCTCTTCATGGGTCATCTCGGCCTTATCGCCCATAGCCTCCACGTCGGAGATGACACCCGTAGTTGGCGCCATGTTGTGTGTAAATAATAGACGTCTCTTTCCTCAATAGCGACCGAGAAATAAGAGCAGGAACCGATGTAGGCCAAGGAATTCTAGGAGGAATGAATTCTCAAACCGCCGCTAGTTACTTCCTCCGGGAGAAGGGGGGATGGGCACATCACTTTATGTCCCTGCAGGACGGAAGAAGGGAACCGTGTCACCGCGTGGTAATGCATGTGGCCAGGTCCCCAAACATGGGGGTAGAGAGAAACGGGATCATCCAAGTGGCGGCAGTTGGTGGACTGCGACCCATCGCATTAACCCCGTTACCCCATTACCCCGTACTTCATCTCTGGAAAACAAAGTGCGTGGGGGCCCGGGGTGACTCGACCAAGAACAGCCGGAGTCACGGCGGGAGAACCAATAAGCATACCGCAGTCATGAAGAATGCGGAGAGACACGAGGGTCAATGGTGTCATGGCTTCATTATTCGACAGTCCTCATAGGACGGCGCCCAGGACAGGGATCCCCCACGGTGGAGGCGGGAGCCATGGAGCTCGAATCCGCGAGACTTGGGACTCTCCTTTCAAGCCGAAAAGCCACTCAGATCTGGGGAAAGCTTCCTGGATACGCCCCCCGGTGGAGAGTATCCCCGTGTGGTGCGTGACCAGACCAGATCAGACCGTCAAGGGGGATCTTTCAGGCTGTTAGTAGACTGTGGTACACTAGTACAAGTTTGTAGTACTCTGGGAATGAGTGCGTTCGGAGTTCTTCCGTGCGTTGAGCGGTCAGCCCAGCAAAGTTAAACAAGTTAAACACCGCCATAGGACCGCGCGTGGGATTTGAGTTTGACTTGGTTGGTTTGAGTTTGGACAATTCGCGGGGTCTGGGGCCTGGAAACCGGGCCCCGAGGTTCGACGGGATCATGGACAGGAGTCGGGATCTTGTTTTTCGAGTGGCCAAGTATCACAAAACTGGTATAAAGCAGGTCGACCGCTATTCATCCAGTGGTTCCGCTGGTTTCATGATCGTGAAATTGAATAGAATCAAGTCTGGGGCGAACGATATGCTGGAGAGTTAACGCTGCGAGAGTTCCTTCGATGCCGAAACCTTCACCGTCGGCATCCGACCGCAACATGATAAACATTCACCACCGGAGTAAGCCACCTCCGACTCACACGCATGCAAGCCGCCATGCAGCAGCTTTCTTTCTCCGAGGTCGACTCCTGCCCAGCCATCGCCTGGTCTGATTGCTTGGATGGCCAAGTTTATTTCCGACCAGTAGCCCACTCAGGGGCTTTCGCTCTCGCACTTTCTCCGGGTGGATCTGGTATCAGACCACCCCAGTCGGTCTTTCTCCTGCGTTGTCACTGCTGGACACTCATAGGGTGAAAGAAACTGTGAGGACTGGCATTTTGTGCTCTGTGCTCTGTTATTGCAGACTACTAGTCATTGCTCGTTCTATAGGGAGGTCTGGCATAGCGTGCCGCGGAAATTCCCCAATGTTTGGGCATGCGAGGTACGCTTCTGAAGCAACTGAAAAGAACCAAAAAAGGAACACGGATCTCTCAACCTGGACAGAAATCCCGGGCGATCGTCTTGGCATTCTCGTACCCTCGCTTCCGGCCACATCGAGCTCGAAGCGATGGAGCTTCGTGCTCGCCAATATCATCTGAGACAAAGCGTAGAACTGCCAGCCTGGGTGACCTCAACCGATGAAGCTCATAGCTCCTGTGATTGGCATCGTCGGCTCGGCCGACATATCCCAGAAGTCTATTTGTTCAGCCGCAGTTCACAACCGCAAGGACCCGGACATTCCCAAGTCCGGGCGGCTGGGTGCTTTCTGTGGCGGGCTTATAGGCAGGGTTACCTCATTCGAGACTTCCGTGGAACCTCCTTAACACAGACAGGTCGGTCTCTAGTATACAGATTGGCATGGCCCCGCGGAGCTTATTCTTGACCCAACGAGAACCACCGACAAGCGGTCTAATCTATCTCCACAATATCTGAAGCTGCTAGTCGCTTACTAGCTCCTGCGATCCCATATTTCGCCCGATTCTTCCTCCGCCTCGCCTGGGCTGCTAATTTCTTCCTTCCAACACGCGAAAGGGCCAGTCTGGATGTCTTGATATCCCTGCGCGGTAGAACCTTGTCCGGTAGTGGTCTATTCTGTGGCCGTTGCTGCTGGAAATCCATCTTCCGCTTCATATCCTCTTGGAGCTGAAGCACCATCCCGCATGTCCTGAGATTGAGATTATAAATTTGGCGGAGTTGATGCCTGACTTGGTTTGCATCCTTCTTTTGCAAGGCAACGGCTTCTTCAGCTCGAGCACGTACTATGCGAATCGCTCGTGGTGGAGGGCTGGGTGCACGGGGCTCGGGGGTAGGTTCGCTGCACAGCTGCTCACGTACGGCTTCAGTTTCCTGAATTTCCGCGAGCTGGTCCCGTAGTGGCCGAATGATCTTCTCCGAGTCAATGGGCCAGATGCCACAATTGGCGAACATATCGCGGATGGTCAGTTCATTGAACGCAGCCCGGCGCGCGCTCATAACTTGTGAGAGAAACTCCTCGATATTCGTGGGCGTACTTTCCCCGTTATTGACTGGCGAGTGGAATAGTTCCTCATATTGTAGGAATGGTTGTCCGTCAAGTGGCTGAAGAAGCTCCCGAGCATGTGGCACAAGGGATAGAATGATGATCTTGCGTGCCTCACAGATATCAAAAAATTCAGGCGGAAGATGCGACTCGTGGCCATCTATCAAAAGAAGTCGCCTTCGACCTCTTGATACGCGGCCTTTGGTGTGTTCATCAAAATGTCGAATCCAGTGCATAGCCAGCTTGGGAGTAACCCAGCCAGTAGGTGAAAGCGCCTCACGGGCACCATCTGGCACGTCAGGCGAATCGTCCCACCAATCGAGATTGGTGTCGCCCTTGACAATGAATAAGGGAGGCACAGCAAACCCATTTGCTGCCACACACTCAATCGTGGTTAAGAACCCGCTCTTCAAGCGTGCAGCAGCAGACGTATCGCTGCCCTCAATATCCGTAACAACTCCCCTTCGCAGACCTCGTTGATGGAACTGAAAACCGAGCGACATATTGTAAATATTCGACGGACCGATATCATGTTCCTCGACCTTACTCTTCAGCTGGCTAAACCAATCCACAAAGACGTCCAAATGCTCATCTTTGAGTCTTTTGAGGTTCACACGCACTTTATTCGGATGCCGAAGTTCGATATTCATGCGCTCCAAGAAGCGATACGCCCACATCTTTGAGAGAAGCGCGCAGTCGCGCCCTCGTGGACCTCGACGTAGCAGATAGTTCCCAGTAATCTCGATCATCCCGCCGGTAGCAGCGATGTTCGCTTCATCGAGTTGGTGGCAGTATTTGGTCAGCGCCGTATCTTGTGCTAGTGTAAATCGATTTTTCAGCGATACGGGTACCCTTTGGGACAGGATACCAGTTAGACGATACTTGATGACATCGCGACGGAGGTCATATTTGCGAGACAGGGCACTGAAGTTTGGCTTTTCGAGGGTGCGAGCTTCAGCAACAGCTTGCTGGATACGCGCCTCGCGGGCCGCTTTCTCTGCAGCGCGTTCAGGGTCTTTGGGAGGCATGGAGTGCAGTTGGCAAAGATAGTATATTCAGCGCGGTGAAGATTGTGATGCGCAGGTATACATGTATCGAGGTTGAAGTGGATGCAACCTTGTACTTTGGAGAAAGTTGCATTTGCACTGGAGGAAGGGAGTCAACCAAACCAATTACCCCACTTGATCATGGACAGAGCAGAAATCAATCAGTTTCTTGGTGGTCGGTGACTTTTGATATGCATCGTGGCTAGGTTGACGCGACTGGACAAATACAGGAGATAAGGTCACGTGATATCACATCTGTAGGCGGTTGGCGAATTCGGTTCTCTCTGAGTCGTTAAATGAGAAGAAGTAAAAAAGAATGCGCTGCGGCTATGAAGCGAACGGGTGGTTCCAAAGATTAGGTTCTTATTCCACTGCTTCATCTCCAAACACCAACAGACTGGGTACCAAACACGTGACCATTAAGCCACGAGCCGGGTACGGGGAAACTTTCCTCCGCTAGAATTATAACCCCAGCAATTCACCAGAACTTGTCCCCGTTGCTCCCTCTTTCTTCTACACCGCCATATTCACCGTCCAGCTCACCGCCTTTTATCATGGGGGCTGATTCGGCATTTTGTCGGAAGCACGGCGCCGAGCCAAATTTAAGTTGGGTGCAGGCCAAAAATGCAGATCCACTCTGTCCTCAACGGTCGCGACGAACAACATCCGAGTCTCTCGTACTTTCGTCAATTGTTGACCCGGGGTTTAGAATTTCTCACATCATGTTAAACAAACGGTCATCATTACTCTGTACTTTGTACCAGATGTCGCCAATACGTCGACATACGACGGGCCTGGCAGGACCTCGGCAAGGGTCAGAGGGGCTCAGCCAGCCTCGTCAGGTCCTAAGGAAATGATTATCGTTGGCGTGCAGTGTAGTGAGAATTTGTCTGGAGGGCAGTTAATTGACCTGTCGCGAAAGAGTTCAACTTATGTACCATACTGCAGGAATATATAGACTAGTTGTCGTACGTCTCAAAGAGTGTTATTCTCAGTTGAGTTGATCATCCCACACTTCCCCTCTCTCTTTTCCAGACCTCCTCCCTTGAAAGTCATCTTGCCCTCCGACCCCATAACCGCCCAATTCCCAACTGTCAACCCCTCACTACCTCATTGAGCGACTGACAGTCGATGCATCCAATATTCCCACCTGCGTCACGCCAATCGCAAGGCTACTCAAGCGGGCCCCGGTCCCCGCGGAACCAGGCCCGCCAGCCACAAGACCTATCAGAATCTCCCGAAAGCTCGCAAGCTCCCCGCCAACCCGCCCTAAAACGCCTGGGTAGACCGTCACACTGGACCTGGACTGGACCCATCAGGTCCGGGTTCCACCACTCACCCGTGCCCCCCAAGCAACAGATCTCGGACACCCACACCGGAAATCTGGCTCCCCTAATTCCCGCAGCGCCGTTGGTTCACGATGTTTTCTCCCTCCTCCAGTGTCCCAATTTTGCGTCCCCATGGTCGGTGAATCGCGACAAGCTGCCTCCGACTCGCGAGCCAGGAAGGCTCCGAGTCGCCAGTCACGCTCCTGCAAGGTCTGTCGGGCCCGCAAGGTTAAGGTACGCGACACTCGAATCGAAGATGTGCTCAGATCGCGACGGGAGGGACCGTCCCTTCCCGGCCGTTGCACTGTTCCACTGTCCACAGAGGAAGGGACAGCAATATTGTCCAATTCAACGGCAATGTATAGCTGCGACACAATCGCAACATTGAGGAATTGGCATCGTCTGCGAACTTGAAAGCTAACTTCAATTTCCGGAAATCGTCTAGTGTGACCGTGTCAAACCCTGCCATGCCTGTTGCGCTCATGGCTATCCATCGAAATGCGTATATGAGAATGTGCCTGACGAAGAGGCCCATCCAATCAGCCAGGCCGAGGAAATTCGGAACCTTCGATCGGAGATTCGGGAACTCCGCGCTAGGATAGACGAAAGGAAAGATGGTACGTGCACTCGGACAAGGCTTTGTTCCTTGGTCGAGAACCACCCACTAACCCATTGATGCTGCAGGGTCCCAGACTGAGGATCTGGAGCGGCTGGACCAGCTCGAGAGCTTATTTGAGTCTATTCGATCCGCCCCGCTTAACGTGGTGGACTCGCTGGTGCGGGATATTCGAAGTGAGCAGAGCGGGCTGAAGAATGATTTGGTCAAGGTTGGTCCCTGGGAGGGCTATGAAGGTATGTCCAACGCGAGCAGTTTGATTCGTGATAAAATACTTACGTGGATCATGAATTTCTACAGCTTATGAGAAATATGGCTCTCCTGTCTCTGTCATTCCTATACGCAAGCATTCCAGGAATGGTAGCCCGGAAAGTAACTTTAATGATCCAATCTTCCGCGATGACGAAGATGCCGAATTTGCAGAGATCCTGTCAATAGAGGGATCAGACTCGTCCAGTTCATCCGGCACAATTTCTATAATAAATCTGCAGCGACCAGCAGTCGATGTGTTTGTGGAGCGCTTTGTGGACGCCTTTGCTCCCGAGGTTGACTCCAGACATGGCCGAGCAGGTGCAATACGCGCAGCTGCAGGGATCCGCATGTTTTCACCACTGATCTCAGATGCGTTTGAGGCAGTATCTGTGGCCTTCTTTGGTAGGTCTATCCAGAACAAGCAGATCGAAGCGTCTGGTTTCCGATTGTACCCGCGTGTCCTTCGATCCCTACAGGAGGCCTTGATCGACCCCGAGCGGTCAAAAACAGAATCTACATTGGTGACAGTAATTCTTCTACTTGCCTTCGAGGTGTGTGGTCCCTATTGGCAAAACATACGATGCAGCTCATTAATGACGACGGCAGAGTGTGGAACGCACGACGCAAAGCGGTGTCCCTGCTCATGTTCGAGGTGCAGTGCGCCTGATTGAGCATCGAGGCCCCGAGAATCACATGTACGGGGTTGAACATCTCCTTTTCACGGAGCTGCGTCCATACTGGGTAAGATTTTCCTTTTTTTTCTTTGCTCTGCACGTAATGTACTAATACGATTAGATTGGCGGAGCACTGGCGGCTCGCCAGCCCTCGTTCCTGGCCCGCGAAGAATGGAAGACCATCCCATGGGCGGCTGGAACAACTAAAAAAGACATTCTGCATCACCTAGTTGATATTGCGACCGAGATTCCCGGCCTGCTGGCACAGTCCGATTCATTCAAAGAAGCACAAGCTACACACACAATGGGCGCACAAGAAATGGCTGTCAAGCAAGCAGCTCTTTGGAATGGAATCACCGAGTGCACGGCACAGTTCCAGCAGTGGTATAGAGACTGGGTTGAATGCTTCCCGGAAGGACCAATTCAGGAAGTTGCGCAGACGGGAAATCAAGACTTCCCCATATTCAAGCGGCGTAACTTGCGTACGGGTGAGGTCTATGCGCCGACTATATTCTCCTACCCCAATCTCCTGCTGGCACAGACCATGTGCATGTACTTCGCCGTCCGACTCATCTTATCCAGCATCGATACTCGCCCTGAAGACCGGATCACGCCCATGGAGCAATATGAGTTTGGCTGTGGCATTTGTCGGACTCTGGAGTATTATATCATGACTGCACCGGGGAACATGATTAATCGTCTTGCCTTTCCTACTCGGGTCGCCTGGGAGGCCTTCCCTGATGGTGGTCCTGAACAAGCGTTCATGGTGGAGGTTCTGCATCTGGTAGAACGACGCCACGCGCTGGGTCTTTGGGGTAGTGCGATGGCTGAGCTCTCGGTGCGGGAGAATTCTCCGCTCAATGATGGTAAACTATAGTTGGCTTTCCTAGTTGGGTTTGTGATGTCAGATAGGCGAAGCATATGCATAATTCCCAGGCTCAGCAACGTCAATCACTAGCATTCCATTCAGTGTACTGTCACAAAAGATATCCCTTGAGCAATTTTAGCAATTGACTGCAAGACAATGGACCCTTTTCCTATTGCAGAAGTCAATGATGATATTATCCTACTTGTCTCAAACACATCCAATGGTTGGTCTCTCTCGGATTCCGTCGGAAGGCCATGAAAATCCGAACTGTGATCCCTCGCATCGAGATATGATGCATCGCGTAGGACGAACCAAACCACGAAGGCCACGAGATTGTCATTGGGTCCCCCGTGCAACATCTCCACTCCGCGACGATGCCGCTAAACCGCAGCGGGCTGTGGGGGCTAATCCTGCCCAAAGAGTTGACCAGTCACAGCCATCCAGCCCCAATCATCAATCGATAGTTCCAGGTACGGATGGATCCGAGCTGATCGCGCTGAAGGGAAAAAAAAAGGAGACAACCTCGGGCAGATCGTGACGGCCGCTGTCAACCAAACAATAAAAAGCCCCGACCTGACTCGTGTCAAGGTTCGATCGATTCAATTACTTGCATACCGTAATTGTCACCCATCACCCTCGGTACCGGGCATACAACCAAAGCCCACAATCAACAAGATGCCTTCCCTCCGCACAGTCCTCGCCTCTCTTCTCCTGGCAGCTTCCACAGCCTCTGCCACCGGCATCAACGACTTCTCCTGCACCTCAGACTCCAACCCCGTCGTTCTCCTCCACGGCCTGGGCGCCACGTACTACGAGGACCTGAACTTTCTACAATACTGGCTCCAAAACCAAGGCTACTGCACATACTCCCTGACCTACGGCGCCTACGATGGCTTCCCGTTCGTCGGCGGCCTAAAGCCCATCAACGAGTCCGCCCCCGAGATCGCCGCCTACATCAAAGAAGTCGTCCAAAAGACGGGCAAAAGTAAAGTGGATCTGATCGGCCACTCTGAGGGCGCATTCCAGTCCCTCTACGTACCCAAGTTCGAGGGCGTCAGTGGGTTAATCGATAAAATTGCTTCGATCGCACCGCCCACCCACGCGACTACCTTTGCTGGAATCTACGAGCTGGCCTACCTGTTCGGCAATGCGTCGCGCGCTGCAGTCGGCGACGTCTTGGATGCTGTGGGTTGCGGTGCATGCGACGACCTGGGCCCCGATGGTGCGGCCATCAACCGGTTGAATGACGGTACGCCCATCGTGCAGGAAGGCAACAAAGTGACCATCATCGCGTCCAAGTACGATGAGCTGGTTACTCCCCCCACGACGTCTTTCGTCAATGAGGACGGCGTTGCGAATCGCTGGATTCAGGATACTTGCCCACTGGACCCGGTTGGACATATCGGCGAGGCGTATGATCTGAATGTGTGGAATCTGGTGAAGAATGTGCTGGATGATACGCCCGATCGCAAGTTTGTGTGTCTGCTTGGGTCGCCTGGCAAGGCTTAGGCTGCGTTCTCGATTTAAGGGCCTCTGGCGGGAACCTGGACGATATACTTCTCGTATCTGTATATAAGTAATAGTTAATTATTGGACATATTGCATATTGCATGGTCGTATCCCTTGACCGTTGGGATTTTGAAGTGTAGAGATTGGGTTTGGACGCTGGGCTCGTGGAGATCGTTCTACAGTATTGCCTGCATTGTCCGGCATGAATAGATCGATCGTGTGTTCCGATCTGAGTAATCTTCAGCACGTTGGTCTCTGCAAGGCATACATGTAAGGCACTCAAGAGTAGAGTCAATAGTAAACCGCGAGTCAGCTCGCTGCTCTCGGATAAGAAAGTGTAGTTAAGTCTGAATCAGGCTCATGTTCTACTCTGGACTCCTGGCCACCCTTGACTTGAGTCACATCCAGAGCGCATATTGCATACCACGAACATGCTTCTTCAACGCGCCACCCCGAACATACTAATGCTACTGCGTGTCAATACACCACCAGCACTCGAAACTTCACGATCCCATGGGACACAAGGTCCGGAACCCGGCAAAGCCCGCGAAGCTTCAAAGCGACGAGCCAATCACTACACAAGTAACCCACACCCTCGCCACTAAAAAGAGTATCGCGAGGGTCAGAAGATGGGGATGAAAGGCAGCAACATCGGATGATGGCGTTTCGTTCATATTCGATCGAGAACGATCCAATTGGCTCCAGCTAAGCTTGCCTAAGCTCGCCCAAGAGGACGATTATTACGGCGTTTCAGTCCTGGAGGAAAACCAACTGGACTAGAGTTTTGAGGAACATTGTATGGACGAGGGGAGGGGTTGCCTGGCACAAGCAGAGCGAGGCGGGGGTCGGCGACTCGGAAGGTCACCTTATTTCTATATCCAATACGGAAGATTCGGTACCCAATAATACTTTCGAAAGAGGACAAAAGACATGTGGCTCTGTTCCGTCAACAGACTGGCTCGACTATAACAAGCGCATCTTCGCGCCCCTCCAACTGCCCCTTCGTCTAACAGTACCTTGTACACCATACCTTCCATCCTCCCAACACCCACACCTTCCTCAATCTCATTAACAGCCGACCGACCATCATGGGTTTCTTCGATAGTACGCACTTCAATCATTCTCATCGCCCCTCCTATATCCGCACCAGTGGATAGGTCCCCAGCATCCAACACTAACCGCCCCCTTCTATAGACGATTGCGAAGAGTACCGTCATCACGAGCAGATGACCAACCGCCCTCACGAAGCCAAGTGGTGCCGCCGCCTACGAGGCCATGAAGGCCTACGAGGAGCATGAGGCTCGCAACGGTATCCACCCACACCCACCTCGCAGACTCTCCATGCAGTATACAGGATCAACCCACTGACACATGCATGTTGTCCCTGTATCTAGGCAAGATTGACGACCACGCCAGGGCCAAGGAGGTCGTTGCCGGACTTATCGGCGCCTTTGTCGGTCGTGAGGTCGAAACCAAGGGTCTGGACTTCATTGACCGGGAGAAGGCTAAGCGTCATGCTTGGGAGCGTGCCGAGGAGTCGATGGGTAACAGTGGTCGCTGGTAGAATGGATGCAGACCACTGCTGTGATACTTTTGTCAGGCATGAAGCCTTCCAATGGAAGTGCCCACTCTTGATGTACCCTAGATATCGATGTGAGATACGTGATGATGAATGAATGAATGATACAAGCTGGGCTTCTTTCACAAGTCCCCCATTCGCCCCTTGCATGCTCGAACTCGAGGCAAAGAAATGCTCTGTAAACTACGGGTAAGGCCGAGCTAGAGATACCTGCGTTCTGTTTGCTGCAGGGCTGGTATCGGCTTCCCACTGATCTTGGATGCGACTAGCTAGTTTTAGTGTCGGCGTATGCTGAGCCGTAATGCAGCATGCCCTTGATAGGACCGGGTACATACTTGTATGCCAGCAATCAGCTACACTCGCCGCTCAACTCTTGTTGCTCAATTGAGTAAAGGAGAGTGTATGCTTTCGGCTTACAATTTTTGCCCTATTCCTAAACTAGGATCAATTGCTTTATAAAACCCAGAGTCGTCGAATCGTTGTATGTGGGTCAGTTTTAGGACATAAACAAACTGCCAAAAACGGTCTGGAGGTTGTTTAATAGCCACCCTAGAGAACCACTATTTGGGCATGCAGCTCAGAGGGTTTGCACTAAACCTGCGGGGGATCGGAAAGGCAAATCCCTCTACTTTCTGAGTCTACGTAGCGGTCGTTTGCTCAGAGATTATGCATAAATTCCAATTCTTCATACAATATCATACAATTAGCCTTGCGAGCTGCATTTATCCCTCCTACATACCTGTATTCCAACAGATCTTTGAACAGCTCCTTCTATATATCTGGCTTTGAGGGTCGAAACTAGCTCAATACTCAGGCATACACTACAGTAGAGTTCTTCATATAGCAGTAACAATCCTCGCGGACGCGCACGAAGCTGTATGGATTGATCTTGGCAGGTTGTTTGGAGGTCATATAAGAACCTTTCCATGTCATGATTAGTATATGATTTTAACCTGTCCAGCAGTCAACCTAGGGCACCACTGGTTACTGTCATGTAGAACAGGGGAGGTGGTCACTTAGAGCCAACGATCAGTGCAGTCCGAAGCGGAGCACAGACTGACAGCTCACATGCATCCTCCACCGCCCCGCACACTTTCCGAGACCGCTTTGGCACATTCACGAAATGGACAGATAATATTCCCCCTTCCTACCTTCTCTTCTACCTCGTCGGAATACATGGTATTTCCACACCCAACATTCGAGATTCGCCGACACAAATCCTCCCGACAATGTCTGAGGACCCGTCCACCCCTTACAACGGACCCAACATGGCTAATGGCACCGTCCCGGACGACCAGCTCCGCCTCGAGGCAGCTCGAAAACGATTGAAGATTGACCGAGCCACGAGCGAAACCGAATGCCCCCTCGACGCGCAAATTCGCCGCATGACAAAAGAACTGGAAGAATTGAAGAAGCAGAGACAGGTTGCAGAGCTGCAGGAGCAAATCTGGGCAGAACAGCAGCTATTGGAGGCTTCTCGTCACCGTTTGAGTATTGCAGCTGCGTCGGCTTCTCCGAAGAACAGCCCAGCTCCAACAACAGCTCCAGCCATTATATACAGCCCCCAGACCGCTGTTGTGTCTCAACTAGTGGCGGTTCAACAAATTCAGCACCCGAAGCCGCCAGTCCAAGCTTCAATCGTACAAGCTCCGAGTACGCCTGCTAGTATGAAAGGCAAGGAGAACAACACACCAACTCAGGTCCAGCCCTTCCGAGTCCCTGCCGTCGGCGATGACAGTGGTATGACGACTTCAACATTCACCCAGCGACCGATTGCGGTTTCAACATCAGCTCCGGAGAACCCGAGTCAGCAGCAACAGAAGGAACAGAACACACACCAACAGACGGCGCAACAGCAGCAGCAGCAGCAGCGCCCATGGTTTGACCGTCCACGCACGCCAGACGCTCCTGCCGACTCCACCCTTCTGCAGCTGCCGCCGTATCAAGGACTAACCCGGGAAGAGTACACGAATTTCATTTCCACTCTGGAAGCCCACTTCACCAAGGCACCTCAATACTATAGCAAGGATGTAGAATACCGAAAAGTCAAGATTGGCTTAGAACACCTTATCCCTGCACTAAGGGACGCTTGGTATGCTCTCCTGCTCACAGCGACACCTGGCAGAATTTCCGCATATATCTTTTCAAGGCGGTGGTGCAAAATATGAAGCCACCTGTGCAAGACCAACGGGCAAACATGCCTCAAACTCCCACGTCGAATGTTGAAAAGGCCCAGACGCTGATTGCGGCCGCGAAACAACCGCCACAGGACCCAAGAAATACGCAGAAACAAACTGCCAAGCCAGCTCAGTACCCTTCGCAAGCCCAGGCTAACGCTTCCCTGCAAAACGGGGTGTCACAAGCTCCCGCACCAGCAGACTTCACTTCATACGCAAACGTCCAACAGAAACAGAGGGAAACCGTCCAAAGCTACTCCAGACGCCTGCAAGCCTCAGCTCCCTTTAACAAGGCACTTGGACTCAATGATCAGATGGGCTTTCTGAAAAAGGGAGTGGTCTCATCTATCCGAAACCGAGCACATCGCCCATTCTCTTACTACAAAACCTATGATGAGTACGTTACCTACCTGCAGGATATCGAGGATACCCTCCCGCAGCGACTAGCGGAGCTAAATGGGGAACCTCTGCAAGGCCAATCCAAGCCTGGGTCTAGCCGAGGTCCCATTTCGGACGAAAAGAATGGTAGCCAGATATCTCAACTCTCACCATCGAGCGGCCCTAGGGGGCGCTCACCTGCCCGTGCAGCGAAAGCTCAAGGCAAAAATCATCAGGTTCCCCACGACTTACCAGCCCGAGCGGAGAATGGCCCGACATCCCCAACTGCGCGCAAATCAGTGCCGCATAGAATGTCGTCGCCGGTTCCACCGGAGCCAGCAGTCAAATCTACCGATGGCAGAGACTGGTGGGCCTGCCGGAACTTCATTGGCGCTTTGGAGACTCACTTCAAAAAATACCATCAATACTACACCGAGGAACGAAAGGTAGCCACCGGTCGGCGTTACATTGACTCCTCTCTGAGGGGGAATTGAACGCCTTCGCCAGCAAGCGTCCCAAGATGACATGGTTTGATATCTGCGTCTTCGTCATTAACCAATCTGCGCAGAGCTTCACGCCTGATGACGCAGCCTCTCGGTATATCCGCTGCGTTCAGCGGCCTAACCAGAGGATTCGAGACTTTGCTTTATGGGTTCAGCAATTTGCGCCGCACTATCGAAGACCTGGCTGGGATGAGCTCAGGCATTTGTACGATCGTGCCTCACCTGCTATCAAGAACCGGGCGCGCAAGGATTGGAAAGATTTCTCCTACTTGGCTCCCTTTGTGGACTACCTGGAAGCTGTTGAAAACACTTCTCCAGATACACCAAAGGACAAAGGAGCCGACAATACATTGTTTATGGTGCCACGAAAGCGGGGCCGGGAAGATTGATGTGGGGACAAACAACCTGGCTTTGGTGGCAGCCGGGTTTATCTTTGCCGAAATCTTATATTGTAGTGGAGGAAACATGTTATTTCTTCATCAAATACAGGAAGGTCATTGGGTGGACTAACAAAAGGCTCTCATTCCAAACTTGGCGGGATTCGTGGCCAATTGGAATAAATGGAGGCTGAATGTTCCGTTGCTATTACTAGAGATGATTAGCCATTTCTGAATCATGTTTCTTGAGATGAGGTTGTGAGACCATTTCGGTAGGATTCGAGCTAGCTTAGACATTATCGAACGAGGGGGAACCTATGAGACTGAATACGATACGAGCATAGAACCGAGTAGAAGTTCCTCGTTTTAATCGGCCATGAAAGAATTATCGAACCCTTTATAGAAAAGGCCTGTTGAAGGACCTGTTGAATCATTATTGATACGAATACGCCGAATACCAGTAGTATAAACAAATGGTCATTTGGACAAGACTGCAATGCGTAACAAATCTCATCTGCAATATTATCTCATTTGCACTCACGTATAATTTTCATCGGTCCTGCTCTCAGAAGTACTCAATTTCGATTGGGCATTTAAGTTCACTACTAATGACAGTGGGATTGATGCTGTATGGAAGGTATCTATTGCATGGGCTATATACGTCATTCAGGTATGTGCCCAGTCGCTGGCATGTCATAAGTTCGGAAATAATATCAAATGCAATGATCCCAAGTCTTCAAAGCTTCACCTGGTTCCGATCCTGTGGCCCAGAGCAGCAAGATGGCTCCGGGTGCTGGGTGGACTGGTTGAACGACTGAGATGACTGGGGAACGTCCAGGGCCGGGTTCTTAGTGAAGAAACCGTCCGGCTTGAGCATGACGCTGACACGCTCCATGGGCATCACAGGGAAGTCTTCAATGCGAGGGTTGTGGGTAAGACCGAATGCTGCAGACTGTGTGAGGCAATGTTTCTTATGTGACCAGGATAATTGGGTGGTAACTTACTGTGCCAGAGAACAACATCTTCATCCTCCACGCTATCGTTGCGTGCCGCCCACACTTCAACTCCCTCGGACTTCTTGCTCTGGTTGGTGAACTCGCCGGCAGCAAAGAGCTCATCGTCTTGGTACTTGGTTACCCAGATAGGGCGCGTGGCGAACTGCGCGCGCTTCAAGCTGAAAGACTTGGGATGGGCCAGGATCATCTGGCTTGGGCTGGTTTGCAGCTTATAGGCGATGGGGTGGTGGGTTATGGGGTTGATGATGTTATCATTGCGGATCTTGAACACACGGTGCTTCTCAACGCTGGTCGAGGCGCTGCCGCTCTTCTTGATGACATTCTTCTCGGTAGTGTATCCGACCAGCCAAGGGTTTGAGTCGTCCTCGGGCATGGGAACACTATCCTCGTAATAGATAGTATTCTTGTATCCGTCCAAAGCAGGATCAATGCGCAGTGAGAACATGTGCTGATGGTAAGGGGCCATCACTCCGGGACCCACATTGGTACCCCATGGCACGGTCTGGCCTTCGGTATTATCAAATGGAACGGTGGACAAAATACCCGTCGCACGAACCTCAAGCTCAATGTTTGCAGCTTGGTCGAGAATGAATGCAAAGATATACTCATAGTTGGCCACAGTACAGATCATCTGCACCACGAGCTGGCGGTTGCGAACGACCGTCGCAGCGTCAGTGCGGTAGTTAGTGTGCTTGTGCTGCAGGCCGTTATCCTGCTCGTGCATGCAAATTACATTCTTTAGTTGAACAGGTTCGCCCTTGGAGTCGGTGCGGAAACCATCGAAATATTTGATATGCCCAAGACAGTCGCAGCCAAGGGAGAGTTGGTTTGCTGTGATGCCGAAACCAACGTCACCAACATCAAAGGCCTGCTTGCGGTGGTAAGGGGCACGGGGATCTGATAATGTTAGCTATTGGTCACTCCGATCTAATCAGAGAAGAAGACTTACCGCCATAAGGAACGGTCATCTCTGAGAAAGACAAGCGATAGAAGGTGTTGCGGCCATCATAGGTCACATTGTGCAGGACTAAGCCCTCGCGGTTGTTGAAGCCGACACGGAAGCGCCACTTTTGCCATGAGACCGCATTGCCAATGACGTTGAAGGAAGCACCTTCCGGCTGTTGCACGATATATGGCTTCAAATCAGTGCGCAGTGGCTCATCAAGCAGTTCATGGGCGTACTGGACTGTGGGCACCTGCTTCCATGGCTGTGTCTCCGTGGTCTGGGTATCGGCTCCACCAGGGAGATAGTCCATCCGCACCAGCTCACGAGTGATGCCATCGAAGACAGGAGAAAACTTGCAGGGGGTAGAGTATTGGTTGTTTTGTGGGTGGTCAACAGCCACAATGTAAATATAGCATTGGAACAAGCGCCGAGATTCATTGGCATCCTCAGTGCCATAGATCCACGGGTCCATGCAAACTGTCACTCCAGCTGGAAGTTTCAACTTTTCAATCTCCGCTTGAACAGCCGGGTGGCTCAAGCAAAGTGCCTCAATCTCCATCATCTCATCAAAATCCAGGGGACCTTGGACTTCCTTAGGAAGCTCCTTTGCTGACACAACGGACTTGGTGTCTGCGTTCAAAATAGCCTTGTAGAAAGAACCATTGTCAAGGCGATGGAACAAGGCCATCAGCAAACGCGCCGGTTTACGAGGACGCGGCTTGCCGAGACGCTCAGCCTCGAGATAGGGAATAGTCTCATGCTTGGTGGGCTCCTGGAGATCAATGCGCTTGTACCGCAATTTGACACCAGGGAAGGCGGCCTCCAAAATGCGAACAGCCAGCTGGATCTCCCCAGGGGTGATGGGGTCAAAGGGGTGAAGAGAAGACATGATGGCGACGAGGTTTGACAATCAGGCAAAGGCCAAAGGGCGACATTGAAACATTTTATGTGATTCTCCAGATCCTTGGGCCCCCCAGGCACGACCATCCTCTTTTGGGCAAATCTTTCGACTAGGCGGGGGTTCGCCTGGCTCATCCGATGATTCGCTCAATTTGGTCCACTTTGGGCGCATCTTTACCTAAAAGCAGTTTAGCGCATCAAAATTGACAAGATGAGGCCCCCGATAGAGCAGAGGGCTCTTATTGGCTCGTCTCCAAGGGTTTTGGAGTAATCCCGAGGGCTCACCTCGTATCGATTCAGTAGTTGCATGGTGAATGACCGACCGTTGATCTGCCGAGCGTAAGTTTAGCTGCTTGAGGTATAAGGATCCGTAGAAGCTTTCGCAGTGTGTGTACAAGACCATTGATACGGGCTTGAGGATAGATTTTGTCCAAAAAACTAGCGTAAACGAGGACGACCTCATGCGACCGTGGTGGCGACAGGCATCGACATATATCACCGCCATCATCAAGGGGGAAAGCACACAAATTCGTCAGTGAGCCTGGAGCCCAGCTGCAACTTACCTAGGTTTACATAGGCGCCGGAGATATTTGTATATACCTCGATATTTTTGAAGATTATTGATATGTGGATATTGTTATTGTAAGGGTAGAGTTGAAAACATGATGGTGATGAATCCTAGAGACTCGGATACCGTAGGAAGTCAATACTGTTGTCACTCAGGTATTCGATGGCTTTTAACTCGAAAGCACTACCCAGTCCTATCATTAATCTCATCCAACTTCTGTACATATTGATTTCAAGAGCCCATGCTCTGGTGATGGAGAGGCCTGTCGTCATTATGCGCCTGGAATGTCCCACGCAGGGGGCCCTCCGGGCTGCCAGGGGGCGCATCTACTACCCACCGGTTCCTCTCGCTGCAGACTTGCTCCCTTTTTATATTGTTACTATTACTTAATGCAGCAGAGGCCTTCATGGTATCGCTCTTTGAGTAAAGAAAATTTGATATCATCTAGGAGTAAACCATGTAGTTGTGTCGCTGACTCCTTGGCGGCCCTTCATTCAGCCACCGACAGTAGCCAAGGCGGGAAGGAATTCAGGGCTGCTACTGTCCACATCAGATCCCCTTCCTAGATCAAACGCGAAATGAACATTCCTGATATTCTGTGGGCCAGATCTTTTCGTGTCAAGGTATAAAGACCGATCGAGTCTGCTTTCGCGTGGCGGACTGCACCCCCTCAACACGACAACAACAAGCCGACAACCTTAATCGACCATCTTTTAGACTTGCATTGGAGCGATAACTCGAACAGCGCGCTGTTGATCTCAATTATACTGTTATCTTCTTATCACCACTATCGTCTCTTCATTCATTCTGTCTTTCTACTTGACATTCAAATGCGCTGGAGCATCTCTATACCGCTTCTTGCGGTTATAGGAGTGGACGATGCTTTCGGATACCACCATCACCATGAGAGACATAACCATGTCCATATCAAACCTCATGCTCAGCAACTTGAGCCCAGAGATGTCAACAAGGTTGACCGTGTCCCGGCGGATATGATGGTCGAAATCCGCACTATTACAACCACAGTCTACGAGGATTTTCAACTGACAACCTCCATGGATCCTACAACTACGACTATCTTCACGCAATTAATACATGTCCCAACAAATGGCGCAGCCGTGCCAGTACCTGCAGTACTCAAAACATCGAAACCGGAGTTGATTAATACGATGCCAACCAACTCAATGCCAACTGGCTCGATACCGAGCCAAGCACCCACTCCTGTCAACATCGATAAACCCTTACCAGCCCAAGACGAACAAACAACTACCATCGACATGACTAAGACAGTAACGGAAATTCAAACCGTCAGTGGTAAAACTAGCATCGCCAGCGCGGTTCCATCCTCGGCGAATACAGCCACCAAAATAAGACCAGACGTGGTGCCGCCGGCACGTCCAGCACCAACAGCTCCAGGCCTTCTTCCATCGCTTCCACCACTCCCAGAGGTGCTCGAAGACGCACCTAAAGATGTCGTCTCGGAACTCCCTATTTCAGCCCTCCCAACCTTGCCATTGGACCAAATCCTGAATCCCAATGGACTTGCAGTGCCAACGAACCTTGCCTGGACCGAGATCCCCAGAGATGGATATTTTGCGGTCAAGCGCTTCGGTGGACGCAGCAAGCCGTCGGGAACACAAATCAAATATCAAGGTAATGTCGGTATTCCATGGGGAAGCAATATTATATCCGTGAGCCCGACCGAGGCACATCGGTACAAATACGTCGTTCGCTTCACTGGCTCCAACTCCCAGCCCTGGACAATCACGATTTGGAATAAGATCGGACCCGATCGTAAGATGGATGGGTGGTATGGCCATTCTGCATTGACCTTTGTTCTCGCACCCGCTGAGACGCGGTATGTCGCGTTTGACGAAGATTCCGAGGGAGCTTGGGGTGCGGCACCTGGGATAAAGGGTCTTCCGGTGGACAATTGGGGTGGATTTACGTCTACCTGGGGAGAATTCTCTTTCGGGGATAGAGAGAATGATGGTTGGTCTGGCTGGGATGTTTCGGCTATTCAGGCGCAGATTGCGCATCATGATGTGCAGGGTATGCGTATTTGCATGGCTGACGGAAGGGGCTGCTCAGTTATTACGCCACAGGCGAGGAAGGTGGTTAATGCTTATACTGAGTCTGAGCGACATCATGATGGGATTGGGGGCGCGGCTGCGCCAGGACCTGTGCGGTTGGTGGTCGATATTGATTACCGGGAGTAAGAATAATGTTAAGTATTTAATGTATAGACAGAGTCCAAGTGGGGTATATTTGTGTTTTTTTGCAGCGTTTTCATTTTATACCCGAGTTTCCTTACATCACATTCGTCCTCGATGAGCTAGGACTGTTCCCACAATACTCAAGATTTAAGACATGGCGGGAATGTTGATGGTGTCAATGACCCAGACCTTACCACTCTGGCTCGATTTCAGTCCAGTGTAGGAAGCGCCCTGAGCAGTGGCAATGGTGCTGCCGAAAGTGGTGTCGGCGGAGGCCAGAGTGATGGTCGTGTTGAGGTACTCTTGGGCGGCGATAGTGCCAGTGCAGTCGCTGTCGCACTCAGTTCCGGTACCGTAGCTATGACGAGTAAGTATGCAGAATCTCATAGCAATAATTCAATATCACCTACCCGGTCATGTAGGGGCCAGAGGCAAGCGAGTATGTAGAAAGGAGGGCTCCGGTGTCGGCGTTGGTGACAGTCCTGCAAGAAGTCAATATCATATCAAGTCTCCATCTCCAATATGCAACATACTGCTTCCAAGTCTGTCCGTCACTCTCCAAATTGTATTCAATCCGAACCTTCTCGTTCCCACTGACCGGGCTCGCAGTGCCATCTAGCTGGCCGAAAGACCCGAACACACTGGCGCGAACACACCACTGGCCAGTGGTGGCTCCACACCAAGAGTTATCAGGCCAGCTTTCCAAGGTGGTCTGGATCAAGTCTCCAGTACCGTTGGACATTCCCGGCCAGAGGAAAAGCTCACCATTCTGGGTGGAAGGAGCAGTACCAGGAATGATGGTGGTAACTGCATTAATGATAGTCGACTTGGACGGGCCTAATGAAACACTGCCTCCCCAGCTATCACGCTTGGTATGGGTGGTGGGCGAGCCAAAAAGGGCAGCATTGACAAGACCAGTGCTGGTCAGAAGAGAAAGAAGAAACTTCATGGTAGATAGAGTTGATCGCGAACCCAGTTCGTGAGTTTAAGTCGAGCACTGCTGATCCTCATATTCTCTGGGTGGACCACTGATATTTATGCAACGAATGCAGTGCAAAACTCCTACTTTAGTGGTGGAAACGGATAAATTTGTCGTACCCGGGAAATAAGGTGTTGTTTCACAGTAAAACACCTTAAATATAAGCGCCAGCTAGTTGAAACGGTGGATCCCCGCACCGCCAACATGGTGATTGACGCATTAATTTCTACCAGACAGCAACCGGACAATTCTACTAACACGGAGCAGTCTCCGGTTTGTGGATCATATTCTTCAACAAGCCTCACGGAGCTTGTCTAAGCTTGTGTCTAACCAGTGGAAACGTGAACAACATGAGATTGAAGGAGAGTTGGGGCGACCCTGTTCGTTAGGGCCATTCTGACCCCTGTCTTCACTATAAACATTCTGGTCTTGCAGAAACGGATAGAGCCCCGAAGCCATATTCAATCACCAAGTCAATGAGTCCACCACTGTCTGAACAGCGCTGAACCCCTGTCAGGTATGTCATCAGTGGGGACGGTTTTGATTCCTAATTTATTCCAGATAGTCTCCATTGCTCTCCTTGTGGATGACATCAAACAACGGCTTCGCGCTGAACCATCCAGCTAGCGGCGTCCCAACAGTCTTGTATGTAAAGGCAGCATCCGCATCGTCAATCTTTACCGTTTGACCACCTCGACCGGTTGCCGCAGCATCGGCGAGTAGTTGTGCATGGCAGCATTTCTCCAGACTCACGAACCAGAAAATAGTCTCTTCAATACTCTTGCCAACGGTGAGGAGGCCGTGGTTCTGCAGCAGTGCAGCTTTCTTATTACCGAGGGCTGCCGCAATGTTCCTGCCTTCTTCCTCGGCGAGGACGACGCCGTTGAATTGCTTATATACCACGTGGTCCTAGTTCCGACCGTGTTATTTTCTCATTCCTGAGGAATGGTTGGTTTGGGATGTCACTTACATCATGGAATGCACAGGAATCCTGTGAAATGATATCGAGCGGGCGACCCAGCGAGCAGAATGCGCGCCCGTAGAGACTGTGGCTATGAGCTGCGCACAGGACATCCGGCCGAGCAGCGTGAATAGCAGAGTGAATCATGAATGCCGCGGCATTGAGCATGCGGTTGGGTCCTCCATCGATGACCTTGCCTGAGTGGTCGACTTGAATCAAATCCGACGCCTTGATCAAAGAGAAAGCAGTACCGAAGGGATTCACCCAGAAAGTCGATGGATCCACGGGGTCGCGAAGGGTGATGTGACCAGCAACACCTAATGCCATAGAATGTGAGAACCTCCGCTTGGAATATATGTGCGAGAAAGTGTATCATCCATACCCTCATCGTATCCATTCTTTCCGAAAATCCGGAACGCAGCAGCCAGGCGGCCTTTGAGATACTCTCGCTCCTGCATCTTATCTTCAAACTTGGGCATGCTTGGCATCTGCATCTTGACTTTGGCCTTTTCGGCGCCTGCCGCTTGGCTCGACTGCGGAGCCTGCACGGCAATGTTGGTAACAGTCTCTGTTGCTGTTGGGGGAGCCATGATGAATTCTTGCCGAGTGATGGTGAATGATACAATTCGCGCTGTGGTTGTGAGAGTTAGTGAGTGAGAAGGGATTGCTGATGAATGATGGACTCAGCACGCGGGGTTAGCTGATTATCATTGGAACCAGATCGGACGGATCCCAGCCGAGGTCCTCCAGTTCTCCGCAGCAGATGTGTTCCCCCGCCGGCCAGTTCTCCGGTCAACAATCAGAGTTTGTGGGGTACCTGCCCGAGGTTATCCTCTGTAAACCACGCGTTGGTAGGGCGATTGTCAGATAAATAATCATGATTTGAGGCCCGCCCGGGATTCGAGTCGTGAATCCCGATGTCGGATGTCTTCCAGCGTGCTCTCTGTAATGAAAGGGAAGCCTTCTGCATACTCACCGAGGAATCCGACATAAGCAGCAAAAGCTAGTTATAGTAGTTAGTTGCAGGCGGCACAAGTTGCTTAGATCACCGAAGAATCCAACGTAAGCAGCAAACGCTAAACTCCAGGCAGCACACGCTGCTTATATTCATCGAGAACACAAGTGAAGTACGTTCGATTCAATCGCTCGCTATTGGCACAAATTCATGAAAGGTATCACGCTTTCGCTTGCTCTACATAAAAATCCCCTCTCACAATGTCCATATCTTTCGACCCGTCGGCAAGTGGTGGAAATCCAACGACATTCACATACAGACCTATCACAAGATAGCATCATCTCTTCGTAAGTACTATGTGTCCAGTCACAGCTGGACAGGCGAGAGAAATCCCAGTTCGACCTCAGCCATCAGTGCCTCCATGAGCTTTCGATCAGCACAGTTTAGATCTTGCCCCTTGACTTCTCCGCGAGAACCGACCAGCGGTTTTAAGTCCGCCTCGCAGAGAGTGCCAGTGGCAGGGAGTACCCCAGTCTGGAAGTAATTTCGGATAGACTTTGCGACGCATAGTGAAGGTGCAGCGATGGTCGTGTGCTAATCGTGATTTGAATCAGTTCAAGAGAGGCTTTTAGAACCGTAGAGGTATAACTTACCCCTTCAGAATCTTGTTCCAGTAATACAGATCCGGGAAATTGCTTGGACATGTGTTTCGCGCTGGCTGGTTTCAGTACATACTCGGAATTGTCATTGCTGGTAAAGTTCAAGTACCTGTGCAACGGAGTGACTGGGTCAAGGGTATTCGAGACAAACAGCATTGGGTGCGCCGTTACTGCACCCCATGGACCTGAACATGTCAGCACCTTGGTAGCAAGATCAAAAATTATGAAAAGACCCTATCTATACCTGTGAACTTGTACTTAGCTTTTGCTTTCCATCCCACACAAGACAATTGGACCTGCGCCCAATAGTCTCCCACGGCCCGACTATCACCAACCAACCCGGCCCATATCTCCCGAAATTCGGCCAGAGTATAGTCTGTCATATACTCCGCATCTGTACAAAGGATAGCCGCACTTGCGTACAGAGTGTTGTCCTGGCCACTAGCGCACTGAGAAGACCACGGCCCTGCTAAGCGACACTCAGTAGACGGACAAGCTCCGAAATGCCTGCGATGCTTGAAATCCGCCATGGTCACTGCGTTACCCTTTGCAAGCTCGTTCACATGATCCGCCAATACATGGAATGCGAGTAGAGGTTGGTATACCGCAACGCGGAGGATGTTCTTCAAGTCGGTCCATGTTACAATTTCCGGCCCGCGAGTGGTAGATGCCATCACTGGGAGTGAAGTGTTTCGAAGCTGGTTTTCGATAGTCCAGTAGGCATTGTTGATAGTGTCGGATCCCCCTTCTGCGTAGAAGGGACACCCCTCTGGACCCGCCTTGTGGCAGTACTCGCCGAAGCGATTGAAAATGGCATCAGCATCCATGACTACGTTGGGGCCCCGTCCTTCGTAGTACCTGTCCATATTGACCACGCCATCTAGGACTACCCGAGATACTCGGTCGGGAAAAAGCGCCGCAAAAGTCGTTCCTAGAAGCGTCCCGTATGACCGACCCCAGTACAGGAGGGGTTCCCTGCCCACATGCCATTGGGTGCTTCTCAAAATGGCACGCGACTCATCTGTACCATATTGCAGGTCATACGCTTCCTGTGCCAGCTGGCCTTGTTTCTCACGCCATTCCCCATGGCGCTCGACAAGAGTAATCATATCTCGAGCGACGAGCGTAGTACTCACATACTCCATGATGGCTTCATCACCCTGCACGCCATCAGCAGCCATCTCGTACACAGAGCATCCGGAGTTCAGCGCCTGCGTCCGTTGCCAGTTTTTCTGCAAGGAATCTGGGCCACTTCCCAGCATTCCTTCTGCTTCGACTTGCAATTCCCAGTTCCGTTGGGAGATCGGGTCGGGGAAACACGTTATTGCTGGCGTGGTGGATCCAACACCCCTAGGATCAAAGCCGATGATATCGAAGTACTTGTCGCTCGCATTGAGTGGGACAGTGCTGGGGTCATTCTCCGAGTCAACGATTGTCTGCAGGTTGCGACCTGATAAGAATGCTTGCAGTGTTCCAGGACCACCGGGGCCACCTGATCATATTAGCCATGCGTTCTTCACGAAAGGTGATATTAATCTTGCCTGGATTAATTAGCATAGCTCCCCCGTAACGGGGGTCATCAACGGGCACTTTGGCGGGGATCCGAACTACTGCTAATGCGAATTTTCGCCCTCGAGTGGTATCGGCCCGATTGTAGTCCATCGGCACCTCTAGCCGGGTACATTGGAACCCGTCCCCACAATCATGATACTCCAATGATTTGGATGGGGTGATGTCGTCCCAACTAAAAGGTGAAGCGGCGGGTGTTGTTATCGCGGTTGGCACTGGAAGCGACTTGCCCCTCGGAGCTGGCAGTCTCCACCATAAGATGCACAGGGCCCCGACGAAAAGATAGACCCAGGGAGCACCCTTTCGCTCTCCAGGCGCTCGCCAGCGATAGAGAACAGGCCTTGAGTTGGCTAATTTGCACTCCTCCATGGCGCACCACTCCTCGATAGTACCGTGAAATGTACCCCTCTTTAAGATATACACCGAGTCCTGAAGCTTATCGAGGCACACCGGGCAACTCAATATGCCTCAAAGACAGTCAAGACAACAGAAACCCCTCTCAGGGCTGAGATAAGCCAAATGAAAATTATCAGATAAAAACAAAGACCCCCAGTCGACGGGCTGACCCATGGCTAGCCGATTGTAGGGTCCGCGGGGGTGGGGGAGGTATTGGGCAGGTCAAGCCTATCACACGGTGAGAATGTAGCGGTCGGGAGCTGATGCATCGCGATGGTCCAGTCGGGTCCTGTGCATTTGGTTTTGGTCTTGCTGATTGGTGAGAATGATTTCTTGGGTGTGTATGAAGCATGAAGAATGAAAAAGCAATTCTAAGCTGCCGAGAAATAGGCGCTAATTATTGGTTGAACTGGCTGACTGCACTTGAGACGGCGCAGTGGTCGGTCAGTGAGTTGTTGGGTGAAGCCCCGCTGGTTGGCTGATCAGTTGCGAACTCGCAATCAGCGATGTACACCTATACGGAGGAGTCTATACAGGATAATGCCCGCCGGGTGGGGCTTTCTTGTCTGGGCTGCCGCCGCTTTAATGAGGGCGATCAGACTCAGGCTCACTGAGTCAATCTCAGCACGGGCTCCTGCTCAGTGATCTGCTGAGTACAGTCATGTGATCACTCGGTGACCACATGACTGCACACGCTTAGTGATCATCGATAGGCTCTAGTTAGGTTAACTAAGTTAGTTAGTTAGTTAACGGGCTGTCCTTGCTACCCCAAAAGCCCATACTCTAACGCCAATTTTCAAGATATAATATTTCAACGAGGCGTTATTCTTGCTTGATGTTTAGTATACTAATTTCTTAGTATAAGGAATCACACAGCGTAACTGAAATATTTTAAAAATCATTATTTACTTCCAATACCAAAAATACGCTCTCGTCAACCACCATAGATATATCTCTATCCTTGATCAGACTCTAAAACATTTCTCAACCAAATAAAGGTATACACTATAATATATTAAGCGCTAAGATATCTTGAAACTAGTGGTTGCATTATGGAGTTATAAAATAGTGAATTTTGTATGGGGTTTTAGGTGGCCGGGACGGCCGGGAATTACGTTAACTAGCTAGTTAGTTACTCTCCTCCTCAATCTCATCTGAGTCAGAAGGGTTTTACTTGGACAGATGCCAAAGTGCCATCAAAAGAGCACACCAACCGATATCAGGTGGATTTGAATGGCTCTGGTTGTACCACCCTATCGATTGTAAGTGTCCAGGGGGCTAAGTGGCCCGGACCACATCTGGAGGGTTCTGGCCCACCTCGTAACCAAGGGTACCCCAACATCTTTGGGAGGTACACTCGTCAAGCCCAGTTTCATGCATGGCGTGACCATACATGGGAGGTAAGCGATATGTTTGAATGAATCACTATAAAGTGCTGACATGAAGTCGCTGTTGCAAAACTATCCATCCTATTGCCTATATTAGGATACAGCATGAGGCAGGCACATCTTTCTCGGGCAACTTCGCTTTTCACCTATCTAATCACAAGGTACGACCTAAGCCAAAAAGACAGAATACAAGAGTGTCATATAACGATTCATAGTTCCAAGGTTCGGAGAATGTCTCATCAATGACATGGACGCTGGCCAAGCTGAACTATACCGCAAATGTGCGCGCAAGCTCGAAGGAGTCCTCTCCGAGCGAGACCAGGATCTTCGTATCCTAGTTGGACATTCCAACATGCTACAGAGCCTGACGCCTACCTTTATTCTTCAACACGGTGATGATAATACGAACGATGATAACGAATGGGAAAGCCTTACCGTGTCTTACCGTGAATGTGCAGCTGGGTCGGAATGCAGCGCTTGTTCCGAGCATGTTGAAGATTTATATCCAATTCTGCGTGGGGTTTCGATTACAGAAAGAGAACTGCCATTTTACGAAGTCGAAACCGAACCAGTCCAAAACTGTGTCATTGAAAAATCGCATATCGTGACGCGCGCTGCTCCGTCGAAGATCCCGGGTTCTCTCTGTCAATATTCAGTCACTCTCTAATTCTACATATCTATCTTGGAGTGTGCCGGTTAAATAACGCACCGCCTGTCTCTTTTCTCCTCCCGCCCCGGGGATCCTTGGTGGTAATAGTGAACTCGGCGTAAGGAGCTCTTCGGTGGTGGCTGAGCCTCTCTACTGATCGCTCATCCATGGCACTGTATCAATGGTGACATCATCCCACATACCAATTTCCCTATTCATAAACAATTCCTCGTTTCGGTCTTGCGCTTATTGCTCCAATCTACCAACCATTATAAACCCTACGGTTTGTTCAAATTAAAATCCATACCCCCGCTGTGGGGTAGTTGTGTACTGGAAACATATAGAGTTTCATCTACTTCGCGGTCGACCCTTTGAGGCTTAGAACTCACGTGCTTCTATGCTTGTAACGATTTCAGAGACTTGTACCTATTACCTTGTTCAACTTCCCAACGCCACTCACAACCGATCACCCTGCACTCAGAACCAACCAGCCTGCGTGGATATCTCTGTAAAGTATGGCAGAAATGATAATTTCCAGCTTTTGTTTCAGCAGCCATAGATATTTTCCTGGCAAAAGCAGCTTCTGCTGCCGACGGCCTAGGGAGCTTACTACGCCCGATATATCTCTCCCTTGAAAGAGTACAGAGCACAGGCCATGAGCAGCTGATGAAATCACTACAAGCTTAAACTTGCAGCGCTGATATGGTGACGGAACAAAAGCATAATATCTTTGCTTTCCGCATAATCTACCTTGTGTCTAATTTGCATTGCGATAATCAAATGCGGTTGAGAAGACCGGGAGTCCATCAACGAAACTGGCGTAATTTATTAGCATGAAGCGGAACTTCTCGGTAAGCCAAGAAAGTCAGTCTATAATCTAGGTATAGGCTGAAATCGCCTCCATCATCGGATGAGTCGGATGTGTTGTCTGAACTAGCAGAAGTCCTTTCGTAACCAATCCAACTCAATATGAAACTCAGTCCACATTGGATCTTGGATTATACCTTGTATAGCCGAAGACACCGACTATCACGGTGACTCCTCGAGCTGCTCGACAAGGTATATGCAACAGGAACGCTGAAGGCCTCCGTAGCGAAAGAGGTCGACCCCTCGACCTTTCATGGAACCATTTCCCGTTCGCATCAACATTGAGAGAAAACATGTCACTAGATGTAGAGTCCAGTTGTTCAGGACGAGGATCAAAGTATGCAAAAGTACCGTGGGCATGAAATGGGTCCAATTGTACTTTATTTGGGAGGGCAGTGTGTATATATTGTACGTGGACAAGCAAGATTGAGGCGCGTTAAAAGAAAAGAATTAAATATAGGAATAAAAACAAGTCCACATTAGCTTTATTTAGTAAATTTTCCGATTTGCGATTGAGATTCAGCCTTGCGTCTCGAACGTGGGTCAATGTTTTAGATACCTCTTCCTCCTCGAATTCCAAAGTCTCTGAGTGACTCTAAGATTTGGCCTTTAAAGTGACAATCAGGACTGTAAGTGAACCCATTCGTGCCTCAATTTCTGACCATCTACATCTAGGCTCCGGAGGAAAAAGATGATAGGAAGAAATATAGACTCTTATTAGTAGTGATCTATAATATCGAGGTAGTCAAAAATATATAGGCTTTAAAAGTCGCCGGGATACTAGTAAAGGGCACGCCTAAATTCGTTACGCTATACTAAGGATAAAGACCGAACCTAATGGAATTTAAATTGCAGTTAGACCAAGACAAAAAGAGTCTACTAGCAAATAAGGAGCACTCATTGGGCATTCCAGACAGCCCAAAAGGTAGTCTCGAAGAAGCTCTCTGCAAAGCAGTCCTTAATCTAATTCTCTAGCCTGGGCTCTGGCCAGAGGACAAGCCTCAGTCGGTGTTTAAAATGCAGGTCTAACAGAGCAGTCACAAGTTTCCCCAGTAAACTATTTTTCTGAACCAAAATGCGTGTGCGGTAGTGCTTCTTTGCAAAGGTTCGACTTTCCCTGCTGATTCTAGCCTATCCAAGAAACTTTGCCTCGAGCCAGACACTGCTGGGATAGAGGATGGGATCGAAGCCAGAAATTCTTTCAAGGGGTCACCGATTGGGAGAGGCAAGCAACCTCCAAACTGGTCGTATCCGATAGTTGGATCACCCTTTCGATGTAAAATTGCTTGAGCCGAGCCATGCGATTACAGGATATGTACCTTATGAGGGGTGATCTTGGCATACTTGATCAGATAAAAGGCGGAAGCCAAGGAAGCAGTTCCACTGCCGAGAATCCAAGCCTCGGTTTGTTTGGGACGATGTTTGTCCCGAGTTTCGATATCTCTCTCCATTTTCAAAAAGGTCCATTTCGCCTCGATGTTACTGAAAAACAATCAATAAAGATGGGGCTTCTATCTATAAGCGAATACCCATGTGGCATGGCAATGTTGCTATGCAGGTTGCCCAGGTGGAATTTCTTTAGTGGTAGGTCGGGCCAGTGGTACGATCGGGCGTTTGCCACAATTAGTGACGTCTTGGAAGGCCTTAGTAAGCATATTCTTGCCAAATGGGCCATTGTGGCGTAGCATGGCACCCAAGGCACCCCTAGTCGTTAAAAGGGTGTAGTTTATCGAGTACAGGTCATCGACATCCAATTTCACTGTAGCCGACAATATTGGGTCTAAAACTGCCACTGGAGCCTGGACTACTGAGAGTTCGTCGGCCACAATGGGTGTGGGCATAACTTTCCGTCCACCTCTATTCTGCCAGCAATAATTGTTCAGGAATGTCCGTTGTCACTCTTCGTTTATCAAACATAGCGATAGTTATTCGTGCTTTTAATTCTAAGTATCGTAAGACCTTATTATATTCTCTTATTCCGATGTATTCCAATCTGTAATCCGCCATTTCGGCAGTGCATGTACGGCGGCGTAGGGGTCGACGGAAACCTATGAGCGCCCATTGGACAA